GATCCGGTGGCTTTTCTAGTTCAATACACGTGCCCATGCCCGGCTGGACCCTAATTCCGATATCCAGGGGTGGGAGCTCGCTCCGACGCCTGAGTCAGTCCTCCTTTCCAGAGAGACAAGCCACCGTACTCCGGAGTCGCCTTAGGCCCTCGTTACATTGGCGGCGGACGGCAGAGCAGGTCATTAAAGAAATTCTCTGGTTGGCTCCTAACAGTCCGGAAATGTTGTACTGCCGTTACGTTAGCTTGTAGGGCGGCGGAAGTGGATTTTTTTATTGCATACGTCAGCGGCACAAGAATGTATAAAGTTCGACCCCACTGCCATGGTGGGTCGAACTTTTCTCTTTTTGTGCCGGGCATCCACGTGGTTTATTGGGCCACTCACAGCGCACCGCATCAGTGAATGATGGTCTAGGCGGGAAAAGCCCTTGAACAGGATTTGGCGCGGCCTTTCAAGCACAGGCAGCAGTGGCAGTCTGCAGTCTGCATCAGTGCGTTGTAGCAAAGAGGAAGACGCCATGGATCGGCGCCCTGAAGATGAGGGCGGCTTCAACCCGGAGATAGGCTTCCTTGGCAACCTCAACATGCCTGCCCTGCACAGCAATCAATGCCTGACCCCAGATTCATTCTCTACCTACCTCCAAGCCCAAGCAGGTATACCTGCTGTACAGGAAGTCCCCCAATCTACTCAAGGTGTGCCAGGACAAGACAACCTTCCTGCTGAAGCCCCCCAGAACGTCTACGTCAGCCCTCCCAGTCGGGATGCTCCGCTGCCAGGTGCACCTCCGGCGACCGCAGCACAGATTGAAACAGGTCAGTGAGGTGCAACCTGTCTCTCAGGTTCAACACTGATTGCTTGCATTGTCCGGTGAATGCCTCTTGCTAGTATACTGCATGTTGCGGGGATTCTGTTTGCTGCCTGCTTGCCTGCAGTTTCTGGGGGCCTGTAAGCATCCTTGACCTATACCATTGTTGGAAGGAATGTTGAAGGGAGCAGTGCACACAAGAAAATTTTGTTTTTGGATGCTTGGTAGCTCATTGTACGCTGTTCCAAAAACTTGTCTTCGTCACAGGGATGCTCAGTCAAGGAGATGGTGTCTTATTCAAAGGTTGCAGGAAGCTTGCAGACTTACTGTAGATTGTTTAATAAGGATGTTGCTGTAAGCTCTTCTGGTTCCTGTAGGCTCTTCTGTTGGCTATGCAAGCCTCTTGTTAGTTGCAGAGCCCTGTTCCTGCCTCAATGCTTGCTGAAGCGTTCTATCCTACATCTGCTTAAGAACATGTAGAGACTTGGCTGGATCCTTGGTTGAATCCTCTGATGAGAGAAAGTAGCACACGTAGCATCTGCCTTTCTCACATAAGGGCTTTCTAATCTGGTCGGCAGGAACCAAGAAGCGTGGACGACCAGCCGGTACCAAGAACAACACCCGGGGGCCCCCCAGGAAGAAGAAGGAACAAGCGCCACCAGTCGATCCTGCGGTTCTCCAGGAGGCCGCAAACCGCCTGTGGAAGGACGAGTGGGTGGTTCAGTTGATCGAACAGCGAGCTCTCCTGAAGGACAAGTTCGACAACCCCAAGCAAGGCGTGGATCTCTGGACCAAGGTGGCTGCCGAGATCCTCGCTAACTGCCCTGATTTCAACAAGAATGCTGAGGCGTGCAGAAAGAGGTTTGCTAAGGAGCTCAAGGATTATCAGGGTGACAAGGCGCAGAATGCAAAGTCTGGTCATGACAGGGGTGACAGGTCCAAGCACTATGATTTGATGGATTCTCACTTTGCGTCCAAGGCCACCGTTCACTGTGCTGCCCATGCCGACTCAGAGACAGTGGAGGTGCTCTCGGAATGTAGTGAGAAGCCCAACTCTAGCGGTAGCTCCTTTTCAGAGGATAAGCTGAAGCGTGGAAACAAGAGGGAAAGCGTAGCGTCTGAGTTGTCAGCCACTTTTGTTAGCACGTCTGAGGCATTCATGGAAGAGTACACAAAGGTCGAGGATCGGAAAGCCAAGCAGATTTCGGACCTCACCGATCTGCTCAGATGTATTGTGGAGAAGCTGTAAGAGAACATGTTGTACCTTGTACAAGTATGAATTGTTGACGAGTTCTTGTCAACATTAATTGGGCTGTACTGTTCTCAAACATTGCTCGTTCCTTTGCCACTCACCACGTACGTAGCTGCTCCTGAAGCGAGGTCTATTTGTGTTGCAGATTGTCCTTTAAAACGACTTCACAAGCGGCTCTATAGATTGCTTGAAGGAATAAAAGACTCAATGAAGCACCGTATAGAAGGCACGCATGTACTGTAATAAGCATGTACTGAAATATGCAAGGCAGATTGGAGCATCGATGCAACGTAGACATCATTGCCCGCCTTGTTTTCGATGATGTGCATGCCCCCATCACGCAACATGCAGATGACCGATTGACGAGCGAAATAAGAACGGGCCAGGGTCTGCAACTTTCAATTGTGCACGAGTCAGTGACTACTTTATGCAAAAGAAGGTGTGGTCGAAGTATGATGCGAAGGTTGTGACATATCAATAACCGTTTGAGAAGCAAAAGAAGACCGGGTGAGTCAGATCTGCAAACTTCAAATGTGCACGACTCTCATAAGCAAATGAAGAACGGGCCAAAGCCTTGTACATGCACACAATTCTTGAGCAATACAATGAAACAATGAATGAGATCAGCACTATTTGAATTTGCACAATATGCAGCCCAAACTCGCTATGCATGCCAGTCATCCAATTTCAGTGCACGGGATCTGTTCAATAGATCTGGCCGGGGTCGAAGTATGATGCACGCAATGGATGCAATTTAGCCCAAAGATGCATGCATAAGCTGCAATGAAGAAGATCTACTTCCTCGAAGCATGACGTACACTCTCAAAGTCCAATTAGATTGTCCAGTCCATTGGCAGCCCAATTGCAGATTTGTCCGGGCCTCGCCTAAGCTTCCTCGCTTTCATCTACATCGAAGCCAAGAGAACTAGCATTGCGAGAACGCTCCTGATCGTACAGTAGCCTGCAAAGTGTGGCCCTATACTGAACACCCAATCTATACGCTGGCATCTCTTGTGGTGTATCTTCGTCAGGGTCCTCCTCAACTTCGACGTGTACAGACGGGTTAGTGTTGTTGGCAGGTGGCTGTTGATTCTCAACGTCCGCTGGAGTAGACAAAGGAGCGTTTGCTCCAAGCACCTCCTGAGCTTCCCTGTACCACTCTTCGTTCACCTCGTCCTTGTGCACCTGGCACATGTTGTGCAAAACAAGGCAGCAGGCAACGAGGTCGGGTGCGAAGTTGGTGTCAACGTCCAGGCGCTTTAGAAGGCAAGCCCAACGCAGCTTGAGCACCCCAAAAGCACACTCCACTGGCATCCTTGTGCTGCTCTGGATGAAGTTCCAGTAGTAGCGCTCCCTGCTTAGACCCTCTTTGCAGCCAAGGAAGGGGGTCAGCATGTAGGTTCTTGGCTGGTATGCAGCATCACCCACCAGTGAAAACCCTTGCAACGACCCCTCCTCACAGCGATCAAAAGCTTTGCTCCGCTTGAAAAGATTGTAATCGTGAAGGCTGCCTGCCCACCCTATGTCATAGTTGAAAAAGCAGCTGTTATGGTCCACAATACCCTGGAGCAGGATAGAGTGGAAACCCTTTCTATTGTAGTAATCTGCTGGCCAACTCTTTGGAGCAATGATTGGTATGTGACTGCCATCTATAGCCCCTACAATCCGCGGAATACCCCTAAGCCCCTCAAAACCTTCTGCTAACTTCTGAAGTGCAGCTCGAGTTGAGGGCCACTTGATGTACTGAGGCTTGAGAATATGAAGGACAGCTCTGACAAAGTCTCTCAGGAACACACTGACTGTACATGTCCCAATCCCAAACAAGTCTGAGATCACGGGATTACTAACCCCATGAGCTAACTTGTATACAATTGCTGCAACCTTAGTGTGAAGAGGAATTGCTGCGTTCAGGTGCGTTCCCAACTTCTCCAGGACTGGAGCGAGCTGGGAGCAGATATTGTAAAAGAGTGTCCTGCTCAATCGGATCCTGCTCTTGAACATCTTCTCATTGTAGGATGCCAACAAGGAGACATCACAGAAGCCAGTCTGTCTATCGTACTTCCACACGGACCTATCACCTCTGAAGAGGTGAGGCAGTGAAAGACAACCCTCAACCAGCAGCAGGCCTCCTGGAACGTCATAAAGCTGGTTCCTAGCGGCCGCAATGCTACTGTCCGACAAAAGCTGAATAAGCTGCAAGATCACCTTCAGGATTGTGATGAGCAGCACTCGCCTTACTTGTGAGGACGCCATATCAGCTCCCCAGTCAAGTCTTCCTCCTCTAAGAGCAACTTTGGCTCCTCACAGAAAGAAGCGTCCACTGCCTTGGGGCATTCTTGAGGTACAGATGTTTGGACCCTCATTTGAAAACCCCTGGTGGCAATTTGGCGCCAGATTCAAGGTTTTCGCGGACAGGGGTTTAGGGGTTTGCCTGCCACCGTGGCATTCTGAATTGTTGGGCCGTCGGCTGTGCCTCGGTGTCGTTACATTTCCGGACGGCGGAACTGCAACGTTTTGGAGACTTTCGGCACTTCCGGCCAAGTTCCACCCTTTTGAGCATTTGTTTATTGTTCTGCCGTCCGCCGCCAATGTAACGAGGGCCTTACTGCAACAGCTGAGTTGGAGCTCGCTCAGACGTCTGGAGTAAGATTCTCTCTTCAGAGAGAGCTCGGCCCCGGAACCCGCATGTAGGAATCGCTCAACTGCAAACAACCACCGCATCTGAGCCTGAAGCCCTCCTAGTATTGATGTCCAGCTTGTCCGCCTTCAATCGCACATTCTTTGCCAGGCCAGTTGCCCAGAGGTATGAAAGAAGACCTGCCACCTTCATTCTCTTAGTCCCCCAGCACTGTCTTTCTATTAGCTTCTCCTAAATCTTCCAGCTCGGCATCCTCTTTTCCTCTCTTCAGAAGCAACCTGCATACAGCAGCGTCTCAATCGGACAACTGCCAAAGTGTGCCAGCAGGGCACACCGTACATCTTCCAGCTGCGCAGCGCCGGCAGATGCTTGAGCTGACTGCCTGATCCCTGCCAAGGGCTTTTTGAAAAGCGGCTTGCTCCGAGCGCCAACAGGGTGCAAGAGGTGAGCGCAGCGCTTGAGGGAGGGTGCACTCTTGGCTTAGATCGCTGGCCGATTGGGAATCTGCAAGTGCGCCGCCTCCAATCGACTTCGCATAAGTAAGATATTGCTTGGCTGGTGGTGGTGTTTTCAGCGGTTTCGAGTGAGGGAGGTTACATAAGTCTGCAAAAGTCATCTGGAGATTCAGACTGAGCCTCAGGGCTTTTTATGGTAGTTCATTCTTGGTGTGCTCGGCAGATTGAAAGATCGCAAGTGGAAAAACGATGTGAGTCAAGGGTTGTTTCAGTCATGGGGGTGTTTCTGCTTGGACTTGTCATGAGCAGACAAGTTCGGTTGCAGTTTGCACTCTCTAAAAGCATCTCCTTTTCACTGTGTGAACAGATGTCGTCTGATGCAGACACCACCTCCAGCGAAGGGGAGGGACAAGACGTTCAAAACGCAGAGTATGACGAGAAGTCCTCTGATGGCAGTGATCAGGGAGAGTCGTTGCACGAGTTGTCATTGACCAGGTCAGCTTGCTTGAAAAGAGGGGCCCAGGTAGCATGCACCTGCTGATACTCAGGTCAGGGGCTTGACAAAGTAGCTTCTGCTTCGTTCTGCACTTGTAAATGGCATCAGGCGTCAATTATCCAACACATCAAGGACTCGGATCTGGATGGATGCATTTCTTCGTCGCAGTCCCTCATTTGGGAAGAGGGTGAGATGTCGGCGGGCCTGAATGGAGACCACAACGACGGCAGCCTTGCACAACTGAGCCAAGACGTGGGGGACATGTCGCTCTCGCCTGGCCGTTTTCAGCGCCATGCTAAGCGGCAAAAAGTCCTCCTCAACAGCACAAGTTCTTCCAACGGTGGGACTGCTAGCTCTGAAGCCGGCCAGTCTGCGGAAGGGGGTGGTCCAGTCCTTTCACCTCTGCAGCCGTCACTGCTTACAGTGCCTCAGGTGAGCATGCAACAGCCCTTTGGTCAGCTTGTTGAGATTTCAAGGATACACAGGGGTCAGGCCTCTTTCCAGAGAGGGGAGGCTTGTTTGTCGCGATCGCTTCTGACCATCACAGAGATTCAATACAGCGCATTGGACCACTTGCTTAGTTCCAACTCATTGTTCTGACAGACTTCTTTCTGCTTGGCAGGTCTCTCTGATCCCTGATGCGCTTGCTCGTCAAACACTTCTGCGCAGCGAGTTTGAAGCAAGGCAACGGAAAATGCGAGAAGAGTTCTCCAACCACCTTCAGGCGCCATCTCAAGTCGCTCTGGAGGTAGTCTCGCCGAATGTTTCAATTGTATCATTTCTGAATTTGAATTGCTTGTTTGTGGACCTGGGAGCACTTGCAATCTTCGCTCGCAACGGCCAATCGTTCTGATGAGGCGCCTTTGTTGTTGATTGCAGGATCACAAGCTTCCGTGCACACAGCAAGTTCAGGTTGCAATTTCTTCTCCGGTTGTGGCACAGATCAAGTCTCCTGTAAGTAAACCTTCCCTTGAATGCAACTCGATAACGAAGCAGCTGAAGCAGCCAAAGAATGTCAGTTTCGAGTCTCTTCCAACTCTCAGGTTCTCTCTCACTGTGCCCATGGACTGTTTGGGAGGAGGGTCCATGTCAGAGATGTCTGACTCAATACATGACTTTTCTTTTTGCCAATCTTTATGTTGCTCATGTCCAAGATGTCCGGCCTAGAAACACGAGTTTTTCAATCTGACGTCTTTGAAAATAAGATCAGCATTTGAGGTGCAGTCAGGCGGCAGCCCCGGTTGAAAAGGATTTCTCTTTGAGGCCTCAGATGTCTGTGGGCCTTCAGCGGGAGGAGGATGCTTGGACATGTCCTGCAATGTCGACGCACCCCAAGCTTGTCGTAAGTGAAAGCTTCTTATGTTTTCGAGGAGGACCTTGAGCGCAGCTGTTTGACGGTCAGAGTGCCGTTAAGCAATGAGTGCCTCTCACGTCTTCTGCTAAATTCCTTCGATATATCGCCGATTGCGCTGACGCTGATCGACACAGGTTCATGTCCAGGATGTCCGGCCTGAAACGTGAATTTTTCAATCTGACGTCTTCGGCGAGACCCTTCTTAAGCTCGCAACTCTCTGGTCTACTGAGAACAGGCAGGCAGAAGGAAGCGTATGGAAGCCTTCCAATCGGTGGAAGGAAAACTCTCCAAATGTAACTGCCTGTTCATCCGAAGACGCTCTTTGTGTTCGCAGGTCCAAGGCACGCCTCGTGCCCAACTGGCTGTGGCCACTGCCAAGACTGAGGACGAGGTTGTGAACGAAATTCAAACGTCTGCAGACTTGGCGCAGCCTGGGCGGGCAGTTGTAACTTGTCAATCTTGCTGAAGCGTTTTTAAGCTGACGGAGGCTTTCCTCCCAGGTCACTTTTACTTCCTCTCTTGAATCGGTAAAGGTCTTTCGGCAGCTGATCAGAAGATGCTCATGTCCAAGATGTCCGGCCTACAACAGGACTTTTTCTTTTGCATTTTGACGCCTTCGCAATCAGAAATCTCTCTTGGTTGCCGTCGCTTGGTTATGCAAGGTACGTCGATTAACAAGACCAAACATACAAGCTGCTGATTAACCATGTACAGCCGAAAGGACCTCTAATCTCCATCAAGCTCGTTGAGCACATTAAAGCGTTACTCGGTGATCTTCTGCTGCGCCCTTACACAGATCCTGCGCAGCTATGCCGGCGCCAAAAGTCCACCCCTTGCCAGTCGCATGAGGCCTACATGTTCATGCTTCGCTCAAAACCGTGTTGCTTCTGTGCAGGTCACTGGCAACCTGCCTAGCCAGCCTCCTGCGGACATCTGTCTGGCTGCTGCGCAACGTCTGTTCGACTTGGGTGTAGCGTCTGTCACGCTTCACATCAACACCGAAATGAAGGACGGTAAAGAGAAGAAGTTCCCCCAGTTTTCCGCCGGCTGGAAGGGCTGCACTCTCGACAACTGCCTTTCAGACTTCGTCCGCCCAGGAGCACCGTGCCTCGCAATCATCACGGGCAGCCAGTCGGACGTTCTCGTTCTCGACATTGACATGAAAGACAACGGCTTGAAGGCATTTGAGGAAATGGTCACCGCCCATGGTGCGCTGCCAAAAGACACTCCCAGAGAGAGGACGGGCAACGGCGGTCTGCATCTCTTCTCCAGCCTTTCAGAGTCGAGCGCAGCGGGGTTGCTGAACTGCAACAACAGGGAAAAGATTTCGTGTGGGGGGTGCCAAGTGGGGATCGATGTGCGCGGCAATGGGGGCATCTGCTTCATTTCGCCCAGCAAGTACATAGGGCGGGATGGAGAGACAGTGAGAGCTTACCGGTGGGAGTAGGAGATTGCAGCGGATCGTAGCAACCTGAGGGCCATGACGAACTGGTTGATTGACATCCTCAACCGGAGTGATGCGGCTGTAGGGTGAGTTTTTAAGCCTTCAGCATGTGGAAGAAGTTGCCTCACAGCCTGGGTCAGAATCAACCTAGCTGACTGATCGCCATTTCTCCAATTCTAAACATTCAAAATTGAAACTGACCGGTACTTTCAGTGAAGAGAAGCGTTCCTCAGCAGACAGATGACATCAACGCCTAGGCTTCTTCCGACCGTCAGGATTCAGATCAACAAGCTCGCTTTGACTTACTTCTGGGTGCACGGATACAGACCAATTCTCCTCCATTTTGTAAAATCAGCTCAATGATTGCACGTTTGACAATAAGTTCCTTCATGGTGCAGGACTATCGCTGTGTTGAGCAAGAGGGTGAGCGCTCACCAACCGCCCACCGATGTTGCGGGGGTCTTTGGTGAAGAGCCAGATGCTGCAGTGCTTCAGCAGATCAAAAGCTGCCTTGCGGCATGCGGCGACAGTACTTCGCGTTTTGACAAGCGGAAGGGCAACCTGTACGTCTTTCGGGTCCAAGGGGAACGTACGTGCCCTTATGGCCATCAACATCAGGGGTCAAACAACTTTTGCGTCCAAGTGAAGGGCAGCAGACTCGAGTACGTGTGCAACTCTCCAGAGTGCACCATCATCAGGCCACGGAAGCAGATTGGCGTCTTGAGTTGTGCCCAGGGTGAAGCTTCTGTCAAGCCGGTTGATGCTGATCGAGATGAAGCTATCTACGGGTGTGTTACGAAGGAGCTCGTGGACTTCTGGGCGTTTCAAGGAGACAAGGGCGGCAGCCGGATCTTCTCATACATGTGCTCATTCTGTAAAAGGTAGGCACACGACTAAAGTTGCTCAAGCTGCTTCCACTCCTCCGTTATATTTGTGCGATTGGTCGTGCAGAGGTGGCTTTTGAGCATGGCTTTTCTGAATCGGATGTTCGAGGATGCCTGAAGACTTGAATATTCAGAGACTGCTTAAGCCAAGGGGGGCTAGAGTAAAGCCGTTTTGAAAAGCCCCTGTTCTTCGTGGGACATGTCAGACATGTATCATTCAGAACCCTTGAGAAAGCCCCCGACTCTGGTCGGACATCTCGGACATGAAAGGTTCAGTTGAGAAAGTCTTGATTCAGGTCGTTAATCTCGGACATGACCGTTCAAGACCTTTGTAAATCATCCTGAATCATTCGTTCACGCTCTCTTTTCCAGGATTGTGAACACTCCCGCAGGCTTCTTCATCTGGACTGGAAAGGTGTACGAGAAAGCTTTAGACGTCCAGGTGCTATACATCCTCATGCATCAGTTGAGCACGGTGATAGACCGAGTCAGGAACGATCTGCAAAAAGAGTTGAAGCGCGCAACTGACAAGGGGAAGGTAGCCGAAATTGAGCGGAGGCTTAGGCAACTTCGTGACTACAACAACAGGCGCGCTGCAGAGGACACATTAAGGGTTACGAAAGGAGAGATGTTTTCGAGCACCTTTCTCAACGAGCTCGACAGCGATCCTAACATCCTCAACGTCAACAATGGAGTAATCGACTTGCGCACTGGCAAGCTGGACATCCATCGCCCCCAATACATGTGCAGCAAGCTTGCAAACACATATTACCGGGTAAATCTCCGGCGTGCTCCTGGATCCAACCTTGTCGATTACTGTCGAAAAGTCTTGCTTTTGGTCGGACATGTCGGACATGACGCTCGAGAAAAGTCTTGCTTTTGGTCGGACATGTCGGACATGACCAAATGCCTGCATCTGCGAACTCGTTCACAAGTGACGTGCGCACGGCACGCTTCTCCAATCTAAGAGGAAATAACACTATTCAAGTCGACCGCAGGGCCTCGATCTTCCCTCCCCTCGGATTGACGACTTCTTCAACGATGTCTTCAACGGAGACGAGGAAGTCATTTGGACTCTCCAGCTTGTTCTTGGGTACGGCGTCACTGGGTCCGTTGCTTGCGAGAAGATCGTGTTCTTGGTTGGATTGGGCGGTGAGTTGCCTGCCTACGGTGCCCTGCTTTTTCTTTGCCTCCAGACTTGGTGTGTCAGCACCGCTTCAATCCTAGAGAAATAGTCTAGAGTACGAAGCGTCACTGGGACAACAGTTTCAACGTACGATGATGCTCTTGAAGAGAGAGTCTTGCTTCTGATCGGACATGTCGCACATGAAAAGTCTTGTTCCTTGTCGCACATGTTGGACTCAAGTCCTGAGAGCTCAGTCTAGCCCTTGCCGTCCAGATGCTTCAAAAAGTCTTGCTACTGGTCGGACATGTCGGACATGATTTTTCTGCCCTTCGATTGGACATGTTGGTCCTATGAAGGTTTGGCACTGGTCACAAGAGCCGAAAGTCTTCCATACCATTGAAGGTGGATCTTTTTGGAAGCTCCCACCTCCGGGCTCTGGTTCAGCTTAGGTACGGTTGGATTCTGCAAAATGCTCATAGGACTCCTCTACTGTTCGTGCAGGCAATGGAAAGGGCGTCACAAAAGAGATGCTGGAGAAGACTTTTGGCCCATACTGCGGTGTTATGTCCAAGGACGTGGTGGTGAAAACGGCCGGGCAGAGACCAGTTTCAAAGGGCGCTCCAACTCCTCACATGCACGCACCGAAAGGGCTTCGCCTGAGCATCACTGATGAGACTGCTGAAGAGGAAGAGCTCGATGCGGCTTCAGTGAAAGCGACAACTGGGGGAGGGCTGATCTCTGCGCGTGCACCTTACGGCCAAACGGAGACCTTTCCCCTAATGAACCTACCTGTCCTTATGACAAACCACCCCCCTAAATTTCAAGACGTAACCGACCCAGCTATAAACCGTCGGCTGCTTGTGTTTGACTTTCCCAACCTCTACGTAAGTCGGGAAAAGTTTGACTCGAACAACTCTCGGCACCGCCCTTTGGATGGAGGGTTGAAGGCAAGGATGCAAGAGGAGGAGACGCTTGAGCAGCTTCTCTCCTGGTTGGTCAGAGGGGCCGTAAAGTTCTCCGGTCAGGGGATGTCGCTTGGGGTTGTTCCTCCCTCTGTCGCGGTGAACTTGGACCAGTATCTCGCAAAGAACGACAAGCTGCAGCAGTTCATTGACGAACACTGCAAGAGGGGTCCAGCGCTCAGAGGCAACGCTGCGGGGTTTCTCAACGATTATAAAGCAGCCTCAGGAGAGCTCACAATTAGCGTTGAAAGCTTAGCTGATAGGATGGCAAAGAAGGGTTTCATAAAGAAGAAACGGGAATCTATAGACGACTTTGGTAAGAGGCCACAGGTGTTCGTCGCCATTGAAAGTCATTATGAAGCAGAGTAGGTGACCCGATAAGTTTGGTCTGCAGGATCTTGTACACAGCTTGTCCGAACCTTAGAACGTTGTCACTTATGTTTGAGGATTTGGCTTAGATAAGGCTTCGAAAGCTTATCTTGTCTTATGCATTCGAGGTGGCGGCCTTCATGCATACAATCCTATTGTAAAAGTCGAACTCAACGCCTGCGTTCTTTAGCTTTGAGATAGTGCTCGCATGAGGTTTTTGAGTTCTCCCGGTTCGCAGGCGCTTTGCAGCGTCTTGAAGCAGGAGCACTTGCTTTCGTTTTCGATACCATACTTTCTTCTGCTCAAGCAAACGCTATCTGTTGCATCTGTAGAAATCTTGCCTTCTCAATTGTAGCGCTTCTGGGCATGATTTGCACCTCGGCACGCCCTCTGATGATAGAGGAATCTCCGACTCGGTTGGAAGCAATGCGTTTTGAACAACTCGGTGCTTCTTGTCACACATGCTACAGTGCACAAGGCGTATGATGCTGAAGTCAGTGCCGAGATCCATCTTCTCGAGATGGTTGATGTCATTCTCATATACAGAGCTTTGTTTCTTCAAACACATTAACGCACATCTCAACGGCCAACTCAGATGTCTTCCGCTTCTTTGCATATCTTGAGAATCCTCTTTGCCATTGACAGTAGAAGCGCTGCCTCCTCCTCGGAATACGAGCCCGGTTCATGATATGTTAAACCTGCTGTCATTATGCTGAATACATCGTCCCATGAGTCAACGAGGTCGTCATTACAGAGTTGGTACACAAAAAGTAAAACGCCCTTCCGTAGCAAACTCATGTCGACTGGAAGTCTGAGGCCTTCATCCACGAGGCCTTCATAGCAAACGGGTCCAAAGCTCTCTATCTCATCGATCAACGGCAGCAAGCTGTACAAACGGGGATTTAACTGCTTCGGCACATAGTACGTAAAGCCCCGCTCCATTTTATATTTTTGTTTATGAAAAGAAAAATAGGTCTATACTGTTAGGCTTCTGTCTCTCAATCTTCATCGCTATCGACTGCAACACACCTGAACGTTGTTGCCTTGCTGCCCCGAGCTTTTCCAGTGGCTTTTAAGGTGCATGTAGTAGCTGATCGTTTCACCTTACCTTTATCAGTTGACTTCCTCTTGAAAGTCTGCTTTGCAGCCTTGCTCGAGGCTTTGCATTTGTTCGTGCTCTCTTGTTTCTTCTTTGCCTTCGATGCGGAAGCGTGCATCTCAACAAGCTCATCGACCGGTATCTTATTTGCTGCCGTTGAGAAGGTTCCCTCGAAAGGAAGGCCAACAGGTCGTTCACACTTTTTGACTCGAGAGATCATGACTTCGTATCCAAATTCCTTTTTAGCCGAACCTCTAGTCGTTTCCTGTAATAGGACATAGACACCGTTGCAGAGGGCTTTGATGGCTGTACCGTTAGTACACTTGAGTGCCCTGAATAGCTGGCTACCCGCGCGTGTGCCTGCTTGCGAAACACGCCCCTTTTCAGCATCAATTTCGAGACGAGTGTCTTCGAAAAGGCTCGAAGCATCCGATTTGGTATGGTCAAGCGCGAGTAGCACCTTGAAGCTTCTTTTTGAGAAGGCAATCTCCATTTAGGCAGCTGTATGATGTAACGTGAGATAATAAAGGAGGTACGAAAATGCATCATGCTGCCTACTTAAGAGGTTGCCCCCCTGAAGCACTTTGGTTGTCTCGTTGACTCGGCAGGATTGTTGACAAATGATTATCAGAAGTTGCCCCTATATAGGCATGTTCTTGTCTACATGAAGCACTTTGAAAAGTTGAACTGTGCCAGTCACTATTCTAGAAGGCAAATTCCTATTTCGTACGAATTAACACCAAATTTGGGACCCCGGGAGCAAACTTTTGCTGGGAGCTTTTGCCATTTTGACCGCATGTTGGGAAAATTTGCGGCTCCAGAGTTTTAATTCTGGAATGAAGGCCACCTCAGGTGGTAAGGTCATATGAGGCAGTGGTCGATAGACCAATTCCAAGCTGTTTGCTCTGGGCAGCAGAAAATTCCAGAATACGATTCCCTAGGGGACGCATCTCAAGAATGCGCCTCGTTTTAATCTCAGAATTAAAATGGGTCTCTGTAGTATAAGGTAGTGATGGACTCAAAAGCATCCGTTCAATCGAGCACGGAATCGACTTCCAACAATCAAGGGGATGTACAGCGAACGATATCATCAGGTGAGGCAGCTTTACGCAACCTGTTTCAGGATGGAAAGCGGGCTGAAATTACGATCTGCCAATACCTGAATAGTGTACGACTAATCTATCACCTTGTGATAGGAGGCAACGTTTTGCCTTCCACATTGGATTGGATTAAAGATACTGCTTCTATACTCGAAAAACTTAACGCAAAGTACCCCAACCCTGGCACCTACAAGAATAAGTTGACACCTCTGATGGTCGTGGCTCACGAGAAGAAATGGGACGCTACATACAAGACTTATTTCAAAGCCTTCACCGAGAAGAAGGTGGCTTTAGAGAAGAAGGCCAGTGAACAGAAGGCAACGGAGAAAGAAGCTGCAAACTGGATCTCTATGGACGAGCTCAAAAGCAAAGCGAAAGAGCTCAACAGACACATCCGGAGAAAGATTATGCCAAACTCGAAACAAAACGATGCAAATCTCAGCCGAGACGACGTGAAAGTAGTGTTTCAGCACCTACTGCTTGCGTTCAATATCCTAGAGCCACCTAAGAGAAGGGATCTCAGCGGTCTCCCTCTTCAGAAAGCTGACGGTAGTTTCTACTGCGACGAAGCCAAAGAAACATATAAGGAGACCGGGAACTGCCTTCGTGAAAGCACAAGTGGTGAATTTGTGCTTGTACTCAAGACCTATAAGACATGTAGGCGCTACGGAACAGGCGAATTTGAGCTCAGCCAGAGACTCAGCAACTACATCAAAAGATCCATCGAGCTCGTTCCTCGAGGTTTTTGTCTCTCTCGGTTGGGAAATACAACAGAAGCCATGTCAGATAATTACCTTACAAAATTTATGGCATCGATAACGTTCCCTACAGGCAAACACTTGAACCAAAACCATCTTAGGCACCTTTACATCAGTGAACATTTCGTGAATGATCACCCAATCGCTGAAAGGAAGCAGTTAGCAAATCGCATGTTGCACGACTGGGGGACAGCAATGGTTACCTATGAAAGGAAATGATAGGTATTGAGTCAGAGTTGTAGAACATTAAGCCGATGAGATCACTAAAGTTGGGTCAGAAGGCCATGATCCGTCCCAATGAACTTCGTCGACTCGCATGCGGATTTCTTGCAGCCGTTTCTCCAGCTCACTCCTTGTTGGAAAGATCAAACCGCGACCACTGACATCTTTGTAACCATCCAGTCCAAGTGTTCGTTTGATCCGACCAATCAGAACGTCTTTCTGTCGCGGCGGATCTTCTTTTGCACCTTGATTGTCTACGAAGGATCTATAAGTTTGGAAGATGGTGGCGCTTAGCACCTTCGTCTTCGAATCTGATGAAAAGTTGCCGTTGTCCAGCAACCCGCATATCATCTTTGCCCAGAATGGAATCGAGTGCTCCCTGAGAGCAGAGCTCCACTTGCTTTTTGGGATCTGCTTGAGGTTCCAAGTGTCGATGCCTTCTCTTGACATCAAGTACCGGTAGAAGTGTTCAGCTGTAGTGCTAGTGAGGCTTTCACAAAGCCGATCAAAGTAGGGTTGATCTCCGATTCTAGAGTCGGAGGCCTCAAAGCATGCGTAGCGCCGGTCGGTTGCCTCTTTTTTGATCGGCCAGTCTTCGTTAGTGTTAAACCAGTAGTTAGCAAGATCGGGTACCTGAAGGGGATCGATCCCCTTCTTCTCTAGGATTGTTGTATCTTGAGTGATGAGGCTTTTCAACCTGTTATTACTTTTGTAGGCCCCACCCCAACTGCTTACTTCATCGAAGCAAACCAAAAGGAGATTTGCAGCTATTCCGTTGAATTTGCCTATCACCTTCTCCACAGATAGTATCGAGATCCGATGACATGTTTCCCCACAAAATCTGTCACGATCGATTTGCCTGCGCCCTGGTCAGATCTGAACACAAGTGCAGTACCAATTTTCTTATACAGTCTCTGAACAAGGTGAGCTAACCAGTTTAGAAGGTAGTCCGCTACAGCAGGATCATTGTCTGCCAATACCTCGTTGATATGCTTCAAGAGAAGATCGATTTGTTTCATGTCAACAGGCTGATCCGCTTCGTAAGCGAAGGGAAAGCCGTAGAACAGATTGTAATTGTTAGGCGAAACCAGACGAGAGTTTGCTTCGAAGACTACCTTGTTGAGCGTCCTTCTCGTTGATGACTTGCACCACACCTTTCCAAGGTTGCCAATCTTAAGATTGTCCAGGTTAAATGATTCGACCCGTTCCAAGAACTCAGCTCTTGTTCGAATGATGCTGTCATTTGACACCCAAGTAGTACCTCTTTCAACGAAGATGGTCTCGATAAAGAGCACTTTTGAGCTGCCGTCTAGAACGCAGAAGTAGTGATTCATCGTGTCGATAGCAGTCTGTGTGAGTTGTTGGCACATGCTTTGATACTGCACTTTGTCGACACTGCTTTTGCTGCTTGATATGATTCTCTCCGCTTCCTCGATAGGGCGCAGATCAAAACGTGCTTTGGAAATCAAAAGCGAAGGCCAATGGTGCACCCCGAGAAGCACTCTTGGTCGCTCTTTGCATGCTGATGACAAACAACGGTATTCCATGCAGATCCCGTTGCAGATGATGCTGAAACTGTTGCTCGTGTGTTCCTCTCCATAAGGACAGATTCTGCTCTCCTTCACTCTGAACTTTAAGATGGCTTCCCCATCTCGAAGCTTGATGCCGAGTCTGTAGAAACTTGTTTCATCGTTGCATCTACTTCGCAGTAGCTGCGTTGCAACTTGGATTGCCTTTTCGGCCTCGATGGAAGAGGTTGCTTGCTGAGACGAGAGTTCTGTGGTAATTGTATGTTTTGCCTCTGCTTTACTCACACTTGATGTATTATTGCTGGGGTGTTTTGTCGATCCCTGGGCAGCTTGCTTTGTGGAGTCTTGAGCGTTCAAGATATCTACGAGCCACAACGGAAGGCAGGCAAGCTTCGTTTTCCAAGGAGACTTTAGCCATTCGTATGAACGCTCTTCACCGTCACGAATGATGGTAGTGGGGGGTGCGAAGCATATGCCATTGCCTCGAAAATCAATAGTCGTTTGGCTGGAGTTGATGTATAGCTTGGTTGCGTCTGCCTTCCGTTCAAGCCCGGGGGAATCCGCTCAAAGTAGTAGTGCAAGCCGCCACTCTGTGTTTCGGCTGTCCAGGTGAGAGGTTCGCCGTGCGCTTTTGTCAAGCGTTTCCAGACATCAAGACCATTAGCAAAGGTTTTGCTTTCATTCATTTTGGGCAAGTCGATATCAATCATAATAATGCTGTTTGGGCCCGATCGTCCGCATAGAAGGGCAAGGGCATTCTTGTCGGAACAGTTGCGAATTGTGTCTTCGTGCAACCCCCAAGAAATCTCATCCACGATGCTTGAGTATGAGCATCTAAAGGTACTTGCGTCTTTCTTCTTATCCAGTTTGTTCCATGTAAGCTTGAACGTAACCGGCAGGAGATCAAGGCTCCGGTACGATGAGATGCTTTCATTGAGGTCCGAATGCATTCTAGGGCTGGGCAGGGCCCCTATGATGAGTACTAAGGAAAATAATTCTCAGAATCCGGACGCGTTGAAATCTTGATCTTGACAGAAATCGCCCTCCATGCAAACGCGTGAAAAGCAACGGCCGGTTCGATGGAACATGCAATGGAGAAGCACATCATTGACAAGTCCACTGACAGATCTCGTTCATTGGCCTCGAATGCAAGTTGCCTTCTTGCAGATACTTGGCAACTACAAGCTTTGCCATGGTGGAAGGTCGAAGCCTCTTGCCTTCGGAATATCGAATATAAGCTTTTCGTAAACATATCTCCACTTTAGCTTTGCTATAGTGCTTACGAGACCAATCTCTATATTTATTCAGATTCGAGTGCCGATAGCTTGCTTCATACAACCGCCGGTGATGGTTGGAAGCAGGTTCTCTCGTGTCTAAGATTGACTCAGCCATAGCAACGTGCTTTACTGTCTACCCTATGAAAAGAAGATACTTGAAGGTCTCCTGACGAATCACTAGATGCACCATGACTTGAAAAGAAGTGCCAAGTGTCCGTAGTGCCAGAGATTTGAGAGTGTGCAGTGCAATCATGCTCTTATATATCATTATCAAGTATATGAAAGAGGTGCCAGTATGTGTCCTAACTCCTTTTCCTTCACCCCCTCATGAACGATAGCTCCCCACACGCTTGCGGGAAGCTCATTAGCTATTCATCAACACATAGTCTGTCACCTGTACAAGAGAGCTGCGCGAACTGCCGGCGACCATAAATGAATCCTGCAGGCGATCTTAATCTTCTGGTCATCAACACGTGTCAATTCTGCGTTGCGCCCGCTCACTACGTTAGCTAGGATGATCATGAACGCCTGGAGACCACTAAACCAACCTAGCACCTTGAACTTGATCAAGAAGGAGTTGACGCTCTCCACCGCTGAACTGTTAACCCAGCGCACAGCGTCGTAGTAGTCAGGGTTATACTGAGGGCCGCACTTGTGAGCTTCCGCGCCAGTCTTCTGGAAGTGGAACCTGTACGCGCAATATTGGACAGCTTGGGGCTCCCAAAAAGTGTGGCAAAAGCTTGGACAGCTTGGACAAGGGACGGTTGCTGACGTCATCACAACCGGGCTCCCAGAAAGTCTGGCAAAAGCTTGGACAGCTTGGACAAGGGACGATTGCTGACGTCATCACAATCGGGCTCACAGAAAGTCTGGCAAAAAGCTTGGACAGCTTGGACACGGACAGCAGCTGGCAGAATGACACCGAATCTACCTGGAAATGTTGATTATCTTGTCCTAAAATAACGACCAGTTCGCAAAGCATGGACGTGTTTGCGGTGTATACGCTCACCGGTCAACGAGGGCTCGCATGTCTGCAAAAAACCCAGGCTCACGCCGCATACTGTACGCGCGCAGCTTGCAGGCGTTGTCGTAGAACAGGAAGGAAGGGAGGTTGTGCCGATGGAGGCGGGTGTACAACACCGCAAAGGGATCACGAGGAGACTCCCCCCGAGCATGGCATGAAAGCTGTAAATCACCCTGTGCGGGCAACAGAACACGAAACCCCCTTTTGTATGCCGCTGCAGCCGCTTGCCCGCCTTTTCACTCTTGGCAGCCGCAACCTTGGCATCAAACTCCCCGACCGTGAGACTGCTCTTACAGCGGTGCTCCTCGCTGCTCTCGACTGCCCGACCAAGCTCATCTTCAAACGGCTTGTACTGAGGCATGGGCCGTTTCTGCTCCCAACCGGGGAGGGGATAGCAGCCGAGCACGTTCTGCTCTCGGCAGTAAGGGTGGTCGTTGGGGAGCGCTTCGAGGAGCCGTCCGTCCCCGGAGAACCCCAGCCGATCGTGCAGCAGCTCGCGCTCGGCTTGGTTAAGGGCATACTCGGGGGGTTTTGGTGGGCGCAGAGCCTCAACGCCGGGAAGCAGCCGATTCGCTCTCCCTCTCCAGAAGTTGTAGCTCTCCTCTCGCTCCTCGTTCCAAGACCCTGGGACGTCCCGTCGCAACTGCAGCAGCCAAACGCAGGCATCCAACCCCTCGATAGCAGACAGCGCCCACCCGGCTCGACCAACCCCCAGCCCAACTGCCCCGCGTCCAAACAGCGTCAGCCGGTACAAGTGGTGGAGCGTGGGCAAAAAGAATGCCGGAAACACTCCGTCGTAGCTATCTAGCAACCTACGAAGCATGGGCGCATGCTCAGCCAGCACGGCCTTTCCCCGCTCATCTGCTGAGCCTCCCAGGAGTATCTTCCGGACAACAGCCAATGCCGCTCCATGCTGGATCAGGTTACTGTCGTCTGCGACGGACTGGGGGGTCCCCAGAGCGTAGAGCAGTTCTGCCCACCATTTTCGTGGCGAACGCACTCGACCGGGGTTGGCGCCAGGCGCAGCAAGGGTCTCCCCCCTGATCCCCTTCAATAGCAGCCGTGCAGCTCGGTTCTTCGATCGGATCTGCCCGATCTGCTCCTGCAAAAGGCGCCTTCTCCAGTGAAGCAAGACGGGCTCGGCATCCGCATCGTCAGGGTTGGCGACAAACTCCGAGACGAGCTCCACGTCATCACGATCCAGCGCAACCTAGGTAGAAGTAAAGAAGTCAAAAACCTCTAACGAAGCGGACGTCAAGCGCCCTCGTCTAGGTTCTCCCAACTGTTTATACGGATATCATTCCAAAAACCTAGACCGATTCCAAAGCCCCACTGGAAGACCTTGTTGCGCTCTTTGCAGAACCGACGGACAGTGGCAACTGGGCCCTGCTGGCACGTCCCTAGAGACTCGCAAAAGCCGTCTAGGTTCTCCCAACTTTTTGTACGCATATCATTCCGAAAACCTAGACCGATCTCAAAGCCCCACTTGAAGACCTTGTTGCGATCTTTGCAGAACCGACGGACAGTGGCAACTGGGCCCTGCTGGCACGTTCCTAGAGACTCCAAAAGCCGTCTAGGTTCTCCCAACTCTTTATACGCATATCATTCCGAAAAGCTAGACCGATTCCAAAGCCCCACTCGAAGACCTTGTTGCGTTCTTTGCAGAACCGACGGACAGTGGCAACTGGGCCCTGCTGGCACGTTCCTAAAGACTCCAAAAGCCGTCTAGGTTCTCCCAACTCTTTATACGCATATCATTCCAAAAACCTAGACGGATCAAAAGGTATTTTGGTCAAAGACAGACCTCTGATACGGAGCAGACTAGCATCTAGCAGTGTGCGCAACGCTCAATCGCTGTAAAGTCGACGTCAACCATTCAAGCCCCATTGGAAGAACCTCAGCTAAGCATTGGAACAAGTCATTGCGCCTATATGTGGCAGGATGGCATCTGATAGCGTGCGCAACGCTCATTCCGAAATTGGAAGGTCTGAACATTTTTCAAGACATGTCCGATCAATCTCGTTTGATTTCAACCGATTTAAGCAGACCTTACGAAGGGTTTCTGGTCACAAGCATGATTCAATCCACCTACCAGCAGCTCGTGGAATTCACTCTCGCTCAGCTGCGACCCCAGTTCTGGGTCCTTTGGATGATGCTGGCTGTAGCGCGCCAACATCGCCCGCAGCTCCGGCTGGTGGATCAGGCGCCTCTTGAGTCCCCGCCCCTCTAGCGCAGTCGCGCTGAAGTTCACACCGGCTTCCATGTGCTTCACGACGGTCTCTCCGAATCCGTTCCGGCTCGGAGCTGTGAATGGCCGGAGTTCGCTTGCCGCCGTCCCTGCGAGCCCCCCTTTCGATCTGCTACCATCCGCGCACGCTAGCCCGGCGATACCGTCGCAGAGCAGAACGTCTGGGTGAGGCCCGCAAAGGCTGCAGCACTCGAGGATGCTTCGCCCACACAGCCGGAAGAAGGCCAAGCAGACCTTTCTCCATGATTCCTCGCTGAGGAGAGGAGCGGCACCCGGCGAGAAGAGCCCCCGGACCGCCTTCTGTGCGCCGATCAGAGCGCTGAACGCTGATCCCGTCCCTTGAATCGAACGGAGCAGGAGCTGGCAGGACTCTTGCGTGACGATGATGGCCCTGCTCCACGCGTACAGGCCAAGCGCTTCTCCGTTGAAGTGGACGGTGTGCTTCAACGGGCATCCGCAGCAATAGACCCGAACCTTGACCTACAAGAATGTGCACGCGCTTAAAAACACAAATCGAAGTCCATGAATTTGCAAAAACGTTTGGTATCGTTTGAGTCAAAGTGTCGTGCAAAGTTTTTCGAACTTCGAGCAAGTTGTCCAAGCTTTTGAAAGGCTTTCTGGTCGCCTGCTTCTGATGACGTCAGCAACCTCCTCGTCTAGGTTCTCCCAACTCTTTATACGCATATGATTCCGAAAACCTAGACCGATGAAAAGGCACTTCAGGTCATTGAAGAACCTAGACATCAGCTTTCGGCAGACTTTCTGGGCGCCCAGCTTTGATGACGTCAGCAGTGTGCAAAGTGTTTCAAACTTCGGAACTGGCACGTCCAAGATGTCCGACCAGAATCGAGACTATTTTCACAAGCCCTGAACGGCCATGTCCGACCTCGATTGAGACTTTCTCAAAGCTCCCCGATCGGTCACAATGAATTCGCATCTTTTCAACGCGCTTGCATATTCTCAAAGCTGCAAAAAAGAACGAATACCTTTCACTTTGATCTGGCAGAAGTTTGCATCACGTACCTCTTGCGACCAGCGCAGTGAATGCACGCATGCACTCTGCAGCAACGCTTGCCACACGGTGCCACAGGGAGCCAGCCCGGGCTTTGGGCAAGGTGCAGACAAGCACCCCGCGGCGCTCAGCTCCTCGAAGTCCCTCTGCACGAGCTCGCTCACTCTCACTGGCCGCCGCAGCAACGTCACCAGCGGATCGTGCACCTCGAAGCTGTCAGTCGGCCGAACCAGCTTTGGGAGCTCGAGCTGCACACCTTTCGCGTCCAAAGGCAGTACCGGAGCCCAGAGCGGACTCCCGGCAACATGGGGGCAAGCCGAAGCCGGGCATACGCAGCTTGCGCACACTCTGGTTACGCCGTTCATTGCGTCCCTTCCGTCCCCTCCACCCAACGCCTGCGGCGCAGCGTGCGCAGGCACAACCTCTTCCTTTTCAGCTTGCAGCGCCCCCGTTCCCGTCAACTGCCCACCTTCCCGCTCTGGCTGAGCTGCCCAGAACGTTTTCGACCGCTTTGGCACCCGTTCTGAGCAACGACCTCCCGGCTCATGTCTTCCTCTCTTCCCCCCGGCCTCGCGCGCGTCAGTCGCGACTTGGCAGCACCCGTTCTCGCAAGTCCCCCGCTCGAAATCTGCCCCTCCGAAGAGCTGCTGGTGCTGCTTGCAGAAGCACGAGGCCCCTTTGCAGCCTGCCTTATGAGGCTGGCCCACGCAAAGTTCCATCAGGTACCGTTTGACCGAAGACAGGTCGGACGACACTTCTGCCGAGCCTCCCTCTTTCGACTCCGGCGCCCCTTTTCTCTCCTCCTTCCTGTCCGTTTCGAGCAGCCAGGCACGTGCCCTTGCCAGTCGATCCTCAGAGAACAAGCAACCGCTCACTCGCTCGATGCTTCTGCCTGGACGGAGAGCGTCTTTGACAGCGCAAATGTGGTCGCAATCTCCCGACGTGCTACAACCCGACTGCTTGCCCTGGCAGTACCACTCCTCTTGCGCGCCCTCATGCTTGTGCACCATCGTCCGCTTGGGCGAAGGGGAAGCTGCATTCCAGTAGACGCCAAAGACCCGCTCAGCCCCTCTGCTGCATAGAACCTCGATCACCCGCCTGCCCTTCTGGAGCGCAACGTGGCTGGCTTGCTGGCGCGACCCCAAAGCCGCGAGCGCCAACTTGTGGACGCATGGAGTGTCCGAACCCAGGCGCCCGCGGTCGCAGGTGCAGCTGGCCTTCCCTAGGGTGTCCCAGTGGACCGTTTCGAGCAAGGCTTTGGCTTTGTTCGGTCGTCCAAGCGGCTTTGGCCTGCCATCGTTGTGGTTCCAGACGGTCATGAGGAAGACCAGGCGAGGGGAACCCTCGTCTCTTCGTTCCGAACCGCCCCCCAGCTCATAGATCGAGCACGTCCCGTTCTGAATGCCCGCGAGGAACTTCGTCGCCTGAGACGTGAGAGAAGAAACTGCCGCACCATTGGCATGGCAGCGCTCCTTGCTGTCTGAAGACTCGGCGCCTGATGTGGAAGGGTCCTCCTGCGATGGGCAAATGGATTTGAAGTGAGCCACTGTAATTAAAGCTTAAGCTAACAAGTCAGATAGCCGCAGAAGGTTCTGACCAAAGGGCACAATCATTGCAAGTTTTTGATCATACTGTACTTGCTGGCCACAAAAACAGTGTAAAAAGCTCTTGAATCAGTCAATTGCAGTGAAATCCTTGTGCATTTGGGAGGACAATTGACAATTTAGCTTGCTCTTTTGTACAGTGGTTAGGTGATGGGGTCTTGACACCCCTGGCACCTTTTTATTTATACTTGTAAAGTATATATACTACACAAATGCACTGCACAATATATTGCAGCGTGGCACCTTGGCACCTTGGGCACCTCACTTTCAATCATGGAATTTTCATTCCAATAAAACCTGAACAAAGAAAAAACAAGAGGTGGTGGTGTCCAGGGTGCCATCCAAAACTGAGAGCATCATCATCAGGGCGCGTTAGGTTTCAGAGGGGTCAAAGCCAAACCAGAACCTCACTGCACTTTCAAGGACTTACATGCAACTTGCGCTTGACGTCCGCTCCAGCAGTTTTTCCCCTGTTGAGCGCGCTCTCGGCTGCTGATTTGGCTACCTTGCCTGTAACTGACTGCCTGCTCACTATGATCCTGCACCGCCAAGTACTCTATGTAACCGCTTGTAAGCTCTTTGACCTGCTTCCAGGGAGTGCTCTGCGACTCACGCTTGAACCACGTCTCACTGGTGGCCTGCTCTTCCTGAACTGTAACTGACGTCTCAGTCAGATGAACAATGCCAACCCATCGTTGTACGCAAGAAAGACACAAGGGCTGCGCGCGCTGTTTGCATTTAACAGCTGACGAGATGGCAAATCCAAGAAGGGACTGGTGAAACTTGCGAAAAGTGATTTTGTGTGTCGGGTCTTGCGCGCTTTTGATTAGGAGGGGCTGCTTGCATAACACGCACTTGCTAGCTACAGGCGTTTCGCTGAACAGACTCAGGGCAGGATCAACAATGTATCGACCCGTCTGCAAACTCTTCTGGTCATCAAACCCTAGGTTGAGAGCTGGGGGAACCCTCTGCTGAGATGGCATGGTCCCTGGTGCATTGCATTGGCTCGGGTTGCCGTTGCCGGCTACCACTCGGATCTGAAGTTTAGAGAAGAGGCTCGAAGTATGAAGATCCAATTCAAGTTTTGTGGGAATTTATACCTCACTTTTTCGGAACCAGTCTGGCCTTGATCACAGTATTCCCTAGACTGGTCGACTGCCGCCTGCTATTCAGCAATACCACGTAGTTTTTACTATTTTCGTTTTTAAAGCATGCAACGTGGGTCGTTTCCGAGCGGTTTTATGAGCAGTTATATCATGTGGTCGCCCGGCCGGAGTAAAACTTCCCCTGGTTTCCGGACTCGCTGCCCGTCTCGCCTAGGGGGTGCCGTGTGCGAAGTCCTCTACGGTACAAGCTTCCTAAGTAACGTCAAAGTGCCGGTACTCTGACCTTTAGCGCGCCAAAACCGTCCGCTCTGGCAGGCACTATTTGCGGCGAATCTCAGCCGTTCATTTTATGCCAACGATCAGTTGGTGCCCCCCCGACTAACGCATTTGACTCTGAGTCGTGTTCCTAAGAGGAAGCAAGCCAATATCGACGTCCAGTCGAAATTCAAGGGTAGACGAACACGGAAATTGTTTCCATCTGCCGTTTCTAGTTTGCTGCGTGATCAGACACGCGGTAGGTACCTACGCGGCTGGTACCCAAAGCGGTTCGCGGCTCTGATTGGTCGACTTGGGATTCGGTACTCACATGTGAGCTTCCGGCCATGTGACCCCAGCTCATCGTCGGAACTCGCCAAGTGAGGCCATGTGACTAACTTAGAAGTTCCGGAACTGTACGTCTGGACTCTGCACAGTGCAACAGTGAGTGTTTCAGCCTGCACAGTGCACGCAGACTGATCGAGTACAACCGTCAAAAGTGGTACCGTAGGTGCGAGCTTAGCTGCAAGTACCTAAGTGTGCACGGGTATAATCATAATTGTAGGGACATTCACGCGTGGAATGCGCCTCACTGCTGCTTAGCCTTCAGGCTCCTTGTAAGGCTAATGCAGGTGTTTTCAGTCCTTGTGGGTTTATCATCTGGGATACCTATTCGTAGAATCAGAGCCACTTGAGATTGATGGATTATGATAGGGGCAGGGCAAAGTGTTTTCAAATTGAAGCACCACCCACATTGACGAGCTCTCGGCGGACAACTTGCGAGCCGCTCGTTAGGTGCCCCGCTTTACTTTCTAAAGTTCAGCGTGAACAACTGAGCTAGGCGATGGCGCAACGTCCAGAGGCCTCGCCTGGAACAGTTCCCGATCCCTCTATTGAGCTGTCAGTAACTCAGGAAGCTCCTGTAAATGCACCACAATCCAGGGAGCCTCTGCAACATCCCGAACCAGTTCCTCTTGAGGGGGATATTGAGATGGGAATCGGGATCACTGAGATCAGCCCTGGTGGAAGGCCCCCTTACTGCGGCTTGTTCAGCTCTGAGGGCGCAGGTGATCTTTCTACTTCTGAGGTGGGGTCACCAATCAGCGCAGAGCGCCTGCAGCGAGGTCTCAGCTCATGCTTGTGTGGGGAGGGGGTGACTAATGAGAGCCGCCTTGGAAGGCTTCCATTGCGCACCACCGTCGGGGAGGTGGATGTGCTGGCGGTGCTTCCCGGTGTTGACAAGATCGAAGAGAGGCAGCCCTTGATCAGGAACATCTCCTCCAATGCATCAAGGTGAGTAATTGCTAGGGGGTTTGATCAAAGACTGCCTGGCTGGTAATCAAAGAGAGGTCTTGTATTCAATACACTCTTCTTAAGCTCATAAGGAAAATTGTTTTTCAAAGGCTGCACCTTGAAGTGGATATCGACGGGAGCCAGGATAACAATCCATAGAGTTCTTTCAATATCTTTTGCCATCGGGTTCAAAGCACAATCCCTGAAGCTTTTCTTTTCAACAAGGCCTCAAAGATTGTAGTGGTGGTTTGTTCATAAGTTGGATCCTCTGAGAGTGGGCCTATATATTGACAGTCTCAGGATTTCTATTGCTTTTGCAGCAAGCTAAAGCATCACTTTAGTGTCTGCTCACAAAAAGGTTCCTGGAAACGTAACGCAAGGTGGTTTCCGCACATCGACTCACACCACATCCATGTCTTTGAAGAGACCAGCTCAGGTTGAACTGGTTGTGAATCAGGATCACTGCTCAATTTCATTTTACAGCCGCCTTTTTAAGTGAGGTGGAAGATTGTTTCTGATCTGCGCCAAATTGTGCCGCTTTCCACGCTCACAGACATGACAGCCCAACCTCAATGCACGCAAAGCCTGCTGTAAGGTGGCATATCATGCAATTTCTACACTAAAACAATAAAGCAGCCTGACCTACATACACTCAACACACAGACATCGTCACTGGCCTGCCCTCTTGCAGTTAGACAAAGATACCCTGTGGGGTCGATCCTGTCTTCGAATGTCCCGCTCTCAGCCAAACCTCGTTCCCATAGCACCATGACCATATGTGTTGGGGGCCATGGAGTGGGTTAAGATGAATCCAGCCTTCACAAGACATATGTCGCCAGCTTGTTACCATCTAGTGAGAAATCTGAGCTGCTTGCCCACTTATCAACAACTGAGGAGCGGGCTTTCTCAATGTTTTTGTCAGAACGCAGTGAGCATATCGGGGGGTAAGGTTCTATACTTTCCAGGGTGTTCACTTCTATACTTTTCAGGGTGTTCACTGGCAGTTCTCCAGGAAGTGAGGGATTTGATCAGAAAGAGCAGCATCTACGTATTTTACCCTGAGTATGCGCACCACAAAGGGCCCTTGTCACCTTCTCCATTCTTGGTAATGCACTCAGCTTGAACGCATGTTTGATCGGTAAAGTTGCAGCACCGCTCCTTCAGGACTCACTGTTCTGTTCAGTATTCAGCACCTACTGCCTTTCGACTCCAGCGACTGGTGAGGGCCACTCAAGCGCAAACAGTACTTTGAACTTAAGCCTGCTTCCTTCTTCCTGCTAGTCTCCAATGGCCGGCTCCTGTACCCGTCCAACTCTAAGGCCACACGGTAAAAACAAGCTACTATCAGTAGAATCTGTCCGGTTGCCTATAGACTTCTATGCTTCCTGCAGGTACAAGGACCTTGCACTAAACCAGATTGCACAGAGCTTTGGCAGTCCCGACGGAGGCAACTACCCGTGGCACTGGCACCTGAAGCGGATCCTTTTCAACCTCTTCCCCTGCTTCTCTTGGCTGGCCTCTTATGACGTGCGCAAGCACCTGCGCGATGACATCATCGCTGGCATCACCGTGGGGGTCATGCTTGTTCCTCAGGTGGGATCGGATCTTAAAGCACTCTCTGTAACGATCTCTGTAACGCAACCGCATCCAATTTGTTCCGATGGTTCAATACTCACTGCAGATAAATCAAAACAAAACTTGCATGTGGTTCTAATTGAAGTAAATTCGAACGCTTTCCTTCAAGGCATGAAGTCTGATGACATTCAGGATTGATGGAAAATCCACAGGAGGATGTTTCAGGACGCTTCTCAGAACAGGTCAAAAGTCAAGAACAAAAACTACTGCATCAAAAGTTTTCAGCTAGCACCGCCGAAGGCATGCTCCTTGTCAAGCCCCAAACGATCCGTGCACATTCTCACCGATGTTCACTCTCGAAGCTCTTCTTGTGTCTTCCCGTCAGTGTCTCACTGGTAAGCTGACCTCCCTCACACTTCACCGCACTTCGGCTTTGATGCTTCCCTCTGTTTGATTACATTGAAGTATAAGCGGGAGCGTTTTTTGCAGGCCATGTCGTACGCCAAGCTGGCAGGCCTCTCCCCCGTGTACGGCCTCTACACGGGCCTCATGCCCGTCTTCGTGTACGGCCTTTTCGGCAGCTCCCGCCAGCTGGCAGTCGGCCCGGTCGCCATCGTGTCCCAGCTGGTGCACTCGGGGCTGCTCAGCATGGTGGAGCCCGGCAAGGGGGCGACCGCCGCGGACAGGGCCGCCCTGCAGGCGCAGTACACAGGCCTCGCCATCACGCTGTCGCTTTTTGTGAGTGCCGCGATGCCTTGATAAGAACTCCCAAAATGGAGGTTGGCAACGCACTAACGTGGAAAATGTCAAGAAAGGAATTTGTAAGGGGCGGGCGCGGACTGACTCACGCGGGCAAACGAGAAGTTTCTCAGCAGTAATAGTGTGCTTTGCGGATGCTACTCCTTGTGAACGCCCGTGTGTGCGCACGTGGACGTTGTCAGCTTTGCTTGCTGTTCATGAATAGACTTCGACTCCTCCGCTTCACTAAACCTGTATTTTAAACACACTTTCTTAGAACTTCGTTACAGAGAATTAAAGCGTGTCTCCTTTCAGGTCGGCCTCGTGGAGTGTATCTTGGGCCTCCTTCGCCTCGGCTGGCTCATCCGCTTCGTCAGCCACAGCGTCATCTCCGGGTTTACCTCCGGGGCTGCCACCACCATCGCCCTTTCTCAGGTAAGCCTCGGACTTAATGCGCCCATTTCCGGGTTCACCTCTCAGAACAGGTCCTGGAAGCCGCTTGACTTGTAAATCGAAGAACGACAAGTGCAACATCTGACTGAAGAAACAGAATCTGCATAGGGCAGCGATTGTGCATGTAGAAGAACATAAGCCCACTTTGCAGACTTCTCTGCAAAGGCTTCAAGTAGCTGTTCCACTAGGGCCATCGCACCGAAAGAGACGATGTTGCATACTCGGGAGTCTGCTCGCAGCCAAGCGCTCCACCACGCAGTACTTCTTAAACGCACCGATGGGGACTCAGTTCCTGAACGTCCTTGATCGCAGCGGTCGTTCCGTGCCACAGTCAGCGGCCTGGAAGGACATTTATCCTTCGTTGTTCCTTCGTTGTTCCTTCGTTTTTTGGTGGGTCGGGAGGTCACTGCGCAGCTTTTCCAACGGCAGTTTCGTTCCACTGCAGGTCAAGTATTTCCTGGGTTACAGCATCACGAGCAGCAACCAGCTAGTGCCGGTCGTCCAGACCATCTTCGCTAGAATCGACCAGTTCAAGTGGGAGCCCTTCCTCATGGGCGTCGTCATGCTCGGGATTATCGTTGGGATGCGCTCCGCGGGTAAGCTCTGCTGCGGAATCCGTTAATCGTCGTGACAAAAGTCCTCTCGGTTCATATGACGGACCGCGGGATTGGAAAGGATCCGTCAAGTGGATGATTCACGAGTTTACTAGATCAGAAATCGGTATGAAGAGCCGTCGAAGGGTTGAAGCCTGCCCTTGTTCTCATACAGAAGAACCTTATGGTCCACTCTCAATTTGGAGGGCGGTGACTCTGAGGAGCTTTTGCCCACAGGAACGATCCTCTATCAAGTACTGACAAAGACGTCTGATTGAGATCGTTGAGGGGCATGGGTAGTGTTTCCAAAGTTTTCGCAGGTTTTGCTCCCCGGTACTCCAACCTTCAGCCGCATCTTGCGTTTGACCAGCCGCACCGAATGATGGAGAGGGCTGAAATCATTTTAGGAGGAACATGTTTGACAAGTGATGGTTGGACGTTTTTCTTCATCTCAGGCGACCGATCGCCGCGGCTTCGGTGGTGCCGCGTCGCCGGACCGCTGATCACGGTGGTTGCGGGCACCGTATTTATGAGCTTCGTCAAGACGAAAGCGGTGAGCCGTCGATATGAACAATATGGAAAATCTTGAAGCCTGAGTCCTCAAAGTCAATGGACTGCTGCTTTCCTTGACGCTACTGCTATCCGTACACGCTCTCTCAACGTAGTCCTGTTCAAAGGTCAGCAGCACAAAAGTCTCGAGGTCCTGTGTCTATCTGGAACGGAAAAGCCACACTTGAATAACGATTGCGATGAGGGCTTTGTCTCCGATAATGAGCTTTTCTTGTATCGGCGGCGCAGATCAGACTATTAATAGTATGCTGCGCTAGTGGTGTGGCAAACCTAGTGCAGCGACATACGTCGATCTGACAGAAATACTTTCTCTTATTGGACTTGCACAACAATCCAAAACCAACCGTTGATTTTGTTACTCAAGGGAAAAGGGCTCCGTTTTCTCTGTGCAGATCTCGACGGTCGGTCCCATCCCTAAAGGCTTTCCTCCCGCCTCAACGTCCCACTTCCAGACAAACGGCCACTTCAGCCAGCTATTTTTGACGTCCCTGATGGTGACAGGTGTCGGCATCCTGGAGACGGTTGGAATTGCCAAAGCTCTGGCGTCCAAAAATGGCTACGAGATCAACACGAACCAGGTGCGTTACCGATACTCTCAACTCAGTCTTGCCTTCATCTTTTCCACTCAAAATATGTCCCTTTAGACTGCAGAGATTCATTTATCCAATGCATGCCTGGTTTACGTCAAGCTTTGCCTCCATGGCAGAAAACCACTGCGAGAAGCGCCGCAAATAAAAGTGAACCCCTATGCTGGCCTTTTGCAAGATTTCTTGACGAGGTCCCAACCCACAATTCTCGCAAACGGACTGGCTAAGGATAGATTGCACCAAATAACAGATGTATTCAAAAACGCAGGAGCTCTTTGGGCTGGGCGTCGCAAACCTGGTCGGCTCAGTGTTCTCGGCATATCCGGCCACCGGGTCCTTCTCGCGCTCCGCGGTCAGCAATGAGGTGAGCAGTAAAGGTGCTAACGTCATCTTTCAAAATCACGAGTAGTCTCTTCTTATACAAGTGCACGAAATCACTGAACTCTCTGCCACTGACTTCTATCAGACTGACGTTCCGTAAGTCCGTCGAACTACTGATCTCGGCGATCTTTCAAGACTCAATAAACAGCAAGCCCACACTAGAATAGTAAGTCGAACGGGTGGGGTTAATCAAGGGGTTAGGGTGGCTAAAGGTGCGAATTGTATACTTCTGGGTTAGGGTCTTACTTAGATCCAAAGAGCTTACTGGAGTTCCTGTGTCAAGTTGCGAAGAACGGTTTGTCTGCAGATGGGCGCCAAGACCTGCATGTCGGGCCTCATCACTGGCCTCCTCATCCTGTGCACGCTGCTCTTCCTCACGCCTCTTTTCAAGTGAGCAACTTCCACTGAAAAGTCGAGGCCGTCGTCCGCGATTGTGCTGGAACTTCTGCCAACCCCTGATTTCGTCAAGCTCAGCGTGTTGATAAGGAGGTGAAATGAGATGCCATGCAATTGTTGTCTCGTTCTTTCATTTGGGCGGTCGCTATTCTGCCACACCGACACTGTAACCCCACCGCTCCTTCTGAAGTGCCATGTGTTCATTCTGCAGAAATCTCCCCAACGCGGTGCTTGGCGCGGTTGTGATCGCCGCCTGCATCCGGCTCTTCGATCATAAGGAGGCCATCCACTTGTTCAAAACCAACCCCCGCGACTTTCTGCTTTGGCTAGCGGCCTGCCTTGGGACGATCTTCCTGGGCATCGAAGTCGGGGTCGCTATCGCGGTCGGACTCTCCCTGGTAAGCACGTCGGTCACAGCAGTGGCTTGTGACAGGGCTGAGATTTTGATTTGTTTCGATAAGAGTCCGTTCTCATTGTGAAGGCCACACTTGCCTGCTCTCCGTGTACTCTACTTGAGAAGTAAATCATCTCAAACTGATGTATCATTCCTGCCCCGTCTCTTTGGGACAACACTTTATCCTACTACTCTTGCTCATGACCTGGAAAACCAGATGATTCCAGCTTCCGCCGTGCATCAGGAGGAGTTCAACTCTCTCCGCTTTTCCACCTTTCTTCGTTAACGCGCGGCTAACCTGCACAGGTATTCGTCATCTACGAGTCAGCGAACCCGCACATGGCGATCCTGGGGCGCCTCCCGGGCACTGCAGTGTACCGGAACATCAGGCAGTACCCGGATGCGATTACCTATCCTGGTAAGGGAGGCTGACGTTGCCCAAATACTTTAATCACAGTGAACGGTGAAGAGAAGGATCCGATCTCTGACGCCGTCTCGAGGAGTGTGACAAGAATTTGCGTAACTTTCGGTTAGGGGACAGCTTCTCAGGTTACTGTTCCTTGCCCCCACTTCGTGGATCCATTTTTAAACACTCTGAAGGTCCGGGACGGGAAAAGACATCAGAGCCTCTGCTTAAAATGCAAGTCTTTGAAACCCAGGTCCGTGTTCCTTATTCCATATAATGTGCGGCGCTGGAAGTACTGTCGTAGAAGCGCAGCATTACTCCATTCGCTAGGGCGCTTTACCATTTGACACTCCCAGATCTTTACTGACGTAGGGGCTGTCCGTTCGGACGCTTATACAAGATCTGACTCCTTCGAAGGACGCCCGCAGGCATTCTGATCATCCGCATCGACGCCCCCATGTACTACGCTAACGTCAGCTTCATCAAGGACCACCTGCGCGCGCACATGCTGCGCAGCGTGCTGGTTCACTCGGGCAGCGTCCAGGACCCGGAGGCGGCTGCGGCCGCCGCCGACTGGCCGCTCCCGGGCGCGCAGAAGGCGGCCGCGGGGAACGCGGCAGACGTGCGCTACGTCATTCTCGACATGAGCCCGGTGAGGAGCGGCTCGCGGTGGGCGCTTCGGCTTCGGTGGGCGCTGATGTTTGAATCTTAATCATCTTGCGAATCTTCGTTCAGACGCGATTCCAAAACTCTGCTGATGGCGTGTTTCGGAAGCGCCAGTCTATGTACCTTCTTTCCAGATCAGACGCTTGTCTTATGACTGCGATTGACAGACTTTACACTTTCGAGTCTGCGAAAGGACATAGAATTTTCCTTCGCATTCGCGAGGGGAGATTCACCCACCCTCTTGAATTCTCCCCCTTTCACAACGAACGAACCTGCCCGTGCAGGTCACGTATGTAGATTCGACGGCGATCTACGCGCTAAGGGACCTTCACACCGAGTTTGGCGAGCAGGGCGTGCAGCTGGTGCTGTCCAACGCCAATAAGCGCGTCATGGTGTCGCTCGCGCGCGGGGGGCTGCTCGAGCTGCTGGGGCCGGAGCGGCACTTTGTGCGCGCGCACGACGCCGTACAGGTGGGCATCAAGACGTTAGTCCGTTTAGAAACGGGTTTGGCGCTTTCCAGGTTGGTTAATAGTTACACGAAGCGGGCAGATGCAGGGCTGGTTGCTGCCGGACAACCCGCAGAGCAGAAGAGAGTCGCAAACAGGTCTCGGGAATTTCTTTCGTGAATTGCGTTAGATTTTTCCGTAGCACTTTCAAAGTGGGACCAGGGGCCAATACCACCGTTGACCCCATTGTCTTGACCAGAATGGTACTTTTGACCAGCGGTGCTTTTCGTCCTTACAATCTTACTAAATCTCGCGTCACTAAATCCATTTCACTTCGCTAACCTCTGGTCCCCCGTTCTTTCCAGTACGAAATTGATTGAGACGGTTTCGACTCTTGCAGGTCTGCCTTGCCCGTCTCAAGGGCGAGTCGGAGCGGAGGCAGAGCTTTGATCTGAAGGATCTGCCCCTTGCGGCACCTGAATTATCCCCCAGTACCGACGGGGAAACCGATGGAGAATGTCAGGACATAAGTAAGGACCGCTTTGAAGTTACGACGCCTTGACAGTCGTTCCCAAGTGTCCCCGGTGACCGCTGCGAGTGTTGTGTTTGCTTGCCGGAGTAGTCCTGCCGCAGTCAAAGCCTGTGACGGACTGCTCCATCTGAACGGGTTCAGGAGTACCCGGAGTTTTGTAGTTGCGGGAGGTGTAAATTTATGGTCGAGATCTGGTCTGTGCCCCGAGGGCATGATACGTTGCTCGCTTGAGTCAGTTGAGATTTAGAGTGGCAGAACCTTAATACTGGGGGTCTGCGTTGGTACAAGATGCGATTGCTCAGGGCTCGCGTCGTTATGCATAGCATTGCATTCATTTAGTGATAGTGCATTTGATAGTGCATTTGGGTGTAGTCAAAAGATGTCAAGAGTTCTAGAGAAGGTGCACACGCGCAGGTTTGGCGTTGCATAGGCGGCAGTACTAAAGTAATATATGCTGCTTTAGTGTTGCAAACGGGCATAAACCGTTTAGGCACATAGTTGTGTCTAGGCATGAGTTGTACCCAAAGATAGCGAATAAAACGAAGAGCAGGACCCAGACCGTCACTTGAAGCATTCAAACCAGCATTTTGCAGTCTTAGGACCGCGGAGGAAGTACAGCATTGGTTTCGTTTCAACAGATTCAAGCCGCTCATCATTAGACGCAGAGATAGCTCAAAGTCCCCGAAAAATCAAGCACATCGTATGACAGGATTGGCATAAGACAGGAATCAGAAACCGTCAGTACACGCCAGTCTCTGAAGTGTCTCAAAATCAGCCAGCCGTACTTGACGCCTCGTTTCTTGAAGGCTTGTGCTTTCAACCCAGTAATGAGCAATCAAGTAACGAGCCTATCTGCCATTAGAAGATCCAATCTTCTTCATCAGCTCTGAATCCGCAAGTAAGGCAAAACCTTTGATTCCGGGGCTAGGCCTTACTTACCACGCTTACTGCTAGTCGATCACGAGAGGAGGGAAAAGTTCCGGTCACAAAGCTCATCCGTCTGCAAAATGGGCTATTGTGCAAGATTTCGGAGGTGTACTGAATGAATCGATGATTCGGTTGAGCAATATCTACGCCGTACATTGACGCAACTAGATGGCTGCAGATCTCGCTCGCGCACATTCATAAATATTGCATGTCACACGGAGTAGCCGTATGATCTTGCACTCCGGTTCTGCGATCGTCACACATGACGACGGCGAGTGGAACTTTCCAACCAATCGATGCCACGCGGGGTTGTGTACAGTGATTTGTCAAGACTGCAGCGAAGGTCTCAACGTACGCGGAATGAGACTTCAGTAAGATTGATGTCAAAGGTTAGTTTCGAGCAAGCCTGCAGACGTTGCCTGACTTCATACTGGCCTCCGGACAAATTTTGCTCGTTGCAGCCGTAAAAACTCCCTTGGAACAGTCTTAACCTCTGCCACTTGAACAGGGGGCAGACATCAGTAAGACAGGTGCTTCTTCGACCCCTCTGGGAGCTAAGCTAGTCCAGTTTTTGGCGTTCAGTCCGCTCATGGCCCCCATGGCGCATCTAACGCGCTATCGCCTTGCTGCATGTGCGCCTCCATTCCTAGTTGGCATGGTCTGCCTTCTCCTGCGGGCTTCCATCTTTGCGCGGTTCCCTTTGGAAAGCTTCATAGAGCATGGCGGCTTCAGCGAACGCGGAGTCTTTCTTCTCAACCTAGTCCTTCCAGCGCGCGCGTGCGCCATCTTGGAGGCCGGAGCGAACCACCCGGCCGGCGTGCCCGTGATTGGGAAGCTTTGCGTCCTGCAGTTCCGAGGGCTGCTGAGTGGTGTTGAGTCTTGCAGGGAGCGCGCGCACTTGGATTTGGAGCTCACGTCACTCCGCATCGCCCAATCGCTGGCAGCGGCTCTCAGCGGCGCGTTCGCCTTCTGTCTCTTCTGGCTGTCTTACCTGCTTAGCGGAGGGGGCCCTCGGAGCACGAGAAATATGAAGAAAAGCGCGCTGACCGCGCGCGTGGTCCGCATCTGGCACGCGGCCGCCTCCTCTGTGCTGATGCCCTCGTTTATCGCGCTGATGTCCTACTATCAGTCTGACGGGTACTTGTCCTGGCTCAGCGCCTGCTGTTATGTAGGTCCATCGTTTTTGGGCTTGTACTTCTGCAATCTCTCATCAGAACCCTTTCCTCCGATCACAGCCCACAAGATGGAGAAGGAAGCAGTCTGGCGCTTTCATTGCGTTGCCGTATTCACACTTCTTTGGCGGCTGGTCACACTGGTTTTTCTCTACCAAGACCCTTCCTTAGTGACTCAGATCTTAGCGCTGCTACTGGCGAGAGCGGGCTCCGAGATCCCAGAAGCAGCCCTGCTCTTTTTCTTGATAGACCTGGTTGGACTCACGCTATGTTTGATCTACTTCGTGTTCTTTGAGGACGGGATCAAGGTTGCTCTCTGCACGCTAGTTGGAGCGCTTAGCGTCCTAGGACCGGCACCGACGTTTGCGATTTATTGCGTGTATCGAAGCGACAGGTTACGGATTCGATGGCGGGTCAAGAGTCGGAACGAGAGGCAGCGCACTGTGCTTGAAAGAAGAAATCCTGCAAGATCTAGGAGAGGTAACATGACAGTACCAGATCCCAATCTCTGAGTGCTCCTACCTAAGGTTTCTTTTTGTAAGACTCAAAAAAACAGATGATGCCCACATGAAACTCGAGGACACCAATTCGGGCAGGGTACTAGAGAAGCCGAGTCAGGCAGGAACGGCCGTGTGCCATCTGTCCGTATCTTCTGGTGCTGCAGAAGACTAGGCGAGATTGCAATCTGCCCTAGTTCGAAGAGGGTCACTAGCAATCCATTCAGGTTGGTTGTAAAAGAAACCAAGTTCTCAGAAAGCATCAAGGCGTTCTCACAGCCTGATCGATTGGTTTGCTGTCGGATCACCGCTTCTTCTGATGCATTTCAAAGCACACCGTCAAGACGTATCAATTGAAAGCTCCGAATGTTGCAGTTCACTAACGAATTCACCGTTTCAAATGGCCGCTGCACTTGGATTGGCTATGATCCTGTCCTTCAAATGACCAGAGTACATAGTCGTTTGGTGATACTATGTCCGTTCAATTGAAATAGAAACGAAGGAGTGGAGTAATGAATGGAATTCAGCGAGATCGACAGCTTCAGTAAAGTGTGGAAGGTTTTTGTAATTCCACTGGCGCCGCGCGCGTCATTACGTTCTTTTCTGAACCATGAGGGGTCATCATCTACAGATGAAACATTGTTCTCAACTTGCTTGAGAAGCTGCTAGATGTAAAGACTCGAGCTTTTACATACCTACTCGAAGTCAAGTCAATGATTCTAGCCAAAATATCTAGAAGTGGTTACAGCAAGTCCACCGTGCTGATTGTCTAATCGAAGTGCAGGATTCTCATAGGAATCTATACATACGTAATGATTGTTTCGCTTAATGATCGAGGGTCTACAATATCGTGCAAAGGCTGCGAGTCAAAAAGCATCCTGCGGCTTGGTTCTCGGGGTCCACCGCACTGATTTGACTAGGATCTCCCGACGTATATCAAACCGCTGCACCCCATGGCGTTCATCATTGCTGCATGTCACATGACGCGATCGCGACAGCTTATATCATAGCATGCGCAAATTGTCGGCAGACCGCAGACAGATTTCTAGACCGCCCTCCTTCAGATGCTGCCTCCTTGCTGGCGCTTCAATCTCCACTGCCCTCCTCCCCTCGCTTTGTGCTAGAGCTTTCTTTTGCAAAATTTTGAATAAGCATCACATGAGCAGGTCTCTGGGCTGACGCTACCATGGCGCAATCCCAGTGGAGCGTATCTACTTGCGCGCCCGCTGCCTTGCTTGGACTGATATGTCTTTCCATCAGAGCAGCAACCCTGGCGCCTAAGCTCACCAAGATCCTCCCAGCCAACAACGACAATGGCTTGCGAGGTCTTTCCAGCCACCTCGTTTCTGAGATATGGGGTGCCGTTGAGGGCGGGGTGAACCATCCAGTCGGCTATATAGTCCTCGGAGAGCTCTGCTTCCTGGTCCCCATCTACGTGCTGCTTGGAATGACTGAGTGCCTAAGAGTACGAACGCCCTGCAAAAGGATGACTGGTTTTCTCAGCTGGGCAGCTCTCGTGGCGGTGCCCCTTCTTCAGCTCCTTCCAGCCTCTCTCAGCGCGAGCGCGTCCTTTGCTTTGGGCTGGTTGCCGTTCTACCTGCGCGCGCGCGCGCCCGACCGAAGCTCCTCTGGGACCCTGCTCGGTCGGTACCGCTGGGGTTTTAGCACGCTTTTTTCATTTTACGTGCTTCACTTCAACCTGATGGCTCTGTCATTCGCGCATAGGGCCGCTTGGGTAATGCGGGGCTTTCAAAAATTCTTTGACTGGAGCAACGGCCCTCTCATTACTCTTTTTTGGATATTCGGCGTAGCGAGAAACTCGGGACCCACTCTAGCAATTCTGACGCGGAAAAACTACCTGGTCGCAGCCGCCTTCAGCGCGCTTTGGCGCGCGCTCACTCTCGTGCTCCTGTACAAAGATCCGACGCTTCCGTCTCAAGCCTGGTCTCAAGCGTTGAGGCTGCTGACGTCAGAGGGGTTCGCAGACACGTCAGAGGCAGCCGTGTGGTTCTCCATGCTAGATCTGATTAGTTTCACTCTCCTGTTTGTGTACTTCGCCCTGCTAGAGGACGGGCCTCGGGTGGCGTTGCGCACCCTGGCCGGGGCGCTCCTTCTGGGGCCGGCACCCGCTTTTGCGCTGTACTGTGCATACAGGGAGAATGAGATTGCAAAAGCGGTACGTGCGTCGGTCCGTAAAGATGACCAAATTGCGAAAGCAGCATAATGTGGATTAAGAGTTGGTTACTACGCACATAGATAAAGACGAGCTGGGGACCGAGACCTGGGCTTTCTGCAATAAGAATGTACACAGATGCGGGTCATGTCGGGCTCTGATGCAACCCAAAAGCTAAAATAGCATAGATGGCAAACGCTTATAAGCCTTCTATGGGTCTCCCGCCTGTATGATATACATGCTTCAAAATAAATACGTTGATGGCAGCGCTTGCACATTCCAATCCGGTTTCACGACTGCTTTAATCTGGTAACACGATGTTCCATGATGTCACACAGCGCCTCACTGCCTGCAGCAAGTGTACCTGCGTGCTTAACGATCATATAGATTTCAAGAGGACACAATAAAGATACGTATGCTTTATGACGGGTTCGAAACCTGCAAATCACCGCAGGTCAATCTTCGCCCGATCTGGAACCGCCTAGTGAATTGCAAGGTGATGCAAATTGTATGAGATTCTGGAGCGCAGAAGATTGTCGGTTCCGCTGACACAAAATCGACTACATTATTTGCAGTTCTGCATAGTGGACACGTGAAGCCATGCTAAAATGGACCGCTGCACACGGTACTTGACACTCCTGAGGCCGGCGTGATCAAACAGCCTGGCTGGTGAATCTCTTGTGGCCCCAGCAAATTGTGGCCCCAGCAAATCGTTAAGCGTGGCAATTGTGCCACTAGGTGTTCTATTAGTCTATTTAATCTTTAAGCGCACACAAGAAGCGCGAAGGTCTTTCGACAAACCTCGTTGATACGCGCTCGCACCGGCCTCGAGCTTCGAGCACAGAGGAGAAAGATCAGCCCAGTAATACTGACAGGCCCGAATTCGATGCTCTCAAGAGACGGCGTTAGTGTAGAGGGGTCGGCCAAGTACTGTACGTAATGCCATCCGCACAATCCTAGTCCGCGAAGATCCGTTCTTACTCAAGGTTGACACTTCGTGTTCGTACACCTCGTGCAGGGGACTTTTCCAACATTGTGCAAGCCTTCGAGTCGAGATGCATTCAACGAGTTCGATTCGTCCTCGGGGATCCGAACATTGGTTTGACGGGAATCTCGATCAAGACTCCTAGTCGCTGCCACGTGGCTTTTTGATTGCTGCATGAATAGCGGGTCAGTGAAAGCGACCGGGATATGAGCTGTTCGGTCACAGCATTCGTAATTCCTTAATCAGTGATATCAAGCTGAACGCCCATCCTTTCAAAAAGATTCCCATTCCCCCAGTCTTCAGCTTCTCATTCCCTGCGCCTGATTCTGGGCCTCCTTCCGCTTTCATTTAGAGGCTTTCTTTGCGATCGCTCTCCTCGCAAGGTGCTTCGAATGAGGTCTGTCAGATACCCTTTCCATGGCGCTTTCCATTGGCCCCATGCTAGCGTCCGCGCCAGCTGTCTTGCTTGGACTTGTGTGCCTCCTCCTCAGAGCACCACTCCTCGCGCCCGCCTTCACCAAAAGCAGCGCCAACGACGCGCGGGGCTTTGTCAGCAACCTCTTCTTCCAAGCTTGGGGGGCCTTTGCGGCCGGGGTGAACCATCCGGTTGGGTTCACAGTCTTTGGGGAGCTCTCCTTTCTGGTCTTTGTCTGGGCGCTGCTTGCAATTATTGAGTTCCCCAGAACGCGCGCGCGCTGGGCTCCCCTTGTGGCGCTGCCCCTCCTTTAGCTCTTGCTAGCATGCATTGGCGCGAGCGCGTCGTTCGCTCTGATCTGGCTGCCTTCCTACCTGTGCGCGCGCGGGCCCAGAGGGAGCTCCACCGGGGGTGTGCTCACTCTGATCCGCTTTAGTTTCGGCACCTCGGGTGCTTGTGTCGTCCTCTTTTCCAGCCTGCGGACCATGGCACTCGCGCATAGGGCCATTTGGCTGCAGCAGGCCTTTGAACGCTTTTTCGACGCAATCAGAATCTTGGTTACTTGTTGGGTACTGGGCGTGACGTACTCTTTGCGGCGCGGTAGTCCGCCCGGTTCGAGCCTCCGCCACCGCCGGCTGCGGGCCGCGTCGCGGGTCAACTACCTGGCCGCGGCCGCCCTTGGCGCGCTCTGGCGCATGCGCACTCGCGTGCTCCTTGTCAATGATCGGACGCTATTCTCGCAAGCGCTGAGGCTGCTGACGTCAGAGGGGTTCGCAGACACGTCAGAAATTGCCGTGTGGTTCTTCATGCTAGATCTCGTTGGCCTCACTCTTTTGTCTGTGTATTTCGCGCTGCTCGAGGACGGGCCTCGGGCGGCGCTGGGCACCATGGCCGGGGCGCTCCTTCTGGGACCGGCACCGGCTTTTGCGATTTATTGTGCGTATAGGGAGAATGCGATTCTGAAAGCGGTTGCGTCGGCCCAGGAAGCTGAAGAAGCTGCGAGGGCAGAATAACCTCGGCTGATCTTGACACGTACATAGGTAAGAACGAGCTACGCGGCGAGCACACGTACGGACGGATATGACAGTTCCGTAATCTAGAGACGTGGATAAGTGCGGACTCGGATGCGGGGCCTTGATTGCAATAAGGAAGTTAGAAAGGGCTCAGGGGGCAAACCTTAGGCCTGAATTGACCATAAACATGCTCCACCTTGATGCAGATCTCATCTTGCCTGAGCTGTTGGAGGCCCATCTAATGTTAGACCGCTTTTGCGAAGAGCTAGAACCCTTCGAAAACGAGAGACTCGATCTTGATTTAGCCTGTGTGTCCTGATGATCCTGATATCATCCTTTATCGCCCATATATCCCATGCAGATGCATGCGCCATATCGTACCTTCTTATACTTCTGTGTGATCCATGCAATGATAGTCTTGCATTGATCCTTCCCCATGTTGGTACGCACAATGTCGCAGTCAGAATTGGGTTTGAGCAAACTTTAGGCACGTGTGGGCGGAGCATGACATCTGGTCAATTCGCTGTTTCATGGGGATACCTGGTTTGGATTGCACCAGCAGATCTGCAGCGTCTTACATGTTGGAGATACTGCCGGGATCGGATTGGCCTTGGGATACTAATGATTCAGAATTTCGGCATGTAAGACTCGACATGGGGGCCGTCAATGACCGTCAATTAGCTGAGCTCCCGGCTGGCAAATTGAGTCGAGCGGATAGAAACAGTTTCATAAGAGCCGCATGTGCGCGGTATGCAAGCTCCACAACATTGACTTTGGCCATGAATTCGACACAAGACGGATATCTTCTTATCACTGGAGAAGGCAAACAGTTGAAAAGGCCACACCCGACCAAATTCAATTACATGAAATGGACATGTTGAAAGTGACGGGCCGCCCCAGCGATTCCGGCACAGGCGTGCGCAGCATTTGATAGAAATGCTTCCACACTGCCCACACTACGCAAGGGACTGTCAACGGTCTGGAACGTACATTTGAAGTGAATAGGACGCCAAGTCGCGTGCATAATCTAATGACTAAGAGACGTACACGCTGAAAGGCCCAAGAATCCGTATGTCTCTCATAAGCATGCGCCTCTTCAGTGGCGCTTCGTCTTGTCCATGATCTGCGAAGAAGTTACGAAGGGAATCAGCATTGAGGGATGCATCACCGACCGTACCCTGTACCTCTGCCAATCGTATGACGTTATGACTGAAGCTATGGCAAAACGAGGATCTGACCCATTCCTTGGAGGCTGCTCTAGCAGGGTAGAGCCACATTGCTCAAGTCTGGTTGTCGACTCAGATTGCCGGACTCTTTCAATCAATCCTACAAGTCAACCCCCGTAGTGAAGCACCATCCCTGAGAGACGGATACCGTTTACCTCGGCTCCTCATACTTTCCCTTCGGCACCAACATAGTGCTCAGTCCACGTTGCACGGTCCAAAACGCGATCCAGGAATCTGACACGCCGTCAAGCCCTCACCTCGATGTACTTTTTGGGAATCCCGTACTGCTGCACCAGGTACCGCCCCAGGTCCTCCAACACGCCCCCCTGGACCAGCACCTCGGACGCGTCCTTCTTGCCTGCACGCAACCACAACGCACTCCCGTTTACTGTGGGCGTCGGGATCTGTCAAAGGTTGAAGTGAACTCGGACCGAACAGATAGGACCCAAGACGGCTTGATAAGCTTCCCAGCAATGTGCGCTTTGATGAAAGCGCGCAAGTGCCAGGCCGACTAGCATGGGGTATAAGCCCCGGGTTCAAAGGTCCAGCTGACCTGACAGGTCATTATGCACGCCCGCAATTGAGTCACTCCCTCCGTGAGTAATGCCCGACAGTTGTGGCGTCCTCGAAGACGCGCAATCCCAGATAGTCGCAGCAAATCAGTGCATGCTGATTGCGGCGACTATCACCGATTAAAGGCTACTCAGCCGCCGAAAGTTTACCAGTCTTGAGTCGGCAGCCCAAATTAGTGTGCATCTGCGTCTCTCCTTTTACGCTTCATCAAGCCCAAAGTCGGTCAAGACGGCGAGATCAACCACGTGACTTTGCACGGCAGCTAGGAATAGCGTCCATCGGCGCTACCGGCGACACAACTTCATTTCGACGTAGGCGACCGGGTTAACGTACCGGGTACCTCTTGCACCGTACTGCTGCTGGCGAACTTGCGCTGCAGCTCCTCGGCGAGGCGCTCCGGATCCACCAGGAACGACTGCAACAGGAGCCGAAACCTTCAGAAACCATTCTTCGTCAGGAAGCTTTCAGAAGCGCGTTGGCAAGCGGGCTGCTGCCAGAAAGAGCGACACTTCATTCCGGCGGCTCGTCGGGGGGCGAAGGCGTAAGGCCGGGAACTCGATAGCCATGGATGCCAGCAGACTCAAAAGCTGCAGAGGCTAACCCGCAGGCCAGTAATGAGTACACGAGAAATGCGACCGGAACGAGCCTAGGGGCAGAGGATGGAATCACATGGTTTGCAAAATGCTCCCAAGCTCCAGCGCTATGGCCAGAAGCTGAACCGAGTGAAAATATGGTCAAAAGTGTACGCCCGTTGACCGGACGGGCCTCAGCCAAAAATCTCATATGTTAACACGAGGTACGCACAGGAACCCTAGTGGCTGGGAGAGAGGGCCTTTTACCTCGAGCCCCGTGACTTTGGTCACTTTCTTGCGGCCTTGTCGCTGCTCCGCCACGATCTGCATGTTCTTCAGAGCGCCCTTCCTGCAACGGCCAGAAACGAATGAGTCTAACATGACATCTTCCGTCGAACTAAAGGGAGTCGTAGAATAAGGTGCAGAGCGTCGGAGCCACATGTACTTGAACAAAAACCTGGAGTCACCAAAATCAGGTGCTTTGCGCAATGACTCTGGAATCCAATAAGCGTGACTCTTAGATACTGAACAGCAGAACCCGATTCTTGAGGCAGAAGCCGACCGCATAATCAGCCACATCCAACGCCTCGCATAAGCAGCCATATCCAACGCCTCGAAATCGTCGAAACTTTCTCACGGCATCTCCACCTCTGGTATGACCGGCCTCTTCCTCAAATAGCAAACGATGCGACCAGCTCTTCACATCATCCGCAACGTTCATTGACACGGGGAGAAACAATTTGCTCAACATTCATTTCAGATTGTGTACCATCCCTGGGGATCCTTTCTTGAAGCTCAAAATCGAGACGATTCGGGGGCCTCACCGCGTGGCTGATTTGTCCCCCCGAGAGACTCGATGGTGCGCCTGAAACCGCGCCAGGAACTCCCGCCCCACGTTCGCTTTGGGGACCTCCGACGGGTACGTGTCGCCCTTCTTTACCTTGCCCTGGACATATGGACGCCGAGGTTAGTGGCCCTAACCCATTCCATGCATCTCGTCGAAAATTCAGCTTGTGCTGCGCTCGATAGCGTCAAGTCGATTACAAACCCGGACTGTTTTGAGCGGTCGATTTCCAGTGCCTCGAATACCCAGCGCAGATGCTGTGGGCTGGAGCAGACTCTAGTCCTTCGGAGCTTCGCAGATGCTACGAGACCCGAGTCGGCGAGTTGTTGTGCACGCTATTCCGTGTTCTTCTGCTATTCATCTAGAAGCGAAGTAACGAAACAGATGTTTTGGCTTCTTAGTTGGCCACCGAAGTCCCAATAGGATGGTACCAAGCACACCTAGTCGTGGATAGTGAGTCAGTGCATTTTGCCCAAAGTCGCTTCCAGAGCAGGAGATTTTCAAGTACGAAGATAGACAAAGATGATGATTAACCAGAGTCACGATACAGAGAGCGCATCGTCAACCCGCTGAAGCTCTAGATCCTTCAAGACGCTGCCCTTCGCTACCGCCAAAATTTTCAGCAGAATAAAGCAGCGCAGCACAGACTTTGGAAGCCTTTCAAGCATTGGGCTTCTCCGCTGCGCACGTCTGGAGCAGCGCTCACCTTGTAAAGAGCGTCGCAAAGAGGCGCGTCCAGAACAATCGTCGTCCGATCCGAGGGCTTTTCCAGATTCTGCACATAAGCACAATATTAGACTTCCGGACTATGCAACTAGCAGTTTTAGTGCAGCCAGCCTCAAGCATACTCTTCACCTTCTGGTTCATATACTTGGTTTACAGTCCCGAAAGAGTGATCAGAACGAAAAGCATTGTCAGAGCTCTTATGAGTGACGAGGACCTGATGCGAAAAAGATCATCATTGTCAGGGTTTCAAGGCTGACGCAATGCCCCACAGCCGCGGATTGTCAGCGCAGGTAGACTGTGTGACGTCGACAAAGTCAACGAGTCCGCACGGATAGCCAAAACGATCTCAACGGGTACCTAGTAGGCTCGACAGGCGAATCCGGATAAGGCGGCCTCAAATGCACGCACCTGTTCTTGTACGTACTGCATGACCAGCGCGAAGACCTCCTGGGGGCTGTAGTAAGCCGACGGGTCAGCCCCCACTGCTTGCAAGATGGCGTTCACTTCCTTCACCGGCTTGAACACCTCAACCACCTGCAAACATGGGGAGGAATCTAAGGAAAGCTTCATATTACGGGTTTGAAGATTGGACCTGATTCTGCAGATTGACTAGCCGTTCGGTCGACTATCTCTGCCTTGAATGAAATTCAAGGCTTGACATGCACCTCAAGATCAGAGGTTCAAAGGGTCCACGATTCCAAAATAGATGTACGAACAACCAGAAAACAGAAGCACCAACCGGACCACAGCACAGTACGACGCCAGCGTAATCTCTTTGCGAGGCCAAAGAAACAGGTTTGAATCAACAAGCGCTTCACGTCTGACCTCTAGCTGCTGCCCGTCAGCCTCCGATGTCGACGCCGCTGGCTGCGCTGCCCCCTCGGCGGTTTGCGCCCGCTTGACCGGGTGGTACGCCCGGTACTCCGCATGGCCCCGGTCGACGCTCAGCAGCATCAGCTCCTTGCGGTGCTTGTCCTCCTTCACCTTCACCTGAACCACAGGATTTTCAGCATCTAGTGCTGACAGTTCATGTATGTTCCCGAACAACGAACTAAAAAGCTTTCGACATCGAGGGTAAGATGTCTGCAATTTGTCATCACCAGACCCGTCGGACGTAGGCGACCCGAGCGGAGGAGTGTCGAAAAGTAGATCCGAAGGCGGTTGGCCTCACCCATCAGGATAGGGTATGCGGACAAGTCCTTCCTGAGAGAATGTTTTCGCAAAACACCGGCATCCGCGTGCTTTTACTCGTTGGTCCAATCTGACAACAGCGTATGGCTGAGCAACCTCTCCAAGAGGGATCACCTGTGTCAAACGAATCCAACCTGGTTCGATTAACGGATGACTGAAGCCGTCCGACAGCAAATGCAAATCGCAGGTTCGTCCGTTTGAGGGCAAAAGTAAGCGGAGTCCTCGACGTGCGGGGCTTACCAGGCCGTCGGTCGCCTTCGCTTGGAGCCACTTCGAGAGCTTCTTGTGGGTCGACTTTTTGATGTCAACATGCGCGTCGGGGGGCCGGGCCGGCAGCACATGATGACTCCTGCAAAGGAAGTGCACGGTCGCGTCAAAACTAGTTTCTTCAGAAAGCCGAATGTAAGGAAGAGGGACAGTTCTCGTGAGTCACTTTGTGTCCCGAACACACGTAGCGGGTAACAAAACTTCTTTGCAAACGCCAAAAGCAAGGGGAAGCATGCGTTCTCCTGTATAGAACTTCCATTTAATCATGAGTAAAGAAGCCAGTCTTTCTTGTAACTGAGGATTTGGTTCACCTGCCAATATATTGCAGCCTTTAGGGTCCACAATTATTCGCCTCAATCTACACCAACGCGGATTCGGCCACCGGTTCACTTTTCTCATTCCGGCAGAGAGTCGAACTGATACTTTCATATTCGATGGAAGTCGGCCATACAGATTTGAAGAGCGCAATCATTGAAACTTAGCAAGAAAGTTTTGTCAGATCTACAAACCAAAGGACGCACCACAGGTTTCCAGCCGGCATCGGCAGGTCCTTGTCCTTCACCGTCGTGTACAGCGCCTGCAGCAGACACTCGTCCAGCAACCTGTCCATCTCTTCCGGCCGCATCGCCGCCGCCGCTTTCTCCCCTTCTGTTTCTGTCTCCCCTTTCTCTCCCCCCTCTAGTTCCCTGCCCGGCCCCCCTGCTTGCGCTCCGTCAATTGTCAACCCTTCCACTTCTCGCTCGAGCCCTGAATCGCTCCCCTCTTCATGTAAACTTTCTCCACTTCCTTCGTGCACATTCGCGTCTCCGTTCTCATTGCCCCCATCCGGCGCCTCTGCGTTTCCAGCCTCCTCGCCTGCCCCGATACCCATCACCATCTTCTCTCCAAAGCCCTCATTCGGCGAATACTTCCCCTCTGGAAGATCCCACAAAGCATCCCGGTAGTAGTGATACACCTTCAGCGCCTTCCCCCTGAACCCGTTCTTCTCCGCTTCCGCACTGCTCGACGCCGTGGTTCCGACGGCAATCGGGAAGGGGTTTCCAGGCACCCGGACTGAGTAGATCTCGCCGGCCGCAAACGGGGGGAGCCCCTCGGTAGGGACTCTAACCCCCGGGAACATGAGGTCGGCGCCGCTGAGGATGTAGGGGCTGACTTCGCCGCCCTTGAGGGTGAAGGAGGGGAGCAGGTTGGGGATCTTCCAGAGCGCGTACACTGGGGGGAGAACCAAAGGTGGCTTTGAGCAATAGATTCAGCCTGACTGACTCCAAAAAATGTTTCATTAGAAAAACAGAGATTGATATTTTCAAAAGCAATTTCTGTCCCGCAACTTTGATCCTGTTGTCGATTTATTACTGTAATCAGCATAGACCAAAATGTTGCATTTCAGCCAAACAGATTTGAAGGTGTTTCAGCCTCAGTTAAAAGAGGATAACATCAGGTACTGCCTGCCAAAGTAGAACGGCTACAATGTTTTCAATGCTTCTCCCGGAGGAAGGTTATTCATAAAAAAGATGAACGGGTTGATTGTGCTGCCACAGCACCGTTCGATTCTGAAAGTTCATGGTGAGTTTGACTCCTCGAAGCGCACAGGTATGTGAAGAACAACAACTCCAAACGACCCGAGTAACTCCAAAGAGGAAGCAACTCACCATGGGCATGAGATACAAAGCGGAGGTGTCATTCTGATGTCAATTGCTTGCATGCACCTCGTTCGCAACAACGTAACTTTCTACCATTACCAACAATGCAGATTTGGCATATGCTATGATGATTTTTTGACACTGGCGATTGGATTGTCTTCCGAAAGCTGTGTGTCCTGTCAACTACAAATGTTGATGAAGACGGGAAAAGCGGAACATCAGGACGGGCAAATGAAACCCATATCATGGTGGTGTTAAGTCCCACTCAGCTGAGAAACCAGCAATTGTGCCAAACAACGGAGAGCTTCATTTCTGTAAAAGCTGCAGTTCCTTATGGCAGCATTGCCTTTCAGAAGAAGCAGAATGACAGCAACATGCAGACCTGGCTAAGGAGCCAGCCAAAAAGGTTTCGCACTCCATAGCCATCACATGCCTTGCCACCAGAGGTGGTTTGATCCCTCCGAACGTCCAGAATATATAGAAAACATTAAGCAAAGCAATCATGCCACCAAAAGATCCAAGCAGGCAAAGCAACCAGGTTGTTTAAATGCCACCACTGTGCAATGGGACAATATTTCAAAGAAGAAGGAAACTCATTCTTGGAATGCATATCCTTGAACCTTCAATGCGAAAGCAAGCCAGCTTGTCACCTGTTGGGAAAATATCATGCCCGCGCCCGTCGCCGTCAAATAGCAGCGGCAACCCTCCGTCTTCCCCGTACAGCAGCGACCGATTGGCCAGCTTTGACACCGACACCTCCGCTGCCCCCTTGGCGGGCAGGATTGTGTCAAGGTCCTCCTCACTTGCAGTTGGGAACTTGTCCCGCATCGCCCGCCGCAGCTTCTTGCGGTCCGCCCCCGACAGGCGATGCGAGGAGTGGACGGGGCACGCCTTTTTGAACATGGTGGCAGCTAAAAGAGGGCTCTTTCTGCGTTCCTACTCAGCTCACCAAATCTCTACAATCTGGCTTTCCTGCTCCTTGGATGCGAAGATACCTCTGAACTATTAGTATTAAAAGTGACGAGAGTCTGCTGAACACAAATGCAAAGTCGCCCATCACCAGTGGCCCTGACGGCCGGTTGTTTAGCCTGTTGCTGGTACAACTCCAGGTGGCCTGAACCGACAGACTCAACCGGGGAGCCTGCACGGTTAAAGGCTCATGCACCTGGCGCTGGTAACCGAACACCCACCCCGGGGCCCGTCTGTATGTTGGTGTCGGGTGGCCCACGCGCGAGCGGTATACCAGCAAAGGCAGCCGGGGGTGAGGACCGTCGGTTTTGGCGGCGACTAATAAGTCTCTGCTCGAGCGGGCGTGCGGGCTACAAATACCTATCAGCAACATTTGGCATGCAGGTCAGGCGTTCTGAGCTTTTCCTGCTGACCAAACCAGCTGGGCCTGCGCTCTTCTGAATCTCGGCAAATAATTGTCACTGTTGAATATCTCTACTACTTAGGAGCATATCCCTAGTACTAGTAGCGAAAGCAGTGGATTCCGAGTAGTATGGATCATAGAGGAGTTGCCCGCAATTGCTCAACGGAGGAGAGCAACGAGTTTGAGTTCCATTTGGAGATGAACGGCGGTGCATCGCAGGTACGTTCTGCAGCCGAGCACTTCCAAGCACTTGACGGGCGGAGTGCACACAACCGGCTCTTGAGCATGGACGAAGAAGAAGCATGTTTCTACCAGGATGAAGGCAATCCAGTCGACGGTGGAGCCTCGGTTGTTGATGCCCACGCCTTCGTTGATAGTGAGCGGTTTGAAGACATGGTCGAGGAGGGTACATTGCACTCGCTCGATGAGCGCTCACCTCAGCGCGACAGCAGCGATGCCCCCGAAGCTCAGAAGAACGATTCAGCCAGGGTGGTTAAGATCCAAACCAGCGGGTTCGGCAAAGTTGTGCACAACCTTCTGAGACAAGCAAGGGACAAGGTCACATTCCGAGAGCTGCTCGATGGCTGCAAGCAGCGCGTGCGAGATGTGGTTGCACTTGGGGGGGAAGAGCGCAGCGGGCGCAGTGGGGGGGGGAAGGATCGGCGCGTGAGTTTCCGGGCGGACAGCGTGGCGCAGGCGGCGGAGTTCCGGCAGGTGTTCCAGGAGTTTCAGCAGCTGGCGCGCGGGCTGCCTGTGTCGCCCACGCCGGTGGAGGCGCTCCTCATGCAGGTGTGCGGAGGTCTTTCTAAGTTTTGTTGATTGGGAGCATGTGCTTTTGAGCATCAATCAATACTCATCGAAAATCTGATGCCCTCTGGTCGCATTCCGAGCACATCAATGAACATAATTTTCACTTTCGACCACCCCAAGCTCCTCACTTTTAGATGTGTCTGATTCCTTGTAACTATCTCCGCAGGAAGCATCATGTGACCAACCTCTTTGGGTAGCTTCTGTCTCTGATTGCTCTCAAGTATACTTCTGTGCGGCGTTCGTGAGGAGAGCATCCTCCTCCTACATAGGCTCAGTTAGCTACTTTCTCAAGTGGCAGAACCCGGGCATTGCAGGTGACGACGGGGCAGGGCAGCATCATGCACTTTGAGGACGCCCTGCGGCTGCAGCAGGAGGACAGCGAACAGCGCAAGAAGGGAAAGAAGGGCAAACAGCAGCCAATCTCGGGAGGAAGTGAGTACTCTGGGGCCCCTACATTCTCTTTTCTCCACAGGAACTGCTTTCAATGGCAAACAACCTAAGCGTTGGGACGTGCTAATTCCCAGGATGTTTAAGCTCTCAAGAAGTGGCCAGGCGTGGAATTCACGGTTCATCTGCCCCGATTGGAACCAGGTCTGTGTCAGTAGCCTACACCTTGTCTTTGAGAATGAACCTTGACCTTCTCTGAGGACCACTGTTTGGAGGGTTCTGACTTCGGTCTGCCATTCTGGAGCCCCCCGTCTTAAACTAACCACATCAAGGGCTCACGATAGCCTCGAAGCGGTACCAGACCTATCACTCTGCCGGAACATGGCCAAGGCGCTTGTTCAAACCAGCAAAGCGAAGTCCACTTTCTCCAACCGTCGAATCTACCATCAGGGCCTCAAGAACGTAAGGTTTACTCTCAAGGTCTACGCCCCTTTGACACTGCTTTCCCGAACGTACTCTACTGCAGCCCAGCTGGCGGGCCTGGTGTTGGAGAAGGGTGCGGAGCTGCAGGTGGAGAACGAGCAGCTCAAGAAGAAGCTGAAGGAGCTGCAGGAGGCTGTCTCGAACGCCAACACGCGCGCGCTCAAGTACGAGAAGGACAAGAAGGAGCTCCAGGTGGGTTTCAGGGGCTCGGGTCTTGAGAGAAGCAACGGAAGAACCATTTGAGCCGAGTCTGCTGAGCGGGCAAAGGAAGCCGTTTGGGCTTTGTTGCAGTTCTTGCGGAAAAGAAGGGAGCTTGACGGGTACAAGTTTGGGATTCGGAGAGGCATTCCTTGTTCACTCCGTTCTGTGGATCGTCTTTGCTGCTCTTTGCAGGAACTGTCCATGATTCGTTGAAAAGGGCTTACATTTGGAACGATGAACAAGACGTCTTGCTGTTCTGACTGTCGGATGTACGATCGGGTCAAACTGTCTCTCGTTGCTCCAACTGCAGTGTCTCCTTCAAATGAGTTCTCTGCAGAAAAGTGTATCTGTCTTTCCTTTTTATCGGATTCCGGTTTGACTTTGCAGAGCATTGCTTGTTCTTTTTGACCCGTACCGTACCATTCCAACGGTATACTGAAGCCCAGAACAACCCCGTCGCGACGCACTGTCTAACGTCTTTCGCCATCTCTTCGCCAGGAGATCATTGGCAAGAAGAAGCTCGTGATTCGGAAGCAGCGTGCGTCGTTCCTGTGCGACCTCGCAGTGGAGAAACGCAAGCGGAGCAAGCTCAAGATGAAGCACGCGGTGGCGATCGCGCAGTACGCTCGCCGCCTCAAGCACGTCGTCACCACGCTCACCATGCACAACTCCAAGCTCGCCAAGTGAGCCCGTTTGGTCCCAATGTTCAAGGTCGTATTGTTGTAAGCAATCAGGGAATCAAATCTTCTAGATTCCGCTTGCTTAGCTACGCTCACCGGACAGAAAGCCGTGTTTCCAAGTAGAGGGCTGCGATCAGGGAGCCTTTGTGGTTCAGGCTTTCAAACAATTCAGGACTCTGAGTTCAGGAGTTCAGAGTGTCGTGTTCCGAAGTATCTGGATTCGAAGGGGCCTTCGATGTTTGTTGGCTCCTTCGCTCGTCATTAACAACTCCAGGCATGCTAACTGACAGGCTGCTGCTTCCGGTCAACACTTCGAATCAGCAGTAGCAAACTCCTCTATGTTCCGGTCCTGTCGAACGGAACCCGCCAGTCACACCTGCCATCGTCAGAATTGCGACAGCGAGCAGGACGACAGCTCCACCCTTCTGCTCTTTTCGAAGGTAGCCTGTGGCCGTCTTAGACCTTCTGACTTCGTTGGGCCTTGTGCAGGGAGGCCGACAGTAGCCGGAAAGCAAAGGAGAGCCGGAAGAAGGAGCTCGAGCAGCAAAAGGCTCAAGAAGGTTCCCACACGGGCAAGAAAGCGAAGCGGAAGCGGCAGCCGCGAGACGGCGAGGTCCTTGTCGAGGAGGGGGCGACGCAGGACGGGCAGCGGCCGACGGAAGGTCGCCCAAAAGTGAGTCACCCTTAGAAGAATGTTCAGTTTGCTTATCGGGAGGGGAAGATCTCGGGCTATTTCGTGGCCGCATTAAGCTGCCGTTCTGCTTTAAACACCCGCCTGAAGGTTTGCGCAGGACTGCAGGACGGCCTGAATTGTAGGCCAGAAACTGCTTCATAATTCAGCCGTCTCGGTTGGGTAGATCTGATTCGTAGCCTCTCTCGCACCTCCGACGCATTCACTTTCGGCCACTACCATCCTGAACCTTCGTTTGGCGTTCTCCTTCAGGCGCCCAAGCGACGTCGAAAGGAAGCCCCGCTGACCGACCGGGGCGACCCTCCGGTCGCTCTGGGACCCAACGCCCGACTCCTCACCGCGTACAGTACTCCTGGGGGCTTGCTTCACGCAGCCGGAATCGACCCCGGTATCTCGTCGCCGGCCACAACCACGGTCGGGGCACAACGTCCGGTCACAGATGCGGTCGGAGCGCAATCTGCGGCGGCTCCCGAGGCCCCCGGCACGAGCTCGGTAGACCTCGAATCCACCCCGACTGTTTCCGCAACGCCCCAGACAAATGCATCCGAGATGCTAACCCAACCACATCCTTCTCGGCAGACAGTGGAGCTGCCAGCTGCGAATGGGACCCTGAAGAGCAGGAAACGGAAAGCACCGCAAGCAAACAGGAGTACAGGGTTGCCACAGGGTTGAGCTCAGTAAGAAAGAAGCGTCGATGTTGTCAGTAGTCTCACGGAAGTCAAGGGGTCGGATTGCTAGCCTAGAGCCGTGTACAAAGGATGCAGGAAGTTGATCCGTACTGACAGAAATGTGCAGATTGTACATACTAAGACCGCCACAGGCGGCGCCTCTCGCTGCCTTCAACTTGGAGAAAGTGCTGGGGCTTCGTCGTCAAACGACCGGGAGTTGAAACGGACTCGGTGAGAGAGTCGATCTCAACTGTGCTCTGTTGCGATGACAAGCTTGGAGGATGAGTATGATTGTATGAAGCGCTTAACAATGAAGTTCACTACCAAGTCCACGTCCTTTAACTTCGAGTGTAATGTAAGCTAGTCATGATCGGGCAACATTGTAGGGCCGGCTGACGAAGTGACCGGCCGTGCGCACTGTGTTCATGCTTCATAATGTATACGTAGCGGCGGCTCAAACGACATCAGCTACTTGGTCTAGCGCTCAACACGAATGGGACTTACATGCAGATCTCCTTGTATCATGCTGTTTTTGGTACACTGGCAGATTGCGTGAAGGACCCATGAATCTATATGCACGTACTGAGGTTTGGCACAATGATCATGATCGGTCCATGTGCAAATGCGCCATACCTTTTGTTGTTCTTGATAAATAACTTGTCCAGCGGCTTATAGATGCATCGATCAATATGTATTGATCCATTAATTGAACAACTTGGCATGATACACAACAGCATCCGTTTGACTCGCTGCAATCGAGAACACATTGTCCGTTGCAGATTGGAAATGGAGGTTTTGGGTGGTTCTATGCATCCTCGAAGGGGCCGGTGAGCTCTTAGCATAGGCAAGGATGCATTTGCTTATCAATCAACGTCCACGGTCAGAGCTTCCGATTGAATGAGTGCTTCAAATAGTAATCAGCGCAACTTGGTGACGGAGTCGTGGCATGGACGCTCAATGGCGTATACGAACACTCAATCAAGATCTTGCCGCCTGTCACGAGCTAGCGCGTTCAGCAACCAACACTACAGCAACCTGCTTTGCAACATGTTTGACAATCTTGATGGATTCCTTGCAGAACTCCTTGATCAACTTTTTTTTTCAAAGATTGTTGGCAGAAGAGAGACGCAATGCTTACATCTATGTTGTCCATCCTTCGAGCACCAAGGTATGTATATCGCACTTCACAATATTCCGGATTGGATCTGCAGACTGGAAGAAGCCTTCGTTCTTCGCGCTCCGATATACCTGCCTTCCCTCAATTGCCCGGAACCTTTGCGCAACTTTGATTTGATTGAGCGCTGGACGGTCCACCACAAGCAGCCTGTCTGGCTTAAATGCACCGTCCTCCGCTGCAATCAATTACCAATAAACCATGTTCGAGAAACTTAAACAAGCTTTAGCTTCGTCTCCCATCTTCTCAGTGGATCAATCTATTCGTCACCAGCTAGTAAAGTCCAGCATCGAGTCCTCAATCTTCCTCCCCCGATAAGTGCAGTAGATGGCAAACGTGGGGGCCGGTCCCAGGATGCTCAGCGTCCCCACCATCATGCACAACCCCACCAGCGGCCCATCCTCAAGTAGAGCAAAGTAGGTCACACACAGCGTTAAGCCGATGAGGTCTTTCAGGAAGAACAAGAGCGCTGTCTCGAGAATGCCAAAGCCTGCTCTTCCCATCAAGAGCGCCAGAGGTTGAGACAGGAGCGAAGGATCGTTGAAGATGAATACCAGCGTGACAAGGCGCCAGATCAAGGTGAAAGCAACCACCACTTCGTATCGAAGGCCTGCCTCTTCTTCCATCTCTGTGGCTGTGCTGGGAGGCGAGTACTCTCTGGAGGTACCGTAGAAGATCGCTGTAAGGATCATGGAGAATGCCATCAAGACACCGAGGAAAACTTGCTCTCGGATCAAGACCAGGGCTAGCAGAGAGGGCGCCAGGATGAAGATCGTGACCTGCGTCCAGACGTCAAACATGCGCGGCCGCAGCCGGTTCCGCTCCGCGGATGCCGCGCGCCGTTCCCTCCCTCCGCTGAACAGAACATAAGGCAGCCAGACCATGCAAAACGCAAGGCAGCTGGTGAAAGCCGGTGCCAGGGATTGAAGGAGATGCATGGCGTTGATCTTCAGAGCCTTGTGCGCGCGCATCCTGCACGACTCGACGCCCGCCAGGATTGCAAAGACGTAAAGCAGGAGGAACAGCTCCCCGACTATGAGCAGGCCCACCGGTTCGTTGACTGCCGCCCCAAATATCGGTCTCAGCGGATAGAAGCGATGGGTATGGAACGTGACAACTGTGTGCTCGCTACTGCTGCTGCTTTCTGCGGGGCTTTCTCTGAGGAAACGCGCGAGCAGGACAACGCGGAAGAGCAGGCAGATCACGCCCAGCAAGACTGGAGGCGCGCATGTAAGGAGGCGGCGCAGAGTGAGGGGCGCCATGGCGGGCAGTCTATTCACCTGATTGAAGCGCTGTAAGCACCTTGGGTCCTAGCGCTAACACGCCTACAGTCTACAGAAACAGAAGCGCCTACTCTGCGCTCGATTCTTTTTCGTCTTGAGCTGCGGTACAGGTGAGGGCGTCAGGAGACCCCCGGCCCTAAAGTTCAATCATGCAGGATAGCTGCGAAGTGGCGCACCCATTTCTCCCGTCTTCAACAGACTTGATGTGAGAACCAGATCATGCCACGTGATCACACGTGACGATCGTCCGTCGATCTGAGCCACTGAAAATTTGACACAATTTTTCTTGCAATCTCTGAAGCTGAGTCGAATACCTGACTAACGAAAGAAGTACAGACTACGAGATTGATTTCATGGTGCTTTCAAGGCTGACGATCCTTCTCACTGTGGGACTCCTTGAATTTGCAACGCGATCGGACAGCCTAAGGGACTCACCGCAACAGACCGCGGCCGCGTGGCCTTTTCAAAACGCCGCTATTGGTGCCAGAAGCTTGTGTCTATCATCCCTGTGCGTAGAGACTGGCACGGTAATGAGTTCGCAATCAAAGCAGTACTCTGCTTGCTATTATAGTGCAGTGCGAATTTGACGAAGCGCCTGCTTTTGTGTACGACTTAGCAGACATTTCCAGAATGACAGCTGCCGTTATGAATATCCGCTACATGCACGTGGTTGCCGACAGCCGAGATTGGTGACCGTCGTGAACATATATATAGTTCAACATATCATGACCGCGTTGAACATGTTTACAAGCCTCGCCGCTCGATATACTGCCAGCATGCATGGACCATAGGTATATACAACAATGAGCCAGTGAGCAAGATAGTTGACTCGGCAAAATAGCGGGCGCTTCACATGCAATAAGGACGTCGCTTGCAGGAAATGCTTGAGAGTAGATTCTGGTACTGAAGTAAAATTGCGTGCAGGTCAGAACAACGTACAATAGTCTACTATCGACAGCAAATTGTCGGTCACTGATGGGGCTTGAACGGACCTTATGTCCCTGCTCGTCCCATGCGGCTGTACACTAATCAACAGCAAGAGTATCGACCCTCGGATCGCATCCGAAATCGAGTCTGTCTCCTACGACTCAACAACAGCTAACGAAGCTCCGTGTCCCGTTGTGGAGCCAAGAGAGTAATGGGGCCCCGATGCTGCACATGGCATCACGTATTCTGGTCAGCCTTCTCAGAACACGTTGTTGTAAGAAAGCGTTGTTGTAAGAAAGCAATGGAACGTCAATAGCCTTTCTAGAATAAAGTGACGTTATAGGACCCGTCAAAATGGACGATTCGGAGCAGCTCGAGAACACGGTTAGAGCAATCTGCTTGATGGACTCACCAGAGTATCCCCCTTGCACTGGATCGCTGGCGAGGAGGAGCGGCGTGTCGAGATCGACGTACCTGCAGAGTACCTCCCGGAGCGGAGTAAATTCTGAGAATGCGAGCTTGCTACTATAAGGCGTCCTCACTTCATCCTGCCTGGAATGATGAACCTCGAGAAAGAAATGATATCAGCGAAGATAGTAATAGGCTCCGACTAACTTTCAAAACCCCTAACCCAACCGATACACAACTGCTCCGCACCCCCACCCACCATAACCACCAAATAAGCTTACCCAACCCAGTGCGTTACCTTATTATTTCGGCTTATGTTTATAAATCTTGAGTTCGATCTGGCATCGTACAGATCGGGTCCATATGGCGCGGCCAGAAACGAAGAAGCTCTCTTCCGGTGGCCTCACCTGAAACCGCCAACTCCAGCGACAAGATGAGCAGCGAACCCCATCGCAAGCCTCGTCTCCACCTGCAAGCGGAAGACCAGGATCACTTACTCCGCTGCCTGATGCAATCTAAGACAAGGTACAAGCAAACGAAAATTAGCACGTCGTTGACAAAGTGACATCTGGATAGATGTGAAGCGGCCCAAGGACGCCCTGCAACATCGATGAATGCGTAATCTGTGCTTCCTCTCCCTTTGAGACTATGTGCGACCTTTTCCGACGCCTCTCAACAATCCTAGCTGCCAGAACTCGAAAAGGGACGTTTGCTTGGTAGCTCAATGTCCTCGCTTCGTACTGATGCTGATCGCTTCTTTCGCCGTTGTTCGCCAGGTCTGGCTGCGCTGTTCTGGCGCATTGTCTGAACGTCCTCGATTCCTCGAAAGCGCAGGGTAAGAAGGTGGGCCAAGCTCCACGCAGCGCAGCCTCGTACGGCTCAGCTATACATACTGTATACAGTAACGCAAGCTAAATCGATCAATGATTGCGTATATCCAATCTGGTCAAATCCTCACCATGCCCCCCATCATGAGCTCCAGCCCATATTCCTTGGCGATGGCGACCGTTTCGAGCGCTCCGGCCACCCCGCACTTCGCCAGCTTGATGTTAAGCACGTTCGCGATCCTGTTCTCTGCGATCCGCCTCGCGTCAGCGGCGCTGCGGCAGCTCTCGTCCGCCGCCACGGAAACTCCTGTAAGGACGTCTCGCACGCCATCAGAAGCACAGCAGATTGGTAAACCTATCCATCCGTGAGAAGTTATGAGAGACGTAACGGCATCATTGCCTCGTAGCTGACACCTAATGAGGTTCTGGACCACGTTCGTCGATCGGCGCGTATGCTCTGCGACTAAGCCGTCCAGTTTTGAAGGAACGCAACGCAACTTCAGATGAAGCGATGACGATCTCAAACCGCTTCGCGAAGGTCCCTACGGCCGAGCAAGAAAAAAGGTACTCAGGCGTCTGCAAAATGAACGAAACAAAGAAGCTGTAGAGCAGGTGGCCCTCTTACCGTAGACTCGATTCGCTTGTTGCGTGACTTCTTTCAGGCCCTCCCAGTCGTCTCGGGCTACCGGCTGCTCCAGGAGGATTGGGCTCATCCCAGCGTCTGCGGCACGGCGAGAAGAAAAGCTTCGCTTCAGACACGATGCACGGGGCTCTTCAGTATCGTAGTTAAAACACTCAAATCACCACCACGCTCAAGCTTGGAAAGGGCATCGCAAGTTCCATCAGTTCAAAAGCATTTCCCACGAAGATTCAAAGTTTTCGTGATTGAGCTTACCGTCAGGATGTCAAGAAAACTCGCAAATATAGCCGCGACCGGAACATTACTTCTTCGTTTCTTCAGGGCTGGTCTCGCTTACCTTACCTTGAAGAAGCCGCAGGACGTCCAGCGCTTCATTGGGCGTGTACCCTTCGTTTGCGTCCAGAATCAATCTGCACTGCATGGTAGCGGAACAGCCGACTTCTTTCTAGAGGTTCTCCGATTGTTACAAGCCTCCTTTTGGACACAACAACGGGGGGCCTTCACCACATGACTGTGACAAGAGAAAGTCATCTCGAAGGACAGAGGGAAGATGTCCACAAACTCTGGTTGCCAACTGCTCCGGCCGCTGTTTCTGACTCAATGCAAGGCACTTGCTTCCTAACCTGGGGATGGGAGAACCTGATGGCCCGCAAACGAATGATGTCGTCCTTCGGCTCTTTTCCAACCTGCCCGGCGAGAACACCGTCATCATAAGAGATGACCGGAGAAGCATATTGAAAAGAGGCACAGAGAGGATACACCCTACCAAGTAAGCTGATTAAGCTAAGAGGGAGCTGCTACCGAGGAAGCGGCGACGTGTGGACGCCATGCCGCTCCAATGCAAAAAACACGGCAAGTGGAGGTTTCCATGTACGATCAGATGCCTCGCCTTGCCGTAGTCACCAAATGACCCCGTTGTCTGGTTTCTTCTTAACACCGATAACCGTTGATGCGCGGAAATCACAGAAAAGTCAAGATTCACGGAACTTACCTTCGTCTTTATGGTCTCGAAACCCTGCTGCTTGTAAGTAAAAGCAAGGGCAGCAGCCTCTTGAGGGGGACAGATAGGAATCTGCAACCAAGAAGTAATGACGACCATAAAAAGGCTTCCAAAGCAATATTTCCATCGAAACAAACCTGCATGCGTTTCCTTCTGTCACAAATGTGTTACCAAGCCCGGCCTTCTGCAGAATGTCTAGAACTTTGAGAGTTTGCCTCTGCAAGTCAGAAATTGGCAAGTCCTCATCCAATTTCGCGAAAACTTCGAAGAGCAAGCCAGACAAAGAAGAACGGCAGTCTCTTACTGTGATGTCCGTCGTGACCCTGTCAGACGCTCCCCCGAAGAAGCGCCATAGGGGCACTTCCTGGCTTTGAGCCAGCGCGTCTAGCAGCGCCATCTCGAACCCCGCACGCACCTGCCAGCCCACGCAACCTTCTCAGTGATAAGGCTTAAGAGTAAACTCAACCTTGAAAAGGCTAAGCTGACTAAGGCATGCTGCGCACTACTTCGCCCAAGTGCTGCACAAGGCCGCGCATGAAGAGCGTGGGGCATGTATGTCCTCAGGCATGCTTGAGATTTTGAAAATTGGTCCGCGAAAGAGACAAGGAAGGATGGCAACCACAAAAGGAAGGCAAGCAAGGAAGGTGTCCGCATTTTTTTATTGTCAAGACAGAGTCCATCCAATAGGGGCCGAGGGGATGAGACAGCTCTTGTGAGGTGACAGCAGGGTCAAACAAGGCCTCCACTTTGTCTTTCAGGAGAAAGGAACACCTTCGAAGCACCTTTTGCTCTCGTGCCAAGAAGACTCTTTCACACCACCTTTGACAAGTCCGAGCAATCCTTACCGCAGCATATTGATGTCCAGGTATGTGCGCTGCAACTTCTTTCAACACTGCTTGCCAAGGATTAGCAGCATGTCCTGGGAGCCACTGCGCAACTCTCTTGGCTGCGTCCAGCGCAAACGGCTGGTCCTCCGCCGTTATGGGTGGCATGATTGAAATCTCTCCCCAACCAGAGTGCTGCATCAAAATTGAGAAACAATAAATGCGCTGTGAGCAGAGAGTTTCAAGATTTGGAGTCAGAACCTGCACCAGCTATCAGATTCACTAACAAAGCACGGCAGAACTTGTGCGGTGATTTCCAATGAATAGGCAGAGACAGTGGGCTGAGTACCGTACGTTGACTGAGGAATCTATTCTCAGACACATGTTTTATGCAGTCAAAGAGAACTTCACGCACGTTGCAGGAATCTGCTTACCCCAGTTGAAAGCATGACTTGAACAGCTACATTGTTCACTTGTTCCACAACGGCGCTGGCCACCGTGAACGGGCTCAGAAGGGGGACGTTGAGGGCTTGGACCTTCACATGCAACATTCATGATGATCAGCATTGAAGCATGGCACAGATATTATTGCCAGTCAAACTTCAGCAAGCTACAAGACATCTGCTCCTGCTGCACAGCACTCAAAGATGCATTGAAATCCCGGGTTTTGCTGAGAGATTTGTAGGAAGAGAACGACTTTAACATTGAACCACGGGCTAACAAGTGTCTTTGCTTAGAAGAAAATGCCTAGCCCGATAGCAGCTAAGGTCTGAAAAGGGGCCACCTTCTCCGACTCGATCAGACACAGCCGAGCCACCACACAAGCTCCGCATTCCTTACATTCACTTTGGCCACCAAAGGTAGGGTGTTGGGCTGGCTGCCTGCCATGTTGGCACCACTGCATCGCAAGCTGATTATTGGGCCTGGGCTCCTCTTTCCCCAGCTTTGTACTCTGCATTTTGAAGGCACTGACTCTGACCATGGGCTTCTACCACTCCTGATAACACCACGGAGATTTTTCTTGCAAGGCCACCACCAATTGGCGGTCCACTCTCGCCTTGCAGCACTTGATAAACAACCGCGAGCTGGTTTAGGAACTGCCGCTGTGACATGCAACCTAGCTGGCGTGCATGGACATGAACTTTTAGGAGTCAATGTGGTCACAAAGTCAGAGCAGCAATTGGTCATCCTTTGAAGACCACTTATTCCCTGGCATTCACTTCTTGAGCGCACCCTGGGCGTCCCTTCCTAAGATTGTCAAGATCCCGAGGCTTGATTAACGCACTGTTCTTTGCACCTCCCTTCGGTGACACCCCCAACGGCTCTTCAGTTTCTACTATTATTGGCTGGCAAAGCTGGCCATTCGAAAAGGCATGATCATCAGAGTACACCACCATAGGGCCTTCAAGTTCAATACCGCGCCAATCCTGCGTGGCCGGCAAGCTGCCCCAACAGACCGGCTCTGCTGTTAAACTTCCGCTTGCTGGCAAGCAAGTATTAATACTCCCCTGGGAAGTGGACCCAGGTGGAGGAGTCAGGACTCAGGACACCGGGCCCTGCTGCAAAAGTGTGGCTCTCTAGGGAGATCTGTTGAAGGGGCTAACCGTCGATCTGAAAGTGCGATCTTTATCGACGGCTCTTCTATGCAGATTTGTCATCGACGGCTGAAAGTTGTGCCTGACCTTCTTACGTGAAACCCTAATTTCCGCTGGCTGGGCAGAGGGCTCCAGCTGCCCCCAGAAGCGCTAGCTCAAACACACCGATTTGTCTGCAGAGCATTATGCAGGCGACCTGCTCAAGAGCACCCGAAGTCCGGAAAGAGCACCTTGGAGCTGTCAAAGAGCTCGATCGAGGGGCTTCAAGCAAGCTGCAGATAGGGTCGCCGCAGTTAAGCAAGGACCCTTCATTGCAATAACTTCTTTGAGTTTTCTGAGTTGGGCCATGTAGTGCGGGCCCATTTTATGATCGACTTCCATTAAAAGTTGGAAAGCTTGAGGCGTGGACAGGCATGGCTCCTGAACTGATTGAGAGAACGGCCTCCTCACAGCTGGCGACAAAAGCAGCTCAGCGACCGAAGGAGAATGCAGTTCGCCTGGGAGACAAAAGTGGCAAGGTTGCAACTCCAGACTTGGTAGCAACGAAGTGTAAGTCATTTGCTTCAGAGGTCTTTCTGCAATCGCAACAAGCGGCTGACCGGCTTTACTGGAATGTTCTTAGCTGGAGTGTCGTTGTTCTGGAAACCAATCTTGATTGCTGCAGACTGGATTCTACTATCAAAACGCAATAGGAGAAAACGAGCTCACAATTCTTCAGAGGCCAGCTAGATTAAAGTAATCATTCCATCGCTGAGGTGTTCAATTCATGGCTAAACTTTGTCCCTTGTCAACAGTATGGCAGCATCCATTTGTGAACATCTTCAAGTACGCGGGAGTGGAACGCTGGACAAATGCGTCTTATGAAGGCGACATCCGCCTATACATTGGTAAGTTTCGTATCTAAATCGTATTATGCTTCTGAGGCTGCTGCTTAGAGCAACTCAAGCAATGAGCTGCGGTGCCAGAAAGTGAATCGGCCTACTACAGCTCAGATCGCCCGGTCCTGAGCTTTACAGGATTGGTTGGCAGCACAGAAGGCAATTGTACCCTTTTGCAGACTTCGCAACGGATTGTTGGCTGTTTGTGCTGCTCCAACGTCCACTTAAAATATAAGCTGTCTCAGCTAGTACTGGCCCTTGTTTGCAGATAGAACAATCGGCAAGATGTGCTATCGCATCTCAGGCAGCATCCCTGCCAAGAACTTCCTTCAGATCCCCAAGAAAAAGACAGACTCCCTGGCCCTCACTGGCCGCTTCTTGTACGCGATGATATGCGTGCAACCGTCCAAGATGTTTGTGATGCACTTTGATTTGGTGGTGGAGGAGGGCTTCACAGTGCGGCTGTCTGTCAGCAATATCTTCAAGGCCGACGAACAGGTTAGACCACACTAACTGATCAAAAAATTTGCATGACAAGGCGAAGCTTGGCGTCAATTTATCTCAAGGCATAATCAAGTGTCTGTTAGTCCGGATAGAATCAGAATTTTCCCGGGACCAGAACGAGCAAATTTTACAGCGAAAAAACTTCGAATGACATTGTTAGATAGGGACTCAAAATTGAGTGAGGGAGTCTGTCGGGTCTAGTTTGACGGAATCTACCTGCCTGAAAACCGTGCAAGTTGGTATTCGAGAGGGCCCTGCTGAGCACATCTTGGTGGAACTTTCTGTTGGCAGCTTGAGTATACTGGTCCGCCAACTTTGGAAAAAACTCTATGTGCTCAACTGCAGGACACCAAGACAATCAAGCTACGGTACGAACCACCTTCCGACAAGTGGACAGTACTCGGCTTCGATCTGAGGAGCATCCTGAAAGAGCGGACCGGCCGCGCCTACCGCTGCTTGAAGGGCATGCAGTTTTGCTCAAGGATGCTTGTGAAAAACGCCTACACGTCTGACACCATCTACGACCCTCAGGTAGCTCCTGACACGTCCGCCATCTTTTTCGGGTTTGCATTGCAGCGGGCATCCGTTTGGAGTTGTGACGCTCAGTGATATTCCAGCGCCTTCATTGTTATGTGTGGGAGCGGCATTGAAGCTCCATCAGAGCCGGATGCGGGCTCTCGAAAGTTTCCTGGAGGCTATCAGACGGGATGTATCGCGTTCTTGCCCCTTTTCTTGGTACATGAACTTCGTACAGGCCTGCCATCCAGCCAAATCCACCTGTCTGAACATCTGGGATTCGCCGTCAATGGTTGCTTGAATGCGGGGCGCGCTTGCGTGGCTGGTTGGTAGTCCCAGGCATGAAACCGTTTTCTTCTTGCGTGCAGACCCTCCCCCGCGACATGATGCTGCTGCAGAGCAGCAAGGCCGATCAAGTCACAGCCTGGCAGTGGCTCCCCAACCCTCCCCGCTCAGAAAGAACTCCTCTTCCTAGTCGGCCCCACAGCAGGGCGGCATCCTTTTCCGCAGAGGACTGCAAAGAGAACGTGGAGCACAGTCAAGCCACCCCCTCACCAAGCCCTCCCCAAATAAAAGTAGTCAAAGCAGGGCCGGAAAGCCCGGCTTCGGTTCTAGAGCCGCAGATTAGGCCGGTCGGGAAAGCACGACCAAACAGGGTCATTGCAAACCCGTTGCCAAACCCGAGCCCGGACTTAGCGCGAAGCCGGCCTCCGAGCAGGCTTGGATCCGAGGCTCGCCTTTTCGTACAGCGGGACCCCCTATTGGGAATTGAAGTAGGAAATCTGTCTGACCGGGAAAGTGCGCATGAGGCCAGTCAGAGCTCGAGCCAAGAGAAACCTGACGCGACTTCTTCGGACAGAAAAGATACCGAGTCTGAGGGATGTGCTGACGTACCACGTGTCCGAGTCGTTCGCCACGAGCCGAGCCCGCAGGCAAGCGGAGACGGGGAAGAGGCTGACGTCAAGGAGGCTGTGGAAGCTGACGTGAGCGAGTCTCCGGAAGCGAGGGACGTCTTCGTGGTGGAAGAGCCGGGGGTGGCGGAGACACCTGTGGACGCTCGCCAGCAGCCGAGCGTTTCTCGGGAGCAGAGCAGATCAGGAGCCGCACCGATTATGGAGCTCGATAAGGTGAGACTGGCTCCACTGGATTTACTTTGAGTGGATCAGCATATGATATAGAGTTTGGAGGGCCGCCGATATCGATGACAGTATACGCCTTCCTAATTTCCAACGACTCGCTAAAGCGCCGACGAAGGCTGGCTCTGTTGATTGCAAGCCACTCGTGATATGGGTTCATCGTTCTGTTGCCGTGTTCATCTTAGACTTGAGAATCTACGGCTATTCTTTGTTAATGCAGCTTCAGCTGACTCAAACAGATGTGCGGTCATCTTCGCGACATTCTGATTGTAAGCTGTGGCCCCACTCTTTTGACTATTTTCTTGTGCGAGCCGGAACCTGTCCCCATATTTGACTTCAAGATGCAGTTTTGCGAATGGATGCATCGCGAGACCTATCCAATTCGTGAGCCACCTTTCTCAGCTGCTCGCTTTTCTGTACAGGTGGTCGGCTTCTCGGGTCAGCGGACGGGCAACGTGCTGTACTCACCAGATGGCTCCGCCGTGGTCTTCCCCTGCTCCAGCACCATCATTGCAATGGATCCAGCCACAGGTGAGGTGCTCGTTTACAAAAGAGCCACGATGATACTCGTTACAGCGGTTGAGTTTCTGACCGCGTGTTCAAACGGAAAGGCCACCGGTTATAGTCAGCTTCGGATGTCGAGGCAAAGCCTTCACGTTCAGACTGAAGGAGCGGAGTTCCAACAATATTCCGTTTGTTTTTGTTTACGGAAGGATCAGAAGGATCGAATTCAGTATCTCTCAGTCTAAGTTAGCACTGAAAGCCAGAACGTCGCGTACGACAGATGAAATGGATCTCACACACATTTGTCCGCGCGCAGGTTCCCAGCGCTTCTTCCTGGGCCACTCCGCGCCCGTGTTCGCGCTCGCGTTCGACGCAAAGGGATCCCTCCTGGCGTCCGCTCAGGAGGGCAAGCACGCCGTCATCCGAGTTTGGGACTTCGCTTCGGGCACGTGCCTCGCCGTCCTCATGACGCACGCCAGCGGGCTGACGTCAGTGGACGTGTCGGCGGACGGGAAGGCCCTGCTGGGGGTGGGCCTCGATCAGCATGGTGAGCGAACATTCAGAAGTGCAGCTCGACCGCGGTTCGATGGGGCCTTTTTCGATAATTGCACAAGCAGCCTCATCGAACTTTGACGCTTCCACCGGTCTGCTAGTCGACTGCTTGTCTTAACGAAGCCACCACACTCATCGTTCTTATGGGCACGCACCAGTTTCCAAAGACGCATCACTTTTCGCTCTTGTGTCGCTTGATTATTCATCCAAAAACCACAAGTATCTGCTTGATTGCAATCGGGACATGGAGTCGAATGCCTGACTGACTACCATTTCACCGACACACTCCGCAGCCCGCCAGCTGATTGTCGTGTGGGACATTACGCCCCTCCCCGGAGGCAACCGGGCAGTCGTCCTGGCCCGGCACACCACGGACCACCACGTCCTCACTGCACGGTTCTCGCCGCTGGAGGACAATCACCTCATGACCTGCGGCAGGAACAGCATCAGGTACATGAGGAGACTTGCCACCGGCAGCCCCCTCACGAAGATGTCAGAATCCGATTGATTGCGTCCCAGCAGCAAGAAGACGGCCGTGCGATCCTTGATGTCACCTTAGCCATTACCAAGCTCTTTGAATAGAAGTGCTACGCCGTTTCCTGTCTCGTTCCATCGTAAGTAGGGTTTCTGAGCGCTGCTGTACCTTCGAACATTTTCTGCGGTTAACCCTTGCTCTTCTGAACCTGGAGTGGAGCTTTGCGATTCCTTGATTTCGTAAAATCGATGCAGGTCATATCGCCTCAAAAACGGGCAGCTCAAGGGCTGCTCGGTCAACCTGGCGGAGCACCGGCAGCAGGCGCTGCTCAAGCACAGCGACAAAGGTAGGCCCACCTCCTCCGCGCCCAAAGGATGTGGAACTGCCTCCCAAATCCGAGGCGTTCCAGCCTCTCTACAGATCCATAAGGCGTACTTTCCATGATTCTGACATTGCAAAAAGGCGGCTAGAAAGACCGCCCAAACCTCACAGCTCATTTTTGTTGGTCTTTTGGTACATTCAGGGTCAGACACCTTCTGTCACCGTCAAGGATCTTTGCTAGGCCACGAATTTTTAGGTGTCTTTGCTGTTTTGCAGGATCGTCCGCGGAGATTGTCTTTACCGACCTGGCCTTTCAACTGGGTTACGGGCTCACCGAGGCAAGTTTCTATTCTCCCAAGGATCTTTTATTTGAGTATATTCAAGATCTCGATCTTTCTCGATACTTCTGCATTTTTGGACGGTCAAAAGTCGGTCGGGTTGTTTCAGGCCCTAGACATAGCCCACAACCTAGCTTAGTAGATCCAACAAGGGCAATCTCGCCTAAGGCCCTACATCCGAATGCACCAATGCAAGAAGTTTACTCGTGCAAAGCTTCGTGCATGAAACAATCCCTTACTGCATGAAATTCTGCTCGGAGAGAAGAGCAGAGTAATCTATCGCTGCCGTTTTGTTGTGCTGTTTTGCAACAAGCGTTCGTCGTGAAATTTGAAACGACCTCCGAGTTACATGCGCAAGCTGATATGCCCGTTCGAGTACTGAGATTGTGCCCTCTTTGTCGCCCAGCTATACGAGAAGCGGGTCTACGTCTCCACTTCGTCGGGGTCGGTCTTCCAGGTCAACTACGGCAGGCTGACCGTCGAGGGCGTGCACCAGGTGGGGCATTTTGTCTTTCCTCTGCGCACTGTTTCTCGTGCGCTGCTTGAGCCACACCCTGCTTTCTTGAGACCATGATTCTACACACCACTTGGTCTCCACGTTCTTCATCCATATTGACGGAGCCTTTTCTTTTCCCCCAGCCTCACTTCTTCGACGCGTTTTGCATGCTTCTAAGTTGGCTGTAATCTCGAAAGCCTACTCAGTGTGGCGGCTTCTGCAATTATCCTCTCCCTTTCTTTGCGAACACGTCGAGACCCTTCTGCCTGCCTAACATCGGCCCCATTGTGCCTGCCTAATAACCTCTTCATTTATTTGCATTTTTAACTGCAGTTGCATACGGAGCCTATTAACAGTCTGGCGGTCACCGAGGGTTTCTGCATCACCGGCTCCAGTGACCGGCGGCTGCGGGTGTGGCCCCTCGAGTTCTCCGCGTTCTTCATGGAGATGGAGCTGGAGGGTAGGTTTCATTTGAAGTCAATACTCAGCAATTCTTGCAGTTGTACTATTCATAAGAACCGCAAGCAGCTGGGAAGATATGGTTCCAGAACACACCATCATTACCGGTCAAACACCCTGGAGAAGCATCTCTTTCAGGAAATGATTCAGATTACTCGTAAGAAAGCTTCACGGAGTCGCCCTCGGCTATTGTGCCTTTTCGTCACAGCTGCAATCCAGGTTCGAAAGCGCCTTTGCTGACGTGCAGGTGAGGTCATGGCCACGAGCGTCCGCGCAGACGGTCTCAGCGTGGCCTTTGGCACGAGGAGCGGTTCCGTGGGAGTGCTAGACGTGGGCAACCACCGAAATCTCACTCTGCTGAGGTCACACACCGACAAGGTAATCACGTTTGGCTTTGTACAAGTCCTGTATGTCTTGCTTGCTCTGTCTCTGTTCAGACAACAAGAATTAATTTGTCACAGATTAAAACATGATATGGAGTTTTTGCAACAGCAAGTGACGTACCGCTCCCAAAAATATCCGTCTTTCGTCAACGTTCTCCTCATCATTCACGAAGAAGCAAAGCATACTGGAATGTCTAATGCATCGCTTGCGTCCGGAACCTGATCATCAATGTATGGGTCCTCGTTGTTCTCTCAATCTCCTCCCTAACTCGGAGCTGACCAAGAACATCCTTCTCAACCTTCGATTTGTTTGTTTATGCACAACAGGTGCTCGCTTTGGCCATCGACCCAAAGCAGTCCCAATTCACGACAATTTCCGCGGACCGAACGGTTCGAATCTGGTCCCTGGACTCTATGGAGCAGCTCTACGAGTTTGATGCCCCAGGTACGTCGTCAAAGTGATTCTCTCCCCCAAGGCCTGTCAAAGCTTCCTTTGCGTTCTTTGCGAGGTTAATTACTTAGAGATAGGGTTTTTCTACTAGACTCATGTGCTAGCGAATGCTTGCAGCAATGCATATGGCCTTGCAGCAGCCATCCCTAGTACGATCCACCTTGCAGCATCGTGCGTCTGATACTTTTCCAATCGTCCTCAAAAAGCTACATTGACCGAAGCTCTGTCGATCCCAAACTTTTGAAACCCCGGAGGTCTTGAAGTCCTGGTTGATTGCTTCTTTCTAGATTAGCACACACGGTTACGAAGTTTCCCTGTGCGCGGTGCACACAAAATCAATCAATCACGCACATAAAACAGTACCATTGATCAGTCATGAACAGCAGATTCCAATGGTAGACTAGTCCATCACGTGCTTACAGGTGACTGCCCGACCTGCCTGGCGTACCACCCGTGCGAGCGCGTGATCGCGTGCGGCTTCCAAAGCGGCATGGTGCGCGTCTTCGCCATCGAAAACACGACGCTCGTGCACGAGCGGCGGCAGCACAGAGGGCCCGTCCAGCAAGTGGTACGCCGCGCAAACATGCCTAAAGTTCCTTGAAGTTTCTCGAATGAGGTTTCATACGGAAAGAACGACCGAGACAAATCGACTTTCTTAGCTTCAGACACCAAGATCTAGGAGTGACCGTAAATGAGGCATATTTCACATGTTATCGTTCTAGGGTCCCCGGGAAAGAAAGAGGCGTCCAAAAGTTGCTCTGCTTCGTAGAACAAGAGATTAATCTAATGATAGTACAGTCGTTACTGTAGCGAGAAGCAAATGCTCAAACCGCTGCCGTTCTTGGGTCTTGTGCAGCTTTTTCTGGGGTCTGGCGACCACTTGGTCTCTTCGGGCGCGGAGGGCAACCTCTGCATCTATGACGCCACCCGGGAGTATGCACCGGCCAAGATCCTGGCGACTCCAATGGGAAAGCGCCACGCGGAGATGGCCGGGACTGCGGACGGGCGACAGCTGGCGACGCTAGGCCCGGACGGGAAGTCGGTAGTCCTGTACGATACCTCAAATTGGGCGCAGGTGAGAGCTATAATTGGAAGCAGGAGTTTCCCAACACAGCCATTCGGGAATTTTCTTATTACAGATGATGCACGCGCTGATGCACTTGTAAGTCGATATTAGGGCGCACACGGGCGCACACGGGCTGTCTGAAAGATGGCGACAGCTATCGAGCGCTCTCTCTGGGAGGACCGGCTAGCTCCTTGTAAGGAGCTATTGGCAACGGCTCGGATGTGGGCATGAGGGTTCCAAAGATCGATCAATGGGACAATCGCTAGGGGCATCCGCCTGAGGCGCACTTGAGCTGAAACCAACCGGGTCTTGGCGTGTAGAGTTGCAGCACTGGATTTAAGTATGAATGCGTCCATCAGGCTGTCTGAGCCCTATTTTGGCCTTCCGCGAAAGCCGCAAATCGCACAACTGGGCGCATACGTAGTACAAACGTCCTTCAAGCAAAGCTAATCTGACGCAATATGTCCGTAAGTATTTTAATCAGGAACATTGTGGCACGAGCGGAGCTTCCCATTTGTCACTTCAGCACACCTCCCCTTATCGCCCCGCCTAGCACTTCTTATCCTTCTCGCTGCAGCCGCCTCGCGTGATTCCCGCTTCCTCTACTATCCGCAAGCTGGCCTTTTCTCCCGACGCGCGCTTCATCTTCGCCGTCACCACTGAAGCGAGGCTGGAGAAGTATGACGTGGCGAGCGGCCAGCTGGCGGGACGCGTTCCCGACGTGCATCGGGGCGACTGCCAAGCTCTGGCTGTCAGTGCGGATGGCGCCCTCGTAGCGACCGGTGGAAGCGACCGGCTGGTCAAGGTAGGATATCCGGTTTCTGTTTGAAAAGAAGCGAACATCCGAGAATATGCTTTGTTCTACTCAGCAAGGTTTCTATTTTCCATTCAGAGAGGAGAGCAAAGCGACAGGAACCAGATGCCAAACCTTCTCTTGCACAATCTTATGCAGCGTACGCTTTGATGATGAAGCGCGAGGTGCTTCCGTTTGTGTGAGCTTGTCAAGCCTCACGTTTAACTAAAGATGAAGCAGATTGCTGAGTGGCGCATTTATAAGATCGGTTTCACAGATTTAACGGCCTTACCAGTCGTAACTCGTCGGCTAAGACTGATTCGAGTGCTCGAGGGAGTCCACCTTTCGTAATGAAAGTCGCATCGAATGCAGGTATGGAGCACGAGCCTCGATGAAGCTGCGCAGTCATTTTCTGGCCAAAATGGGACCGTCCTTTGCGCCGCTTTTACAAGTGAGCCAAGTCCAAGCTTGCTGACAGTGGGTGAAGGCAACGCCATTCTGCGGTGGCGACTGCGAACAGACCCTTAAGCCAAACGGAGCAAGTTGGAGCACCTTGATCTGAAAGAATTGTATGCGTAAGGGGTGGCTGCAGTCACACAGAATCAGCAGTGTTTTGCAGATGAGGCCTGAGGCGCTTCGGATATCCTTCTTGCTTCAAGAGAAACTTGTACCATATCGAAAGAGACAGCAGAACTGTAGTCACCGAGCTGTACACAATCTCTTGTACTTTAACGCGCTGCACAGTGTATCCAAGAGGACTCAGGGATCTAATATAGTAGATGCTTGTCGTAGTCCTTCGAGATACTGACCCGTTCACTTAGACACCATGGAGCTGATGCCGGCGATGACCGGTGCACATGTAATCGGGCAGGCACATCTGCCGCGCCCTTGTTGCGTGCTTAACTGAGCCCCGTGCTTCAGATCTCAGACTTGGTCTGCATGAGTCAATTATGCTTGAGAAGCTCAACGGCGCCGCGCGGCATACCGACGTTTATAAAGCCGCGCCTTAAGTCATGCAGAGAACAAATTCGATGTATCCATGTATCCAGGCCTCATATAGTAGGTGGCGACCGATCATCAGGCTACATTATAGGGTAGCGCGGACTACGGGCCCAGGCTACGGCCGCGGCCGGCCGCCCGCGACGCGAACGGACTGCACTGAGCCATTCAATTTCGAACTTTCGGACAGTTTGACGCCACCCCCGGCCATTGTCCGAACCCGGTTCGGACCACCCTCAAAACCCCCGAAACCACCGGTAAAATCTGCGCGGGCAGCCGCGCGCTGTCATTCCTGGCATCCATAAATGAATGAGGAAAACCAGCAGACTTTAGAAGTGCTGCCCGCCCGATTGCTGATGGTGAGAGGAAAGCTCGAATGCTGTCGCTTGATCTATGGTGGTATTTGCAAGCTGCTTTTTTCCTTTGTGCCTCAGCTGGTGGTTGTCGGAGCTACAGGCAGGAAAGTACTGTATAATTCCCAATGACAATCCTGGACAGTTGGATGTTCAGAAAATGTCCATTTGACTCTGAGTCAGGCCATGGTTCTGTCGTCATCGAGATGCATGCCTCAAGATTATTTGCTGCTGCTTGTCAGGTAAAGTGGCAGTTTTGAACGAGAGCACAGGAGCGATCTTACTAATTGCTTGCTCCATAATGTTTGCAGATTCTTAGAGGTTGCATCATGGCTGCTAAGTTAGCACACGAGTGGATCGCTCTGAATAAGCGACTCAAGGACGTTGGAGATCCTGGCGACAACAATGAGAAGAAGCAGAAGGTGGCTATCCTCGAGCACCACATGAAAAGCATTGAGTTCCGCACATGGCTTCTGTCAGCAGTACCGGACGCTGAGACGCGCTTTGATGTTAAAAAGGGTAAGATTTATGCGCCCTCAATGAAACTGTGATGCTTTTGTTGCGTGTCTTTGTAATGCTAGCCGATCGTCCGAGTTGCTCTGGTTCAAAAACAAACTCAATTCTCCATTGCCATCCAGAAAAAGAAGTGAACACGAATGAGGCCCATCAATCGCTGTACAGGACCAGAAACCGTTTATTTTAAAGACCTTGACTACAGACAACCGTCCTTTATTGTCTTAGGTGTTAGATGACCGTCCTCATGATTTCCTGAAGCTTTCGGAAAGGACAAGAAGCTCATATCATCTGCCATCTGGTTTGTCAAGTCGTGACACATGAAAAGGTCGCGGGATCCGGTTGCCTTTCTTGGTTCAATGTAATCAGCTTCCTGTTTCCTCTACCCTTCATGCATTTTTCGCTGGGACCTTAAATGTGTGCATCTCAAAGATGTATGTTTTCTTGAGTTCTTGACTCAATGAATGAAAGAGAGGAGACACAATGTCGTCATGCCTCTCTGATTGAGAGCACTTCAGGCATGTTCCAGTGCCGAGAGAACCATGCGTCTTCTAACCCCAACGTCAAATCGTGCTCTACAGCCAACCTTCTGGACAACCTCGACCCCCGCGACAAGTTCCCATACCTAGTTCGCCCCCCGGTTCTCCCGCCCCGAGGTGCCTCCTGGGCGTTCCCCGGGGGAAACCGGTTACTGGTCAGCGTTGACCTGAACGACAAGTCCGCCAGCTTGATCCACTCTAAGGCGGACGAAGCGCGCCTGTCCGATTTCAAGCGCCTCTGGCGTCCCGCTCCCAACGACGACGGACGCTCCTTCAGCGAGTCATGCCTTTTCAAGTGGGATACGGGTCTGGTCACACTGGGGAAGGTGGACTTCCGAGATAAATCCAGCCCTGAGTCGAGCTTCGGCCACGTGCTCTCCGCCGCTCAGGCCCTCTACCGCATGCGCTGCCTGTTTCCGAAGCTGAAAGTGGAGAGAGGTGACGGGTGCAAGTGCATCTGGGGGTTTACGCTGGAACATGCGCTCAGCGGCGGCCGCGTGAGCGTGGGGGAATGGAGCGCCACTTTCATTTTCAATGTGAGTGCCTTCAATATTGTTAAACTCTTCAACGAATTGTTCCCAAACAGCAGAAAGAAGTCAGGAATGAAAAGGGGAATGATAGGAGAAATATCGAACTTTCGTGCTCTTCTTCCTGCGATCGGAACGTCGTATTTTCGAGACTCCGTTGGGACTCGTTTCACAGCCTTGCGGATATGAGATCGTGAGCCCCCTGGAAGCTTGTCAGAAACACAGAACCGGAGTTTCAATGAAATGAACCAGCAATAACCAGAAAGAAACGTGAAAAGCTTCGGATAAATTCTCAAGTTGCAAACCTTGATCCGTTGTTTCCGGTTTCATCCTCAATTTCAGATGAAGCAACGATTGACATCATGACGACAGTGCTTGTGAAAGTATTAAAACCGCTCTATTTGTAGGTAGCGGACGCAAAGGGGCCTTGGAAGGACGCGTTCCGCAGCGACGCGGCCGCGCTGCTCGCGCTCCTGCTGTCCACCGAGTGTCGTCACCCCTGCGGCGTGTCTGCCGGTACAGTGGACCCCGCCCTGCTCCAGGATTGGCCGTCCGTCTTTGAGGTGAAACCCTCTGCGTCGCTCATTTGATTTCCACTTTCTGTCTGGTAGTGTTTGCGGAATCTGAAAGCAGAATGCAAAACCTAGAACAGAAGCGTAGAGGCTCGTCATCAAAAGAATACGGCCGCCTGACGGACTTGACAGACGTGCGAATGTGCGATTTGAAAGCTCTAATTGCTTAGAGGAGAAGCACGTCATCTTCTAATCAGTGACATTGCCATCTGCAGCACTGATGTCTCACGAGTAGAACATGAAGTAAGTGGATTTTAAGAGATCTCAGTAAAAATCTTGCAGGGCGCAAAATACCCGGTCGACCCCGTCTTTGCCGGCATGGATCCAGTTGACGACGAGGAGATCGGAGCCATTGCAAAGGCACCGTGGAAGGCCTCCGGAAAGAGAGGCAGGCAAGTAACTGCAAGCTGCAATGGACTTGACGTCAGCAACGCGCGTAGAGACTCAGCGGACTAGGACATTTCCTCTTTGAACGTTTGATGGCACTCCAGCAGTTGCGTTGGTACCTTGGACTTGCGGGTAAAGTGGACGCTTCGAAAACGTCTGCAGCCACTGTAACCTTGAGAGCCTCAGTTCGACGACTGATCGGATTGTCGCATGGCCTTGAATCAACGTGACTTGCTTTTTCTGCAGCTGCAGCGCCGTGATCAGTGGTTGCGAGGCCCTACCTGTCTCGTTCAACCCAATCACCGGCAAGATCACCATCGAACCCCAAGGAGAAGCGTGCAAAGAGAGCGCCTCCAAAAAAAGCAAAGACGGAGGCCTCGGCCTCTGGAAAAGAGAAGGAAGCGGGGGAGGTAATTACGAAAAAATGCAGCTGTCGCCCGTTGCATATCCCTTCAAAGTTGTAACTTCAGATGGCTTCTGAATTTTCTGAGACACGACACATCCTTCGGTGATGAAGTTGGAGAATAGGACCGAACGAATTCGGGTAATTCTTGGTGCTCTTAGCGTCTTCCTTACATTTGGCAAGTAGATCGTCAGAACGTCCTCTTATGTGAGCTCAGCGTTTGACTACCTTTCATGTCATCGAAACCGCTGAAACAAAGGCGGCATCAAGCGGTGATCTTCACCTTTCCGTTCGTCTTGTAGGGCTCGGGGAGCGCGACTGAGGTGCCCCTCTGCGCGGCCATCTCATCCGCGATGCTCCTCTACCGCCTCAGGGCGACCTTCACGCTCGGGAATCTCATCCTCCTGGTTCCCACGGACCACCCCGCCTTCAAGTACGACCTAACTCTGATCACGCCGATGGCCGGCGAAACCCTCAGCACCGATTCGGTGTGGCATGTGGAAGTCGCGCACGCGGCAACCGGGCTCCTTGTGCGCTTCGGCGACTGGCGCGGCGCCGCTACCGTCTGGCTGAAAGAGCCCGGGAGAAGCGAGTGGGAGACCGGGGCAGCGAAGCGCGATCTTGCGCAGCTGCTCGAGTATCTATGCAGCCGGAAGTGCACGTTTCCCGAGGACGGCATCGTGGCGGGGAGCGTCGCCTAGCTTATAGCCCAGTAGTCAGCTAGATCGAACCCAATGTTTGCTTCTTCTGTAGTACGGTCAACGCTAGGATCGTGCGGCAATTACTTCGATAGACCAAGAACCGTCAATTAAAGCTACTATACGCAAAACGTACTCGAACCCCCCTTTTTAATAAGGTGCCAATTCATACCGGCCGGGGCACTGCGAGGGCCACCACCTTTGCGCTTGACCTCGGCGCAGGATCACGGCTGGACCTCGCCGGCCATGCACATATGCATGAGATCTAAAAATGTCGACACAATTTGGCTGTTCAGTTGTTGAACAATTGAACAAGTTGTCCAGCATGTCAATGATGAGTACTGCATGATTGGCGTGCATCGAAACCATCCAAGCAACCGCCAAGCTGGGCTGGACTCTAACCATGATTTCTTACTCGAAGCGCTAGATTGGGATGCCCTGCAACCAAAGCTGTCTCTACACCAGCATGTTCATAACATACATATATATCAGACAAAGCATGTTCATACCCTACAACGATATCGATCTGGCACCAGGTTTCAACTAGCCCGTTCTTGCAAACCTTTCAAAGACCTTATCGATCCGACTAACTTCGAATACCTTCAACTTGCTGTACTAGCCTTAGCAGGTTCATCACGAGTGCTTCGGTCTTGCTTAGCATCTGCAAGTTTGTGTGCCACAAGAAGTCGCTTCTACACCTCGACTTGTTGCTTCAAATCCTGTAAGTCTGCGAAGTGAGTCCCAAACGTCTGTCTGCTACAGTTGCTGGGAGGGCCTTGGATCTTACATCAATCCGGAATCTCTACACGTACTTACAGAAAAACGGAGGCGGGACACTAACACTTATAGGCTCTGACTGCATCGACGACCCGGTCTTGGTCACTTAAACATAGAGCTGTGAAGAGGGGCAGTCGCAGAATACACCGACTTATGAAAACGGAATTAGGGCAATGCGCTGACAGACCGTATTGAACGCGGCTGCCTTCCTTGGATAGGTGGAGGGGTTGGTAGTGTGCGGCGCCCTTGATGCCTTCGGCTTTCAAGTGAGCTGTCAAACCTGAGGGGTGAGGAGAGAGGAAAGTTGAAGCTTTTAATCACAAAGAAAAGTCTTCAGGAGTTCGTCTTCTCCATGGACTTACAGACTTAACCGTGATGCTGTGCAGATGAGGTTCCTCTAAAAGCTGTATGCCTCGAAGACCTTCGGTGGTGACGCAACAGCCAATTGGAGAGCGGGTGTGAAAAAAGATTCGACGAGCTCGGTTCAACATTTTCGATCGCTTTCTTTTTCCTACTCGATGCCCGTTGCGACAGAAGTTTAAGCAGGGTTAGACAACGCTAACCGAAGACTCACCGGTCGCTGCTTGCGGGCTGGGCATAAGGACCGCGAAGATATGATACGCAGGTTGGCATACCGTCGGCACCCGGGGGAGAACGACGCTATTTGCATCTGCCCAATCTCGTAGAGAGTCTCGGTACCGGTGCCAAAGGAGTCCCCGTTTTGCGGTGATCGGAACGCTGAGTTCGAGTTGGGCCAGAAGCGTCGCCGCAAGGAGGTCGGACGGAGCGTAGCTGGAGCCGACGTCGCGCCACGTGTAGCTGCATGAAATTCACACGTGTCACGTCAGAGGAGAGGCGAAGAGCGGTCTACTCGTCATGGTATTCCAGAAAATTTAATATGGTCAGGTTGACGAAAACTAAACCTCCGCTTGCAGTCAAGCCTGACGTCTTCGTTCAGCCAGAGAGAAATTCGGCGTTCTTATGTTAGACTGTCCAGAAAAGGGGAGCGCCACCTTTTGAACCCTTCCGAGCTAGAACTTTGGGAAAGGAGGCCCTGAAGATTGGTCTTTGAAAGACGGCAACATGACGAGAGGCTCAGTACCTCTTTAAGTTTTAGTTGACGCCTTTCGAAACTTGCAAGATTGCCGAACAAGTCAGCTTCTAAACGGACGACGTCTTTTGGCACAGTATCCCGAAAGCATTTTCCGAAGCAGAAACGATGAAGCTTTATTAAGCGCGACGTCCAAAGTTAAGAGTAGAGGCCGACTGATCGAACCTTTCCGGCTCTTGCAACAGAACGTGCGAGCTGAATCATAATGCTGTCACATCCCCGGGAAAGGTTCGAGAATCTATCAGCGGTTTAGAATGCGCATAGATTCGCACAGAAAATCGTACAGCATCTTCGATGACGTCACATGATTATACTGCGTGCTTACCTGAGAGCCGATCCTTGCACAAAGCGGTGCCTGTCGTTGCCGCAGCTTCGGATGGTCAGCGCTCTCTCGACGAACCGCGCGTCGTTGATCAAGAGCGCACCGCCCTCGCCGCATGTGATGTTCTTCGTCTCATGAAAACTCAGCGCCCCAAAGGTGCCCAGACTCCCAAGCGGCCTGCCCTTGTAACTGCGGGATATTAAAGTGGTGCACAATACACTTTAGTACCTTACAATGAAACATGCTGTCTGCCTCAATTCAACCCTGGCATGACGAGCTCTCGTTCATTTGACGGCCAGCCAAAGGACATGAAAGAACGAGCCCCACTTTTGTTAAATTTCCTTTGGTCGAAAAATCGTAAGAGCCGAGTCATTCCGGTGTGGATCTGGTGAGGACTTTCTGCAGATGTTTTCAAATGCAGCCAGTGACTCTTGACGAATCACTTTGACTCCGTGTCAAAAGTGTCCAATTGAATGCAATCGTACTCAGGGTCCAGATCTGAGGTTCCCCAAAGGCACGGTCTGAAAGAGTCTGGTTGTGGATTATCTCAACATTTGAATTTCAACGACAGCATGTCGTACCTTCCAAGGAACGCATGAGCTGCGTCCTCGAGCACGTGAACCCCGTACTTGGAGGCGACCCGCCAAATCTCGTCCATGTCGCAAGCGACGCCGGCATAGTGCATCACCACAATGGCTTTGGTGCGAGGGGTGATTGCCTGCAAGCAGAAGGAGAGGACTCACATGAGCTGCCACCTCTTTCAATTCCCCTTGTCAGCGATTCTTGCAGGCAATCAACGCCGGAAAATGCTTTTCAGGTCATTCGACCTGAAGTGTACGAGTGTGGGGCTCAGTTCGAGCTTTTGGACAAGATCAGCTTAGGTTCTCTTTCTTGGCCTCCAGCCTCTTATCGGGAAAAGAGATAAATCCTGCCATCATCCATATGTCATTCCCCTCTCCCCATCATCTGAGACCAGAATGAGAGGGGTGAACCTTAAAGAACAATCAGCATGGATGTTCAATGAGTCGCATACCTGCTCGATGAGCCGCTCATCGATGTTGAAAGTATCTGTTCGTGAGTCGACAAATACTATGCACGCGCCGTGACGAGAGAAGGCACTGGCGGTGGAGCAGAATGTAAAAGACGGGATGATGACCTCATCACCTGGAGAGACGATGGTTTGAGCTTCACAATGTCGGGAAGCTACTTGATCAGCAACTTACACGTCAAAAACGTGCTCCAATCAGTGCACACGATATGCAGTGGAAGACAATGGTATTTTGCTAAGGACCACACGACAAAAGGCTTCTGCAAGAAAGGTTAAGAAGGATTTTCCTGCGGTGTCCCTGTAACAGGTTGAGGGAGTACTTGATGCTCTAAAACAAGGGCAGGTCTGCTTGAAGATTCAATAAGAGGAGCGGCCCATGAATCTACGTTCTTTAAAGGGCGAAGAGGGAAGTTGCCAGCTAGGCGAAGAAGAGAAGGCTTGTGTGGGTGAAGAGCGCTCTGTTTGGGATAAAAAGATGTCCGAAAAGACAAATGCAAGACATGTCTAAGAAAGGCTTTCAGATACAGGCAAGCCTAAAGTTCGACTGACATTGGGAAATGTCTTGAATTTGGCAGCTCAAAAGAGGAAAAGTAACTAGGAGGGGATGAGCTAATACTTTGAAGAATGAAGGAAAGGAGATATTGAAAGGCGGAAAAGTATGTCAGCCCTGAGCCACAGAACGAAAAATACTAAAGTGAGATGTGTAATGCTGAAGAACGCAGAAGGCGACACTTAGGAGGTGACGAATACGCGAGCACTTTGATTGGGGCAGGGACAAACGGGAAAGGCACTGAGAATGCGGTTGGACAGTGTATTCAGAAAAAGGAAAGAAGCTCCAGCTACGGAGATACTAAAAGCCGTCATAGCAAAGATTCTGACGTACCTGGGCCAACGTTGAGCAGCAAAGCCATCAGCTCCAGCGCGTGCGTGCATGATGTGGTCAACAGGGCTCTGGGGACTCCAAGCACTTGCTCCAAGTGCGACTCACACTTTCCAGTAAATGGCCCGAGTCCTGTTACATGCAAACAGAAGTTGATACTCATTTCGAGGCAGGGTCTTGATGAGTCTCGATTGCACCAGCTACTGCGATCAAGAGACAACCTTAAAAGGTAAGAGTCCCCAAGCAGATACATAAGTTCCTGTGGTTTCTCGATTCCCTGTTCACTTGTTCAGAACTTTGCTCACGTTTAGGGACCTTGCAGAACAGATGTGTCTTTGCCATTGGTTCCCTGTGACTGAACTCAACCAACTTCACATCAAGGGCACGAGGTTTTCCTAGGCAGATAATCCCGATCTCGTTACTTGCTGAGATTCTCAACTGGCTGCACCACACAAAAGCTTTCATCCTTCTGAACTCTTATTGTCAGAGTCTCATGCTTGAACAGGGGTACAGCCGTGTTGGCAAGGATCCACCAGGCGCTCAGGCTGAGATGGTGAAGACATATAGTCAACGTGCACGCACCTGAGATCTTCCCTGACGTCATGGCCTGCATCATGTAAGCCTGCTCCTTTCCTGTCCAGTAGACTTGGTGGAATGGAACCACCGCCGGTTCACAATTGCCTGAGAAGCCCCGGTCCTTGCTGCCGATCACTAAGCCACTGCCTGAAACTTCAGCTGGCCCAACAAAAACCCCAGGACAAATTGCAGGCTCTAGGTCTATCGAGCTGGACTCAGACCTGAGTCCAGTTGCGGGACTGAACACCAAGCTCCTCAGAAGAGGCCAGCCTTTGCCATCCAACGAGCTCCCAGCTGTGTCTCTGGAGCCAAAGGTGCGGTCATGCTGCTGAAGTGCTTCGAAAGTATCATCCAGATCCTGCTCTTCAATCGAACAGTCAAGAGAAGACATGGAGGAGGAGTGTGGGCTTGGACTCAGGGTGGGAGACTCGTCACAAGGACTCACGATGGCCCCTTTGAAGTGGAGCGCGCGCAACTCCCGAGGCTCAGCCATCCTTGCCAGCAATACTTGCAGGGCGTTGCGTCACTGCCTGAAGTCAAACAGCAGTCTTTCATGCAATTGCTCACCCTTCAAGGCCCTGAGCAATTGGATCACTTTCGCTCCCTTCTTTGCGTCTTGCAAACAGCTGCAAGCTGTTCGCCTTCGTCATGGTTGCAAGCCTCGTTTGACTTTAAGGTCACTGGCATAAAGGACGTGGAATTTTCGGGCATGAAGTTTGCGTCTTGCAAGAGGTGTAGCAGGGACTTGTCGGCCTGCACGTCAGACAACTATCAGCAAACGTGGTCATGTTGCGCTCTAATATCATGACGTCCCACAAATCTTTAGAAGAAAAGGGTTTGTCAGCGTACTGATTGTGCAGCCTCACGCAGCCGCACGAATAGTACCCGCAAGATAGACTGCACAAAATCCGGGTGCAGGCTGATCAAGGGTCTGAGACGGTCTCCGAAAAGGGGGCTCTCATGTGGCCCAGCCTCGTCTTTTTTCGACGTCTTCGGAGAGGATACCGTCTCGCCTGTTTGTCCTGAATGCCGATCCCGATTCCGATCGCCATATGCAACTCTGGTGGATGATTGGATATCAGATGCATCGGCCACCTGACGTGGCCCTCAGTGTGACACCAGGCCAATCAAACAACGTTTACGGTACTTATCAGTGGCTTCAGTGCATGGCACCGGGTTTACTGTGTACTTGGCAGGTTTCTGTGTACCTACTTGGGCCTTTGCACTAGAGCCGGAGTTGCCTAAATCAGTACACTGTCCACTGCGTACACTAGGTACGGTATGTCACTTTAATATGAAACCGTACAGCTAGAGCCTACCTACTAGGCCCTGGATTCCTGGAGGTTCCCTGGCCTACGAGGGTACCCTTCGTTACGACCTTTCACCGTACGGTACGCCGCCCGCGGTCACTCCTGTGACGTCAAGCTCAGAATCCGATCAGTCCTGTAGTGACGTCAGAGACGTCAGATACGCATCTTCGGAAACAACCACTGCTCCCGCCGGCCCCGCGGCCCGGCGAACGTGCTTTGCCCGATTATCGTACCGGGATCATCCAGTACCGTACTGTTGCCGCCTGAAAGTTGCTAAACCGTTTGCGGGTTGCCCAGTACGCTCTGACTTTTCCGCCATGAGCTTCACAGTGCCCGGTTGCCTGCGCTGTTTCCAAATCTCCCAGCCTGTTGACGAGACCGCCCGACTGCTTTTGCAATCCCGGTTCCCGGGGGTACTGCACAGTGCACACTGCACCCGGCACCGCCTAGAGTAGCTGGTATGGAAGTACGCGGTTCCAAGTGTACGGTGCTACAATTAACCAATGGTCCGAGCCCTCCAAGATACGTAAGTAAGCCGTCACTTATAGGTAGTTGAGCACTGGATGCTGCATCATGACTTCTACGCAAGGCTGAAATATTTCCAGTGTTTGCAAAAAACGCTTTGCCCAAAATGGCAATGGCCATACCGGCTGTCCGTCCTGATAACACGAGATCTCTCCATTCAAAGGAAGCTGCGTATTATACAGCAAAGAAAGAGCAGCTCATCAGCTAAACGGATTTGGTATGCCATCACTTTATCCCGGAATGACCAAGTCGGATAACCAGCTTAGTTGTCTGGTGTTCTCAGCAGAAACTTCGCTGAAAGCGCCAGCTAGGCTGCTCTGCTAAGCTCAAACGGAACTCTTACAATGACACAAGAACGCAACGTGCCCTCCTGCACACGCGAGGTTGCGTATGGACGCGTTCTTCAGCTGCTGGCCGGCCAATCCCTGTGCGCCAAGTGGCTCCTTATGGCGGCAGTCTGCTCCTTGGCCCTCTGGACAAGCTGCCACGGGGTGCATGGCCTGCATCTGAAGACGGGAAAGCAGCCTCATGTAAGCGACAGAGTAATCCACCAACATGCTTCCATCAGTCTTTGTCCTAGTTGTCTCCTATTTTTTGAATCCAACGGCTTATTTCTCTTTGAGTAACGACGGTGCTGCTCCATTTTGATATAATTCTGAAAATCATTTGATAAATAAGCCATTTTCTTTGAGCTCAAAAGAAGTGAAAGCGTTCCAAGATTGAGCAGATTAGTAGTAGATCTTCAACATCGAATCCATTTTTAAAGGTGACTGCGTGCGCGTCACAAAACGGCGCCTTTATTACTGTTTTGCATACTGCACACCAAGAGAACTTTCTGATTCAGCATGTTAGCAGATCATTCTCCTGAGATCGCATTCAATTGTAAGGCCATCTTCTTTTGTCATCCAGGACTTCGAAATGTTAACGTTCAGCTGATCATTTCCACACACTGCATTCGCCTCTGCTTGACTGTAGAAGAAAGTAGAGATCCCAAGATCCTGCACTTGGGAGCTGCAAGCTGTGCAACTAGAGCTGCAAGACCTGACCTCTGAATGCGGAGGACTTTAGCAATGCTACGTGCATAACCAGCTCCTCCATATCGGCAAGGAAGGTTACTGGTTGAGTAGTCTGCCAAGAGGGCAGGCGGGTATTTACGCTGCTCTAATGATTGCACAAGGATTACGAATGCGTCTCATGCTGCCGTGTCTGTGCATCGTCATGCAACAACGGGGAAAAGATTTGCTTCAGAAGAACCGGTGAACTTTATGTCAGGTGCTCCTATATTCTATCAAAAAAATCACAGCTTGAAGTCGAAGGTATGCTACCGGGGTTCGTAAACTTCTTTCTTTCAATCGTATTCGCTGCTCCTTCATTGATTGACGCTAAGCGCTAGAACTCCCTACATTATGCCAAACCTCACTGACGTCTCCGCTCATCCTGCAGGCACTCACTCCGACATATGAGCCGAAGAAGACCGACTCAGCCGCTTATGCCACCACAACTCAGACCGTGCTTTCACCCCAACCACTAGTACCAGTCTTGCAGTCCTGGAGCTCTTGGATCCCCTCGGTCCAAACGCGCTTCGAACAAGCATCCCCGCGCAAGAGCTCACCATCTTCGTTTTCGGGGTTGGGTTAGTCCGGAGCACTGCAAACCCGGAAACTTGGGTTTTCCGGGTTCAGGGGTTCGTAAGAGACCGGGTTGAGTTCCTCATGCACTCCAACATAATTGGCACGTCCAGTCCGATGGCCCGCAATCTGACGGTCACGTGCAGCGGAGAGGTGGCCGGTCGGCCTCCGGACAAAATCCCGAAGTGGGTCCGTACGTCCGAAAGCATTCACCGCTCCGGCGGCGTCCGCGCAAACCGTCCGTCTCTGGGGAATCGCAAGGCAGCGCTGCAGAGCGCTGACGGGAAGCAGACTCTTCTCGAGAAGATTTTAGGGAGTGCCGAAGCAACTAGGTTGAGGACTTGGGAAGGCCCCGCTTTGGTGGACCAGCGCTCCTGGAGGCACACGCTCGACTGGGCCGATCCGGTGTCGTACCAAACGGACTTCCTTTGCGACGTGCCCTCGAGTCTAGTTCCGACTCTTTCCCGGCGCATGACGAAGCTGAGTCTTAGCTTCGGTTACGCCGGTAGCTCTCCCGCTGCGCCGCCAGCCAGAATAGATATTACAGTGGGGCCCGTGGTTCGGGATGGGCCCTACAAAGTGGCGGCTTGTATGGGTCCGCTATACGGCAAACAGAGCCGGGCGCAGTGGGTCCAGTGGCTCGAGTTCCATATCCACATCGCCGGTTTCGAAAAATTCTTTCTCTACAGCGTCGACGATACGGAGCAATTGCTCGACGTCCTGCGAGACTACGTCGACGAAGGAACCGTCGAGGTGCGGCGGTGGGAGACGTTTGGGACGAGGGAGAAGTTCCTGGAGAGCAAACGGTACTACGACGAGCAGCCGCTGCGTTCGCACTGCATAACCAGGAATAGAGGGGTGGCCACGTGGCTGTCCTTCCATGACGTGGACGAGTATATTTTCGTTCGGAGAGGGGCGCAGTTGGGAAACGTGGCGGCGCTCTTGGACGGCCTCCCGGAAGAAGTGGGTGCGGTCAGGATCATGAGGCACAGATTCCCGGTGTCTAAGGACTTTGAGGGATCGGGGTCGGATCTAGTCATCCAAAAGCACTTGAACCGTAGCGCGATTTTCGACGAGAACCAAGGAAAGCCCATCGTGAGGACGGAAGTGGCCCGGGAGGTCACCGCGCACGAGTTGGAGTTCTTTGAGAATGGGCAAAGCAAGACGGCTGAGAATAGCATCACGCTGCCCATCGACTGGGCCATCATCAATCACTACAGACGCGAACCGGTGCAGGGAGATCCGAACGAGCTGTTCGATAGGTGGGGAAGGCACAACGATCAAGCGCCATTTAACGTGACCGACGACGAAAGCAGTAGCATTACAACCTTTTCATCAGAACTGAGGGGATTAGTTAGTGCACGTGCCAAGTTCCGTTGAATAAACAAAGCTTGCTGTTTCTTTTTGCTGCTCGAGGTACTTGAAAACAAGGTAATTTTCTGTTCTGTATCTTCGGGACCTAGCCCACTAGCAAACAGATCAGGCTCGTGCTGCATACTCAATTGAAGGTTGAAACTCGTAGATTGCTACCATAAGCGCGCGCGAATCGTCCATGCAAAATGCTGGCACGCATGTAAATCCGCACAGAGGTACGTTCTGTTCTTCTTCGACATGCATGTGTGTCTACGGCCAGGCAGCATATGGCCGACCAATTGAAATTTTGCTTGCTATTTCTCGTCATGTGGTCTCCTAGGTTCGCACGTAAACACGTTTAGAGTATAGAGCGTCCGTTTGCGTGGCTCATCCGTGCCGGAGTGGCGCGGCCTGCTACTAAATCACTATGTATCGGGATGACCCAAACCAAACCGTCGATCATGAGTTGGCTAAATCCTCAACATGACTGGCCAGGCTCGATATCAAAATTCATCATGACGCATGCTTGCAACAGATTGAATGAAATCAACTATTGCACTGCATGCATGCGGTCACTCACGGGTTTGACGCGACGGTATATATAACAGTTCCAGGGAACGGATTATAAGTTTGTATAGTCTAATGATCGTCGATTTGCATGCTAGGCGCCCAGAGGCCGCGCGGGAGATTCTCACACGTTCAATGTAAGGAGTAACATGTATATTCAAACGAATGATCGCGTTAATGTGTTCAACATTGCCAGAGACCATGGGCATATCCCTTTGCAGGCTGAGCGAGGTCGCAGGTAGACATCTTATAAGCGTTTTAGGAGGTCAAGGTAGCATAACGACATGCAATCACTACCCCAATGCTCGTGATGATTGCACACTTCCGAATGAGAGTAAGCGTGACGGTTTTTAAGCGCACGAGAGAAGGATGCATTAGTGTGTCATCGAGCCGGAAGTCCAATTTGTCTTTGATCTGTCTAAATATCCGTAGAATTTTGCATGTAAGTAAACAAAGGCCTAAAATTGTGGGATCGTAATCTAGCAGTGGCCAGTCGTGAGCAGAATGGAATCTTTGCAAGGATTCAGGTCTCGACGTTTTCGCGACTTCACAGTCCAACCACCTCCGTCGCGTACTATAACTCCTTTGCATCCTGTCCAACTGTGTTTGACGGTACCGAGCTCACCCTGGAAGCATATTAAGAGCTCTGGACCGATCATCATTCCAGGTGGGCCTAGCTCTGCAACCGGAAAGCCAGGCAATCGATGAGCGAGTCGTTTCGCTGATCAGGGAGGAGAACTCAAGAGCAGAAAGAAGCAACAGGTTTTAAACGTGACACTAGTGGCAAGCATAAGGAAATTGATAGGTTTGTGTACAATTTCGAAGTAGGCTGACGAAGTACGCCTCGAACCCAAGCGAAACGGCGGAGTAGTCCGCTCCAACACGCAAAAAGCGGTTCTGCAATGACAAGCCGTGCGAAAGTTCTCACCACTCTTCGACTGCTTCGGACGCCTTTTTCCACAGCATCTTCGTCGCTATCCGTCTCCAAGATCACTTCTCGCGGCCGCTTATGCTCGTCCTGCATGTAACACTCTATGCCGTTAATGCGGACTGGCAATCATCCAAAACAGTCAGGGAGTCAAGCAAGCACTTTTCCATCCACTTCTCTGCAGTTCGCAAACCCGAGATCGTTTCTCCAGCTTACCTGGACGGGAAAGCTGATGGTTCTGAGCTCTTAAGAGAAAGTCATGCAGGAATAAGGGGCGTTCTTGGACCGGTGACGTCTGGCGACCAAGTTCCTTAATCTAAGTCGCCAAATGTGCTACGGTGTATGCTTGTCTCCAGCATTACAACACACCCTCGACGCTATAACTCGCTTCGGAACCACATTGCCTCAAGAGCAGCAGGAAGCCTTCCGCACGCATGTCCAGCCTGGATGCCGCAAAAAAGTAACTCGATTCGTTTACCCGTTGGTTCGAAGGAAATGCAACGCGTGCACATCGGAGCTGATTGGTGCTTACCTTTCTGGTTGCACTTTTCCGTTTCCTTCCAGCTGACCGCTTGCGGCTGTCCGGCAAGGCCGCTCCTTCTTCTCTTGAGCGTTCGTCAGTCGCTCCCGGAATTGAAGGCGCTGCCGCGGCGTTCGACTCCCTACCGTCCTGATGCAAAGGCCATGAAAGCACGCTTCAACCTCGTTGATCAGCTACAGGGTCGAACCTGAGGATAGCCTATCCGCATCAGCATCATAAGCAGGCAATGGTCAAACGGCATCCATTTGCAAGAAAAGAAGCACCCCAAAAGCTGCCTAATCCGGGGGCTTGACATTGCCCTTTTCAGCAATTCAACCAACGGAGAAACACACTCTTCGCCAGTGCTCCAGATCGGAAGCCTCACCATTACGTTCGCAGTCTCGGCAGACCCTCTGAACTCCCTCGCCGCAGTCTGCCATCCCCCCTCTTCCGGAACCGCGGGCGCGCCCCCGCCTCCGGAGTTCAAAACGTTCGCTTCGGATGCAGACAGGATTGTTGCCCCTCGGCCAGAAATGCCGGCCTGTAAGCTCGCCCGCCTGGCGCCCGCTCGAGCCACGTACAGCGGCTTTGGGGCCCGAGGGGTGGGCTGTCCATTCCGCTGCGGATCGACCGTTCCGGAGGGCGCCTCTCCGGTCTGGGCAGCAGGCGCCTTACTCGTCGCCGGGACGAAGCCCGCTCGCAACGATTCCGGTGGGAGCAGATGTGCCGCCGGAATGTACAGCGCTTCGGAGGGGCTTCCAACCGGGGCTTTCGTGTTCTGAAGCGAGTCAGCGATAGCGCCACGCATCGGTGCAGTGCAGACGCCGGTGGCAAAGTCCCGACCGATCTGCGGGTGCGACTCGGGGTGGGGTGGAAGGTCCTGAGCGACAGATGGGAAAAACGGCGGGACCGAGTCCAGTCGGGGGGAGAAGTTTCCGACCGGTTTAAATGGACCCGCTGACAAGGGAGGCTGCGTGTCCAGCCGAAAGGGGCTTGGCTGGAGGTGCTCGCTCGGGGAAGGTAGTACCGGGAAAGATTGCCGGGGGAGGGCAGGCCGGGGTCCGGGGAGAGGGTCTGAGTGCCTCCCGGGCGGCCTAGCAGGTCGTTGTAGAATCACTTCGGGAAATAGGAACACCTGCAGAGTTCAAAAGCTTGAGTTGAAAGCCAATTTGTTTTGGTCTGGTCCAGTAAGCCATCTGCACGAATCGCCGAAAGTGTAATAGCCTCGTTTTCCGCGCTATAAGCAAGCAGAAGGAGCGGCACCAAAAGAGGCAGATATGCTAGGCGGCAAGTATACAGCCTCTTTCTGCAAGTGCTCTCCTGAACAGGTTGCAAGATCTATCTTCCAACGATGGGCTGTCAGATGCAGACATAAAATTGCAGAGACTCAGCACGCTTACCTGCCCGTTGAAGTAGGAGTTGGCCTTGTCTGCGGCCAGCACCTTGGCCCCAACGCTCATTCCCCCAGGGCCGCACCCGGGGCAATGTACCGGCTCAAACACGCATCCGTCCTTCTCAACCCAGATGCCCCCGCCCTTCCCCCCCGACTGCTGCTCCACTCGCGCAGATCCCGTTCCCTGTCGCCCTTGCAAACCAAGCTCGCTGGCGTTCACGACCAGAACTTCGACCGGATACAGGCCCCCGCCAAGTCCCCTTCCGTCTGACAGGGCAGCGGCATCCCCAAGCGGAAGGCCCATCTCTGACCGGCTTCGTTCCAAGAGGCCCTGGAGAAAGCTCTTCTGCAGCACCGTCTTCGTGACCTCCGGGGAATAGACAGCAGCGACCTCAGAGCCGCACCGAGCACAGGAGATGCTTGTCCCCAGGGTGTCCGCATCCGCTATCCCAGCCCCCCCAAAAAAAGCGCTCCCCTCAAGGGGATCCCCCGGCGGCTGCCCCGAGCACGTCGCTCCGGTGTTTCCACAACGCATACCGCTTTGCAGGGCCTGGGGTGCCGTCGGGCCCCTGCAACCGGCTGGCCCAAAAGACTCACGCTCGCCCTGGTTCCGTTCTACTTCTGGGACTGCAGGTTCAGACTGTTTCCCGGTCTGCCTGCCCCGATCACTAATGCCTGCTTCCGTTGCCTTCAGACTCTCTTCCTCCCGACACTCGGCGACCAAAGCGTCCAAAGTCTCCAGGTCTAGCGAGTCCACCGGTCCGTGACCCTGCGTCTCCGCTTGCTTTCCGGCGGAACTGCTGGGAGCCGGGGCCGCGGGTTCCACGAACCCCTCGTCGTTCCAGAACGGGCTCGTCTTCGCCTGCCGCCTCTCCGACCGCGTCGGCTGCGTCGCCTCGTACCGCCGGACGTAGCCCCCCTCCGGTCCGGCAGCGTCCGGAACCGGAACCCCCGCCTTGAAACCCGACAGCCGTTCCGCGAACGCTTCAGCAGCCCCCGACGGGCCCGCCCGACAGCCCAACAGCTGCTCTGCAAACGTCTCGACAGTGTCTAGAGAGTCGTTCTCGGGGGCTGACGTTCCGGGACCGGAGCGGGCGGGCTTGGCGGAAAGGGGGCGCCCGGTGGAAGACTCCAGGGCTTTGTTGAACATGGGGTGGAACTTGCCGGAGCCCTGCGGGGGCTCGACGGCGAAGGGCGCGGGGGCGGGAGGCGACGGGGCTCGTTTTGGAGGGTCCAGCTGCGAAAGTAACGGACGCCTTTTAGGGAAACGGTGAGCAGAAAGAGGGGATGCACAGGAACGTACCCAGGAACATAGCGGGGACTCATTTCGGCGGTGGAAAAGCAAATGATAAGCTGGTCTGAATTGAGGATGTCATTGAACAGGGATCAGACGAACTTGCATAGAAGGCCACAGCAGGTTGCAGTAGTTGGACGACGACGAAAACATGCAGAAGCAACTCGAAAGCCAAGGTTTTTCCAGCAGCGCCGACTGACCTCCAACCGCCGGAAGAAGCTGCGCAGGGAGTCCATGCTCTCGCCAAAGTTGTTGTACTTGGTGATGGAGCCACGCAACCACTTGGAGAGGGACTGCGTGTTACTGGCACGGTAGAAGCGCTCGTCTGAAGTAAAAAACATCCACAACAGCCACGTCAGCATTTCGGCCGTCATCCGAGAATAGTAAGAGCGCCAAGAATAGCCATTACAAGTGAAAGAATTGTCGACTAGAGTGTGTAAGTCGACGATAGAACCGAGACGGATCCTGTTTCAAACTGTTTTCGGACGCGTTGTGAGTTGAAACGAGCCTACTCTGTCTGCTGGTGTAAAATGCTTACCGAAGAGGAGGACGGCGCCGAAGTCGTAGCGGTGTCTGATGCAGCGCCCTGCAAATTAAAAGATGATTGAACTAAAAACTTACTTCGCTTCTTGAGCGATTCAGAGGCATCCAAATGCACTGGCATGCCAGACAAGAGCGTCTGCCCGTTTGTGATACGTCTGGAACAACAGCGTACGCCTGTGAGTCCCGCAGGCCAGACAAGGAAGGACGTTTTACACCACCATTATGCAGCAGCTTGAGAGCGGGCTTACCTATGGCCTGATTGAGCGCTCGGAAGGCCTGCTGACAGTACCACTGGTCCCCGTTCTGGAGGTCCCTACTCTTTTGATTCACTGTGTTGAACTGCTTCTTGAAGACGACTTGCAGATCCATCCTGCACGCAACTCTCACAGAATTAGCCCAATAGAAACAGCATTTCAACTCCTTTCTCTGACCCGTCGTTGTCAAACGAATAAGCTAAGACTTGTACTTTTGCTGTCTCAAATGCATCAGATTAACACAGGAGCGTGGGTTTGAGCAGAAGTTTGCCAGCAGACTTCCAGCGGGAATAGTGATCACATCAGGAGGATTCCTGGACAGCGATCCCCACAGAAGATATGAGAGTAACTCACGCATATGGAAACGGGATGCCAACCACAATCACTGCTCGAGCATTCCCATCTGCAAAGTCGATGCCCTCCGACACCTGACGAAAGATCATGGGCTTGAGCAAGTCGAGAGCAGAACGCCACGAGAAAAGGACTCGGATGCTGGCTGACTTGTACGTGACTTCTAGGGCAATTGTCAGCGCGCCAGGCAAAGGATGACGATTTCCCTTCCTGACATTCACTGCATCAAGTAGATGCTGGTTAGACGTGTGCAGAAGCGACCAGAACATGGATAAGAACGAAGTGTGAATTACAAGCGTGTCAGTATGATTGTCGCAAGCTCAAGCTTGTCGGCAACAACTTCGTTCGCAGCGCTTGATATGCTTCAGGGTCTAGCATAATGAACCTAAAAGTGGTGGTGCCCATCAACCGTGTCACGTATTGAGAACATGATGATCCAGCACGAGAAAAGCGGCGAGAGCGGAGGAAGATCGGTCGTTTCGATTCCTCACCTTGCCCCGACAAACCGCGAGAAAGATGGCGCCGCTAATGTTCTTGTCAGGATCCGCGTCCTCCTCAGGAGAAGCAGCCTGCGCGCGGCGCTTCTGCACCTTCTTGATCGTGCTGTAGTAGCCGGCGAGCACCTTTTCGAACTGGTCGTCACTGCCGCGCGTCTCTGCACAGTATCCAAGTGGACATTGCCGCTTCAGATCACGAGGCGCCACAGCAGAAGGTAACGGTTCAGTATCTAAATCTTGACAAAAATTGTAACGGTGCCGAATTCTCTACTTTGGCAGGAAGTGCTGCTTTCTTTCATTCCGGTGTGCCGTCTAGAGGAGGAGCCATTTGCAAGACCTCCAATAATCTCAGCAGATCGACTCAGCGTCCATAAGAGGGCGACCTGAGTTCTCATAGTTGAAATCAGAAACTCGCATTCCGCGCGCTTTACCTGAGTAGATAGGCTTCTGTTTGTTGATCCTCTTCCACTGGCCGGTGGACTTCCAGCGTGCGGACAGTTTCTCCATGAGCTTGTAACTCGGGAAGAAGATGAGGAGGCCGTCGGGTACGATGCGAGCGCACTCTTCGATCGCAAGGCCGAGAGAGTCCTGAAATCAGGAGCACGTGTATATGACAAATGGTTTGAAGCGGTCTTACCATGACCAGCACAGATGGCTGAGCTACGATACTGTCGAATCCCTGTACAATCAGCTTGGCTGTATTGTTGCAGAACGAATGCATCTTCTTGAAATTGCTGATGTACCTCTCTCGATTTCGTAGGATCCACAGTTGGCAAAGGAGAGGCCGGTTCTGCGAGGAAGCGACACAAGAAAGCCCGCATCTTGTAACGAGTCCATATTCTGCCATATCTCCATCTCCTAGAAATGACACTCTGACGGAATCAAAAGAGGGCAGAGGCTTCACTTGGAACTCCGCTCCGTCCGCGCTCCGGTAGCTCGCGTTCAGGACAGCGTCATTCGGCCCGACCCCTATGGCGCCGCCCCAAATCTGCTCACAATGAGAGTTGGCCTTGAGAGTTGGACCGGCGTAAAAGAATCCGTCCAGAAACCCAGTCGCAAGAAGGTACGAGGCAAGTTCAAAGGCAGCACGTCTTCGAAAAGAGGCTTGTAGAGCAATCTCCGACTTGCCTGCCTGTCCATGTCGATGACGTGGGAGCCCTCCATGGTGACGCTGAACTTGCAGCCGAGCTCCTTCTCAAAGGAGTCCATGGGGGACAGCGTACTGCATCCGAGGGGAAAGGACTAACTTATGGAGAGGTTTTGATACGTCAACCGGCTTGGGGGCGGACGCGTCATGTGCCTAAACTTCGTATATCCAATGGACTCCGGCTTCTACTGTGGCACTTCAGTAGAATCTGTTTGCCAGCTTTTCCTTGCTTGTCCCGCATCCTAAACCAGCACTGCAATTATGTTATAGAGACGACAGCTTCCAGATTGACTTGACCTGCGGAGCAGCCAGAGAGGGCCGCATTCATCAGTGTTCTCTTACCCGGATGTTAGGACGATGGACCGGGCAGCTGCAGCGACCTCTTCAAAGGCCACCGCTGGGTTCAAGCACCAGAGCGAGAGCTCCGTCGTCCACACAGTGCCCCGTATCCCTGCAAACAAGCAGAATAAACTGAGCACAGGTTCCAGAATTGCACTGGAGTTCGGTCCGCCGGGCCGCCAGACAGCTGCATTTTGCATCTGCGAACAGCGAATGTTGCGCAACCCGGTGTGATTTGTGCGTCGCTTTACCTTCGCCCCGCTTGACAAGCTTCTGGAGGACCATGCAAAAATCGTTCAGGCGGCGCGCCTCGTTCGACAGCAAGAATCTCAGACTGGTGAAAAGACCTGCAGACAAAAAGCAGAAGCGAGCGTCACAGTCGGAGCAAGAAAGGAAGGTGACTTGTCTCATGGTCACAACCAGCGTATTCGGAATGGTATCACAATGGTATTGCTCCTGGTGAAACGGAAGGCGTCCAAGTACCACATTTGACGTCCCTGGTCCGATTCAGCGCTACCCTATGTGAATTCGACTTTGATATAGGCTTCTGATACCGAGCTGCTCTGCTGACGGCTGAGGAAGAAGCACTCTCCCAATGCGATGCCACCATAAGTACCTTCCAAGGTCGCAAGCGCCTGCCCGTTCACGTGCAACTCCCCCGGTTTGGCCTCCCCAGCTTGCTGAGAGACCTGCAGATTCGAACGAGGAGTTGTCAGGCTCCGGCTTTGCAGCGCCAGAGAAGAGGCCTTCTTTTTGGGACTACAAGCTCCCGAAATGTCAGAGAGATCAGAGCCTCTCGTTCGTGCTGCAAAATGTGGTCAAAACAGCAGCCTTGCAGGTATCCCGCTGGAGCTTACCTTTTGGAAGCAAGACAGCAGGATGCTGAGCGACTGGGGCTGGACGCCCGCGCCCTCCAACTCTACGAGAAGACGGTCCCCGAACCACCTGAGAGGAGCTTTCGGTTTCGACTTACAGCAGGTTCTCGTTTAGCTGTTGGCTTGGCAGGCACCCAGAAACGTCTGTCAACACGCATGTAACTGACACAGGATCACCGAAACCTCAACTTTGATCGGTTACACAACGAGGATTGACGATTGAAGGCCCTCATCGGCCGCACGATTACGTATCGCATGCACCTGAAGAGGAGTCCTCTTGCCACTAAGGAATTCCTTTGGTGGACCCCCAAGTGCCAGGCTGAAGATGCTCACGAGTTGTAGAAGCGCTCTTGACCGTCCTTCTTCAGGCCCTGCGACTTCTCTTCTATCCACGAGATGATCCCTTCCGTCATGTCGATCAGCGGCTGGTACGTCTCCATCTGCCCTTCCTCATGCACCATCTTCTGCAGCTCGAGGCGCACCTCTGCAAATGGCGACTAAGCATGTTAAAGAAAGATCGTTTATTGCTCTATCAGAAAGAATATGCCGCTGCCTGAAAATGCAGATGATGCTTCTGATTCAAGGATGTCTTGGGAGTACGGGAGCGATTACTTACAGCGACTGTATTACCTGCGACGATCTTTGGACTTGACGAGTTCAGCGGGAGACTGCTCACCGTCCAGTGCGACGAGGTCCACAGTTGTGCTTGCTGCCTCGCGAGCCACATCCTCTATATTGCTGCACAAAGGAAGAGCGAGAAAAAGCTTTGAGTCTGAGCCAAGGCGAGCCCGATGCAGTGTCTCCCCTTCAAGGATTGCATCAGGAAGACGGCAGTTCAAAGAACCCCTTGTGCTCAATGATAGGCCGTTTGACAGTCTATGATAAAAGCTACAGATCCCCTTGCCGGAGATGTTAGAACATCGAAGGAACATAGAAGAAATTGGAGGCAATGAAGAGTTCAGAGAACTTACTGCGCCTCATCTAGTATGATGATGGAGTTTTTGATGTCCATCTCCATGGCTTTCCTGATCACTGCATGAAACGATGGACAATTTCATCTCAGCCCTGAATTTTAAACTTTGGCAAGGAGAAGCCCTTAAGGGACTTAAGGAATTCCCGTCACCAGATCCTTAAGTGTACCTACTACGTACGATAAGCACTCAGAAGAACTGCACTCATGAAATAGAAGGGGCGATACATCTTTTTCCAATGCATAAAGTGCAAGCTTGGTCACTTAAGCTCACCAGGATCAATGATGTAGTTGTAAGGGCAAAAGACGATCGAAGCTTCTGCTGCCAGCGCTCTGGAAGCGAAGTAAGAGCACCCTGCAACGTCAGCATGGGAATGGCATCAATGCTTGTTCCCCATTATTGTGGACATCGATGGTAGGGCCTTGATCATTAAGACTTTCGAAATGTATATCCACAATCAGAGCCAGAGGGGCGTCCCAGGATACTGCTCTACTTGCGGCTCATACGAGCGTCTAAGCATCTCTATTATGTTACATTTGCGATCTTGTGCAACTCACCTTTGACTTGCTTTCCAATCTTGACCAGATCTTCTATGTCATGAATCTCGTTGACAGCCCCATGCTGAAGAGACGGGTGCGTCTTGACTTTTGACATGTTCCTGAGGATAGATCCAAGTCAACTCATGGTATTTGGGATTCTTCTTCGAAGGTCCTCGACTCTGCTGTGCAGGGTAGTTGATTCATGCTGGCCGGCCGAAATTCGTATCGCATTTCGGTCTAAAACAAGCTAGGAGTTCTTCAAATGACAGATATCATGCTTGGTTATAGGCTTACCGGTTGTAAGAGCAGCCGTTTGGTTCAAGCAGGAGGTTCTTGCTGCAGAAGAAAAGAAGCAAGCGACTCAGCGGAAGCTTCATTGTCAGATCAGGAATCTGCTCAGACAAGCTAGCCTGTGATCCAGCACAAATCAAAAGCGCACCAAGCTCATACCGACCTTCTTACACATCAACTTCTGTTGCATTCACCTTTGTAAAGCCCTAGTTGGTGGTAGAATATACCTACCATTCTTCGTTGATGTCCTTCCGTTTGGAGATGGTCTTGTGAGTACAGTAGTGTTTTCGTGCGGCCTGAAGAGATTCATTTGGCCACTGTAAGTGGCAGCGTTTGCAGCACTTATGACCGGGATCTTATCATTGCTGGAGGGATTGGTGAATTAACGTTCACAGCTTCTGAACCAGGCTGTGCAAGAGATCAATTGGCATCAACTGAGCACCCAAAGAGCACTCAGGAAGCTGCCACTCACAAGGATAGCCATCGGTGTTCGATACCCAGTTTTTGATAGCTCCCGGACCACCTGGCTCACTTGCGAGTGAGTTCTCCTGCAATGAGTTGAAGCATAAGTGAGAACAACGAAACTTTTGTACCTTGTCAAGAGAGGCAAAACCTATGAAGAATACCAGATCCAAGAAGATAAACTTTTTCCGAAACATCAGGTCAAGCCTTACTTCGAGGTAGCGCTTTTATCTAATTCCAATATCTTGTTCGACGTAACGAATCTGCATGCAGGAAAATATGCTGAAGGTTTTGCGAAGACTTTGCACCACCACTTGTTGCACACAATCAGTAATCCCTCTGCTTACGTTGCATAGTAGATCTTCGGGATGGACTTGCTGGCATCCTTCTTGGCAGCTTGCTTGACCTTATCTGATAGGTCAGGGACACCACCTTCTTCAGCAGGAGGTGCATTGAGATCTGCACCACCGTATGGAGATGATTTTCTCAAGTGCGGTGGTGCATATCTAGACAATCCAGCCTGAGGGCAGTGTCTTTGTTGTCGAGAGTACGAAACCCTAATCCTTGAAAAGCTGCTTTCAGCTCAAATCTCCATCCTGGGAAATGCATTTGTCCTGCGTATCCATTCAGGACACGCCCTCTCAACATCCAAGAGCTCCACCTCACCTGGTAAAAAACCTCCTCCACTTTGCATAGCTGCTTGAGGGTCAGCGCATTGCCCAGCTTCTGTACTACCTGCTGGTGGAACAGGTGGAGGACACCCATGCTGCTTACAATGCTGCTGCCAAGCTAACGCTGCACAGAGCAGCGCGAGCGACTTCCCAGTGCCAGTAGGTGACTCCAGCAGTGCATTCGCGGAGCTGGATGTTTTTGAAAGTTCTAGGGTTGTGAGCATCTTGTGCATGAAAGTGAATTGGGGCCCATAAGGCTTCATTGGGAACTGGACGTCAAAGCCCGCAATCTTGTAAACATTCTGCCTTTCAAGGGTGGACTTGAACCGGGCCATTGCTAAATCTTGCAAAGGCCTTCTTTCGAAGCACCTTCTTACTTTTGCATTGGGCTTACATTGCCTCCTTGATGATGCTTCCGATTCCGCTGCAAACCCAAGCTAGTTCATACTCTTCCAGGAATCACTGCATAAGTGGATATCGCGGTTGACTGCTTCACCCTATCTTCAGTCTAGTGCTGCTCCCAGCCTGGCTTGGTTTTTGTCAAAGCTTCGAGCCGCGCTCTCAGAAAGTTGTTGCCAATCCTGGGCTCTGGCCCGTCCTTTGAACAATGCGGCCCAAGAGATTGTGCAGGATGCGCCATGCCTGAGCTGATGCCAATGGTGATGTCAGGGCAGTCATGGCTATGATACCGTATTACTTCGAATTCAAAGGCAAGGCCTCCTCTGCGGTAAGTCAATACCCTGCTACAGGCTACAGCTGTAGCCTGTAGACGTCAGGACGGTGGGCCGCGGCCCGCGGGCGTATAGGTATGTCGAAGAGGAAGTCGCTGAACCTCCCCAAAAACCCCGCAATTTATGGTCGGAGGGGGGGCGCGCGGGCTGCGCGGCCGCTACAAATTTAGCTATCATGTCTAGGTATAAATTAGCGGCTGATAGCCTCCATTGAGGTGGTCTTTCTCTCTATCTCTGTCCATGTCCATGGCTTGAATGACAAATAGCATGCGGCTATGACACATCGCCAGACTGCTGAATCAGGCGTTCTTGCCAAACAGTAGCTACATGGATGCAGAAACTTGAAGCGCAAACAAATAGCCGCAACAAGATCAGGCAACTCGGGCTGCGCCCTCTATGATGGAAGTCAGTACTCAGAGTTTCAGGCGCAAAGTCGGATGATACACGTAGGTAATCGTGACATCTCCTGGTGTAGTCACGACGTGGAATACAAAGTACATGCGTCGCCGAGTGTCGAGACTGCGAGATAGTTGCTTCCATTATTCAGCACTCCTGGGGCGGCTAGTTGCAGCGCCATCACGGGGGCTTTTATCAAACACTTATCGCGCGTACGAAGAGTAGATGCATATGCTCTAGGGCCACTGATTGCCATCATTCGGCACGCCCCTCTCTGCTTCGATATGCGGCTATGCGGGCTTTACGAGACGAGTACGAGACATGGAGGCATGTCCATCTAACGAATGCCAGGAGAATATGGTTAACTTCGCCGTTCGGCTGTTTTGCGAACATGCACTACAACTTCCCATGAGGTCCGCAACCGTCCGCGTCAACAACTAAGCTCCTTGGTGGATGCAACGCAAAACTGCTGCCAACATTTACGATCACTTCACCCTTAGGCTACTGACATATGGAAATGCCAGTATGCAAAGTTGCAACTTTAATTGGAAGGCCAAATACGTCACAGCAAGTGGACCGCAGGAAGGCATGGTCGGCAGCTGATGTTAGTTGGTGACCGTGCCTAAGCCTTTCCGACCAACATGAAGTCCAAAGCCTTTTGGTCAGCCTCAATGTGACACGAACACCAAACGAGTAGATTGTGCACGACGAAGGGTGCAGGCACCGATTGGTTGACATGACGAACCTTTCTCTCACCTTTGAATTCACAGATCTAATCTGGCTAAACGGATTCCAGATGAGTGACCGAGCTCTAAACAGTGCACCAGAACAACGCCCGATTGCCCACCAAGTTGACACATCTTTATTCTCGAAGGCAGAATTGCCCATCACGGGAGTCACCTTCTAGATAACTTGTAGTGCTGTGTAACAGCAACCAGTACCTTCCTACAAATTCACATCAAGCTGCCCTTGCCGCAAACCTCCGGTCCCAGCTTATTACCATTGATTTCGCAATCTTCTTCTCCCGATAAGCGCAGTAAACTGCGAGCGTCGGTGCTGGTCCCAGGACAGTCAGCGCCGCCACAAGCGTGCACAGCCCCACCGAAGGGCCGTCCTCAAGCAGCGCAAAGTAGGTGACATACAGCGTAAGGCCGACCAAATCAATCAAGAAGAACAAGAGTGCTATCTCCGAAGTCCCAAAGCCTGCTCTCCCCATCACGACTGCAAGGACTTGGAACAGGAGCGAAGGGTCTTTGAAAAGGAGCCGTAGCGTAAAGAGACGCCATAATAAGGTGAACGCGATCGAAATCTGATATCGAATGCCTGCCACTTCTTCGATCGCTTGGGGTGAGCTGGGGGGTGTGTTTTTTGATTTTATTCATTTTTCTTTTTCGGGATAAAACGATTTTCGCTCAATTTGAAACACACGCTGTCCCACGAGATGTTGCAGAAGTAGAATGCCAGCGCGGTCGAAGCGACTAACAATCCTAACGTAATGCCAAAGGGATTACTGCTCAGGGCGCAAGTAAGGGCTACGGCAGAAGGCTCTAGGACATAAAGGGCGACCTCGGGCCAGACCTCGATCATGCGCGGCCTTAGCCTGTTACTCTCTACATACTGAACGCGCCGATCTAGTTCTCCTCCGCTGAGCAGATAGTATGGCAGGAAGACTATGCAGAACGCCATGCAGCTAGTGAAGGCTGCTGCAAGGTTCTGGAGTTGGTGGAATGCACCAAGCTTCAAAGACAGGCGCGCGCGCATTCTGCAAGACTCGACGCCAGCCAGAAGCGCGAAGACAAAGACCAGAAGGAAAAGCTCCCCGACTACGAGCAGACCCGCAGGGTGGTTCACCCCGGCCTCGAAGATGGGTCTCAGCGGATAGAAGAGGTGGGTGTGGACCGAGAGGGCAGAATCGCAGCTGCTGTTGCTCTCAGCTGCGTGGCTCCCTTCCAGAAAGCGCGCGAGCAGGAAGGTGCGCAAGAGCAAGCAGGCCGCGCACAGGAAGACCGGAGGCGCGCATGCAAGGAGGCGGCGGGCAGTGACGGCCGCCATGGCTGGTGAAAGCGTACCTGCAAGCACCTCAGCTCCTAGCGCTACAAATACGCCACGGAGAAGCCTCAGCATCCACTCGACACGCAGAACTCTACAACGAAGTGAGCTCCGCATAAGTGAGGGCATCAGAAGGATCCCAAAAAAGGGTTGCGCGTACACTACTGGTAGAAGGCCAAAGGTTGCGAAGGTGCGCAGCCTCCTCACTTAAGCTTGTATTCTCGATTAAGTTGACTCTAATCGCGAAGTGACGGGCTGATGATCGAGCGCTAGCTGCGAATTTCACAGTATTATCAACATCAATTCGTCGCAAGCTGGCCGGTAAGCCCTCCTTTCAGGTAGGGCAGCTGCTCCTCGCCATTCGACCGTCCACAAATCAACTCAAATTATGATCAGCGGCGGCTCGCAGCACGTTTGCATGACCTGCACAATGAGTACACCTACCGTCACTGGCTACATTCTTGGCCGGTCTATTCTCGAGCTATATATAGAAGACCCGGCCATCCGTCAACTTACTATACGCGCGCATGCATTCGAGGTGAGCTAGCGCTACATATGGAATTCCGGGTCTTGCATATTGTTTGTGTATAACCTTAATATACGATCGCGCTTGTCGATGGCGCTAGGCGCGGTCACGCCGGGCTTTTGAGTCCATTGCATGTGATTGTAAACAATAGTCAGCACTGTCCGGCGCCATCACATGCGTGCATGAAGATTTCTCGGCCGCCAATTTTCTAGACCGTATCTATAACTGCTGTGCACGAGTGTGAGCTTGTCGTGTTAAGGACTTGGAAGCCAAAAATCGTAACAACGGGATGCAAGAGTTGACTGACCTTGTTCAATATGATGACACAACAACCGATGCCGATTAACATACCGTCATGCAGCCACATCCACGCCCACTGGAGAATCGAAGGTTGACAATCACACTAAGTAAATATGGACACTGGTTGATGATCTGCAGTTGGTGAAGCACCTTCAGAATCGACGCCCTGTGAAGCATTGATTGGCAATACGAGCCTCTTTTCGACAACAATCTGTTCGAGAACGCCTCCTCAAATATCCAGAAGGTTCTCGGGACTTGAGACAGGCGTTTGCTGACGGCTAAGTTCAGGTGGCTGGGAAGCACTGCTGTCTTCTTTCACGACAAGCAACCAAGTCTGTCCCAATCCGCTGCCCTCTTTCTCAAACCCGCCCAAACTCCCGGCCCCTAAATTTTGGCCGGCATCAGCTCCCCATCTATCGGCACCGCCCCTCGCTTGGGTCCCTGAGGCGCTACTCTGCGCTTTCGCAGCCGGCGTCGCGCTTTTCGGCCGGGGTGGCAGGCCCGACGGCCGCGCCGCGTCCGCGCCAGGTGTCACCTCCTCAGTGGTGGGCGGCAACGGCTTCAGCGTCCAACTCACCCGGTACTTGGTCACGTCATACACCCCGGGCGCAAACACCGCGGCGCTCAGCGACACGGCGGCCTCGTCCCCCGGCCGCAAGTCTTCCACCACTCGGGAAGTGGTTCCCGACCAGATGTACGGCGGGCAGGGGGTGGTCCCGCAAGGCTGGTCTTCGGTTGGGGGATCCCCCCCGGCCGCTGGCGAGCCCGAGGCGCCAAGTGTGCTGACCACGTCACCAGTGCTCGAGGGCGAGGGAAGAATTGGGGGGCAGAACCAGCCCCCCGGGTCCGATTTTGACGGTTCGGACGACGGGTCGAGGACCTCGATTCGGACGGTGGCGAGGGCCGGGGCGCAGTTTCGGACGCGGAGGGAGAGGGGGATCTCCACGAGCGGAGATGAGGCGAAGGAGGCGAGCACGGGGGAGGGAGGTCCCGTGAGGAGCCATCGCACGGGGGACAGGCCCTTGAGACTGCACAAGCGTGGGGTGAAGCGTGAAAAACAGGGCCTTTGTTTGTAGTCACTTGCTGTGCTTTGTGAACGAATCTGAAGTGTCTTGGGCGCCGAAACTGCGTTTTCAAGAAAGTTTTCGGATGTGAGCCCACTTTACCGGTCAACCGGACACGCCGAGGATTTGGCCCCGGCCAGCACGATGCTCAAACGTGTGTGCAGGATTTTTGTCTCCAACATTAGGACTAGTCCACTATGAGAAGAGAATGAAATGTTCCAGAAAAGTTCAAGTTTTGGAGGGCCGTCACAGTTCCTCCAGAAGACACGTGACATTTTGGGAGCGGATCCGGTCCGTGATGAAGAAACCAGATAGGTTTCCACGGTAGCCTACCTTTGGTGGCAGATGTGGAAGGAGCCAATCCTGGCGGGGTCCTCGACGGCTGAGATGCTCTTGCGCCGCTCCTGCTGCTCCCACACCAGGATGACATCGAGGGGTGACGACTCGGGGACGGGCCCCGGAGGATCCACACTGCTGCGGCGAGGCTGCAGAAAGGAAACAAGAACACTGCTCAGCAGAAGACACTTTCCTTTTTCGGCCAAAAGCAGCCTGAGGTATCTACGGCTCGACAAGCTGTGTCTGGCAAGTAGGCCGAACGACTCTGCACATCGAGACGACGTGAGTCGTCAAAAGCCGACTTGTCGACGTGGGGAACTCTGGATGAGATGGTTGCTAAGCATGGAAGGCAAGAAGCTAACAGAAGCGTCAACCGATCGACCATTCTTCAGTCCAAAAGAACGAACATAGAGCAGAGCCGCCCACCTGCGGCTTCGACCCCACCGCCGCTGTGTCGCTCTGCAGCCACCGCTCTCTGGCGTGAAACCTCAGCAACGGCCCCGAAGACACGTCGATCGCGCCCCCAGTCTCGGCGCTGTCCAACCGCACCGTGCTCTTGAACTGCCCGTCTTCCGACGCACTTTTCCCGGACGGCTCGCCCGGTGACCGGCTTTCTGCGGACGCTTCGATGTGGAAAAGGAGGGACGTTGCCTGGGAGGGGGCGAGAGTGGCCAGGCGAGAGCCCCCCGGGGATTGGAGGGGGGAGAGGCGCCAGTGGGCCCCGGCGCATGACACCTGGCGCAGCGTGAATGTTTCCTGGAAGAGCGGAGAACGTGGTCATTTCACAGAGAGTATTGAAGGGGGTAGCAAATGTAAATAGAGCGTGAAAGTGGCATCTTCTCCTCGCGGTTCCAAAGAACCTAGGCGTTTGATCAGGATTTGCGAAAGCCAAGCAGAGGAGTAAGGATGCTCAAAGACAGGCCGCTCTTGAAGACGTCCTCATGTAGAGTTTCAGAATGGTCAGCCGATGACAGCCTCAGCCGAACTCAAACGACAAGGAAGCTCGTGTGCTGGCAGCTTGGATCGAATGCAATGCACGGCAAAGAAGACCTTCCGTGATTTGCAGAACACTTTCAGCTAGTGCCCTGATCCCAAGGCAGCGTCACTGATATTCTTACCGAGAACGCCAGAACCGAGAACGTCAGAAAGAGGTGGATTATAAGCTGGATAAAGAGGGGATACCAAAGAGCAACTGCAAAGCGACTACGAACCTGCGCATGCTTGTTCTCGACGTCGAGCCAGAGCAGGTGTCGGTCCAACCGCGCGGGGCTGAGCGTCAGCTTCACCCCGACGGCCAGGGAGGGTGCCACGTGGATGCTGCTGGTGACACGCGCGGTGCGGTACTTCATGACCGGGCCGGGGGGGCCCGGCTCGTAGTAGAGAAGGGTGTGGAACTGGAGGGTGCCTACGTCACGCGCGTGCAGCCAGAGGGGCCACAGGAGAGTGGAGCCTCCCTCGAGGACGGTGGCTGCAGGATCAGAGATATTGGAGCGTTGAGTTCCAGGGAATGTGGGAAAGGTACTGGGAAAAGGAAGGTAGATTTGTATGGACACGGAGGCGGAGGGAGTGCCAAACGAAGGGACACATAATATGTCTCGCTTTTGTCTCGTTCAAACTGCTTGTTGCGGCGACAGAAGTGGGAAGCGTACACGTCAAATGATCCTCAAGTGCAGCTGATTATTGAAGCGCCGGGCCCCGGCCATTTGTGAAGAGTGGCCTCATTCAAGAACCAAAAGTTCGCGTACAGCTTAGTCGAAATTCGTGCCGTTCTGTCGGATGCAACAGACTGCGGCAAGGAAAGCCGTTAACCACTGGAGATTTCACCCAGTTGCCAGAATTCACAGGGTACAGAGTGTCGCTCGAAGAACAAAACAAGCGCGCCAATGTCATCACGCGCTCGACTTCATTGCCCAACTTCAAGAAATAGAAACAAGTCACCGTCTTCTCGAAAAGGATGATCAGATGTGGGCTCACTCTGCGGAAACACAAACGTGTAGTTGGTCCGGCTCGTTCCGGCATCCGGGCCCGGCGTGGGCCTCGCCCCCCCCTCCTCGAGGCAGGCAGGGAACTCCCCCTCGAGGTCGCCCTGGAGGCCCATGCAGAAGAAGGCGGGGTGGCTCGTGCGCAGCTTCAGCTTTTCCAGGGGGACCGTCCCAGCGTTGGACAGCTCCAGGACCAGCCGCCGCAGCTCGCCGTGGTGCAGCGTCTCCGGCAGCTGGTGCATCGTCACCTGGCGGACAAAGGAAACTGGAGATTTAGAATTTCCATTTTTGGTCGTTTGAAATTTTGAAATCTATCCGGGGAACAAATGTAAACTCGGACAGCTGCAGGACCAGCCGCCGCGGCTCTCCGTGATGGAGCGTCTCTGGCAGCTGGTGCATCGTCACATGGAAGAAAGTGAATAACGGGAAACAACGGGATTCAGAGTTTGAGCTGTTGAGGTTGTGAGGCTTGTAAAAGACTCGGAGCTATTAGAGCGACGGTCGCAGAGTTACTGGGCTAGTGCAGGGCCAGGTGACGCGGCTCGCTGTGGCTGCAACTGCTTGGGCGGCTCTAGTTCTCTGGCAGTGGTATACGAGGTGAATATGGTTAACGGGAATATGGATAAGGTGCTTTCTGCAGCTGACCAGCGCAAGCGAGCCAGCAGATGCAACATGAACTTGATGGATTCCTCAACCCCAATCAAGAAACTAACAACCCCCCGTGTTTTGACAACGCTCTCAATCCTCTGCCCCTCACCTGCAGCTTCGGCATCTTCCCGATGACCTTGAACCCGAGCCGCGTGTGCGGCGGGTACTCCTTATCCGGCCGGCCCCCCTTCCGCTTCTTCTTTGGCACTCGGACCGGGAAGTCCTTCCTCCCCTGGGCGATGTTATTCAGCACCCACTCCACGCCGACGACTCTCAACACCCCCCCCCGCAGCGGCCGAACCGTCATCCGTACGACAGTCCTCTCCCCCCCCCGCAGCGTAAAAACTTCTTCGACCACCCGGTAGGCTTCCCCGGGCGCGACCGAATCGTCCTCGTCGGCATCGCCGTCTTCCAGGGAAGCGTCCCGGGTGCCCACTGCCACGTCATCACGGGTCTGGAGGTCCTCGGGACGGCGCGCGGGGGCGTCGGGTGACGTCAGCAGGCCGTCGTGGTTGAAGAGGGATCCCGTGGACGAGACGCGGGGGTCGTGGCCACGGTGGCGGTTCAGGGGAGGGGGAACGGCGTCTGCGGGAGAAGAGCCGCCGCTGCAAAGGAAAGTACTTACGATCGGCCGCTGCCGCAGTATGACACTCTGACGCTTGTTAGTGACCAAATGGAGGCAATGAAAGCAATAAAGGCGAAAGCGAAACCGTCAGGGAAACGCAACGTCATAATCGTTGAGCGGTACTGAAACGGCCCCCAACCAGAAAGCTCCGCCAATACCGCAACATCGAGAAGAGCCAGAGCCTGAAAAACGTAATACAAGATCTGATTCCGAGACCCGACACGCCTAACTAAACAATCAATTTGCCACATGAAAACCCACCCTACCTATATCCCTACGTCCCAAAGAGGGAGTCTCAGAATCGACAAGAACATGTTGCCTGGATTGTACGCTTCTCTCTTTTTGAGTGCACTCGTAAAGTTATCCCGTACGGCCCACCTGTCGCTGGTGCGATCGTCCATGGCAGGCACGCTGGACGTCCGGGGGATGGGCGCGTTCTTCGCCCCGCTGTCAGGGCCCCACTCGCACACAAGGCGCGCGCACGAGATGTTCAACTCCAGCTGCAGCGGGTTGCTGAACTCGACGTCGACCGTGATGTCCTCTGCAGGAAGGGAAGAGAGTTGGACTTGAATGATGCCAAAGTGACGTCAGAGAACGCCGAAAAAGGCCTTTCGTGGGCAGTCGGCAAACCCTCGTCAACAGAACTGTTCCACTAGGAGTCGGCAAACCCTCGTCAACAGCACCGTTCCATTAGGGAAACACACACGACGATCGGCAGCTGTCTGCACTGCAAATGAAAGAGCGAAGATGCTCAATCATACTTTGAAGCATCAAACGCCAGCGGCCTTATCATTTCTCGAGCTCAAACAGGGGCACCCTCAAAACGTCGGATTGACTGTAAGAGAGGCCAATTGACTCCAGGAGACGCAGAAACCGTTTGAAGCCTTGGCGTATGCTCGAGTTGATGCCTTCCAATGCGCCATGTCCCAGGCACAACAAAGACTGCCGGCTACTGTCCTACTTCAAATTCAGGCTTTCCAGAGCACGCTGTGTAATCTTTTTTATAAAGCTCCAATCCAGTATCAACTCCGCTCTCATACAATTAACCAAAACCCTGCCCGGCGAGCCCAGATCGGCTCACCGTCTACGCAGCACGTGTTTGTGGGCACGGGCGTGTCCTTGTGCGCGCCCCTGGCGGGCCGGTCCATCCACGTCTGCATCACAACGTTGGTCGTCGGAACCAGGCCCTCCTCCAAAGACGTCCAGACACGCTCCGGAACCTCCGCCTGCAAAGTTGAACCCCCAGCTTCTGTGCTGTTTGCATCAGAAACCATTTTAACTCCGCAGTCAATATACTTAGGGAAAGCGAACTTTGTACTCGGGAAGCCTTGCAAATCAGGTTGCCCGGCATGATTCAAAACAGAACTATCGAAGAGATGCAACTGTTTGTGCGCTGATCTGTGGGCCCGTCTTTGTCGCTTCATAGAAAAAAACTGAATTTAAAGCTGGGAGTGTCATCCAAAGCAAGTGACGCAAAAGCGTGACGAGAATTCCAACCGTCGACCTGATAAAGCACCTTGCGGCCAACGCTCCACGCGAAACCAACTGCGGCATCTCTCGAAGTACTGCCCTGGACAAAAGTAGGCACTTACCTATCTAATCAAAGCGTGAGAGGGGTTGTGAGGGCTTCATGACCCAACTAGGGCGGGGCTTTATTGAGTGCTCACCGCTGCTTGGGAGGAGTAGGTCCGGTGGTCCTCGAAGTGCACCCGGTAGCTGTCGATATGTACAGTGGGCAAGTCTAAGCTCAGCGGGACGCCCAAGTCCACAGCCTGTACCAAAAAGAAAGCAAGGTCTGTGTACTTTTTCGGGGAAGCTTCGAGGCATTCATTCTTCTTCTTGTGAAGCAGATGCTTCTCTGAAATTCCATCAGAGAGAGTTCGATGTTGGGTCGCTCTGCATACGACTTCTCCAACTGTTCTCCGCTCGCTTTGCTGTAAAGCGTTGAGTTGCACTCCTCGGAAACCCCTTCACACCGGTTTGGAAGACCAGATTGTCCACTTTTCCACAGAAACAAAGTGGTTGTCGGATCTCCAGCCAGATCTTCTGCAACACGAAGTTGCTCAAAGCCGATCTGATGAAGGCACAGGCCCTTGAAGTATGAAATTCATTCTTACAAGTCTGATATGAAAAGAAGAAAGGTGTGCAAGCTTTCATGGCACACAGTCCACTTCTTTCCAAGACAAATTAGCCTCTTCCACTGGATGGCCCAGTCAAAAGACATCCACAATCGGCAACATTCTGTGGTAACACATTCTGTAGTAACAGATCATGATTAATGGTGCCGTGATGACAGATGGAGGGACAAAGATCCGGAGGGTGAAAATAAAGGGCTTGTGCAGAAGAAAGGCCTGCACCGAAAGTGGTGATTGCTCCACTCAAGCAGATCTCAAGATTACATCGAAGTCTGAGGGAAGGGGTACGCAGGTGGCGAATCTTTCTGGGACCAGTTTCTTCGGTAGAAACTTTGCAAAGTTGAGGATAGACTTATGAAGAAACTTATGAGTAAGAATACTCAAGAAGACTTGATACCTTCAAACCATTTCAGAATGTCCATGATATGTTGGATATAAATTGGTTTTTGGCTGTGGTGAGCAAGATGTCATAGATGTGGAGTCAATGTAACAAGGATAAGTTGGTAGTGACATGAGCAGTTCGGATTTGAGGCTCAGCATTGAGTAATGTGGAAGGGTCTAGAGAAGTAGGAGTTGATGGGCTTTGAAGTTTGTGATTGGTAGCACAGTGGTTTTGGATGGGGTTAAAATGTTGTAGACTTAGGGGCCTGTGTGTGATGGATTAGGAGGACGATTGATTGAGTTAACCTAGGGTTGGGGTTTGTGGGTTTGGTAGTGGGAAGGAGAGTTGAGGAGTGGTTGGTGGTGACCCCTTTCGGGGTTTGTGGGCTGAGCGCTGCAAGGAGGTAGTGCAATACCATGCGCACTCTGGATGACCGAGCAGTAAACTGCCCATTGGTCATCCGCCCCGAAAAATAAGGTTAATCACATCTAACTCAATGAGTTAGAAATTAGCGATTAAACTAATTAGAACAGATACTACACTTGATCTTAGCCAAAAGGCCGAGAAAGGTATGAATTCAAAGGCGGACGAAGCGGGTTTATGTACTCGACCGACGAACTCACGCGTCGTGGGTCGACTGGACCAAAACTTCAAAACCCGCTCGATCGCCGCAAAACTCGTATCGGACGGTCGGAATTTTGAGACTCGACTTCCGGCGCCGAGCCGCCAGAACACGGCGGAACTTGATCACCGTCACGGGCAAAACTTGCCTGCTTGCTATCGCAGCTACTGGCAGCTTGACAGCTGGCGCTCTCCAGTTAGAATCAAAATACGGTGGCTGAACGACAGATCCAGCTTCGTCTTACACATCGCAACCACACGTTGCAATTGCCCGGCCAAATCTTCACGGCACAAAAGGTCAACTGTCCGGGGACGAACATATGGTTGCATCTTCGTGAGGACACAACAACCATGAAACAGCATGTGCGGAATGGGACAGCAAGCACCAAAGCACAAAGAGAAAACTAGTCCTCTGCAGCAGTCTTTCCAACTTTGCCACTCAGAGCATTAAACTCCAATTTGAGTGGAAGTCGGAAGAAAGCACAAAGGCGAGTTGCCAAATCGCCCGAGGGCCAAAAGGTTAGATCGCCTGATCCCCAGATTCCTCGAGAAACCTCTCCCGTAATCCGACAGAAATGTCGTCAAAACAATCGTCGTCAAAACAATCATCCCCTCACCTGCACCACGTAGAGGAACTCGCGCAGGAAGGTGGCCTGCGCTGCAGGCGACTGGTGCGCGCACGTGAGCAGATGAGAAAAGTAGGCGGCCGCGGCGTGGAAGTCGTTGAGGTGCGCGCTGATGCGCCCCAGCGCAAAGTGCACGTGGTCGCTGATGTAGGCCCAGCCGCGGCCCTCGTAGACGCCGAGAACACACTGGTAGGCGCGCTGGGCGTGCGCGCGCTGTGGGGGGAGAGGAGGGCGACAGGTGAGCTTCAAGGAAGAGTGTGCGATTCAGCCACACTCTGAAGTATCTTAAAACTTGCGTGAAAGGGGGCAGTTTTGTCTTGCGAGGCAAAGTGAAACGCAAGATTCAACGTCCCAAGGTCGTAAGGAAAAGGACATGCAGAGACTTTCGTAAATTGTGAAGAGGGGGCTTCCGATTGAATATCATAGCTGCCGATTTCCTGAAGAGAACCCAAGAATGTCCATAACCAGCAGATACCGTGGCCCAAAGCGGCAGAAAAATTGAGAATGCCTTTCACATATACTCACCAGGAAAGGGATAATTCTTCCCCTACGAGGGTACCGGACACAGCGTCTGCTAGAAAGCGGCAACATTGTCCGGTGAACGAGAGGGTATGCCGAAGAGGCGAGGATGAAATCTAGAATACTTGTCATGGCCGGGCGGAAAGTGCGCCAACAAAAGTCGTTCCCGACCCTTCTGTCAGGAGAGTGGTCATCACGAACTCTGAAACATGCTTTGCTTCAGGGACTCGGAATGGGCAGCCTCACGTAATAGTATCAATGTCGCCAACACATGTTATCTGGATTGATGTCACTTTTGGGCAACCCTTGTACGAAGTCTACAACTTTGGCCGTCCTGGTGAACACCAGTGCGCAACGTCGGCCCACCGCGCCATTTCGTTTCAGGCACACCAAGGAAGGCACAAAAACTTGAAGAAAAAATTGCATTGATAACCTTCAACGCCACCCAGCTACCAAAGTCGCGACAGCGGTTATTGTTAGTCAAAGAGTGCCGAATCGTGTGAATGTTTGCTAGCTTCCTCTCGAAATGTGCGGCTGAACCTCCTAAAATGGTGGATGCTGAAGTCATCCTTTGGCTGCCGCACTTGCTAGGCTTCAACAAGAGCCTGAAGGGCCCATGATTGGGGACAATTGTAGCAAACAAAGCGAGCGACCGTCGGCACACCTGCAGGCCCTGGTTGTATCGGTGCCCCGCGAGCACCATGTTGAACCCGAACTTGCGCCACATGGGGGGGGCGCTCCGCAGGTAGCACAGCGCCGACTGCTCCAGAAGCATCGCAGCGCGCAGGTTCTGCTCCTGCACGCGGCGCAGCACGGGTGACGGTCAGGAAAGTCAGCCATTGTCGGTAAAGTCAATGGTTGTTGAGTTTCTTTTGGATAATCAGTACTGTGTAGAGGGAAGTGTACTGGTTGTTGGGATGTGAAAGGTTGCTGAGGGGTCCCTCCAGCGAAGCAGAGAGACTGACCGCGTCCTTCAGCACCATTCCTGGTCCGACCGCCCAAGACGACTGGGATCCAAATGAAGCGCAAGGGACAATGACGAAGGACTCGAAGCACAAGGCAACGGATGTTGCAGCTCACAAAAATGTGCTCGCAGTTTCATATTCGAGACGGGAAGCCTATACCTCGCAACTCGAACTCGCTTGTAAAACCAGGACCGAAATTCCAAGCCATCGGTGGTAAGGTTCACAAGACCAACCAAACGTGAATCGAAAGAAGACCAGAAAGTATTTCCAGGTTTCTGTCCTCGCTGCCAAAGATTCTTCTGGACTTTGCAAAAACAATCCTTGCATCGCCAGCCCCTCACCTCCTGCGACGTCCTCACGAGCACCGCCGCCGCCTCTCGGAACATCCCCCGGGCTTTGTAGATCTCGCCGAGCCAGTAGACCGCCCGGGTGGCGAAACGCAGCCCCCCTGTGCCGCTCCGGATGTACGCCTGGTAGGCGCCCTCGAGGGACGACTCGGCCTCGCGGGGGGCTTGGTTCAGCATGAACATGCACAGGCCCGTCATTTCCTGCAGGGAAGGAGAAGGATGTCTGGTTTGGCATTAAAGAGGATAAACAGACAGCCGGAAAGGTACGTGCCTTGGGGGCTTTGAGTTGACAGAGGCCGGGCAGGAGATCCTGGTAGATAATCAAGGTGATGAACGAAATTATCTACGCACAGGCCAATCAAGGAACGAGATGAGTCAGGGCGGTGCAAACGGGTCTCACACGCACGAACAGGGGGCGGAGCATGACGGAAGTGGAAGCTAATAATGGCATCGGCTAAAAGCGGGATCGACCATTCTCTCCGGTTTTGCCTGGTTGCTGACTCGACATCGTCATAGGCGCTACCACTGTCGACAAAGGCGCAGTGGGCATCTTAAACAGGCTCACAATCGACTTCGTGACTGGCTCATTTCTTTTACATGCGGCGCCACGCTATCGTCGTACTTCGAGCTGGAAGGTGAACTTTAGGACACCAAAATGTCGTAATGAGGAGCGATTCCACAGCGTATGCCGTATCTCACCAGCGTGCCCGCGAGGTGCTTCCACGCCTTGTCCCCCCGGAAATCGCCGGCCAGCAGTCGGTAGTTTGAGAGGGCGAGCTCGTAGTCTCGCAGCATGAATGCCAGGTCGCCGAGAAGCCGGATCTGCGCCTCGGTGCTGGTGTGCGGGTACTGCCCGTCCTCCGTGCGGCTCACCTCCAGGCTGTCTTGACGCTTGACGCCGCTGAACCAAAAGTTCTTCAGCTGGTTCTTCAGGCCCTTGCGCGTCGCGCTCACCTGGGCAGACAAGGCCGGAGAAGTCAATCAAGGCTTTAAAGGCAAGGTGGAGGTTCAGCCTTTGCCGATGTTGAGCAATCATTGGCTTGCTAGTCTCTTTCTTGGCGACGGTAGCTTTGCCATTGGTGTTCTTTCTCAACGAGGAAAAGAAGGCCGGAGAAGTATGTGTATTTGAACAGTGCGAAGATTTCGAGGCAGTGGCTGCTTCGACAGTTGCGAGCGGCCGCAAATCCAAAGGTTTTGAGCTGCTTCTTCATCCTCTAGTATGTTGGGCTCACATACAGACAAACGGCAGAGACGTTCGACGAGATGTGACGCTCGATCCGTATCTCAGCTCGTTTTTTGCGATTCGTCTGGGAAGCGCTTGAATTTGACAATGATCGAAGGAACGGTAAAAGCTCAGCGATGCACAGTGCATTTCAGTTTCAACTTATTACCGCCAATCGGACTTGGCAACTACCTGCCTGTCAAGAAGAGCCTATCGAAGTAGCTACACCGGTCCGCAAGAAGCTCATGAACTCGTCAGCACCATGCAACAAAAAGCTGCAACCTTTCGGGAAGCTTCTCAAAGTTACAGAACTTGCATCACCGCGAAACATGTCAGTGTCGGCAGGAGCGAGGGGCCTTCGGGCTCGGAAAGTGCCTTGTTACACTCCTTAATGAGACTCGAACATTGGCAAGCGAGAGCAAAACGCGCGAGCAACTCGCGCCCCTCACCGTGTGGTTGAGCGCGCGTATCTTCTGCTCCATCTGCGGGATGATCTGCTTCACCGCCAGATCGGCAACAAAATCCCGCAACCCCCCTATGTCTTCATTCGACAGTTCCCCCCCCAGCGGCTGCTCTTTCGGGGGCCCGGTTTTGCCGGGGGGGTTTTGTTTTGGGGGGGCTCCGATGCGGGGCAGCCGGTGCGCCGACCAGACGTCGGGGGGAGGGGGAGTGCCGGGCCACCGGCCGGTGTTGATCTGGAGCAGTCGGCAGGCGTCGGCGCCGAATGTGCCGCGCATCGAGGCCAGGATCGTTTCCGCCCTGAGAGCGTTCGACGGCGAGATCAAAATGAAGTTCGAGCGGCAGGCAGGTTAGTTGTGCGGGTTGTCGGAACTCCAAGCATGTTTCTGTCAAGAGTACGCAGCGGCGTCCAACATCCGAAACAGGGAGTACTTGTGATTGGAAGACAATATCAGCACTAAGTAAAGAGCTCCGATGCATAGACGATATTTGCCATCCGGCAGAAAGCAAAGCCAACGCAGATGCACTTGCCGCACCCGCTCATGCAGTTTCTGGCTCGCCAAAGAAATTCCTACAACCATTTCAACACACGGTCTTGCTTCGTTGCTTCGATGAAAGGAAGGCAACTCTTCCGCCAGTCACAGCCCTAGCAAGGAAATCAGTTCTCGCCCCCTCCATCTTCTGAGGTCACTTCTGATACTTCAAAACTTACGAAGTGCTTGACGATGGAAGGTACCTCTTCGAAACCGTTTCTCAAACACCAGCGATAAGTACGCCTATATCCAACTATAAACGACTCTCCGGACCTTCAACACACTGCCCTCCGTCTCTCACCTGGCGAGGTCCCCCGTCTGGCCGTCATGCAGCAGCACGAAATGCTTCACGATCTTGGGGTCCATGAGCTGCTCGTTGAAGAGCGGCGGCAGCTGCTCCGTGTTGTATAAGTCCACGAACGTGTTGATCGGGTCTTCCGCGGAGGACGGGACGACCAGCAGGCACGCGACCGGGTGGTCCACCGCCTCATGCTCCGAAAACGCGAGCGCGCGCGCGAGCTCGCGGAAGTAGCGCCGGTACCAGTGCCCGGGGGGGTCGCTGTTGGCCACTGCAGAAACGTAACGTACTTAGTGTTCGTAGCTTAAGTGTTACGTTCGTCGGTTTGAGAGGTGGGCACACGACCGGGTGGTCACCGCCATAAGATCCAAGATTGTCGGCGCACGCGCACGAGCTCGCGGTAGTAGTGCCGGAACCAGTGCCCGGGGGGGTCGCTGTTGGCCACTGCAGAGAGCATAACGTCCTCAGTATCCATTGCCGTGAGTGTTACGTTTGAATTGAGTACTGGCACGACACTGAGTGGTCCACCGCCTCGTGCTCAAAAAGTAGCGCCCGTGACAGTGCCCCGGGGAGTCGCTGTTGGCCACTGCAGAGATCATAACGGCTTCGGTCTTCACGGTCTTGAGGATTATATTCTGAGAGCCAGCGTATGATGGCCGGGAAGCTATAGGTCAGCTGAAGGAGAGTCCTACGAACCAAAACGACCAGAGGTCTTGAAAACTGGAGCTCTGTTCACAGAAATGCAAAGCCACAGGGGAGCCTGCAACAAGGAGCGTGAATACCAAAGCAGGGCATTTGACATTGTCACTGAGAAAGGAGGAGAGGAAGATGGCGTTGCATCAAAGGACGTTTCTCGTACGTGTCATCCGAAGTGCATAGAATGACGGAACGCTAGAAAAAGCGAGGGGTGCGTCTGTTGCGTCCGGAGATCCTCCAGAATATCTTCGCTCTCAGTACTGGGCCAGTTCTGGAAATGCCAGCAGCTAGGGAATTAACAGAGGACGATACGGTCCAGGCAGCGGATTGCTGAAATCTGGAAAACGTGACTGCACGGAACTCAACAGATCTACTGCTGACCGTTTATGTAGGACTTACTGGAGAGAACGGTGTTCAGATCCTTGGGGTCCCCTTTCAACTCTGCCGCGGCGGCCTCGCTCGAGGACGACACGATCTGGGCGAGGTACTCCTCTGCCGCCTGAAGCACCAGATGTCAAATTTTCGGTTGGCCCGTCCTCGAATCAGCGCATCTCAAAGAGTGTTGGGTTCACACGGAGCAAATGCCAAGGCTCCAATCCTTTTAGGACCGGTCGTGCTAGCATCTTCGAGGTCTTATCCAGGTCGATAAGGGGCGTTGGAGTTGGCCCCGCCCCTAAGCTTAGTGCATGCAGAAGATGGGGACACGAGTACTCCAGGTACTCACATACAAAACCGTGGACGTCAGGCATAAAAATATGCCTGACTCATTATCAACGCGTTACTACGCGTTGATAATATCGCGTATCTTTGATGTTGGACCACTGAACCTGTGAGTCTCCTTGAAGAGACGCCGGCAATAAGCCCTATTGTCGACTGCGCCCCATGAGTCCCCCACGTAAACATTCATATTCAGCTGGAATAGAATTACCCAAAAACTGATGAGAACGAGAACTAAGTTCTCAGCCGTCCGTTACTACACCCTAAGCATATTGCACACTGGACCTGAGAAGCCATCATCTTCTCGTCGCAGCATCTGAAACGATCCACAACCAGCCGAACTCACATCAGCGCTGGGCTGCCTGATTTCTGAGGCATGGAAGATGCGCAGCTGAAAGTCTTGGATGCGGTATGGCTGTTCGCTGGCGGTGCGCACTGGGACTGCACGGAAGTATGTGGGGGTCAGTTAAGAGAACTTATCCACCAGCTTACCGGAAAAAGGAATGTGGACACTTGTTTGCATTACAGCCCTTCTGCTGATGAGTTACTAATCAAGTTTCCAAAACTCTGCGATGGTGGGGCACAGCAGAACGAGAATGAGGATCTTCAGGGGGCCAAACGAATGCCCCTTCTTCACGAAAGTTGCATCAGGCAAGCAATGACCTCAATCACAGATTGAAGGGATCTACCAGCAGACGACCGAAGGCTATGAGCACAACGGGGTCGTCTGCCACCTTTTCGAAGTGCACCGATGTAGGACAAGAAGGGAACAGCTGTGCATTGCTCTTTCAAGATAAGATTCATCAGCGGGTGCATACAAAACAGCCAGGCACGTCCTTACAACGTGCACAGTAACAAAAGACATTCAACGACGTTCCAAAGAGGATGGCCAAGACAACAAATGATTTTATTGTTCAACAGTGGAACATACGCAAGAGACTTTATGTGATTACTAGCTCCCTGCACACAGGTGTCCACATTGCTGCGTTCATCAGCAATGCGCGCAGGAAACAAACGCTGGCGGTGAAGCCGCACCCCCCCATATGCGGCGGTGGCGAACTTCACCCCTGATTCGCTGCAGGACGCTCAGAGTATGAAGAAGGCCAAAAGCTCACCATTGATCTGCTGGAGGACGCTGAAAGGGCGGATCAAGTCCACAAAGCTGAGCCCGTTGCGCTGGCACGTCGCCTCCGCCTTGTCAGTGGACAGGACCATCACCACCGGCGTGAAGTCCCTCTGGATAGAGCTGTACAGATAGGCGCCCGCCATCTCTTCAAGCTGAATGCGACTCAGCGGGCCTGCCCGGATTCTATCCCTAAGTTGTGCTGGGGACTGCTGGATGCATTTTGCCCAAAAATTGTAACCCCCCCTATGGATCAGATATATTGGGCGGGGCAGGTTCGAAGCAGGCCGCGACTGACGCTACAGTCAGCAATTGCTTTCAGCTCCAGCTCTCAGCTTCTTCTTAGGATCAACACTTGACGGCTTTCTTTGCTGAAGTTGCTTTTGCTCTGCCAAAAGCGGTGCCCCCTGGGTGCTTTCATGCACAACGAAGACGCACCCGCCAGGGGGACAGCTATTAATCAGAGGGGACAAACTTTGTGCTCCTGAAACAGTGAAACTTAAGGCTCCAGACGCTCATGCAGGAGCCTGGAAGCAGGAGGAAGGACACAAAAGTTGATTTCGAAATCGAAGCAAACCCCCGTCCCTCCACCATAGTCTCGCTTCGACGAAACAGCTTCGAAATCCTTCCCTCCAGCAAAAACGCTCCTCCCTCCGCCGCTCCAGTCCTTTTCCCGCAGCTGCTCAGCGCGAGCTCGCTTCCTGGCGCCTCTTCCAGAGGCCGCACAGCCATGGCGGAAACTCTGACCCTGAAGGGGACGCTCAAGGGCCACTCCGACTGGGTGACGTCGATTGCCACGCCCCTCGACAACAGCGACACGATCCTGTCCTCCTCCAGGGACAAGTCGATCATTGTGTGGAACCTGAGCAGGGATGAGACGAACTATGGCGTCCCCCGCAGACGATTGACGGGGCATGGTCATTTCGTCCAGGATGTCGTCATCTCCTCTGACGGTCAGTTTGCGCTGTCTGGCTCGTGGGACGGGACTCTGCGTCTGTGGGACCTGAACACCGGGGCAACCACCCGGCGCTTTGTGGGGCACACCAAGGACGTGCTCAGCGTGGCGTTCTCGGTTGACAACAGGCAGATTGTGTCTGGGTCCAGGTGAGCAGTGGCGGAAGGTGGAGGCAAGTCGGTTGATGTCAGGACGGCTGCTCGTCGTGGTGGTAATGGTTTCTTGGTGGCGATTGCCCTGAATGCTTCGATTCAGGGCCTGTCACTGAGTCAAAGCTTTTGTAGCTCAAAATGAGCAGCTTAGGTGCTTCATGACTGATGGACCTTCGGGAAGGAATGCGGTTGGACAAGGTGCGCTTAGAGAGATATTGTTTCTTGTTGTCAGTAGGGGTGCAGCTTGAATGATTGTCGTGGGCGGTAGAGCCTTTCAGCAGGTACAAGTTTGTGCAGCCACCGACTTATAGAGCCACCCGGTTGTCTACATTGATCTGAAGAGACAGTTGAAGGTTTGAATTTCTATTATAATGGAGGACGCATTCGTCACTTTCAAGTCACTGAAAGGTTCTGGTAATGGGCGCCGGTGCTTGTGCTTCTGTGCTCCATGCATTCCTAATCACCATCTGCGTTATTGTAGCTAGATGTCCATCCACCATTATCGCACCTGAAACCCTTTGAATCTTTTCAAAACATAGGGAAATTTTTGGTGCCTTGATTGGCGATTAATCATCTGGTTGGACTTGGACGCGAGTCAAGCGCTTTAGAACTGAAGGTCGTAGTGCAAGGGGGCAGCCAACAACGCGAATCAGCAGGTTTTCTCTCGTAGGATCGAATCCGCCATCGCACTGTATCAAGATTGCGCTTGCACACTCAGCGACAATGGCTAAGCCATAGGACAGAAGAAAGAAGCAGAAGCTTGTGGCATGCCTTATAAGAGAGTCTACTGCTTACCTGAATAAGTGCTGCTATCGCTGGACTGCAAAACATCCTTCAGGACTGCTGGTAACATTGCTCGGGACTCTACCCTGCAGCTCCTTCTTGAGCATATTGCGGACCCCACTGAACTGCATTCTGACTTATACACAAATGTCCTTTTGTTCCTTTTAGGGACCGCACCATCAAGCTGTGGAACACCCTCGGCGAGTGCAAGTACACGATCCAGGACTCTGAGGCACACACCGGGTGGGTGAGCTGCGTGCGCTTCTCCCCCGTGACCTCGAACCCCATCATTGTGTCGGGAGGATGGGACAAGATGGTCAAGGTGTGGAATCTGACCAACTGCAAGCTGCGCACCAACCTCGTGGGCCACACCGGGTACATCAACACCGTCACAGTCTCCCCCGACGGCTCGCTGTGCGCCTCAGGTGAGGGTCCCGAGGTTGCGGCGGTGCTTAACTGGTTCTTCAGATGTAGGAATTTGTGTTCTCTCCAGGTTTGAAAGTGCATCGGTGCCCGCCTGACTGGGTGCTGAGTTTGTGCGCTGTCTTATTGAGTGCCGCAGTTCGGATTGTTCTGGTATCAATGAAGCCCAAGTTCAGGGTTGCTGAGCAAACGACAGGATTTTACAGAGTTCGAGGGCGCTCGTCCGTGCCTTGCGGTTGAAGTTGTCAGGGTAGTTTGGGAAGGAACCAACTCAGCGGTGCTGGACGCTCATCCTTGTACTTTCAAGCATGGTTCATGAGTTTTTTTGAGGATTCATGTCAGCACTTACTCACCATGTTATATCCGCGTGCCAGGTGGCAAGGACGGCGTGGCCATGCTGTGGGACCTGGCGGAGGGCAAGAGGCTGTACTCGCTGGACGCCGGTGACATCATCCACTCGCTGACCTTCTCCCCCAACCGCTATTGGCTGTGCGCTGCCACCCAGGTCAGCGCTACCGTCTGATCTCACACCCTTTTCTTTCACGCTAGGTTCATTGACAGCTGCTCAGGCCCGGTGTGACCCTGTCATGATCGTTGAAGTTATATACGAGAATAGCTTAGCGCACAATAGCCAGGGATAATTGATGCTGGTTGACTGCGAGGAGCTGGATATCATCAGAGCTGTTCTGTTCACGTTTGTCCTCCGATTCGAATCATAGGTTCGAAGATCTGCTTGTGAGGTGGTAAGGCATCGTCCGTAGGACGGGCTGTTGCACCACTTTCTACATGGCAATCCACTTGACACCAACTCGCAATCCTACTTTGCAGAGCGGCATCAAGATTTGGGACCTGGAGAGCAAGAGCATCGTGGACGAGCTGAAGCCCGAGTTCCCGAACATGGGCAAGAAGACGCAGATCCCGTACTGCACCAGCCTCAACTGGAGCGCCGACGGCAGCACCCTCTACAGCGGATACACAGACGGCAACATCCGCGTGTGGGGCGTCGGGCGCGTGTAATTGGAAACCCTTGTTTTTGGAGGTTGAGGGAGGTTAGATGTGGCTGATCCATGTGCCAGCTGGCATGGATGGTTTGCGGGTCAGGGCGCCGCTAGAGATCAGGGAAAGTGACCCTATTGTGAGCGCTGCGGGGGTGCCTGCGGATGCTTATCGTCCTTTACGCCGCGTATGAAATGGTAGACGGATACCAGCGGCGGGGACGCAGTGCGCCTTGTGTACACACTATATAGACACCGGAAGAGAGTTGACAACGTCAATGCTTCGACTACAATCACTCACATGCATGTTGTATGCGCTGCCCGATTAAGTTCCTTGCACCATGAAAGGCTGTTGCCGCGCTTTGTGTTGAGCTTGCTCTGCAGAGTGCCATGCCGGCTTAATGTACCATGGATTCGATGTGAGAAAGCAAGACACGCGGGTATATAGCCAAGCTTTGCCGCATGGATGGTGTTCGACATTGCAACAGCGTGGTCCATCCTCGTGTAGAATGTCGTGATTGCCAGGTCCAACAACCATTATGCATTGTAGCCTGGACTGATCCACATGTATGCTGCATTAGTTCTTCTGTCAACATGGTCATGAGGCTCTTAACCATCAAGTGGAAAGACAGTGCAGTAGCTGCCTCGTTCACCGCGATCAATCCCTGCTATCCAAAAAGATATGGTGCGGTACGTGGGATGTTCAGGAAGGTGGCATTTGTTGCGTATGTATCCTGGAGATTATCTCCAATTTAAAGACGGCAAAGTTGAGCGGGACCAGCTGGTATCGTGCATCGAATTGCAACGAACACTGGCAATTGCCGAGTTGTGCACAGATTGTCCTAAGCACCCTGCATATGTGCAGGGCGCACCCAGCCTGCCGGCCCTAGGGCTTGTGCATCTTTTGAATGTGATCAGTTCACACGTCTCTCCTGGGCAGAACTCTTCTCTTTTCGGATCATGCGGTTCGCACTTTTGTGCATGGCTGTTTGCTCATATAGGCCGTCTGTACACAGTTGAGTTCTTCTATCGTACATTGTCACATCAAGCTCAGCTTTTGCATACTTGACTTCAGTCCGCTCCCAAGAGTGGCGCTCCGCCACATCGATTTGTGGCGGGATGGCGCTTTATCGCCCGCGTTCTTTTCGAATATGTGCAGCTTCATTAGGTGCGTGTTTATCCCGACCCAATCCATGTACCCCGCTTTACTCTCGTTCTTCTCGCCTTCTTTTTCCTTCTCGCTCATGGGGTTGATTATTCGCCGCGTCCCGTGCCACTCCATCTCTAGTTTTACCGCCCCCGTCTTTACGCCTGCGCAGGCATGAGAGTCTTCAGCGCGGCCTGATCGCGAACAGATCACCGTATCGAGCAAACAACAATGCACAAAACTGATCAAGAAAGGTGGACTCAATGTATCACTTCAGCAGAGTGAGGCGCCACAAGCTCTGCATCCACGAGAGCACCAGTATCCCGACAGTAATTGCAGGCTGCTCTCTGAACGAGCTCGCCTGCTACATAAAACTGCAGCTAACGCCGTGGAGAAAAGCACTACTTAGTCCAGCAAATCAGATAAACGCCAACGCCAACTCCTTGCGCTCTCAACCCTGAGCCCACAAAGAAAGCAGAACCACCTCTGAACCCCTCACCGTCGAGCGGGTAGACGTCCAGGATCCGCCGGTTCCGCACGACGTCCCCGAGCGGAATCCGCGCGATGCCGAGGCTCTCCTTGCCCCAGTAGGTGAAGCGCGTCCACACCTCGAGCAGCAGCACGCCGTCGATGGGCGCATCGTCGAGCAGAAACTCGAACTCCTCGGCCCAGCGCGGGGAGAGGTCGTGCGCCACGGTCTTGCTGTGCATCCACTCGCCCAGCACGTTGATCTTGCAGTACGGGTTGCTCGTGCCGTTGTGCCGCGCCTCCAGGTCCAAACCTGTGCGAAGGTTGTTAGGATTCTGCAAGTGTTCTTTGGAACTCAAAGAAAAGGCTACGACAGTCTTGCGGAGAATGAATAAATCAAGGACAGCATTACGGGTTGCTCGTGCCGTTGTGCCGCGCCTCCAGGTTCAAATCTGTGCGAGGGTTTTTGAGAATGTTCATTTTATTGTTCTTGTATACTTTGGGGGAGAAAACTGATGCTACGGAGATTAAAGGCACGAACACAGAAAGTCATTTTGGAATACCGCGGACTCAGGAAACCGCAGGTCGGGTTGCTGGTGCCGTTGTGCCGCGCCTCCAGGTCCAAACCTGCGGACGGGTTTGAAAGTTTGCAAGTAATAGGGGAGAAAGAACAACATGCTACAACAGTCTCGTGGAGAATGACAGACCCGGGGACTGCAGTACGGGTTGCGCGTGCTGTTGTGCCGCGCTTCCATGGCCTGCGGGGGGGGTTGGAGAGTGAGCGTTGCAGGGGGGATCCAAGGGGCGAAGTCTGGGCAATCTTCTCGAGGGATGAAGTCAGGGCCTTGACAGGGGGAGTATTTGACAGGTTGCTCGTCCCATTGCGCCACGAGCCGCCAAGTAACGGCTTACGAAAGGCCAGAAAGGTGAATTTCGGGAGCAAAAGTGAGCGCTGGCAGCCAAAGGTTTGTCTGGAAAGGTCCGCAAGGGAAAGTTCATCCCTCGTTCGGGTACTGAGCTTCGGATATCGAGAAGAGCAATTAGGACGAGCACACAATCAAACAAACCTTAGAATCCAGGCGACCCGTCGGGCCAAAAGCAAACGGATGCAACAAAAGGGAGACAGCGGAAGAAAAAAGACGAAGGCGTAGGAGACGAGAGAAGCGTACCTTGATGCACGGTGACGATGAGCAGGCCCGGTCCCTTTTCTTCGAGCGGGATGTCCTCGGTGCGGCGACCCGAGAGCGAGCTGTAGAGGCGGGAGGAAGACTTTTGGAGGGGGCTTGTGTCGCCGTTCCCGTCGGCGGCGGCGGCGCTGGCGGGAGGCTCCTCGCGGCCGACCATCGGGTCGCAGTGGAGCGCGTTGGGGTCGCGGAACGGGAGGTACGTCACCTGAGCGGAACCGGAAGGAGGGTTTGAAACACGGACGTGAGGCTCCATGCCTTTTCTTCGCTTTGTTATATGTCGGGAGGTGGTCACTTGCCGTCAGGATAGGAACGAGTTGAAGAAGAAGGAAACAAACTCGTCTCGTCCGTGTTTGAAAAGTGTGGCTTGTTGAGATAACTGAAGATGCGGTTAAAGTGGAGCGCGTTGGGGTCGCGGAACGGGAGGTACGTCACCTGGGCGGAACCGGAATGAGGGTTGGAACCACAATTTCATAGAAAAGGGCTCCGTTTGTGTCCTTTACACTGGAAACTTACAGTCGCAAATGTAGATAACCTGCGGTCAAGAAGGAAAGACAGAGAGAATCGTCGTTCTTCCTCTCCGGTTATGATGCAAATATCTTTGCAAACTCGTGGTCAAGTAAGGGGAGGGCTGGGTACGTCACCTGCGGGCGAGCAGAGACGACGATTCAATAAAATGAAAACGAGCTCACCTCGTCGATACAGAGGTGGGATTTCTCGAGTCTGCATTGACTTCGTAAGATAGAAAGAGAAAGGGCATTTCTGCCACCGTGCAGTGCGGCCGATATAAGAGGGTGCTGCGAACGGCAAACGAGACCGATATCCGACGTCATTGCCCAAACAACACAAGTTCCAATAAGACAAGAGACATCGAGGTTTAAGACACAACCCGCTTGTTTCCTTCTCCTGCTCACAGAATTTGATTATCAACAAATGGCTCATTTGCAGCTGCGTTCGATCTGCAATGACTCCCGCCGAACGCGGCTCACTCAATCGAATATGTGGATTTCCCCGGGTAAGTTTCTGATGCGACCATGGTCTTGACACGTGGCGAAAACTTTTATCTGCGTACGCGGCCAACTCACCTCAAGCGTAATCACGCCGTGTCCGTTGTCCTTGTCCGAAACCTTCTTCTTGGGCTTGTCCGGATCCTCGAACAGAGTCGGCAGCAGATCCGTCGCCGACTTGGTCGCCTCGTACGCGGACTTGGCCAGCAGGTTAACATTGTGGTTAAGGTTGATTTTGGTTAGCGAGCTCTTGGACAGGCTGGCGGCCCGGGGAGGCAGGTCCAGCGCGGCCTCGATCTCGGTTAGTTGGTTCGGGTTAAGCGACATAACCGGGATGTTGGTGATGCCCAACAGCAGGTTCTTGCCGATCAGCTGAAAGTTGGTCACCTGCAAACAACAAAAGTGGGTTAGCTTAACCACAAATCTAGGTCGCGCCAGCTTATCTGGGTTTGGTATACTGGAAACTCCCGTCTTACTCAAGAGCCAATTCACTTGACATCTTAGATACCCGGGCAAACAAGCTAAGAAGTCTAACCGACAGAGTCACCCGCTTCGCACCCGAACCCACCCTAACCACCACGCCAACCGTACCCGTCTCCCGGGCGCCTATTCTAAGTGAAATGGCTCTTAAGTGAAATGGGAGTTACCAGAGTGGGTTAGGTGGTGATTCGCTATCCTTAAACGCAATAAGTTGTGCTTGTCAACCTGAGAAGCGAACCTTGCCTTTTGATGCAAGCGTCTGCCAACCCTGGAAGGACCACCATCTCCGCAGCACTAGTGGACGCAATACTCGAAAAAATGTGTTGAATTCCTTAAGGGAGCAACAGCCTCTTATTTCCAGGAGCCTCGAACATTCGACATGTAAGGCAACAGCCTTCAAACCCCAACGCCCATAGGCTGGACCCTTGATCCTCTCTCAACTTTATATCATCCTCGACGCATGATCGCCGATTCGCACGTCTTTTCTCCCGTCGCCCAACCAGAGATCGAAAAATCTAGGACGCTCACCTCGACGTAAGGACGTCCGTCTTCTCATCGTCGACCCGGAACGAGAAGAACTCGTCCCACACAAAGAGGTTCTCACCAACACAAAAACGCTGGCCTACAGAAAAGGGTCATGGTAATCCGTGACCCGTTACCGGACGCTCACCTCGACCGTGAGGACGTCCGTCTTCTCGTCGTCCACCCGGAACGAGAAGAACTCGTCCCAGAGGGGCGCCGTGGTGCGCGAGCGCATGCGGCTCTTCTGCGCGTCGTCGCCCTTGATGTACAGCTTCACGAACGGGTCCGTGAATAACCGCTCCCTGTTAATCAAACCCTCCGCTTTAACCAGGCGCACCTGGAGCGTGCCCGCGGGGCGCCGCGAGTCGGGATGGTCGTCCCCAATGCCGATGTTCAGGTGGCGCGGCCACAGAAACATGCCACGTAACATGCCCTGCGCAAAGAAACAACGGGCAAGATGAGCCTTCTTTATCTGGAGAAAAGCAAGGTCCTTATGTACCACAAATCTGGGGTTTTGCAGATTTCCTTAAAGTAATTGGCAGGTGGCGCGGCCACAGAAACATGCCTGCGGGCAAGATATTGATAATCTAAGCTTCGGTCGTCAAAGAGACTTTTCACCACAGCATCCCGGGATTTTGCATTTGCGACCTCGTTTCTTTGTCGAGTTCTGGTCACGTGAGCTTGCGCGGCCGCGGTCGGAGCCAAGCGCCGAGGGGCCGGATCGTGAGTTGTCACAGTACAGCCTGGTGAGAGGCGACAGTACAGCAGTGTGTGCCCTGTGAGCGTCGCCGAAAAGGTTATAGAAAAAAGAAGAAAGAAGAAAGGATAAAGAATACAAAGAAAGAACTCTCACCTGCAGCATTCGCTCGACGGTGGGCTGCACGAGCGGCAGCGCGAGCAGGTCGCTGCCGCCCAACTTGGCGGCGAAGTCGAGGTGGGGCGTTTCCACGATGGACAGCTGGAGCGCGGAGAAGCACGGGAAGTGGTCCACGAGAGGACGGAACGTGACGCGGCCTTTGACGAACAGGTTGATCTCCGAGATCTGAATCAAGAAGATCCGTACGTCAGCATTAGGTTGCGCGTCGACCGAAAACCTACTTGGCCTCCAGTGTTGCCTTTTTAGTACCGACGGGTAGGAGGCACGGTACTTTTCAGACCACATTAGTCCTCTGGTATGTACCTTGGAATACCACGTGGATCTGAAAAGTATCCGATTGGCTAAGAAATCTGGAAAGCTTTTTGCAGCTTTTCGGTCGACGCGCACCCTTAAGACGACCTGGGAGATGAGGAGAGCGGTGAGTTGAGAGGAAGTGGTCGACGAGAGGGCGGAACGTGACGCGGCCCTTGACGAAAAGATATATTTCCGAGATCTGCATCAGGGAAATTCTTCTGTCAGCATTGAGACGATCTGGGGGAAAGCGGTGAGATGCGGGAGAGTGAGAGGAAAGAGGACGGAACGTGACGGGACCCTTCACGAACAGGTTGATCTCCGAGATCTGCTTGACGCAAGGGAAACACGATGACGGAGCTGCGAGCAGAAGCAAAGGAGAGGAAGCAAAGAAGACCCAAACAAAAGAATCAACGAGACACTTGAGGGAGGAAAAACGAAGCACAAGAACTCTGGGTGAAAGCCGAAGTTATGGAGCAAAAGAAGAGGAACGGAAGCAAAGAGACCCAAAACAGAAGGAAACACGAGACCCCCAAGGGAGGGGAGAAAACGCAGCACCAGAACTCTGGGCGAAGGCCGAAGAACCCTGAAACAAAGCAAAATTAAGGATAGATCGGCCGCACCTGACACTGTATGCGCCGGGCCCCAAAGCGCAGCGTGCCGAGCAGGTTGGCGCTGCTGGCCCACTTGATGATGGGCTCCATGATGACCTCATCGGCGACCATCTCAAACACCTTGATGCCCTCGATGATGGGCGGAAGGTCGCCGAACGTAACGGACGTCCAAACGGGCTGGAGGCCTGCACCGGACGGCGGCTAGAGGGAGATGAAGAGGGAGTGAAAGGGAGAGGGTATGCAAAACGGACGTCCGAGAATACTGGAGGCCTGGTCAAGGGCGATTGAGCGAGAGAATTGATCCGGTAGACTTCGAAGTAGACCCAAAGGTTGCTCAGAACATTTCCTAACGTCACAGTCATGCTTGACCGACAGGATCAAGGATTGGGAGGGAGTTTTAATTTCTTTCTAATCGCAAGTTCGAATCTAAAATGTGCTTTCCGACCATAAAAAGCGGAGGCACATACAGGCCGACTTGCCCGGAACGAGCCATATCGATCACGAGACAGACACTTGGCAGACGGACGAACGCACCTTCCTGACTACTTGTTGTTAGCAATCATCCAACTCAGTGCAGAAGGCAAGTTTCAACACGCCTGCGGTTCAAAAGCACCCCACCTGGCGGCAGGTTCTTTTTCAGCTCGTTGGGCCAGAAGTCGTCGATGAACCACTTTTGCGTGGCGACGTTGACGTGGGGCCACATCTTGATCATGCACTTGTTGAGCCAGTGCACGCTCTGAATGTCGGGGTTGCGCACCCAGCTCGGGATGTCCAGCTGCAGGTGCTCCAGCATGTCGTCATCCTCCATATCGGACACCGGGACGATCTGCAGGGGGTGAAATTGAAGAAGCGATACTTTAGCATGTCGAGAATTTGCATCTCCGGCTGCAGGTGTTAGACCATGTCGTCATCGTCCACATCCAACACAGGCAAAATCTGCGAGGCCAAAGTTTCAGGACTTTTAATGAGCTAGCATGTTCGAGGTTTGCCGAAATCGAGATTTCCAGCTGCAGGTGTTCTTACACTTGTCCAGTGTCAGAGATTGGTTCTGACACCGAAATAATCCGCGAGAAGAAAGAAGATATGGGGGGAAATGTCTTTCCCAGACGCTCGGTGTCAGGAAAATATGGCTTGGCATCTCAGGGGTGCGGACCAGTTGAGCAATGCGTCGAATCGTGACGTCCAACTATAAAGTGTCCAGTATGTCGTTGTCCTTTGTTCCTGTTACTGGCAAGACCCGGCGGATTGAGAGAGAACAAGGGGGGCCTGATTCGCCCACTTTGTTGTCTAGAAAAGAGGCAAGAACTAGAAGTGTTTCAAACACATGCATGGGTTCCAAGAGACTGCCACATAGAAGAATGGACGAAAGTACGATGGACAAAGCATAACACTTCAATCACAGAAGATCACTACAAGGCAATCCTGGTTCTGGCCGTTTCAATCTCAAAAGTGGATGCATGGAGATCGACATTCTATACAGCCTCCAATTCTGGGTGTTTGATCATCAACTCCAAGAAAACCGTGATAGTTTGGCGCGCATTAACAGCAGATGGCAAGAGCTGTACTTAAGTGCAGTCCTTGGAAAGTAGAGGTGTATATGAAAGCCTGTAAAGGTAAAACCAGCGGCGCCGTGCAAAACCAGGAGGTGGGCTTTGTGCCCCAGTAGGGACCAGGACTTCCAAATTGTGGTCTAATGTGATCAGTCTGCCACTTTTACGACGAACAGTCTGCCAAGAACAAAGTGGTTCTTCATTTAGCTGACGCTCCACACCTAGAACTGGGTCGAAAAGACCCTACTCGTGTCTAAACAAAGCAATCTTCAAAGCAAGAAGCCTGCTATTAAAGATGGCACAGTTACAGCTACAGCGACGAGTTAAGGCCTTGTTTTGACATGATCACCACTAGTGACGTTGATGAGAAGGATAGAAGATAATCACTGGGGGAAGACATGGAACAAATGCAATGCACCCTTGAGATTGCTTACTGATCTTCGATTTTTGGTTTTAGGCGCAGAGGGGATGCAAAAGAGCATGATGCAGAGGTGGTACAAACATATGTTTTCTGACAGCTAAGGCGAAAACCAGCGTGCGACAGAAACAGGTGTGGAAAACATGCCCCTTCTCTGGCAAAAACCAGTAATGGATGAAGCAGTCGTCCAGCACATGATCCATGGGCGAAAGCGAGTTTGTCTGAATGTTCTGAAAAGCCAACCTTGGGCAAGAAAAGACTACGGTTGTAAGCCCCATCAGCTTTGGGAGAAAGAGAGAAGAGGCAGACTTTCCAAGGTGGCAGCAATCAGGGGAAGGAAAATTGCAAGGTACTAAAAGGTACAGTCAGCTTACCTCTGGGACTTCGACCGTTGGCCACCGCACTCCGTTGAAGACATACGAGCCCACCAGAATCCCCAGCCCAGCCCCCACCGAGAACCCGGTTGTCCGAACTACTACCCCCAGAGCAAATCGAACAGTGCCCCCAGCCACCCCCAGGAGCAAAAGCCCCGCTTGACGGGGCACTCTGAAGATGCGCCTCCCCATATTTTTAAAAGCGTGTTTCTAGCAGGTGGGTTCCTAACATGCCCCACAGACACAGAGTCACAGCCAAAGTACTGTGCTCTCTGCCACTGTATCGGTCAGCAGGCTCAACTCTAAAGCAATTGGGCGCTCCACACACATGCGCGAGTACTTTTCAAGCTAGCAGACTTGGAAGGGGTGGGGGCTGCATGTGTCTTCACGACTGTCCCTGACACCCTTGGAATTACCAACGCTGTTTGACGGTTCACGGTGTTCCGAGGAGACCTGAAACACTAGTCTACCCCAGGTCGTAAAGATCGTTCTTGACTTATACAAGAAGTTGACGCAACAATGATCAACACACACAGGTCAAGGTTGCAGCATTGTGGCGTCTACTTATTGAAGTCTCCTCCACAAGTCCTCCGAACTATTCTCCAATCGTGGGGGCGCTCTGATTTTGTCGTAAGTCAGACAGTGGGCGTTCAACAGCCCTGCTTAGCGAGCAATCAGCTTGCAGCTCTCTCATGCACAATTCTCAGTTCCCCCTCATCTGTTTGGCAGGCGCTGATGCTTGGAGAGCTGCCCAAAGCTTCGTGCGATCAACGGATCAGCTCGACTACTTCAAGTGCGAGCTTCCCGCTAGCTTCTTAGATCACACATCAACAAAGTTTGTCCACAAAGAGAGAGAGAATTTGCTGGCTGCTCAAAAAGCTATTAGATGGTTGCTGCAGCTGCCTGAAGGCTAAGGCATGATCGGCAACCCAGCACTGAAGTTCCTTGGAACCTCTTCCTGTCTTCCTCCTCCTGCCAATCTCTGCTTCGGAGTGGATGCCCATGCACTGTGAAGGATACCTGATCAGGCACTTTTCAAACATTTCTTGATCCAAATAGACAAATCTTCATATTCCTCTTGAAACCGGGCAGTCACTACTCGGTAACGGCACGCTATCGACCGACTAGCGTGACCAATATGGATTATTCAAGCCCCGCCGGTTCTATCTAGACCACGACAACGGTAAACTGGCTGCCCGGGGCACGCAGAAATGCAGACTGCCCAGTGCCAATTCAACCCAAAAATGGGAAAATGAATAATCTGCTAGAGCTGCAGGCTGCAGAGCACAAACGTTGCCACGCTCGTCTAATCAAAGTGCCTTTGCCCAGCTTTTGTAGCAGTGTAGATTGATCGTAATGGCGGCCTTTCCCTCCAGTCTGCGCGGATTCCACAGCCTCTGCAAGCAGCTGCAGGCTTTCTCCTTCACTGGAGTTGTACCACCACTTGCGCTCCACCAAACGGTTTCAGCAGCTTATCAGCTGTGTCCAGAAAGCGTGGTGAAGACGATCCCTTCAGATGAAGCAAAGCAGCCATCGCTAGAGTCTCGAAATGGGGGCAGCATGCCTGATGAAACGGCCTCATTTTCTGGTCGGCACTTTGATTCTGCAAAGGCATGCAGAATGAACCTGTTTAACCAGCCAAATAGCGGCATTTCGGGGGGGTTTATGATGGGTCCAAACCGTGGGTTGGAAGTGCTCCGGTTGCAAAAAGGTCAATGCAGAGGAGTGCTGTCGGACAGGCATGAGGTGCGGGGTTATGCAACGAAGCTGTGGACATTCACCAGGAAAAGGCTGTACGGAGGTATGTAGTGAAAGGCGCGGCACACTCTGGTGGATTAGACACCGCACTTGGACAAAGCAGGTTTTCTACATGGTACTCTTGTCCTTCAACTGCTTTGCATTTGCTGAATATGATACTTTTGGATCTCAATGCTACTGATTTGTCTGCACTTGCATACCCAATGCTCCATGGATTGGCCGAACGGTCCGGTGTTCTTTAGCAAGAGTAACCTATCTATAAAGCGCGATGCCAGTGGTGTTTATCCTTCTATGCCCGTCTTGCTTTCTCAAGGAACTGCACACTTGGATACAGATTCTCTTCTCCTCATTTTCCACCAGCATGCACCGCTCTGCAATTGAAAGCATGTGTTCGTTTTGAGGACAGACTGGTGCAAAACGGTTTCTAATCAACTTACAGCCCTGTTGTATCCAACCACGGTCCTAAGAGATTCAAGGGGGAAAGAAAACTTGTAATGCAGCTCCTCTTGCGTTTTTGGATCCGGAGAAGCACCCGCTCGACCAGCCGGTTCCAACGTCGAGTCCGAACGCGGGGAGCATCAAGGCCCGGGGCAGGAATCAACGGCGGAGAATGAAGCAAAGAGCTGCATTCAAAACGGTGAGGTTTCAATGCTGGGCCGCCCATACGGCAGTCTGAAGTCACTGGGGCACATGTCTTTGTTATGCAATGCCCTTGCCACGCCGGCTGCAGCTTGGTAAGATCTTCCTTCTGCTTTCCTCGCGGAGAAGTGCTTCAACGAGGGAGTAATCACGGTCGCCCCAGACAAATTCTTAATTCTACTTTTCTTGCGGTCAAGTACTTCAACGAGGGAGCGATCATGGTCGAGACCCAGCAGAGCTCAAATGATGTTGGGGACTTTATGTTGCTCGTCGACACGCCCTTTGTCTTTAATTTTGCATAATTGAGCCTCTTGGCATGCTTCTCAAGTAGTTGCCTTATCAAATTACTTTACTGCAGTGGAGTAAATTGAAGATGGACGAAGCAGTCAAGGTTGGCAAGGCGAGGCTTGAAAGCGACCGGAAGGCCAGGCAGAGAGGAAATGCTGAACGCCATCGACAGCAGTTATTGAAGGCCGCGGAGCAATGACACGGACGGTCAGGCAAAATTTGTCTTTTTGACGTCAGATCCTTTGCAGACAATTGCACTTTGCTTGTAATAGCTGGCCATGTCCCAATTTCCTCCAAAACGATAATCATATGTTGCATTGAGTCAGAGTCATGTACCAAAGCTTCCCGCATGATATAGCGCTCGACTAAATTGCATGTATATATATTTCCTAGTCAAGCGGACTCATGAGCTGCGTCTGCTGACAGCTAGCCGGACGGACGTAAACTCCATTCCCGTACGTCCGCCATGCCCAGCCTGGCATGCAATCACGGATGATGCATTTGCAGGAGCTCGACTGTAAGGTGACATCGCATGATCCAAGAAGTAGAACTGGCATGGCATGGATCATGCCAGAGACGTCCTGATTGCCGATCACAAGCAGCGGCAGTGTTTTGCGTCCATGTACGCGTGTACTGTCCAGGTTAATTGCCATGGACATGTTCAAGCCAACTCATGTGAATGACCTGGCATAGCTGGCTTCATTACTGTAGGGCAAGTCCGACTGTGTGCGCTACAATATCATGACTGCAAGTGCTTGCATAAAGGAGCTGCAACAAAGGCTGGGTCTCCCGGACCATACCGCGGCTTCCTCGGTAGAAGCACAACCAACAACGCCCAACGGCCCCCTTTCAGGACTGCTAAGTTGTCCAGTACATCCCTCACTGCGCCGCCACATCTGCAAGCGGCTCAATCGTGAACTGCTCTTTTAAGCACGACCATCAACGAAAAGATACCTATTCTAGTCCTCGTCGCTATCATCCGCTCCAATGAGCGCTCGCCGCGCCGCCTCATCATCCACTTCGTCTTCGTCTTCATCTTCCTCCATGGGTTCCGCCGGAGCAACGCTTGCCACGTTCGTTTCCTCGACCGGCGCCGGAGGCTCCTCCTCCTCCTCCTCCTCCTCGTCTTCGTCGTTGTCGAGAACCCTTCTTCCTGCGAAGTGCAAGGAAGAGAAGTCGAACGTCCCGTTGCTTACGCCATCAAGGTTACTAATGCATGCGATTGCGTAAACCAAGCGCTGACGGCGATACGGAGTAGACTCGAACAGCGTGGTGAATGCTGCAGATGTGGGCTTCCGAACAGTGGAAATGCTACAGCGCATGACGGAAAATGGAAGGGGGACTTCAAAAGCAGTTGACCTTCGCGATTGGAAGAGAAGAAAATTCGAAGCATTGGAGCACGATGTCAAGAAAGTGTTGCCGGCAAGAAACCCTCAAAGGTACGATCGCCGAGTAGCTGTGCGGCCCAAAACATGACCCTGAACCGGTTATGCAATCCTGCCTTGCGAACCAATGCAACCCATCAATGCGGGCAGCTCCGATCTTTCTGGTTCATTCCATTGCCTTATAGCCGAAACCGTACCTTCCACTGACATTCGCTAGAGAAGAAAGAACCAGGAGAGCGATTATCTTTGACGTCCACAGCGGTCCGTCCTTTGGGCGTCGAACCAACTTTTTTCTGATACTGTACAGGAAAGCGGTCAAGTGTATTCCACACAAGCCAAAACACGTTGCCACGACATCTCAAAGTTAGAAGGTTCGTTGAGAATGATGGCATCACTGGTGGGCCCTTACCCGGCCGCCTCCCCCTGGCGGGCTGCTTCGTCTCTTCCCCGTCTTCCTCCTCCAGCTCATTCCGGTCCGCTTCCGCTTCTTCAAGATCCGCTCCCGCCGGTTCCGCTCCATTCTCTTCTTCCCCGTCGTCGTCCTTCTGCCGCTGCAGCCGCCGCTGCCGCTTCCGCTCCTTCTTCTCCTGTTTCCGCCGTTTCCGTTCCTGCTCCTCGGCGTCGGAACCGGAATCTCGCCCTGCAAGGAACAGCATGAGGGGTCAGGAGAGAAGCTGAAACGAGTCCTTCCGATATCTGGAAGAGGCTTCCTAGATTGTATTTCAGACTCTGCTGTCCAACTCACGCACGCATTCCCGAGAAGTGGCACCAAGAGTCAATTCTTGTCGTCTGACAAACCCCGAACTCGGATCCTCAGTCGCCGCGGAAGCGACCGTGAATTCATGATTGGGGGCGACCGGCCAGGAGGGCTGCAGGCTTCGGGGCCGCTGGAAGGCACGATCCTCAACATGCTCCCCGATTCAGCTTTGTGTTGGATCAGGGAGCATATTGTTTGTCAGATTTCGAAAGATCTAACAATCACGTTGTTCATCGGTCCGATTAGGCTTCTCTTTCGAACTTTTTGTTGTTGTTTGTTTTTTGTTCTTGCTTGTTTGTTCCCCTTCTCCCCGCTGACAAATTGCGGCACTCACTCTCGTCGTCTCCCTCGTCCTCCCCTTCGCTCCGGTACTCCGGCTCGATATGCACCCCGTTATCAACCTTGAAATCGGACAATTGTCCGTCCAGTCAAGGTTTTTCCTGTCATTATTTTGCTTCTCCCCTGACGGAATGCAGCACTCACTCTCGTCTTCTTCGTCCTCCCCTTCGCTCCGGTACTCCGGCTCCTCGTCGCTGGCCCCCCCCTCGCCCTCGCTCCGCTCCTCGTCCCCGCGCCGCTTCTTGCCCTTCGTCCGCTCCTTCTTCTCCCGCTTCCGCTTCTCCTTTTTGCCCGCGCGCGGCTCGCCGTCCGGCCCCTCTTCCTCGTCCACGTCGGCGTGCGGGCGGTTCGGCCTGACCTCGGCCTGAAAAAAGGACGAGTGGCCGTTTACTCCCGTCTCTGGTTCTGGACGTTTAAGCGTTTCCTTATCGATAATATTATTGTTTTGCCAGGAGAGCGAAACCGTTGTCGATCTCTTCCTCGTCCACGTAGACGTGCGGGCGGTTCCGCCTGACCTCGGCCTGAGAAGAAGAACAGTGTCATTCGGTACGGTCTCTAGTTCCTGACGTTCGGTCATTCGGTAATTTCCCCCCAAATAATGCGATTTTCAGGCCCACTACTTTTACAAAGGAACACCACCGGGTTCAACGTGTTTGTCGTCCATGCCGGCGTGCAAAGCGGTTCGCAGCTCGGCCTGTAATTAAAATTGATTGGTCGTTCAATCCCGTCTCTAGTTCCTGACACTTCACCGTTTGACACTAAGTACGACCTCCCTACTGTTTCATGAATTTCAGGAGAAAAGAGTCAGTGCTGAATCCCTTCCTTTTCCACGCTGGCGTAGGGCGATTCGGCTTGACCTTGGCCTGCAAATAAGAAAAGTGGTCGTGAGTCGTGAAGTTCCGCCTCTACTTCCCTGATCGATTCCCTTTCTTGCGGGCGTACGGCCTTGTTTGCATAATATGCGAGAGAAAACGACTCCAGGAGAAAGGACTAGAAAACACATCCACATTGCGCGTGGGCGCGCGTCGGCCTGCAACAGAACGAAACGTCGTCTGATACGGCCCCTTCTCTTCGAGATTCGACAACGCTCTTCAAACAGTACCGCATCTTCAACTTAACACCTTTCTAAGAAGAATCGACCAGATTCTGCCTCTTCTGTCGTCCATGTTGGAGTGGGGGCGCTAACTGCAGTCGGCGAGTAACCAATGTCCATCGCCTCGAGTCCCCAGTTCTTTTCGCCATGTTCTCCGCTTTTATGTCGTTCCATGATAACTCTTGCATCTTCTCGAGCGTAAACCCAGGAACATACGACCGTTTCAAGGAAGGATCGACTTCTCATTCAGCACACAATTGCTTGAGGGTTGTTTGGCCACTGTGCAAAGGCGGACGACGAGTTTCCCCCTTTTTGCAGATCGCAGCAACAAAAGATGGTGGCAACAAAGAAAGTGAGTGTCGCAATGTCACCGCTAGGTTCCAGAGCGTAACAAGAAGCGTCGGGGACTGAATCCGCAAAAGGGCTTTGCAAACATTCTCCTCATATCCATCCGTGTACGACACGAAGTGTGCAGCCGCGAAATGTCGCCCAGAGAGGGCGCTACTCCACCGAAGAGAAAACATGTAAAGGTAAAAGAGAGGACAAAAAGACAGATCAAGTGCAGCCTCGTGCAGTAAGATACCAAAGTCGCATCTCACCATTAGGGCTCGGAATTTCTCCTCGTGCTCCTCCGCTTCCTTGATTGCCTTCTCGCGCCGACTGCGCTCCTCCTGCGGTTGTCAAAAAGAAGACCGGTGTCACGCGTTCTGGGGGTCTGAGGGTGTCAACGTATGCAGACTTTTCGGGAAAACAGTGGTGACTCGTGAGCATATCATAACGAACGTGAAAGCCATTAGGCTTCAATGTTCACTCAACTTAGGATGACATTGGCCTCAAAGCTTGGGTCCACAAAATCAGCATGCGCCTCCGGCTTACCCAACTCCAGTCGGAACGCCTCAAGTCTTTCTGATATGAAAGCTTTACCAGTGGTAAGAGAATTACGGTCGTGATGAGACCAGCTCGAGCCGGCCCCCCCTCAACGCGGCTAGTAGTTCCGACAAGCTCGGTGACATGACCGTGCGCTCGAAACTTGAGGCCAATTGTACAACCAGCCTTCAACCCTGAACTTTTGGGGTCCCTTCCTCAAGCCGTTTGACCAGAACCAAGAATCCGAGACCCTTCTGCTAAACACTAGACCAGGACCAGAGACCCAAAATGCTGTTACGTTGGCGTCACATCCGTGCGGCCGGCTCTCGAGCCGCTTGACCAGACACCCAAGTTAAACCGTGGATATTTCATTTAAAGCTCACACCTCAGACCGAGCTCAGACCCTTTATTGGATGCCACACCGCCATGAATCCAGAGTCGGTAGCCAAATCATTAACGCCGGACAGGAGACCCCAAGGGCTCAGGGCTTCACCTCACCTCTGCGCGGCGCGCCTGACTTGAGCACTTGATCCTAAGGTCCAATCCAACCCCTAACCTTAGACCGGAGACATCAAACCCTCATATATCCAGCTCACCTCTGCGCGTCGCGCCTCCTCGAGCCGCTTGACCTCGGCCTGCCTCTGCATGTACAAGTCGTGCGCCTCCTTCTTGACGCGCAGCTGCTGCTCCTCTCGCTCTGCAGCCTCCACGTGGGCGCGCGCGCGCTCCAGCGTCGCCTGCGCGGGGTCGGAATGAGAATCAGGATATTGGGGTTTTAGGGTTTTAGGGTTTTGAAGTCAGAATTTTGTTGTCTGCTTGAGTCTAGAGTTTGCGATTTGCACGGCCCTTAGGTGGGTTGCTGGCGACCGCGGGGTGGGGGCATGAAGAAAGAGTTCTTCCTTGTGACGTTGACAGCCTGAAGATAAGACTCCTCGCTTGTGATAACTAACGAACTTGTGGAACGTTCCAGTGTGGAGTTAAGGGACCTCGCTTGCATCGAGGAAGGGGTTTGTGACACGTTCAGAACTTCCTTGGTACACTATTCTGGCCCTTCGGCCTGACAGAGCATAGCCAACCATACTAGTCACAGCGAGTGGCCAACAGCGCTTCAAAAACTCTACCCGCAAGTAAAGTGTTAGCGTGACAAAAGCGCACAACCCATCAGTCCGCCAACAGTCGACAAAACAGGACCACCAGCTTCTTTACTAAACCGGCGAATCGTGCTTTTTTTCTGACGGCGTGACGCGCTCACCTTACAAAATTCGATGTGGCTGGCCACCTTTTTGCGGTCGATGCCGTGCGTCAGGTGTCCCCCCAACGCGTTCAGTTGGGAGAGGAGCCGCAGCGCGCTCTTGAGCTCCGCCACCGCTTTCCGCACCTGCGCGATCGAGCGTTAGGCTTCTGAGAAGCCGTGTATGTTCTGTGCGATGTCTTCCTTCACTCCTGAGTAACTTGTTGTAGGCCAGTACAGCTTCTCCCGATCGACCTGCTAGGTTTTTGTTGTCATCTTACGTAGACTAAAGTCACTCAGCAACGGCCTGACTAAGATACACTAAGATTCCACTTTGACTGGCAGGTTGCTCGAAAGCAGTTCGAGTCGTACCGAACACCTGCCTCGAATTCAGAATAGTCCGTGGTTGGCATCTGTAACTGAACGTCTGCCTCAATAGATCCCCGGTCGGCGTCTGTAGCTGGCGGACGAAAATTAAGCCACGAAGCGGTGGAGCTCAAACTTGCTTTTTCAGAGACCGGTCAGAGTCTTACTCATCGGGATAGAACCTGTCGAAAACTTCGTGACCTGGCGTCGACCACATGCAGGAGCCTTCCTAAGAGACCTGATTCTTTAATATTGTCAAAACCTGGCGAAAGCCAGGCCCCAAATTCCGGCAAAATACTTGATTGGAAGTGCGAGAAAGAGAAGGCATCTCTGTATCTCACCGAGACCTCACCTCGTCCGCCGTCCGCTTCTTCTTTTGCAGCGCAGTGACGGCAAACTTCTGCATGGTGACCGCCGTGTTGAAGCGCAGCGCGTAGTTGGTCGGACTCTGGTGCATCGTGCGCAGAAGCACGCGCTTGCACTCCTGGAGAGCCTGCATAGACCAAAACATTTTGCAATTCTTCCCTCTTTTCATAATCGATTTTAGCCTGCCAGTTATCGATCCTCACATGCAATGAAAGAACGGCCCAAAGAGGAAATGCGGGGGGGCGGCAGCCCCCCCGGTTTAGAGGTTTAAAAAGGGGTCGGAAAGTATGTACCGATATTCTCTATGCAATTTTTTGGGAATTTCCTGAGGCTGAGGCGACGCTGGACCGGAAAAGTTAAAGCAAAAGACCCGTAATCTCTTCGAAAGACTACGTTTTGCCCATGCACCGCCTCCTCATGATGTGCAAGGTCTGCCTTTCCAAACCATTCCCCCGAGCAATTTATGCACAAATAGCCGGAATAACCGCGGCAATCCTCACCGGAAAGAGACTGCTGGACGCCCTGCCAAATCGGTAGCTGTGCTGAGGCATCACGTGCAAAGGAGCACACCACATCACTCTTGAGTTGCTTTTTTCTTTCTTTCCTTTTTCTCTCTTCTTTTTAGTGTATCTTAGTTTCTCCTTTCTCAGTTGAAAAGCAGCCGCCAGCGCTGCGCCCACCTGCTGGTCTTCCATATCGTAGTGCGCCCTTGCGATGCACAGCATGAGAAACGAGTCGGTGTTGTGGAACTGTCGTTTTAGGGCCTGCTGGTACTGCACGAGGAAAACGGCCGACGCAAAGTATCAGTGGACTGAGCCGAACGATCGACGAAATCAATGTCGCCGAGTCGAAACTCTGACCGTTCCAGGTCGCGAATCTGTCCAGAGCCTTCGACGAGACCGGGGTAATGTGAACAGGTCCGAAGCCACCAAGGAAAGGAAGCGATGCCAAGCTCCGACCCAGATCGTGAGCAGAAGAGGATACAGGACGAGCTTTGCTTTTTAGAGGCCAATTTTAGACCAGCAGATCGAAGCTGGATGAGTGCAGAACTGCTGAAAATAGAAGCGCGATAGCTGAGAAGCACAAGGGACTTGAGAATACAAGTGCGCGATGTTGAAATCAAGCGCTCTCAAACACAAAATCTTGACCTCCTTCTCACCAGTTCGCTGGCAGACTCCCTCTCTTTGAGCATCAGGTATAACCGTACCCTGACCTTCACACTCCACGGAGTATACGAATCAAAACTTCTCAGCATCACGACATCCTCAGATTTGTTCTATCTCCCTTTCCCACCCGCCTCGACAGCTTGACTGCGTTTGACGGTGTCCTTCCGCCAGCAGGAATGTATGCTGAGTCACACCCACATTAAAACGACAAAAAAAACATGCAACTCGTCTCAGCTCTTGATCATCCGAACAACTCGACCTTCTCCTCTTACGCGCTCATGCCCGGCGTTCTGTAAGTATCCCCGCCCCCAGCAGCACGTGCACCCGGGTTAACCACAAGGAAAGCACGAGACTGACGCCGCACGAACCCTTATCAATCAGAGAACTCCTCTATCGGACCCCCCTAGAAACCACCTCTCCAGCTTCGGCCTTCTGGAAGTGCCCCTGCGCCAGCAGGACCTTTCCCAGATCGACCCAGAATGGAAAAAACAAGCGAAGTAAGAGTTTCCAAACGCGTCCTAGGCCTTGTGACCAACAAAACAACTCTCTCAACCCTCCCCCTAACTTTTCCTCACCAGCTCGACGGCGTTCTGGAAGTGCCCCTGCGCGAGCAGCACGTGCGCCGAGTTGACCCGCACGTCGGGCATCTCGAAGGTGCTGTTGGCGGCCGCCGCCTCGCGCACCTGGTCGAACACTTCTTTCGCCTGCTCGAACCGCCCCTGCTCCGCCAGTACGCACCCCAGCCCGTGCGCGGCATACGTGTTGCTCGGTTGCTGCTGCAGGATCTGGCAAACGGAGAGACTAAGTTTGAAGCTCTGTATATCAACAAATGTAAGTGGATCTTTTGGGATCGTGTAGCTGGAGGCGTGCGTTCCACATTGTTAGGTTCTGAACGTGGGCACCTGATGAATTGACATAAAAAAATTCGCTACCCCTGAGTCAAAGCTTATTGACTGAGGGATCCGGGTTCGTGCACAAGTGTGTGAGGGCAAATATGCGTTCCTCGAACCACAAGGGATCAACAGTTGGGAAGTTACGCTTCCAATGTGGAAGTTGTGCGTCAAGTTTTCAGAAAGGTCAAGCGTTGAAAGACGGAGCTACAAGGGGGGCGCAACAAACATGTGCCAGGAACCAATCCCAAGTCTTTGCATCCTTAATCGAAACCAGGGACAAAACAGCGCACATTTCCGAAGCTGGTGTGCAGTCTCCTTGAGTTTTCCCATCAAACTCAGTTACAATTAGACGGTGTCTGCTTCAAATTGTTAAGACATGTAACAAAAACCAAGTTTTGATGTTTGGGAAATGGAGAAGGTTACCTTGAGGTACGAGGTCTTAGCCTTGCCGAGGAGCTCCGCCTCGATTTTGGGGTCCTTGTCCTTCTCATCCCGCTCCGCAGCATACAAGTACCAGTTGGCCTGCAAAAGCGTTCTGATTTGTGCTCGAACTTTCTGTTGATGCACTGAATTCTCAAAGACCCAAGTGATTCACGGCAACGAACGACGCCTCGAAATCCGAGGCTTTGAAGGAGCTTCTCTTTGGAATTGTGGTTAGCGATCTTGGGCGTCTGATACGGTCCAGAAGCTACCGGAAACATGGCCGCAGCCGAAGAAAACGTGGAGATTGTTAAATCTTTCACACGTCTACCAGACTCAAGGTAGGCGCCCAGACAAGCGTTTTCTGTCACGAAGCATCTTTCTAGCCACGCGATTTCAAAAGCCCCCTTGCCCCTGAGAGCGCCGCACGGGTAACGTCGCTGCTTCGAAATTTCGCAACTTCAGGCTTTCAGGATCTCAGAGTTTGCCTCTCACCAGCGCAAGCGCCGAGTAGGTGTCGTCATTACTCTCGGCCGCCTGGATGGCTTTAAACGTCTCCTTAGCCTTGCCCCACTCGCCGCGCTGCAGCTCCAGGCTCCCGCGCATGCACAGCGCGTCGTGGTTGAGACCGTCCAACTATACCGCCTCGTCGATCTGCACCGCAAATAAGTGGGAACTCAAACGGCGGCTTACCAGCTACGTTGACTTTGATATTGGATATATCATGGAAAACTGCTCATTGCCGGTCATTACGAATGTAAAACTGCATCGCTTATCGAATTGTACCACAAATGGCGAAGCGCTTTCGAATTCGGTCTCGAAAATGACAGCTCAGGTGTCATAAAATTTCATCCGGCCGTCTGAACTGGAAAATCGGTCGATCCTCACACAACTAGAAGAGCTGACACCAGCGTAGCGAGCCTAATATGCTCGCAATCTGAGATAAAGAAAGCCCGATTCTGAATCCTTACTAGCTTCAGAGCGCCGGCGTAATCCTTCCGGTTCTGGGCAATGGCGGCTAACCGGAGGAGGCAGTCGCTGTACTGTGGAATCTGCAGTAACGAAAGTTGTGATTCAACGGCAGCTCAAAGTGTCTCACAAACGCATGACATGAGGTTCGGTCGCACATTCTCTATCTCAAGCCTTGCTAACAGCCACGCGGCTCTTCAACTTTTGAGAGTCGTTTACAGACTACAGCAGAAGCTCAAAGTTTCAAGCCCAGCTCCTATTTCCCATACGTGCAACCGCGAGCTGCCTTCAGTCTTCAAAGGAGCAAACAGATTGGAATAGTGGTCCAGAACAAAGGTCAAACACGGCTCAACAAGACGCCCGAAAGTACAAGAACAAGCAGCGTGCAGTCCCTCAGCAGGGTTCCCCACCTTTTTGAGCAGGAACCGGTACAGCGTCTCCGCTTTCCCCGTCTCGTGCACCCGCTCAAACACCCGCGCCAAGTTGTACACCGTCGTGACCTTGTCCGCCGGCAGATCCACGTGCTCCACGTCATCCAACGTCAGCGCGCCATCCGGCGCCACCTCGCCGTTCTCGAGGGATCCCTCTTCGACCCCCCGGGCCGCTTGAGCGTTGAGCAGATCGAACCAAGGCCCCGGACCGAGAGACTCGGTGTACGCGCCTAGAGCGAGGGCGTGTTCCCCTTTCTCGAAGTAGAGCACGCCCATGTTGTTTAGCAGCGCGGGCGGGATGGGGTCGTCGCGCTTGTTCATGAGCGCGACGGCGGTCGTGAAGGCGCGCAGCGCGCCGCTGAAGTCGGACGCAAGGAGCAACTCGCCCAACTCTACCCACGCCTGCAAAATATGACTCTCTCAGTGAACAATAACAAGCGCAAAATATGACAAGAAAACCTCCCTGAGACGGGTGGGCTCAGTATGGGGGATTCAGGTGGGCCGGAGTGCAGAGCAGGTTTGAGGTTTCCGGGATTGATTGTCAAGTGTTAGCATCGTTGATATTGAAAAACAAGGAAATGGCCACCAAGATTCTCCCACGCCTGGCAAAAGCAAACCAAAAAATGTAGATGGTCAGATTGCAAGGACCCACTTCACGCAGAGGCGTAGGATTCCTAAGGCACAACAGATCCCCCACAATGGACAACGAACACGAGTTAACGGACGAAAGAGAGACAAACAACGCCCCACGGAAAAAAGGCCCTACCTGAATGTCTTTTGGATTAATCTCGGTGACCCGCTTGAAATTGGTGAGCGCGCGCGCGGTGTCGCCCTCCAGCTGGTGGATGCTGCCCAGCGCCTTGAGCGCGTCCGGGTTCTCGGGGTACACCGACAGCACCTTCTCGAAGTCGAGCTTTGCTGCCGCGTAGTCCTGCCGGTGCAGGCAGATCTGGGCGTGCCCTGCGGGCGGGAAAAGCGAGAAAGTTTAAAGTGGCGCCAGAATCCGGATGATTCGAAAATTCGCTTCTTGGCCATATTATTTTTCCAGAAATAAAAGGATTACCGTTTGAGGACGCGCACAGGATTGCTGGACGGACGGGTGGGGTTAGCTTGGGATTTAGGGCGGGTTTGGGTACACCGACAGCACTTCTCGAAGTCGGCCGTTGCGGCCGCGTAGTCCTGCCATGCAGGCAGACCTGGGCATGCACTGTGGACGAAGAAGCGTATTCATTCTGGATTTGCGCATCCTTGCAACACCTTTATTCAAGAAACGGACGGTGCGAAAAGGAGCAAGAGCACAACGTGGTCTCGGCGGTGCAGGCCGATCTGCGCACGCCCTGCGGGGGAAGACGCGAGCTAGTTGAATGTTGCCTCTTGGCAACTTTGTTCGTCTCAGGAGGATCCAACGGTGAGAGGAAGAGCACAAGAAAAGGATTGGTCTTTCAATATAGGCAAACGTGGGCGTGCCCCACGAACAGTAGGATACAGAGGTGAGCTTCTTTGATTGTCGCACCCATTGAGAATGTTTCGTAAGCGAGCAGAAAGGTCGAGCAGATAAGAAGCACCGAAGCCTGCTCTCAGCTCCCCACGGTTGCCTCGTTACTGCGGTCAGTCAAACGCAAGTTTCCAGGCTCCAGCGACAAATTGTATCCGAGAATTCGGGTCGTCCAGAACATCCACACAGCCATATCCTGGGAAGCCACCTTCATCGCGTTTAAGCGGCACAAAGTATGCCTCCAGAAGGACCACCACTTCAGGACACAATAAGAAACCCAAGCGGGGGATCCCTCACCATAGTACGGCTGCACGTAGTCCTCCGCGGCCGCCTTCATGCTCGCGCGGTACAGCGCCTGTGCGCGGTCCCACTCGCCCTTGTAGTGGTACGAGCGCGCGACATTGTAGAAGCTCTGGCTCTTGTAGCTGCGCCACGTCACTGCTCATGATGGCCCACTCCATCAGCTGGTCGACGAGGTGGTGAAGAAGTGATGGTTCGGCAGGTGGCTCAGCGCCATTGAGGAGTGGGGGTTACGTCTGGAAGGCGGCCATCATCAGGCATGCCCAGGCGCATCCCCGCCTGGATCTGCAACTCTGCAGAGAAGGGGGGCGAGGGAGGATGCCATCAGCGGGATACAGAAGCACGGAATAGAGAGCACACACAGGCGCGTCCCTCCATGCAGAGCCATAGTACGCCGAGGGCAATGATAGTGAGAGTCGCCGACTGTTGCGGGACCAGCTTCGTTCCATTGCGGATGATGGGTTACCAAGAAGAACCTGAAACCAGGGTCACGTCTGCCAGCTTTAGCGGGTTGCAACCAAAGGCCCTGATGCGCTAAATGCTACGGAAGGATGTTCGAGATGCTGAGTCGCGGAAGGAAAAGAATTTTGTCCGTCCTAAATTGCAAGTACTTTGCCACGACGAGCCGCTCGCTGCTTCTGAGACAAAGGCGGAAGCAGCCAGGCGGCTGTGCTATTCAACAACCAAGATGGAACCATCTCTAAGGCGCTCTGTGACGGCAATGGAGCCAAAACGGGTTGCTTTTCCTCACCTTGTAGTGCGATAACGTTTTGCACTTCTGCTGGTTGAACTTAACAGCTGCGCAATATAGGATGCTTTAGAACACATCTTCCTGTGTTCGAAAGATACTCGTCTGCAGCATCAAGTTCGGGAATCCCACGTTCTCCTGTTTGCTCAACGTGTTGACTGCCAACATAGTAAGCGGACTGCCGAAACTAAAGCCCGGGCGCTTACTATGCTTGGAAACAGGAGATGGAAGAAGGCTGCCGGATGTACTACAGAAAGCAATCCACCTTGCCATTTGCTTCTCTGATTCTCAAAACTTGAGAAGGCCTCTTGCTGCCCAGTTTGTGCCGCCTAAACAGGAACCACGTGGAGTCTGACGATGTAGTACTCGAGTCCCCTGGCCAGCCAAATTGCCTCCAATGCAACCGCAATATCCAGACATCAGAAATCGTAAGGCGAGCTTGAATCGAAGGACTCACCATCCCCAGGAGAGCGGGCACACAGTCGCTCTGCATCACCAGAACGTTCTTGAAACTGACCAGGGACTCTTTCAGCTCCCCCATGGACAACTGCATCTGGCCTGGCAAGGTGAGGCACGAAGCTCTGTGGATGATACAATGGACAATGACGTCAAAGTAGTACATTGAAAAAGGTTCGAAAATTTTGTACTGGACATGATCATAGAATGGTCAGAAACAGCCGCAGAACGACCAACCCTTCCTTGCAGCAAGATTCGATACATTCTGACCAAGCAAACGATCACGTAACGACCAGGGACAGATGTTGAGCTCTTGACCGAGTACAACTGACTTACTGTGATTGGTGCAATATAATCTGATTTCCAAGCCATTCGCCAACAAACTGCTCACCCTTGCCGATCCACGTTGTGACCTTGAACTGGTTGATTCTTGTTCCTTGTTGTACACCTCTGTGGCGCGCTGGTAGAAAACTTTGCAAAACTCGTTCTTCTGCAAGGTCTTGGCCTGCGTCGTGTAGTATGCTGGGGCGTTCAGGATGACAATCAGCTCAAGAATCACCTCCTGGTACCACTCGTCCTCCACTGCAGCAGAAGCGTAGGTCAAAGATGGTTAAACAAAGGAGGAAAAGAGAAGGTACGTTACTCTCAAAATCGCCTTTGAAGTCCTGCCTGCCTGAATTTGTGGTTGCTACGATTGTGCTACTATGATTGTGCTATGATTGTGCTTTGATTGTGCTACCACTGCCATTTTGATGCAGGGGCTACACTAAAAGGTCAACATAAGAGCTGCAAGAAGCGAGACTGCAGCATCTCCTTAAAATAAGTTGGGCTAGAGCAGTAGACCCCGAATGGGTGCTTTGGTGATACATATGAGGGTCTACACAAGTTGTGATGGGTGGCGACAGCTCACGGAGTAGCAACTGCAGGGAGAGTCTGCTAAGGTCAGAAAACAATGAACTGCCCAAAAAAGGTGGTCCAGTGGCGAGGGAACTTACCTTCTGTGGAATCTTCTTCAAGGGTATGGACGCACTGGGCTGTCTTTCACCTGCTTGTAGTACTCCCTCTGTAACCAGACAATGGCGGAGCGCTTGCATCAGAAAGTAACGCTGAAGATGATGGTGCATCCGTTTCAAGGGTTTGATCGTGACCACTGTCACTTCAGTCAACTTGCTAATTCATCAATGAACTCCAATTGGCAAAAAGTCTCTTTGATGAGTCCCACATAGTGCTTCGCGGGCTGCTAGACATTTCATGGCATGATGCTCACAAACATGACACACATGACAGACAGGTGCTTTAGGACAATATAACACATGCCATCATGCTCACGGAAATTGTCAAGCTTTCTAATGCCGTTCTGAGCAAGCTGCCAGGCTGAGCTTCCATTCCCACCAACAGTAAACCTGCAACAATCTCGGAAGATAAAAGACTTACTACAAGCATCGCACTCGAAACCAAATGGGAGGTCAATCCACAATATTGCAGTGGAAAGCCCCTTTTCCCCCTGCCATATACAACCGAGATGCTCCTCTTGAATCCAGAAGTGAACTTGAAAGGCGCCACGCACCGCAACTGCAAGCCACAGGTCGAGTGGCGCCTGCTCTGCCTAAAGGAACTTCCAGAATGTCACTGTCATCCTCCGGCAAGTTGTCCAGCTCCACGTCCACCGGCTCCGCAGAGTTTCTGACAGGAATGTACAAAGAACGAGCGGCAGCGTTTTTCCTGGTGGCAAAGCTTTGATGACAAGGCCAGCAAAAGAAGGACGAAAAAGTCCAGTCACTGTCTGCCCTAGGCCCACTGGACACGAACATGCTGTGAATTGATTCGCTTAGTAAATGCAAGCGCCCGCCACAGCTGCCTGTCAGTGAAGAAGATGACCAAGACACATGGCATGACTGTCGGACACCCAGAGCATCCACCAAACAAAAGCCCTTTGTATGCATTGTCTCCTCAAGCAATCTTGAAAGCGCCTTTGATGTCGTTGGCCGGGCACTCAAGTGGCTGCTTTGTTGCCCGTCTGGGCTGCCGGACCACTGCGCCCACAACCCCATATCTACCGTAGTAAAAATGGTAAGCTAGAGCCTCGAAGTCGCATCTACATTTGGTCGTCTTCCGAATCCACTTGGTCAAAGGCCTGAAATTATGGCAATGCAGGAACTGAGCAGTCAGAGAAAGATGATGCCCACTGCCAGTACTGCAGCAAGAGGCACAAAGTTGACGAATGAAATTTGACACGGACGCCTTTGTCGGACGCCGATAAAGTGCTCGGCTGACACCAAACCGCACAAAAACCCTAAGGTCAGTGGCTTAGCCGTTAGTGGGAACCCTAATCGGAGAGCAGTCATAGGGAAGGGACGCGACCCTAACAAACCGTCACAGGTAGTGGCGTAACCCTAACATACCATCACTGCTTTGTGACCTAACCCTAAGGTCACTCATAGTGCCCGGCTGCTTCTGCGCTTGGCAATATGATGGGTACCGCACGCGATGTGACGGTTGGTACCATCCGCAGCCAATGTGCGCCCAGTACCGTCCGAACAAAATTCTCCCAAACTTTCTTCGTCAACTGGCCGGAGTACTCCGGCCAGTCTCAGAGTCCAGGCTCCAACTAGCGAATCGGCCCATTTGATTGGTCTGACGTGGACCTTAAAGCAAGCCAGGGTGGCCAAAACCTGCTTTGCGATTGGAAGGCTGTCGGCATGCTTATATGGCAAATTGCAATGCTGGCTTATGCTGCAATTGCTAATAAAGTGACGCGTGAAGTTGACAGATTTGTGTGAATCAGAAAAAGTATTGATCAAAAGCAAACTTGAATTGTAGGTAGGTAGGAACTTGCGAACAGGGCGGACAGGGCGTTCAAAGCCAACAGGTCTGGTGCAGCAGTGGAAGGCTTCTCTGTTGTGGAGTTGCATTCTGAGTAAGGCTATCAGCCTAGCAAAGAGTCAAGGGGAGGATGGGGGGCCAGGTCAGCGTCGATAGTAGTAACAGTGACAGTTCAACTAATGCCATCAAGGTGCCGGCACTGACAAGGGACTTGCAGGTAGGGCATGCGTTTAGAGTCATCTGTAATCTTGTAAGGTTGTCTTGCCTTTGAATCAGACAGGTTGAAGGAATCGGAGGTCTGTCACCTCTGGGCAGCTTGTCTTTGCATTTTTGGAGGGGGTGAGCAGCGTCGGCAAGTCAATGTGGAACCCTTTTCCTTGCAGCACAAGCAGAACATTATCTTGTTTGCTCGAGCTGGACGGGATGGCCAGGGAAGCCCTCTATTGTACGGGGTTAGCTTCATCGGCGGGACGAACTGGCTTCATGTGTATGGGCCAGACACGTAAGCTGCATTTCTCTTAAGAGCTGTAGTCTTGATTTTGTTCATTGTGCTGCATATGTCAATGAAAGAGGGATGAATGGTGCAGAAGGCACACCTTTACTGATTGTGCATCTGTGTAGACACTCATCTTCTAAAATCTGTCGAGTGCTCTCCGTTTGAAATGTGAATAAGATTAGAATACTCACAGTTTGCATATTGCAGGTTGGTTGTTGATGAATACAGCATACTGCAAGTGGACAAGGATCCCCAGGATCCTGCTAGCCTTCGATTGTGGTGCCCAGCCATTAGCGTAAGTGAATCATCAGCAACTCAGAATGGATCATGCTTTAAGGGCAGAGTTTGATGTCCATCAGCTTCATCTCAGCATGCTTATCTGCTGACTTGACTTGCCCTCACCCGTGCAGAATGAAGCTCCTTGTCAAGCCATTGTATGCTTTAGTCGGTTTACCAGAATTCTGTATTGATTGCAATAGGCGTGTCTGCATGCAGGGCTCAGCATGTTGGTTGGCGTCTGATTCAAAGAGCCAGCTGTTCTTTACGACGAAAGAGTCTGAGGTAAGGTCCATGCAAGTGAAGCAAGGTCTCTCCAACATCTGCTCATTCAAGGTCGCACTGCACATCTGTATCACTGTCAAGTATGACGCAGTGTATTGTTCTATTGAATCTTTTGATTCTGCTAAAGACTTGTAGTAGCTGTTGGTGTCGAAGAATCTACAAAAGGTGCTTTTGAATCTGTGACATTGCCTGCCTGATTGAATCCACATGCGCGCAACTGGATGGGACCATTTGGCTGGAAACTCGACAAAGTGTATTCGAAGGTTTTCTTTTGCATCATGTCGCCTGCATGATTTGATCTGCATGTGCGAAACAGGACAGTAACTGCTTGGCTAAGGACAGCACGTTTTTTAGGCAGAAGCTTGCTACTTGCATTTCGTGATGCTCTGAAACATGAATCTGCAGGAGACTGTGTGGAGGATGGGGGGCATGTCCATGAAAGCAGCGTCCCTGGTGAATGTGAGGTGAGTGGTGTGACACTGGATGGACTTCATGCGCAGTCGTCCTCGACAAGAAAGGAGTAGCTCAATCTTGTAAATTAACTGCTACCTTTTGGCACAGTTTTCCATTCTGAACGGTCCTGTTAGATCCTTGCAGGAAAGGCGGTCCTTCGTTCATGATCAGAGTGCAGCCAATCCTTCACTCCTGGTATGACCGAGTGGGGCTTCTTTGGGAACCAAAGGACTTAGCGCCGTACTATTTGGCCCCGACTGCTCTTCAGGGACTTTGTCCAGTGTTTGAAAGAAGGTGGGTGCGAGTTCTTTTGTTCTTTTTGGCCTGGTATAGTTTTCTTCTTGTTCTCATGAAGCACAAAGTCCAAGTTGATTCTTCAAGCCACTCGTAACTGATACGAAGACATCTGGGTCTTCTCATCAATGAAATGGCAGCGCTTATGCTCTACTCGACTTTCTCCTTCCCTAAGGCCGCCAGGCCCCTTCGGACACCTTCTTAGACAAGGGCAGCTATACAAGCCCATTGAACCTACGTTTCGGTTCAATGTGCAGGTTGGTCCACTCGGCCCGGCAGCAACGAAAGGCTGCCAAAGAAGGTCCCGATGGAAGCGTACAAATTGGAGGTCAAGCAACACAAACTGTTCGAAGGTTGAAAGACTAACTTCATCCTCCATGTGGCATGTTCTCATCTGCTCGAGTTACTCTATCGAATGAAGGGTCAAGTCGGCTGTCAATGCTTCGCGATCAAATGGCTATCGAACTAGACAGTACGAGCCAGCCACAAGGCAAGTTTACGTAGACAGCCGTCGCACTAGAATACAAAAAGACAGTCGTTGCATCAGTACGCCATGTCGTTGATGCATTCTTCAGGATATCTGGTCACATGACTCTAGATTGGAACTCATCCAGGTTTCAGTAGACACGGTCTTACTGTCAATTACTCGAAACTCTTCCATGTCTATAACTTGTGGGTCTGCATGATCTATCGTGTTAAGATCTAGGATTGATGATGGGTCTGGTTCTCATGCTTCTTCAACAACTATAAAGATGTATGCGCACCATATGGTCCGATACACCGGTGTATGATACATCATGATGTTTTGCCACAAACTTAGAATTGATTCGTCGACATGCACCGTGATCATTGTAACAAACGACTGCATGAGCATACATGAATATACGAATATGGCCGCCAGAGCTGGAAGCATTTTCACGTGACCGGTCCCCAAGATAGCAAAAAACAATTTGTCCGGCCAAAGATGAAGTCACTATATGTTTACACCGCTTTGGAAGAAGACATTTACAAAGTGGCAATATGATCTAGTCGGTCAGTGACATTTCATTGCATTCACGCTACTGCTTGCGTGTATCTTGAAGTTCTCCACACTTGCAAAGTCAACTAGACTTACCAGCTTCTTGTTCGTGAATTCGAAGCACGTAAAAGCTTTCCGAGGATCTTACCCAGAACTAGCTGATGAGAGGAAGGACATGGGCTTCGAATACATCATCGAATGACCAGCTCAGAGTTGCGTACATGACGAAACATCTTCAGATGTTGAGATGTTGATCTCTGACTGCCTTTCACTAACCAACTTGCAATAGTTTTTGGGAAATCGAAAGAACAGATCTTGATTCTAACTTCAGATTAATACTACACTCGTAGGACGTCAGTACTGTTTCGGAAGTGTATCAACTGTCTTACCCGGGAACGACGATAAAGAAGTTCTTTCCTGCGTTTTAGATTGTTCATCCAGGGTCCATCCGGCCATCTAAAAGATCATCGTCTCTTTCCGTATCCAGAACAGAAGAGTACTCTTACCGTCTACCTGCCACAAGAATAGGAGAATTCGACGTGAAGGTTTGCGCAATCTTGAGCCGATTTTGAGGCTGACGCAGGCAGTTTTCTGCCAACTTCATTCGAATTATAGCTCAAATCACAATCGAAGCTGTCGACAGACAATTACGTGTCGGTAAGCAGTCCCTTATCCTTCCCTCTAGTTGCATCAACGATTATATCTTACTCGTACTTTTCAGAAGGTTCTCGGCCTCTATCCAACTCCCTCCAGAAAATGCACTCAGACCTGATCGGACACTTCCCTTCTAATCTGCTGCGCCATCAGCTATTTGTGTATCTATTGTTGGCAAAGTTAGGAAGCTCATTTTAGGAAGTTGAGAGCGCCTCAGACTTTCCACATTTTGCTGAAGGCGCTTAGTGCCTGCAAGCATGTGTATACTACGAAGGTGAATTACTAGATTCTGTTTGTGAGACTTTGTCAAAATATTTCTGAGCATGTAAACTCTGTGACTGCCGATCAGAAGCTCCCGACGAGATTGGATGTTTTCGAGTAACTCAGCAAATCTTGATATATCTTTGAGGGTCGAACTGCAAGAGGACTGCTCAGAGCTTCTGGGGACCAAATCATTCGCAGGCAAGCAACTTGCTATGTGGTCGAGGTACGTACCGTTTTACGTAACCGGGGGCCATCGTAGATCTGTAAGAATGGCGTGGGCCGTTGCTTATGGCAATACCTTGCTTCGCCCGTTCGTGTAGGTCTACGATGGCCCCCGGTTAAGTAAAACGGTACGTACCTTGCTCAAGGCTTCCAGATAGCGGGAATGCTTGCCTGCGGTAATTCTGGATCCTACGAGCGCGAGCTCACAGTCATCTTGCATTTTGACTTGATATCAATCCCGGTATGAATCGAGATTTGCCCAGTCGCTCGATAACATCCGCTTTCATCAGGAGCTTCTGATCTGCGACCGTGGAGGCTGCATGCTTACGACGTCTTCTGATTCAAAATCTCTCGCAGTCAGGGTTTCGAATACTTACCTTCTTGGTATACACATGCTTGCAGGGAGACGCCTTCAGCAAAAGCTCTCAACCTCCTGAAACGAGTTTCCTAACTCCGTCACTCGTTGATAAAACCCTTGATAACAGATGGCGCAGCAGATAGGAAGGAAAGTTTACGTAGTCGGGTCTGAATGCACTTTTTGGAGGGAATTGGATGAAGGCCGAGTCAACTACTGGGGAACGAGGGTAAGATGTCCTTGCTGCAAGAGAGAAGGTCAAGGGACTACTTACAGACACGAAACTGTATACTATCTATAGCTCAACTGTGTCTCGACGTTAATACTTTGCTTTCCCAGCGAATGATTGGCTAAAGAGTATCCTGCGTCAGTCTCAAGTTTGTGCAGACCCTCAGTTCATTTCCTCATGTTCTTGTCGCAGGTAGACGCTGAGGGAAATCTTCTGTTCCTTGAAACGAAGGAAGACGATGCTTTCCTTCAAGAACTGAAGACCGATCTGGAGCGCAGTAATGGAAAGATCTACATTGCTTGTCCTGGGTAAGACAGCTGATCCTGTTCCCAAATAAGTTTGCGATCCCTTTACAGTGGTAAGTAATCTACATTGTGATGCAGAAGGTTCTGCATTTTTCCTGACGACAATGCAAGTTGCTTTCTGAAGTCAGTCAGATATCAAAAACTCAACCTTTCAAAGAAGTTCTTTCGTGTACGCATTATGATTTCGTGATACTTAGACCATGTCTTTACTCTCATCAGGTTCGCCCAGCCAACTGGAAAGATTCTGCATTATTTCACAAACAATCGGCTGGTAAGTCTGATTGACTTTGTAGAATTCAAGACTTCTACAAATCAACAGCAGTAGCGTGAATGCGATCAGATGTCAATCCAAAGACTATGCCACTTTGCAATAAAAAGTCTTCCAAGCAGTGCAAAGCTAAGCATGGTCTTCATTTTATTTGTTTCGATGATTGGCTCCAAATTCGAACCATTTTCACCGATTGCAGTGGCCGGAAGGAGAGGAAGACGACGAGGAGTCTGTCTGTATGGTGTCGTTGTATGCGACAGGCTTCAGGGTTCAGCCTGGAGACCTAAATTGGACGTGGGATTGGGCGGCAGTAGCGGGGAGGCAACTAGAGGTGAGTCACGATGCAAGACTCCAGTACAAATTAACATGATGATGAAGAAATCCCACGTCGACGTTGATAGAGACATGCAATTTGCCTCTGGCGGGCTTTCAATCTTCACCTTTCCGCTGGAGGCTAACGTCAATTCTCAAAGATCGTGGCAGAGAATATCTGCTTCCATTGCATCATGATCATCACAGAAAAGTCAGGTCGTGTATTGATTTATATTGCAAAAGATCCTCATCACAACGTAATAGGCTTTTTCGTTTCATGTACAGGATTTCTTGGAGGTTTTGATCGAGGAGATGAATGGCGCGACGGATCTTGTCCCATCCGTGCTCGCTTACAGCATGGGAACAGTAACGGCAACGGCTTGCCTTGCAGCAGCGGCTGATTTGGCAAGCGAGAAGGAAGCAGTGCTGAGAGCACTAGGGGCTGGGAGAATGGTTTATGTTGCCGGAGTTGTCGGTGCCAGCAAATTGTTTGAAGTTATTGAGAGATGCGCCCTTTCCGAGTCGGTAGTACGCATCATCAGCCTCGCGTCCACCGACGATTTCTTCACGTTCGTAGCAGCGGAGCTTGCAAGATTCATGGGACGCAAGGAATTTTTTACGCTTCATTCAGTGGGATTTGCGGACAACAGCGGTGAGCTGGCAGACCTGCTAGGTAGGAAATGGCAAGCTGGTCACGCTTTCGGTGCTGCCTTCGAGGCGTACGATTGCGCAGCAATAGGGAAGGGCCATGATTATATCAGACTGGCAAGGTTCGGCCAGGTCGTCGCGCCGATTCTCAGAGGTGCGGATTCGGCGGCCATCTCTCTCGTCCTTCCTCGCATCACAAAGAGAAGGCCGTGCCTGACCAGAGAACAGAGGGTTCAGGTTTTGGCTATCCTTGCTGCCCAGGATCTGAGTGGCTATGGAGAAGGCTTTAGGCAAATTGATGAGGTAGGAGGCTCGCAGGAGAGGCAATGGCCTGGACGGTGGTTCTTTTACCACTTATAACGTTGTCCGTGCGAGCGGCACTAGGTACCTCTTTGTTCTACCTGACGCTTTAGCCAAGTACATTTTCTGTCAGTCCTTTCTTCGAGGGCCTCCCTACGTTGCCAAGTGTCTTCAGTATTCACTGACAAAAGCATAATTTGAAGGGGAGGCCGCCTGTAAACCGGATGGAAGTTTCTGAAAAGGCAGTGGCCGATTATGAAAACAGACACTGTAAGAAGTGGTTTTTCTCGAGCTTGATTGGCACCTCCTTTCGACACCTGCACCATTCATATGACATCTCCCAGTACAAGGCATATCGCATCCGCTTCTCTTTGGTAATAGAAATGCTTACAGTCCCTCTGCACTAGCTTTGAATGGTGGGAATGCGCACAATCTCTTGACGGCCTTCCGAATGTCAAGCTCCACGATAAGCGAATCTGCATGCAGCCAAGTGGTCGGATTGTCAAGCCCAAGAGTCTTCCTATCTGTCCACCTCGAGCAATCCTGATTCGGAACGCCTGCGGTTGGTCATGCTTCAAGTCCAAGTACGCTCGTTTGTCCTCCCCACCAATTCGAGAGGTCTCGTGTTCAATGCTGCCTGCGACAAGATAACTTCGTAGCTTGTCGTATTAACGAATTTGGTCCTTGAGATCTCTTGAAAGCGTATCGCATCCATTAACTACGCATGCTCTCAGTGCCACTGAGTCGCATGAGAGCTATAGGCGGCCTGAGCCATGCAAGACGTACCTGAACCATCACAACTGATTCAGGCCTGGCCGGCAAACGGTTCCCATGTGCACTAGCTTGATCATGTTGACATGTCGCATGCATGCCAAAATCAGACTGCATGGATCAGTATCATGCAGAGACCTGAATCATGTCGTACGCTCGATTACGTGTCCATGGCGGCAAGATCTTCTGCGTGCACTAACCAGTTTCAAGTTGTATGATGACATGTTGAAAGCAATTCATCGGGTCCTGGCATCAGTTCGTATGCTTCTATTATCCTCATCCTCGACCTCGATAGCTGGCTTGATAACTATACTGCAAGCCAAGAACGATACGAATGGCAGAGCCAGAAGCATTCTGTATGCGCAATTCACTATGATCGCTGCAAGTGCTTACACGAACGAGAGTCAGCCTTTGGGCTGGGTCAATCTTCCCACCAATCCCAAACCATACAGCGGCTTCCTTTGTAGAAGCACATCCAGCAACGCCCAATGACCCCCTTTCAGGGCCGCTAAGCTGTCCCGTGTGTCCCTCACTGCGCCCCCACATCTGCAAGCTGCTCGACTGTGAACTGCTCATCAGTATGACCAACAACGAGAAGAGACCTACCTATTCTAGTCCTCGTCACTATCATCTGCTCCAATGAGCGCTCGCCGCGCCGCCTCATCATCCCCTTCGTCTTCGTCTTCGTCCTCCTCCATGGGTTCTGTGGGAGCGGTACTTGCCACGTTCGTTTCCTCGACCGGCGCCGGAGGCTCTTCCTCCTCTTCTTCCTCCTCGTCTTCGTCGTTGTCGAGAACCCTTCTCCCTGCGGGCATAAACGGACTATGGATTCACGGTCTCCTTCGCAGACTTCAGCCCACAATAACCAGGCAGAACAGAAGCAGGCAAGCGGTCACTATTACTTCACAGCGTTCGTTCTTCCAGCGCTGAATTGGAAAGCGGTCGAGAGTGCTTTACATACAAGCCGAAACACGTTGCCACAACATTTCGAAGTTAGAAAGGACCCTTTTGGGATGATGACATCAGTGGTGGGCCCTTACCCGGCCTCCTGGTCCTAGCGGGCTGCTTCGCCTCGTCCCCGTCTTCCTCCTCCAACTCATTCCGGTCCGGTTCCGCTTCTGCAAGATCCGCTCCCGCCGGTTCGGCTCCATTCTCTTCCTCTCCATCCTCGTCCTTTTGCCGCTGCAGCCGCCGCTGCCGCTTCCGCTCCTTCTTTTCCTGTTTCCGGCGCTTCCGTTCCTGCTCCTCGGCGTCGGAACCGGAATCCCTGTCTCGCCCTGCAAGGAAAAGCATGAGGGTCAGGAGAGAGGCTGAAACGAGTCCTTCCGATACCTGGAAGAGGCTTTGTAGATTCTAGTTCAGACTCCGCTGTTTGAGCCAGCGAGTAAGAGGTTCTGAGAAGCGGCCCCACGAGTGCCTTCTCGGCGTCTGCAAACCCCCGAACTTGGCTCCCTAGTCGTCGCGAAAGCGACATGTGATATCGATAATGATCGGGGGAGACGGCCAGGTGGGCTGCCGGCTTCGGGGCCGCTGAGAGGCACAATCCTCAACATGCCTCCCGATTCAGCTTTTGTTGGATCAGGGAGCATATTGTTTGTCAAATCTCGAAAGATCTAACAAACACGTTGTCCATCCGTCCGATTAGGCTTCTCTTTCAAACTTTGTTGTTGTTTGTTTATTGTTCTTGCTTGTTTGTTCCCCATTTCCCCGCTGACGAAATGCGGCACTCACTCTCATCCTCTCCCTCGCCGTCCCCTTCGCTCCGGTACTCCGGCTCGCTATGCTTCCCGTTATCACCTTTGAAATCGGACAAATAAACGAGTATTTTCCTTTCACTTATTTTGCTTCTCCCCTAGCGAAATGCAGCACTCACTCTCGTCTTCTTCGTCCTCCCCTTCGCTCCGGTACTCCGGCTCCTCGTCGCTGGCGCCCCCCTCGCCCTCGCTCCGCTCCTCGTCCCCCCGCCGCTTCTTGCTCTTCTTCCGCTCCTTCTTCTCCCGCTTCCGCTTCTCCTTTTTGCCCGCGCGCGGCTCGCCGTCCGGCCCCTCTTCCTCGTCCACGTCGGCGTGCGGGCGGTTCGGCCTGACCTCGGCCTGAAAAAAAGGACGAGTGGCCGTTTACTCCCGTCTCTAGTTCTGGACGTTTAAGCGTTTCCTTATCGATAATATTATTCATGTTTTCCAGGAGAGCGAAACCGTTGTCGGTCTCTTCCTCGTCCACGTCGGCGTGCGGGCGTTTCAGCCTGACTTCGGCCTGCAAATAAGGACGAGAGGTTGTTTACTCCCGTCTCTAGTTCTGGACGTTTAAGCGTTTCCTTTCAAGAATATTAGTCATGTTTTCCAGGAGAGCGAAACCGTTGTCGGTCTCTTCCTCGTCCACGTCGGCGTGCGGCGGTTCGGCCTGACCTCGGCCTGAGAATGAGAACAGTGTCATTCAGTACGGTCTCTAGTTCCTGACGTTCGGTCATAGTTTTTGCAAGTATTACGGCTTTCAGGCCGACTCGTTTTACCAAAAGACAAGACCGTGTTCAACGTGTTGAACGTCCACGCCGGCGTGCAAACCGATTCGCTTCTCGGCCTGCAAATCAGAACAAAGGGGTTTATTCCCATCTCCAGTTCCTGACACTTCACCGTTTAGACATATGTACGACCTCCCCACTTTTTCATATTATTGAGAGAGAAGAGACCGTGCTGGATCCCTTCCTCTTCCACGCTGCTTAGGCCGATTTGGCCTGACCTCGGCCTGCAGATAATGAGAATGGTCGTGTAGTACCGCCTCTAGTTCCTTCATTCATTCCCTTTCTCGCGGGCGTACGGCCTTTTTTTGCCTTATCTCCCAGAAAAACTCCAGGGGAAAGGAGTACAAAAAACATCCACATTGCACGTGGGGGCGCGTGAGACTGACCTCGGCCTGCAACAGAACGAAACGTCGTCTGCTACGGCCTCTTCTTTTCGACATTCGAAAACGTTCTTTCAATAGTACCGCCTCTTCAGGGTAGCGCCATTTTAAGAAAAATAGACCCGATTCTGCCTCTTCTGTCTTCCGTGTTGGAGTGGGGCCGTTAACGGCGGTCGGCGAGTAACAGATTCCCATCGCCTCGAGTCCCCAGTTCTTTCCCTTTTCGCCATGTTCTCCGCTTTTATGTCGTTCCATGATAACTCTTGCATCTTCTCGAGCGTAAACCCAGCACACAATTGTTTGGGGGTTGTTTGGCCGCTGTTCAAAGGCGGAACGATGAGTTTTCCCCTTTTTGCCGCATCGCAGCGACAAAGTATGTTGGAAATAAGAAACTAAGTGCCGTAGTGTCACCGCTAGGTTCCAGAGCTTTACAAGAAGCGCCGGGGACTGAATCCGCAAAAGGGCTTTGCACAGTCATTCCTCGTATCCATCCGTGTGCGCTACGAAGTGTGCAGCCGCGAAACGTCGCCCAGAGAGGGCGCTACTCACCGAAGAGAAAGTATATATATGCGAGAAGAGAGAACAAGAAGATAGATGGTCAGATCAGATGAGGAGTGCAGCCTCGTGAAGGAAGATACCAAAGTCGCATCTCACCATTAGGGCTCGGAATTTCTCCTCGTGCTCCTCCGCTTCCTTGATTGCCTTCTCGCGCCGGCTGCGCTCCTCCTGCGGTCGACAAACAGAAGACCGGCGTCACGCGTTCTGAAGTGTCAACGTATGTAACTTTTTCGGTAAAACAGCAGTGACTCGTGAGCATATCATTAAAAAACGTAAAAGCCATTAGGCTTCAATATTCAATTGACTTAGGCTGACATTGGCCTCAAAACTTGGGTTCACAAAATCAACGGCTATCCTGCGCTTCCGGCTACCTGAACTCCAATCGCAACGCCTCAAGTCTGTCTGGTATGGTAGCTTTTCCAGTGGTAAGAGAATTCCGGTTGTGATGAGACCAGCTCGAGCCGGCCCCTCCTCAACGCGGCTAGTATTTCCGACAAGCTCGGTGACTTGACCATACGCTCAACCCTTAAGGCCAATTATACAACCAGCCCTAAACTGTTGGGCTCCTTCCTCAAGCCGCTTGACCAGAACCATGCCGGAACCCTTCTGATAAACACCAGACCAGGACCGGAGACCCAAAATGCTGTTACGTTGGCGTCGCACCCCTGCAGCACGCCTCTCGAGCCGCTTGACCAGACACCCAATTCAAACCCATGGGTTTTTTATCCTAAAGCTCAGCCTCAAACTCTTCATCGGATGCCACAACCCGTCCAGAACCGTGATTCCAAACTCAACAGCCTAACCGTAAACCCCGGACAGGAGACCCCAAAAGCTCATGGCTTTACCTCACCTCTACGTGGCGCGCATGACTTAAGCTATCAATCCTAAGGTCCAAACCCAACACCTAACCTTAGACCGGAGACCTCAAACCCTCAGTTATCCAACTCACCTCTGCGCGTCGCGCCTCCTCAAGCCTCTTGACCTCGGCCTGTTTCTGCAGGTACAGGTCGTGCGCCTCCTTTTTGACGCGCAGCTGCTGCTCCTCTCGCTCTGCAGCCTCCACATGGGCGCGCGCGCGCTCCAGCGTCGCCTGCGCAGGGGTCGGAATGAGAGTCAGAAATCTAGCTTTCTAGAATTTCTCAAGTATTGTTGACTGCTTGAGTCCAGGCAGGGGTCGGAATGAGAATAAGAAATTTAGCTTTTGAGAATCTCGGAGTTTTGTTGAATGCTTGAGTCTAGGATTTGCAATTTGCACGGCCCTTAGGTGGCTTGCCGGTGATCGCTGATGGGGGCATGAAGAATGAGTTCTCGCTTGTGATGGGTTGACAGCATGAAGATAAGATTCCTCGCTTGGGAACGTTCCATTGTGGAGAAAGGGGACCTCGCTTGCATCGAGGAAGGGGTTTGTGACACGTTTGGGACTTTAATTTAGTACACGATTTAGCCCTTCGGCCTGACAGAGCATAGCCAACCAAAGTAGTCATAGCGAGTGCCCAAGAGCCCTTCAAACTCTGCCCACAAGTAAAGTCTTAGCGTGATGAATGCCGGACAACCCATCAGTCCGCCGAGAGTCGACAAAACAGGACCACCAGCTTCTTTACTAAACCGGCGATTCGTGCTTTTTTCCTGACGGCGTGACGCGCTCACCTTACAAAAGTCGATGTGGCTCGCAACCTTTTTGCGGTCGAGGCCGTGCGTCAGGTGGCCCCCCAAAGCGTTCAGTTGGGAGAAGAGCCGCAGAGCGCTCTTAAGCTCCGCCACCGCTTTCCGCACCTGCGCAATGAGCGTTAGGCGTCTGAGAAGCCATGTATGTTCCGTGCGATGTCTTCCTTCACTCGTGAGTAACTTGTTGTAGGCTAGTACAGCTTCTCCCGATCAACCTGCTAGATTTTATTGTCATCTTACGTAGACTAAACTCACTCAGCAACGGCCTGACTAAGATACACTAAGAATTCACTTTAACTGGCAGGTTGCTCGAAAGAAGCTCCAGTCGTACCAAATGCCTGCCTCAATTTCAGAAGTAGTCCGTGGTTGGCATCTGTAACTGAACGTCTGCCTCAATAGATCCCCGGTCGGCGTCTGTAGCTGGCGGACGAAAATTAAGCCACCAAGCAGTGGAGCTCAAAGTTGCTTTTTCAGAGACCGGTCAGAGTCTTACTCATGGGGATAGAACCCGTCGAAAACTTCGTGACCTGGCGTCGACCACATGCAGGAGCCTTCCTAAGAGACCTGATTCTGTAGGGTCGTCAAAACCTGGCGAAAGCCAGGTCCCAAATTCCTGCAAAATATCTGATTCTTGGTGGTGCGAGGAAGAGAAGGCGGCTCTGTATCCCACCGAGACCTCACCTCGTCCGCCGTCCGCTTCTTCTTTTGCAGCGCAGTGACGGCGAACTTCTGCATGGTGACCGCCGTGTTGAAGCGCAGCGCGTAGTTGGTCGGACTCTGGTGCATCGCGCGCAGCAGCACGCGCTTGCACTCCTGGAGCGCCTGCATAAACCAAACCATTTTGCAATTCTTCCCTCTTTTCATAATCGATTTTAGTCTGCCAGTTATCGATCCCTCACATGCGATGAAACAAGAGCCCGAAGAGGGAAAAGCGGGGGGGCTCGGGGGGGGCTGCCGCCCCCCCGGTTTTCAAGGTTCAAAAAGGGTCGGAAAGTATGTACCGGTCATGAATTACTCTATGCAAATCTCCTGAAGATAAGGCGACGCTGGACCGGAAAAGTAAAGCGAAAACCCCGTAAGAGCCTTTCCGAAAGACTACGTTTTGCCCATGCACCGCCTCCTCATGATGTGCAAGGTCTGCCTTTCCAAACCATTCCCCCGAGCAAATAGCCGGAATAACCGCGGCAATCCTCACCGAAAAGAGACTGCTGGACGCCCTGCCAAACCGGTAGCTGTGCTGAGGCACCCACCGCATGCAAAAGAGCGTTCACCACATCACTCGATTTCAGTTTCTCCTTTTTCAGCTGGAAAGCAACCGCCAGCGCTGCGCGTACCTGCTGGTCCTCCATATCGTAGTGCGCCCTTGCGATGCACAGCATGAGGAACGAGTCGGTGTTGTGGAACTGCCGCTTTAGGGCCTGCTGGTACTGCACGAGGAAAAGACCGAGGTCAAAAAGAAGAAACGAAAACAAAAATGGAGGAGGAATAGACCGAGGTCTGAAATAAAGAAAAGGAAAAAAGAAAAGAGAAAAAAAGAAAGAGAAAAAAGAAAAGAGAAAAAAAGGGGGAAAAAAGCAAAGAAAAGAAAAAACTGCAGGAGGAAAACGGCCTAAGCAAAGTATCAGTGGACAAAGACGGAGGATCCATGAGCCGATGATGTCGCGTCGAACTCTTTGACTTCTCTATGGGGTGCCAGGTCGCGTAGTTGTCCAGAACCTGTGACGGAACTAGGGTAATGTGAACAGGTCCCAGTCACCGAGGAAAGGAAGCGCTGCCAAGCTCCGACCCAAACCGTGAACAGAAGAGGATACAGGACGAGCTTTGCTTTTCAGAGGCCAACCTTACACCTGCAGATCGCATTCGGATCAATGCAGAACTGCTGAACATAGAAACGTATTACCCGAGAAGCTCGAGGGACTTGAGAATGCAAGTAAGCGATGTTGAATTCAGACACTCTCAAAAGACAAGGGTTTTGACCTCCTTCTCACCAGCTCCACGGAGTTCTGGGAAACTCCCTCTCTTAAGCATCAGATATAACCTTACCCTGACCTTCAGACTCCACGTAATTTAGGAGACAAAACTCCTCAACATCACGACATCTTCAGATTTGTCCTATCTCTCTTTCCCGCCCGCCTCAACAGCTTGACTGCGTTGAGTGTCCTGACGCCAGCAGGAACGTAGGCTGAGCCATACCCACATTGAATCGACAACACAAACACGCAACTCGCCTCAGCTCTTGATCATCCGAACAATGTTATCACAACCCTCTCCTCAAACGCGCTCACCAGCATGCCGGCGTTCTGTAAGTATCCCCGCGCCAGCAGCACGTGTAACCGGTTTAACCACCCGGTTTAACTACCCGGTTTAACCACCCGGTTTAGGAAAGCAGGAGACTGACACAGACCCGTATGAATCAGAGAAGTACTCTATCGACCCTCCCTAGAAACTACCTCACCAGCTTGACGGCGTTCTGGAAGCGCCCCTGCGCTAGCAAGACGTGCCCCGAGTTCACCCTCATGAGAAGCACAATGAAACTGACATCACGTAAAGCCTCCTGAGCCTCATTCTTGCGCATTTCCCCCCGAATCTCCTCACCAGCTTGACGGCGTTCTAGAAATCCTTTAAAGCCAGCAGGCCCTTTGCCGATTTGACCCCGATCTGGAAGACTGAGAGAAGAACGATTTCTCAAACGCGTCTCAGGCCTTGGTCACCAGGAAAACAATTGTCTCGACCCTCCTCCAAACCTCCTCACCAGCTTGACGGCGAGCAGGCACTTTGCCGAATCGACCCAAAATGGGCCTTGATCACCAAGAAAACAAGTCCCCCAAATCCCCCTCCAGATCTATCCCCTCACCAGCTTGACGGCGTTCTGGAAGTGTCCCTGCGCCAGCAGCACGTGCGCCGAGTTGACCCACACGTCCGGCATCTCGAAGGTGCTGTTAGCAGCCGCCGCCTCGCGCACCTGGTCGAACACCTCCTTCGCCTGCTCGAACCGCCCCTGCTCCGCCAGCACACACCCCAGCCCGTGTGCCGCGTACGTGTTGCTCGGCTGCTGCTGCAGAATCTGCAGAAACGGAACAAGGTATTCTTATGAGAGGTGAATTGACATTCGTATTGGATGTCGTGACTCTGGTATTGGAGGCTTGCGCGTTTGGCAACCTAAAAAAACCCCCGCCCGTGCCAGGCATACGTGTTGCTCGGCGGCTCCTGCAGGATCTGGCGGACGGAATGGAAAGTGTGTTAAGTGACGTGTTGAGGCTTCGTGGAAGTTAAAGCAAATGGTACGTGGAGGTTTCGTCTGGAGCGACTTATAAAACCCGCCCTGTGCTCCGCGTACGTGTTGCTCGGTTGTTGCTGCAGGATCTGCCCGGCGCAGAAGGGTCTTTTCAGTACAGCAACTTATTTGAATCCTAGTAAAATTTTGTGGACTTGGTAGTGCTAAACAGGCGTGCGAGTCGGATACGTGTTGCTCGGCTGCTGCTGCAGGATCTGGCAAAACGAAGAGACGAGGTTTGAAGCTCCGTATCTCACTCAAAGATAAGTGGATGATTTGAACCTCGGTGTCTGGAGGCATGCGCTTCCACATTGTTAGGTCCTGAACGTGGGCACCTGATGAATTGACAAAATACTGTTTGGCTACCCCTGAGTCAAAGCTTGTTGACTGAGGGGTCCGGGTTCGTGCAAAGTGCGTGAGGGCAAATATGCGAACACATCCTTCCTCGAATCACAAGAAATCGAAAGTTGGGGAAGTTACGCCTCCAATTTGGAAGTTGTGCGTCAAGTTTTCAGAAAGGTCAGACGTTGATAGACGGAGCTTCAAGTGAGGCGCAAGAAACATGGGACAGGAACCAGTCCCAAGCCTGTGTTTCCACTGCAAAACCAGGGACAAACTGCGCACGTTTTTCGAAGCTGGTGCGCATTTTCCTTGAGTCTACCATCAAGATCACTTGCACTCAGACGGTGTCTGCCTCGGACTTTTGATATATGTCTGGAGAATGGAGTGGGTTACCTTGAGGTACGAGGTCTTGGCCTTGCCAAGGAGCTCCGCCTCGATTTTGGGGTCCTTGTCCTTCTCATCCCGCTCCGCAGCATACAGGTACCAGTTGGCCTGCAAAGGCGTTGTGATTTGCGCTCGAACTTTCTTTTGACGCATTCAAATTCTCAAAGACCCAAGTGATTCGCGTGCAATGAACGAAGGTCGAGTGACGCCTCGAAATCCGAGCCTTTGAAGGAGCTTCTCTTTGGGGTTGCGGTTAGCAATCTTGGGCGTCTGATTCGGTCCAGAAGCTACCGAAAACATCAGGCCGCACCCGAAGGAAACGTGGAGACTGTAAATCTTTCACAGGTCTACCAGACTCAAGGTAGGCGCCCAGACAAGCGTTTTCTGCCACGAAGCATCTTTCTAGCCCCGCAATTTCAGAAGCCCCCTCGCCCCTGAGAGCGCCGCATGGGTAACGTCGCTGCTTCGACTATTTCGCAACTTCAGGCTTTCAGGATCTCAGAGTTTGCCGCTCACCAGCGCAAGCGCCGAGTAGGTGTCGTCATTGTTCTCGGCCGCCTGGATGGCCTTAAACGTCTCCTTGGCCTTCCCCCACTCGCCGCGCTGCAGCTCCAGGCTCCCGCGCATGCACAGCGCGTCGTGGTTGCGGCCGTCCAACTGCACCGCCTCGTCGATCTGCACCGCAAATGAGTGGGAACTCAAACGGCGCCCAACCAGCTACGTTGGATCTGATACTGGATGTATCGTGAAATACTGCTCACGGGCGGTCGTTACGAACGTACGACTGCATTGCGTAAATGAATGTGCACCACAAATAGCGAAGCGCTTTCGAATTCGGTCAAAAATGACAGCTCATGTATCATATGTCTTGCTCGCATTGATTGTTGCGTCCGTCTGGACTGGAGAATCGGTCGATCCTTACACGACTAGAAGAGCTGACACCAGCGCAGCGAGCCTGATATGCTCGCAGCTTGAGATAGAGAAAGCTCGAGTCTGGTTCCTTACCAGCTTCAGAGCGCCGACGTAATCCTTCCGATTTTGGGCGATGGCTGCCAACCGGAGGAGGCAGTCGCTGTACTGGGGAATCTGCAGTAACGAGGGTTGTGATTTAACGGCAGCTCAAAGTGTCTCACAAACGCATAACATGAGGTTGTGTCGCACGTTCTCTATCCCAAGGTTTGCTAAAAGCCACGCGGCTCTCCAACTTCTGACAATCGAATACGGGTTACAGCAGAAGCTCAAGATTTCCAGCCCAGTTCCTATCCTCCAGAACTGCAACCGCGAGCTGCCTCAAGGCCCCAAAGGAGCAAACAGATTGGAATAGGGGTCCAAAACAAAATAGCAAACTCGGCACCACAAGACACCCGAAAGTACAAGAACAAGCAGCGTGCAGTCCCCTAATAGGCCCCCCCCACCTTCTTGAGCAGGAATCGGTACAGCGTCTCTGCTTTCCCTGTCTCGTGCACCCGCTCAAACACTCGCGCCAGGTTATACACCGTCGTGACCTTGTCCGCAGGCAAGTCCACGTGCTCCACGTCGTCCAACGTCAGCGCGCCATCTGGCGCCACCTCGCCGTTCTCGAGGGATCCCTCTTCGACCCCCCGGGCCGCTTGAGCGTTGAGCAGGTCAAACCAAGGGCCTGGGCCGAGAGACTCGGTGTACGCGCCTAGAGCGAGGGCGTGTTCCCCTTTCTCGAAGTAGAGCACGCCCATGTTGTTGAGAAGCGCGGGGGGAATGGGGTCGTCGCGCTTGTTCATGAGCGCGACGGCGGTCGTGAAGGCGCGCAGCGCGCCGCTGAAGTCGGACGCCAGAAGCAGCTCGCCCAGCTCCACCCACGCCTGCAAAGAAAGACGAGTATGTAAACATGATCATTACAAGCGAAGGATATGATAAGAAAGCCTCCCTGGGACGGGCGGGGTAGTATGGGGGTTTCAGATGAGCCTGAAGTGCAGAGCGGGCAGAATCCCAAGTTTGAGTGTCAAGTCGTAACTCCGTTCATGGTGAAACGCGAGGAGCGGCTCGCCCAGAATCATCCACGCCTGGCAAATAGAAATCAATGAACGTGGAGGGTCATATTGCAAGGACCCACTTCACGCAGAGGCGTAGTATTCCTAAAGCACAACAGAAACACCACGATGGACAACGAACAATAGTTACCGGACGGAAGAAAGACAGAGAACGCCCCACGGGAAAAGGCCGTACCTGAATGTCTTTCGGGTTGATCTCGGTGACCCGCTTGAAGTTGGTGAGCGCACGCGCGGTGTCGCCCTCTAGCTGGTAGATGCTGCCCAGCGCCTTGAGCGCGTCCGGGTTCTCGGGGTACACCAACAACACCTTCTCGAAGTCGACCTTCGCGGCCGCGTAGTCCTGCCGGTGCATGCAGATCTGGGCATGACCTGCGGGAGGGGGATAGAGTGTATTTACAAAGGCGAGAGGATGCGAACGATTCAGCATTTTGTTTCTTGGCAGAATGCTTCCCCAAAGAGCCCGATTGTGCAAGGACGAGCACAACGAAAAGCGTAGGATCGCCAATAAAGGCAGACCGGGCGTGTCCTATACGGAGTAGAATGCAACTGTGGGCTTCTTTGTTTTGTCGAACCCATCAAGCACGTTTCACATTCACACAAAGGAGCAAGGAAGCCGAGCAGATGTCGAGCACAGAGGCATGTTGCCATCCTCGTGGCTGCACTCTGCCGACGCAACACTCCAAGCTGAATCTGCTCCACAAACAGATTAACTCCAAGAAGCTGCATCATGCAGGACACCCAAGCAGCACGTCCCCGGCGGCCGCCTTCAATGTGAAGAAGCACACTCAAAGGAACAGAAGCTACACCCAAAGTATCCAAAAGAACTACGATGTCAAGACCAAAGATCCATGAGATTCACACGGGGGATCCCTCACCGTAGTACGGCTGCACGTAGTCCTCCGCGGCCGCCTTCATGCTCGCGCGGTACAGCGCCTGCGCGCGGTCCCACTCGCCCTTGTAGTGGTACGAGCGCGCGACGTTGTAGAAGCTCTCGCTCTTGAGCTGCGCCACGTCGCTGCTCACAGGCAGATCGCCACATTTTCAGAACGGCAGAGCACGCGTGAATTGATTGGCTGTAACTCAAGGAGGCAGTCTGCAGTGTTCAGCCCCGATCGAAGCAGGGCAACCGAACGTTTGGTGTCGAGGCCTTTGAGGCGCGATCGGACGATCCAGAAGCTACAAAAGGGGTGTTACACCCCCGAACTTCTAAGGGGCCTGTCTCGAATGCGGCAATCTACCTGCTCATGATGGCCCACTCCATCAGCTGGTCGACCAGGTGGTGCTGCCCCGTGAAGAAGTAGTGGTTCGCCAGGTGGTTCAGCGCCATCGACGAGTGGGGGTACGTCTGGAAGGCGGCCATCATCAGGCGCATGCCCGCCTGGATCTGCAGCTCTGTAGAGGAGGCGGGGAGGGACAGTAAAGTCAAGCAGGGGTCCGCTGTATGCAAGAGTCGCATCTCTTCGTACAAAGGAGAGGAAAAGGTCGCGTTCCCTGATCTGGTTTCTCTGAACGGACCTTCGCCTGGCTGATGTGAGGGACAATTCCACCTTCCAGCCCGTCTCGTGTAGCAACGGTCACGCTTTCTCAGGGACAGAGGCAATGCGGACATGCAACTGCGGTCCATTGAAACGCATCTCCACAAGCAACTTAATCCAACTAAACCCGATGCACACTGCAAAGGTCTGACACAAGGGATCCATAAGTATCAGGCCGGACAGAGCACATGACTACCAGAAACGCAGTGGTTGAATGCGAGCAGAATCACCAAAGCACGACATCAGCAGACCGCAAAGGCCAACCGATAAGACACCAGGCTTGCGAAACAGAGGCCCGCGTACTGGTCGATCATAGCGAGCATGCTGGCAGCAGCCACATGTGCCACAGAAGAAGTTCTCGCGGACCAGACAAAGCACGTGGATACCAAACCAAAGGGTTCTGTGATACGAGCAAGTTCTAACGAGTACGAACCAGCAGACCGGAGAGGGCCCAAAAAAGGAAAACAAAAACAGAGACTTACCGTCCCCCGAGTTGAGGTCAATCATGGCGAGCGCGACGAGCGCGTCGACGTTCTCGGGGTCCAGCTGCAGGACGCGGTTGAAGGCCTGGCGCGCCTTGTCCATGTTGTTGAGCATGAAGTGGCACGCGCCGAGGCCCAGCCGCAGCACGGGGGGGCCCTGCGGATGCAGCACCATCGCTCGCTGCGCAGAGTGAGGAAAGATGGAGTCAAGCGAAGCAAAATACATTCCTGACAAAGTGTCTGTGCTTCGGACAGTGGTGATCAAGGGAAGGTAAGTGACATCGGGCTGTTTGACATGGCACGCAGCTGTAGCACAGGGGACCTACAAGGTGCTTGTTGCGCAGGGTGTGAGAGGACTTAATCAGACCGGTCAAGAAATCCCACCGCATGGCTGGTCACGTTTTCGTAACGGAGTGGTTCCCGACGACAAGTGGTATCAAACGTAAGTCCCTCTGCTTAATTTACAGGGCCAAAGCATCAAATGCGCACTAGATGTGCCGCTTTGATTAGTCCGAAGCTAAGATGCCGCCGAACAACTTGGCGACTTGCGCCCTGCAGTGCAGGTACTCTGTTACGGATTGGACTCGCACCTTCAATTTTTTTTAACAAGCACGGAATGGGGAGGCAGCCCTGAAACCAGTCGACCAGAACGGAACGATTATTTCATGTCGCAAGGAACGTAAGTGGGGACAGCTGGCCAGTCGTACCTTGTAGTGCGACAGCGCTTCCTTGTACTTCTGCTGGTTGAACTTCACAGCTGCCTGCAAAGACACGGGCATATTGAGCAACGTCTTTTAGTTCAAATAGTCGCGTGTCTACGACGCAGACGATGAACTTTCACAAATTCTGTCTGCTTCGAGCCATATTCAGACTCCGCGCATTGACCGGCAACTTACTGAACTACCGTTTTACCATTCGCCTCCCTTGACCCGTTATTTGAAGGCTGTCTTTTCCTTTGATTGGTGGCGCATAAAGGGGACATGTTGTTTAATGTCCGTAACACTCGAGTCCCCTGAGAAATTGTTTTTCGTCCCATGAGGCTGGATAGCATGACCTCAAGGGAACCGCAAGACAAGCTCGGGAGAGAACGCTCACCATTCCCAAGAGAGCGGGCACGCAGTCGCTCTGCATAACCAGCGCGTTCTTGAAGCTCACTAGCGACTGCTCCAGCTCCCCGGTGGACAACAGCATCTGGCCTGTCAAGGTGAGGACCGGACCGTACATAAAGTGGTCCTTCGTACCGGATTATCAGGAGGAAGCTTTGAAGCTGCGGGAATTGTGTCAGGCTTTGCTAAGCATGCAGACGGTGACAAGAGCATGTTGGGAGGGCATAGAGGAGTCGCAGATCGGCCAAAAATTTCTCACAGCAAACATCAATAGGTTTGAAAGCCATAATAATCAATCACGTCCACCACGGACAGGACTTCGAGCTCCTGACCAAACAATTGAAAAGCATCGGGCCATCTTAACTTCATTGTGAAGCCAATCGCCAACGATACTGCCTCTCTTAGGACCTGCTCACCCTTGCCAATCCACGTCGTAACCTCGGACTGGTTGATCCTGGTGGCCTTATTATACAGCTCCGTGGCGCGCTGGTAAAAGTCCTTGCGGATTTCGTTCTTTTGCGAGATCTTGGCCTGCGTCGTGTAGTAGGCTGCGAGCGCGTTCAGGATGGCAATCCGCTCGTGGATCACCTCGTGGTAGTACTCGTCCACCACTGCAAGAGAAGAAGGTCTTTAGCAACTTGATCAAGCGATGCAGTCTTACTTTCCCCATTGCTTTGTGAGGTTCCCCCCAATTGTGTAAGTCGTGACCGCTCTGCAGCTGCCTCATGAATGGACTCGTCAAAGGGGGTGCATGACGCTTGATGTTAGTCGGTGATATCACAGGACACAGGACATCTGAAAAGATGAGGGCATCGCCAAGCCCTCTTGCAAAGCAAGGGCTGCAAGAGGCCAAGATCTAACGATCTTCAATAGTCCAGCTCGTCTAAAAATGAAAAAGAACCGGTTGGGTGTCTGTAACTCCAACACGGGGGACTACGCAAGCAATCTAGGCGACAGATGTGAGGACACCTTGAAGACATGTCAGTTGAAAAAAAGAGTCCGCCAAAGTCTGGTCTATGTGACTTTGAGACTTCTGGTTGTAAATGAGTACATAGATCCTCACCATCTGTGGAGCCTTCTTCAAGGATGTGGACGCACTGGGCCGCCTTCCCCTGCTTGTAGTACTCTCTCTGAAAGCAGACAGCGGTGATGCACTCATGTCAGCAACGAATGCTAAAAAGTGGTGGTGCAAAAGTTCTCTCATCTCGAGGGTCACTTCAACCAAGATGCTATCATATCGATATCTCCTCTTCATTGCAAGACCTCTTCGTTTTGATCCTCTACGGTGTTTTGGCAGGATGCTGGCCTTTTGAACACAGGATACTGGGGAACTTTGACGGAATGGGCAATTGGTCTGGCGACCTACTTTCAAGGTGTGCCACCATGTTTGAATGGGTGTCAAGCTTTTGAAAGCTTATTAGTGAGCTGCTTGGTGTCTGCTGAGCTCCTATAAGACACCGGACCTGCGGCATCCTGTTGAAATGAGAAGTTGCGGCAAGCATCGCACTTGTAATTGTGGAGAGACTATCGATTGCACATCAGTTGCAACATAAAGTAAGTTTTCCCCCAACCATATGCACAAGATGGACTTTGCAAACCTCAACTTAATTGAGAGGCGCCACTTACTGCGATTGCGAGCCAAAGGTCGAGCGGCGCCTGCTCCGCCTTGAGAATCTCCAGAATGTCGTTGTCATCCTCGGGCAGGTTGTCCAGCTCCACCTCCACCTGCTCCTCAGAGTTTCTGATAGGAATGTACAGAGAACGAGCGGCCGCCATCTCACGGGTGGCAAACTTTATAATGGCGAAAGCCAGCAGAAGTAGGACACGACTATTCAGTCAGAGTCTGCAGTAGGCCTCATGCCAATCAGCATGCTGTGCGCTGATCCACTCGCTCAATGTAAGCGTCCGCCACAAGCTGCGTGTTACTGAACGAATTGTCGCATCGCCAGCGGACCAAGAGCATCAACCGGAATCACAACCTTCTTCTATGCGTGGTCTTCTCAAGCAATCTGAGCGTCTTTCATGGGCGCCCACTTCGTGCTGAGTGCTCTTCTCAGGACCCACCGAGATTGAGCTAAGTCAGACCGTCTGCACTGAATAACCATGAATCCTACTCCGGATTTTGCCAACTCCGGATTTTCGACACACAATCATCGATGAGGACTCCAAGCCCCGGTCCCTCCCCGCCCTTCACCACCCATCTGAGTGGGCCTCACCCGGGCTAAATTGAAGCACACATGCGGCCCCGGCAAGTTGAAAGGTGGCCGGAGTAGTCAGGCCGGAGTGGGGCCGGTCGAAGTCTGGCCGGGGCTTGGTCTTCGGAGTCGGGTTACACCTTTAGGTATAAGACAGAAACTTAAACGGGATAGCGTAGTCAGCAGCCGGTGAAATGGGGCGGGGGTGTCTTGAGACTTGCAGAGGGGTCCGACCCTTGGGGAAGCGTTGCTTCCAGGAGCTCGGGGCTCCCCTCCCGAGACCAAACGGTGACCTAACCCATTTAAAAGAATAGGTTAGGCCAAAAAGTGCCCGAGTCGTCCCCTTGCGACAGCCCGGTAGCAGCAACTTTTCGCGCGTCCTCGCAGGGTCCATTGATGCAAAAATCCGGAGTTGGCAAAATCCGGTGTTGAATTCATGGGTATTGCACTGGCACTGTGGCAGTCTGAGTGCGCTTGGCCCGGCCCCCATCATGCTGCGCTGGGATTTGCCATTGGGGGTATCTAGGGCCGCTCTAGTTGTTTGTAACATTCTATATCGAGCATCTGAAGTCCATCCTACGGTCATAATGGACCGAGAGGTTAACTTTAAATGCCACGTACTAAAGTTGACAAGTCAGCCAAGTCCACTTCTCAAGCTTGCCAAGTTGATCGACAATGCGAGGATCGAGGAGCAAAGCTTCATGCAATTGGCCCAGGGAAAGTTCGCCAATGAATGATGGCCGACGCTGTTCTGTGGCGATCCCTTGACATTCTGCCTGGACATCTGCAAGGGTGTTGCTTCGCAGAGTCTGTGCATTGGCGCCGCTATTGACGAGTTGAGGGAAGCAACAGGTGTCCTCCTTCCGTTTACAGTGCTAGCTCGCAGTTTGGGCGGAACTAGGAGCACAATGCAGGATGCCCAGCCTTTGAATAGTCAAAGATTGAGCACGCCCAACCCTGTGAGGATGGAAGGAAATGTACAGGATGGAAAGGTTCGATCAGGTGGGAACAGCTATGCTAGTACTCCCGCGTCGAAGAAGAAAGTAGATGAAGGGATCTGGGCCAGCCTCAGCAAGACGGCAAAGAGTCTCTTCTCAGAAGAAGACGACTTGCCAAGGGTTGATGAAGTCCGCGTAGATCAGCAGCAGGCGCCCGCGACGAAGCAAACAGTGAGTTGCCGGTGTGACCCTCATGACAGGAATGTCTTTCAGCTTGAATGCAACCTGTTTAATTGTCCGTTTTTAGTGGCCCTTTAGAGTGGCCCTTTAGAGACAAACATGCAGTGAGTAAGGGCGACCTGGACTAGGGAGCAAGGTGCATTTGTCATAGATCATGCTCATCATACCAGGTGAAGTTCAGGCTTTCAAGCATGATCGTCGCGTTGAGTTATCAAAGCTCCTCGATGCCCTTGTCTTGTCTGAGCTCACAACCACCCGGCCCCGTCAGCTCCTCAAAACGGCCCTGTAGTAGTAGGTACAACGACTAAGCTCAGATAGAGTGAAGCTGTTGTGCACCACCAGGAGTAACAGCTCTTTGACAGGAGCTTCATGCACTTATGCGTACGTCAGGGAGAGCCGTGGACTTCACCGCTTGGAGATCAGTTTATGCGGGCATTGTTCTGACCCTTAAGCCAAAGGTTCTCTAACCGTGTGTCAATGGCAGACCAAGCGCCGCTGGTCTATTGTTGGCTCCCTGCGTGACCTTGTTGCCTGACAGTATTACATGGTGCTTTCTTGGCAGGGTGAAAGCAAGGCATTTGGCATCCAGAAGAGCCTGGACGCGATCACAAACTCCCTCTCATTCATTGGGGACAAGGTCGGCACCGCCATCGAGGAGAGCCTCGACGTCATCTCCACCAAGGCGGTCGACTTCATCGAAGGGCCACCGCCGAGCCTTAACCATGACCTCAAGCGGTCTCCTTCAATTGGAGTGGACGGAAGCCCTGTGACTAACCAGCTAAAAGCATCTCGAGATGTGAGGATGCCATCGAACATTCTGAGTATGCAAGAAGGACTCTGTGTGCTCTGACGGTTAGCTTTTACTTACATCAGTGTTCAACTGCAGTGTCCCCTGAAAAACCGTCTTCACAAAGCATATGCGCTCTGTTCAACTCACACTCGTTTTTGTTACACAACGCAGTGTATTCGTAGCTTCTTCCAAAGCTGTAGCCAAGAGATGGTCATCACATTAACTCCGATAACTTGTCAAAGAGCTTTGACCCTCCGCACCAACTCTGACCAGATTTTTATGGACTTTGATCGGGAGCGATTCAGGTTCTCCAATGAGGAGCCCCTTCCAGACAGTCTGTGACGAAAAGGTGCTCTTCTGTCCAGGTGGCCACTGCGATGGTGACCAAGGTGCGGCAATATCAGCGCCAGGTGGAAGCCCAGAAGGCGCAGCTCGACTTCGCCACCAAGCGCTGCTCGCAACTAGAGGAGGAGAACAAAGTCCTACGAGACGGCCTGGAGGTGCAGGGCAAGATGGACGACGACCCCCTGGTGCGTCAGCAACTAGAGGCGCTGCTTGCTGAGAAGGCACGGCTGGCTAGGGAGAACATGCAGCTGCAACGAGAGAATGAGCACCTGTTTGAGTTGCTAGCGTACAGCACGCAGGGCAACCGGTCACCGTCAGTGTCGGCGGGCGTAGGGGCGTTTGAGTGGGAAGAGGAAGACGGAGCTGTGGGGACCGAACGGGGAGAGCGGGAATTGGATGGTGTGCCGGAAGAGAACGAGGTTTCGTCCCGAGATACTGGAGGTGATTTTGCAGAGGCGTTGCCGACCGGTGCAGATTCGATTCATGCAAAAGACAGAGACGGTGACGAAGGGGGAGTTTCGGAAGATCGTGAGGGGGATCAGAGTCGAGTTGGCAAATCACCGGGATCAGAAGGATTAACGAGCAAAGGCCAGGAGTTGAAAGTTGACACGCAAGGAGTGAAGGTCGTTTCAGAAGTTGCAGATAAATCTGGGGAAACGAACACAGGATGACCCTTTCAGAAGGGGCCTGCAATTCTGATTGCTGAACCGTTGCGCGCATCTTTGCAATCATGAGCCATCGTTTCAGATATCTATAGTTTGGGGTTACCAGCAGACCTGTGGCCGTTGAAGCTGCAACCCAGGCACTGCTGTCACCCTCGGTAAGTCTAGCTTCGGAGTATATACCGCTTGGCTAGATTTCTCATATCCATGCCTGGCGCGACCAACATGCAGATTTGCGCAGCACTTATAAGATGGAGTGCAAATCGGTCTCATGTTCGGATTTGTTTTGCGGCCTCAAATTTTGGTTTAGAACCACGCGATGCAATGGAATGCACGGCCGCGGGAGCTTGACTGTCTCCCGGTTGCCGCGTCCGGGGAGAGATTGTCTTGCAAACCTGAGTCTCTTCGAAAGCTGACCTTACGAAGTATCTGATTGTATATCGAAGGGTGTACGGAACGCGGGAGAAGTTCACATGCATGTTGAGAAGAGCGTGCAAGGCACCTACACGTGTACCTGGTAAGGTACCTGGAAATGCAGCATACATACTCATGGAAGCTCCAGTCCATCCTGTGTACAGATATTGACAATGTATCTGAAAGTCGTGATCATGTTGGTGAATTACTGTCTCAAGTTTACACGCAATTCAACGACAGCATGAGCCGGCTGACTCCAGACAATGATGGTTTGTAACATGATGAACGTGCTATCTATGCGCCCTGTAGTCCTGTAGAATCGGCCGATTCCGCTGGGAAACGGCAGTGACGAGGTTTCAACTGGAACGTTGGTAAGGACATGGCAGCCACTCGCTTGCATTCGCTTGATCCTACTCTGGTCTCGTCTGTCGGGATCTGCCGCCTCGCGCCATGGCAGCGGGCAGGCAATCGGAGCCATTCTGCTTTGTATACCAGGTAATAAAGGACCATAAAAAAATGATACAAAACTCGAAAGAGAGTGCCCATACTAACTGCTATCAGCCCAGAATTCTTACCTCAGCCGCCGGCCCACGACAAGATACAGGGGCCGAAGCTGTGGGTGTTGCACACGTCATCAATACACTTGTTCCGTGCAGCTGCAATCAACGTCACTCAAAGTGCTCCCTTGACCCCTGGTTTCCTCCGAACATTTCCTCAAGTAAAAAGGAGATAGCTAAATCTTTCCTGTAAATGTGTCCTCAATGAAGAAGGAGATAGCTAGATACATCTCTAAGGGCCTCCTTGCTGCAGACACAGGCAAAAAGAGATCAAGGCCCCGGGAGAATCGTGTCCAAAGTCCCTTGACAGTCAAATGCTACAAGATCCATACAATAAGAAGAACTCATTTCATCCAGAGCTGACCTGTCAATTGATTTAACGAAGAAACAAGCAATGATGACAGGGGTGGTATTTAGCAACGGTTCTGGTTGCTGATCGGGAATATGTTAGTGCGCATGTTGCTCCTCGGGATTCTGCAATAGCCTTGCAGTTGTAAGCTGTACTCTATTGGTTCCACGCGTAGTGAAAAAGAACAGAAAGCTCAAGTTTGGGAGCCTGGGTAACCTCCGTTGCCTGCAGTAATCATATAATCACCTTTTCTGCGATGATGAGTTGTTGACTTACGCAAGGGCCTCTTCTGCTCCAGTTCCCTGCAGATCTTCTTAAGCCGCTGGACTTCTCGGTATGCCAGGGCTACCCCCTTCTCCAAGTCCTCCGACTGCTCGCCTGTCAAGAGAGCTCACCACATCGGAGAGATGCTCATACAAAGTATGCGGATTACTTAAGATTCCAAAAACATCTTCCTGTTCATATATCGTGACGTACTAGCCGCTCGAAAGAGCCCCAAAGAAGCACGACAGGGCGCTTTGACATGCAGAACTGCAGCTACAGAAGCTCCAGGTCCCTGTAAGTTTCAGTGCACTGATTACACTACACGAGCTCTGCACAACGTTTCCACAAGGCTTCAGCCTTTATTCTTTCAATCATGAGGGCAAGAGGAGCTGCCATGAGCCACCAACTCAAACGAAGTCCGCAAGGCCAAGCCTACTGAAACATTCTGTCAGGTTACTCACCATCTCTTTCTGCGCGCTGCTGCATCTGGATTAATTGGTTCCAGTGGATAACCTCATCCACGTAGATGCGCATGTACTTACGAAAGCTCGAGTACTTCTTCCACAGCCTTATAAGCATCGTAGGACTACCTGCTGATTCCGCTTGAGGGTTACTCAAAAGGAAGGTCGGCCGGTGATCCAGGCAAACACTGGGAAGGATTGACAATAAAAAGACAGAAAGCTGCCACGTTCGCTTCGTCTGGTTTGAAGCAACTGCAAAAGTCCTAGGTCTAAGACACCTGCAGTGTGGAGACCTTGAGATGCCGCGCTCGCGGCGCCGCCATCGCGGCGGCCGCTCTCGCGCTGGGAAAAGTTTGCCCGGGTTTGAGGGGGTTTGGGCGCCACCCAGTTACCAGTTCGTTTTGAGTGCGCGGCCGCGCGTACGTACCGTTTGAACCGTCCGAGTTGGGCGGGCGTGGCCACCCGAGCCCCTTCATCCTCCTTGAATTCGAGAGAAAGCTGCGAGCTGGCGCGTTGGCATGGACCTTCAAGCTAGCCAACTTGCTGCTCCGTACATCAAGCTTTGGAAATTGTTGATCGAAGAAGCTCAGGGTCGGAGGAAAGAGTGCCACGTAACGTCCTCACGGTCAGCTCCTAGTTGGTTTCCTCTCCCCTTCCGGGCCTATAACCTTCTGACGACATGAGGTCCTCATCAAAACCCGCTCGGAAACGTAAGCTGTACAGCCAGAGGCCGCCGCTCATAAAAATGACAATCTGGTATGCCACATGACATGCTAGATGCAATCCTTACAATGATGACGCAGCTTGTATCCTGTTGCGAACCTCGAATAGATCTGCAGAACTGTCGTCCGTACTTTGACCTATTCACCATCAGTGACATCCTTGCTAGTTTTTGCAAGGTTCTTGCTGTTCAAGCCTGTATGTTGACCTAGAACGACGTTCTCAGTTTGTTGCCCAGTTCGGATCAGGTTCGAACTCAATTCGCACCGGCTTCAGTACGTTTTCGGACATGTCACTTGTCCGAACCGAGTGCGAAGCTTTCAGACCCGCTTCGGACTGGGGAAAAGGGGTTCGGATCCGGTTCGGACCGTGTTCGGACAAAACGCTTTCTCGCAGTGAATATGTCATGTACGCGAGCAATGTCGGAGTTGACTGAGTTAGGTAGATCTATGCCGGTGTGGTCAGACAGCCTGGTCATCATTGAATTGTTAGGCAAGTGCAATGCTGGAACAACTTGTTAATTGTCCAGGGAAATCTTGCACTGACGTTCGCTGCCTCCTGAGTGTTCGTTGTCCTTCGAACACATCCTCTGCTCTTATCTTGTCTGCAGAAATACGTTCACATGTCTAAGTAGACTGCTCACATACGCGTCTGAGCCTTCGGATGCTTGGTCTCTGGTTTGGATGAAACTGCGCCGGGCTCCTAGGCCAAGACTCTGGGGCATTGCAATTACTACAAAAACGTCTTTGATAACTTGCAGACAGTCGTCTGCTGACTCGGACCTTGCCAGTGGCAGATCACAGTACGCTGCACCCTCCGAATAGCTTCTTCGAACGTTCTGCAAGCGAAGCAATTGTTGAATTTCAATCTCGCTGTCGACAGCTGTAGAACGGTTAGGAGCATGAAGCTCTAGCTACGCTGGTGTACAAGAGTGGGAACCAAACCATGTTATTTTTGGTTGAAAACTTAGATCCCATCTAGACTTGCGAATCGCAGGTACACGTTTTCAGCTCGCAGGTACCACCGCAACCAGGCAACAACAGGATTGTTTTTGTCGCTGACAATTCACTCATCCTCGATTGGACTCCGCTTCCTTTCGGTTGCAGGCGACGAAGGGAAGGCTCGCCTGAAACAAGGCCTGCAGCTTGCAGACGTCGTCCGCCTCCAGAAAACCGCCCTCCCGGAGCGCGCACAGAAACTCGATCAGATCCGGCGACAGCTGCTTGGCTGAGCAGACCCAGTCGACGATCTTCGAGCAGCTTTGCGGCGACAACACGTTTGCGAGCCACTTTGGCCTCGGGGACAGGCGCAGAAAGCTTGTCATTAGGGGCGCCGCTTCGAGCGGCAGCGTCCCAGCGGAATCGCTCGCAGCGGAAACGGAAGCGACGAACTCTTGCGCGAGGAACCGGTTCCAAGGGCTGTGGGTCGCCACTTCGCTCACCCCGGGAGGCAGGCTTCCGGCTTGGCAGAGCCCGGCGAGGCAGCGGAATCCGTTCCGTCGCAGGAGCCCGCCGTCGGAGGACAGCAGGTTATGCAAAAGGAACGCGAGCACGCGCAAATGAGGCCCCGTGAGGGCTCCGCTTGGAGACGGGGTTCCGTGCCGCTCCTTATCCGTTCCGCACTGGACCCCGGAATCCCCCATTTGCGAGATGAGCGCGACGAGGCACGACGATGCAACAGCGCGCGCTGCACTGGGCCCCGACTGCAGGATCTGGAGCAGCTCCCCGAAGCTCACAGCGGATGGTTCCGGAGCGGAAGCAGCCAGACGGAACGACGGAACTTCGAGGGCACTTCTGTACAGCCATAAGTGATGGAACGTCAGGGCTGCCAGAAGGAGCTTGTCCCGGGCGCTGCTTTGCGCGCGCGCGCCCTTGGACTGCGAGCGCGCAGACTCGAGGATGACGTTCTCGCAGAACTGCCTGAGCTCCGCGTTGCCCAGGAGCGCGGCCGCGGGCTCGCGGAGCGCGGGGGTTTGGAGGAGGCCGTCGAAGAGGACGCGGTTTAGGAGGTTCAAGCCGGCAAGCAGGAGAGGAAGCGATGCGGGCGACGCCGGCTGCCGCGTCTCGTCTAGGAAAATCTTACACACCTGTGATCAAAGAAGCGGTTGAGAGTAAGAATCTGCAGAAGGAACGGGTACCTCAAAACCCTGTACAGAAGTGCGAGCAGGTTTCGCCCTTCTGAACAATCTAAAGTCGCAGGTGGTCATCGGAGATCGCAAATGGTCTTTTGTATCAGGCATGTTTCGTGCACTACCTTCCCTTCCAGGGGTTCTACAATTCAGTAGTCATCAAAGGTGCAGGTGCAGGCTCGGGACCATATTCGACGAAAAATCGGCGGAAATTACCTGCTGAGAGAGATGTCCCCATTCTCCTGCTTCGTGTGCGGCTACCCTTGCGAGGTTGGGAAGAAGTGCGCCAATCAGGTCGAAGGTTCCAGTGAGGATGGAGACCGGTACATTTCTCACACGAAGAAGGAGAAGCTTCCTTATCTGCAGAAGATTGATTTCGTAAATGGTGTAACCAGCTTCGCTGGATACAAATCATAGAGATCAAAGCCTTCGACTGTGAGAAAGGGCTGCGAGGATGTTATTTCATTTCTGAGGTGGATCAGCAATTCAAAAGCTCTGATCTCTGCGAAAGTTACAGATGATTTGATGAGATTTGACTCCGTCAATCTGGTCAGATCAAGAATCGTTCGACGGGTTATTGAGCCTGCTTTTGAAAAGCTTCCGCACAGGATATCTTCAAAGCTTCTGCTGATCGCGCACCTTCTCGATCAGTCCCCCTCGCACGAGCGCCGTCCCCGCTTCTCCGGAACCGCTCGCAATCTGCTTCATGCTTTGGAAAAGCCTCCCCATCGGCTCAAATGCACAACTCGACGTCAGCCTCTCGACGACGCTCGACACGAACAACGGCGCTTCCCTTGTCTTGGCAAGCACCTCCGCCGCAAGCCCCAGGACTCCTGTTCCCGCATCGGGTGCTTCGATCAGCCAGCGCTCGATCTGGCTGGTGCAGAAGTCCCGGAGCCGCTCTTGTTGGAAAAGCCACGCGATAACGGGGAGTGGCAGCTCGTGCGCCGCGGCCGGCAGCGCGCCCCGCGCGTCTAGGAGGTCCACGAGCGCGCGCTCAGCGCGCGGGTTCCAGCGGACGCCTCCCGCGCTAGAGGCTTCGCGGGTGGTTGAATAGAGAAAGAGGAGGTGCTTGATGGTGGAGTCCGACACGCCCGGGGTGGTCTGCCAAGCAGGCGACAGCAGCAGGCGCTCGATGCTCGCCAGGAGCTGCACCTCGTCGACAATCCTGCAATCGAATGCATCCGTCAGATCTTGCAAGATTCTTACAACAACTAAGTTCACTATCAGGAATGCCTGGAACGGCTACATAAAAGCTCCTGAAATCTTTGAAAGCCCTGACGGGGTTTCAAGGTTGCTACCACAGGAAGCTTGACAGGAGGAAAGGGGTGAATCTGGGATACGTTGAGTTCTTCTGTGCCGTGCGTACCGCAGATATGACCATAATACTCGGTGCGAGAAGAGAGCCTGTTTCTGCAACTCACCGGTTCTCCTGATACAGTGCTCCACAGTGAAGGAGTGCCAGTACCGCTTCTTGTAGCGCAATGTCCTCTCTCGTCCCGCCAGTAGAATTTTCTAGAGCGGCCAGCATACCCTCAGCGTTGTGCGGCAGGCTGACGATCACCTTGTTGATCAGCTCGCCGGCCTCTGAGCCAGACACGTGTCCCACGAGGACTGCCAAGAAGCGAAAAATGGCTCCGCGGAGCGTGGCTTCCGAAGTCATCCTTGCGAGAAGCTCGAAGTCGAGGCGGATCCACATGGTCGCCGCCAGCTTCTGCGCGAGAAGCTGCGCGCACTCTACTGGAAGCTGCAACGCAGCCGATAGGGCCTCGTGCGCGGCAATATGGACGTTCGAATTTAGCGCATCTTCCTGGCAGCTTATGTAAGCGGGTACAAGGTAAACGTCGCAGTGATTTATCAGCAAAGCTGCAACATCAGCTTCCCCTTCTCCAATCCCGCCGCTGTTTAGGGAAAGGACGACGCCGATCGCTTTTGCTAGCAGATTGGCTGCCACGCGGATGTAGTCCTCTGCTTCGCTCCTGCCGTCAACGGCACTGAGAATGCTCAGAGCAACCGTCAGCGCCTCTGCCGTCTTCTCTGACGTCAGCAGACTGGACCGCCACGTCAGCACGCTCGCGAGCGAGCCGCAAGTGCAGGCAAAGACGGCGGGGTTGAGAGGTTCGTTGTGCGACGAGGTCGCTTGGATCCCGTCCAAATGTTGCTCGAGAACCGAAGCAAGAGCGCAGACTAGCTGCTCGGAGCTGGCTGTCGGCAGGCTGCCTGGGTTAGTCTCTACGGCCGTGCTGAGCAGCGCGCACACGTCAGCTTGAAGAGCGGCGAAGCTGGTTTCCACGGCGCTCGCCAGCGCGTGCACGACTGCCTCGAAGCCGAACACGAAGTGCCTGCGGAACGGGTCTCCCGCACGGGAGAGCGCGTTGAGGGCCTGGATGGCGGCCGCGAGGATCGCGTCTTCGGAAACGGCTTGCGCACCTGCGCATCAAGGGGTTCGGGTTGAGGAACAGGTCACTCTCCAGACGTGAAGGGAGAGATGAACATTCAAGTGAGAGAGAGAAGATGCTTCTCGTGCACTGCGCATATTTGAAGTAATAGCGTCTCGAAAGGAATGTTCTTGTAGAAACATAGGACAAGGTACGAAGTCGCTGCTGAGGAAGATCGACGTTTCGAAGAGCCAGGAAGAACGAGGAAAGTCTGCATGGGTATGCACAGTACCTGGTCTTGTGGTTCGAAGCACTTCGTAAACGAACCTGTAGATGAAGAACGTTGAGGCTTGGGTCAGAACTCTTCGAAGACTTGCGGTGACAATCAAAAACTCGGATTCACGAAGTAATCAGAGACATTCAAAAGAGCAGCCAAACACGTCCAATATTAAAAGCAGGATCTCAAAGTCAGATATCTGTCACTTACATGTCGACGTCCGCTTCTACCAGCGGTGCGATGTCTGCCTCTGTGACGAGAGAAGGGTCGCAAGCGAGAAGGGTGGTCAACTGGCAGGCGAGCAGCTGTGCGTGCACGTCAGCGGAAAGCAGCGAAGCCTTCAGTGCCTCCGTCAGCAGCTTGATATCCTGGCCGCTTCGATGAATCGCATGTCCGCCACGCTTGTCGAAGGATGTCAGACTGAGGAGGCCGCACCTTGCCAGCGTGTTGAGGAGTGCTGCACATAGCTTGGAAGCTTTAGGCACGTTCATTTGTCAAATACACTGAAAACTTTCAATAGGCTTCGAGCTTTCAACAGAGAGCATTTGATGGGAGTTCGGCCGTCTGAGTCTGCAGCCTGCTTGAAGAGTGACGCAAGGCAATTCAATTGAAGTTTCGTATATCTTTCCCACATCGAAGCTACAAAGTTGATGAGAGCTTCTTTCAGTATCCTTACCCAGGCTGTTAATGCGCAGATCATCTTCCGTGGATTGGGAAGCTACCAGCAGCGTCTGTTCCACCATGGTGCAGAGTATCTGGGGCAGTTGATGAAGAAACTCCACGCCATCAGGCACGGAGGCGAGCTTGAACAGGAGAAACAGGGCATCCGCTTGGACCCTTTCACTGGGAGAAAACAAAATGTCGAAACGGTTTTTTGTCGTGGTGGTTTTACCATAAGGTGCGAGGCCAAAGCTTCGGCGACAAAAGTCGCAGATTCTGGTATATCTAACAGAAAGGACTTAGCGGTGTAGGGATGAGGGAAGAGCCAACAGAGATGGTCAACGTGTGGAGAAATCTTGAATTCTTCGTAAGGCAAGTGCTCAGCACACAATACTGAACGGCAGAAGTCATAATGAATCCACGCACTTTACCTCGCTAGAACAAGAAAGGAGCAAAGAATGGCGCAGTGCTTGCTTGGTCATCTTACCTTGGATGCTGCAAACTTCGTACAATATTTGAAAGGCAGCTGGGTGCTTTGAGCGGTTGAGGAAGTATTCCTGCCTGTTTGCAAAAGAGGTCCACCAGTTTCCCGAGGATGTGCAACTGCAAGGTACCAAGTTCTAATCAGTAATCTGCATCAATCTTGGAAATCTCGTATTCAGTTGTCTTGAGCAGATCTCAGTGCACCTGAGGCTTTTTTGCTGTGGCTTTTGCGTTGAAATAAAGTCATCCGAGACCTTCGTCGACAATTTGATCAAAAATGAATTGAAGCAACAGCCTTGAAGAGCTCCCACTGAATCAGGCAGTTGTACATCGAGCGGTTCAGTCTCCACAAGTGACACGAAGCTTACCAAATAAGAACAGGTCGTACTGCCATCGTTCTCGCATTCAAGCTCACAGCAAACGCTGAACACCAACAGGTCCAGAAATGGTCGACTTCGTTTGCTTAAGCAGATGCAGATGCTACAGATCCCCATTGAGAGCTCTTCATCCTCGCCAGTCGCTAGCGCTTCAATGATTGGACGGACGAACAGGGCGCGGTAATTTAGCAGTGCCGAAGCAAATTGAAGATCTCCCTCTATAACCTGAGACACGCAGCTCACAGCAAACACCTTCTGAGTTAACAGAGCTCTCTGATCAGCAATGACCGAAGTGAAGCAACTCAAGCAAATGCTGCCAGACCCTGCCTCGATTCTGAGAACCTGTGAATCAGCATGGCCCTCAGTCCAATGCAACGGAAATTGCAGATGGTAGTTCATGCTGACTTTTAGCGTACAGCCGTTTAGGCCATTTTTAGCTATTGTTCTAAATCAAGAAATGATTCGAGCTGTTTTGCCGCTTCGGAATGCCCATCTTACAAATTGCACCTGGCACCTATACTTCGAGATCAATGCTGGCTCCTCAGAACACGACGTTTGCATTTCGAAGGCGTGAATATTATGATGGTAATTCCCTAGTATAAGTCGCAGCCATCGCTGATAATCGCCAACGAGGAGCATTCTATGGAGCCTGTGGAGCACCTAATGCGAACGAAGGGGCTTAGGTAATCAAGCTAGCAATGGCGATTGTTGCAAACTTTCAGCAAATTTTGCAGTGCACCAGTTGCTTCAATGCGCTGTCAACAACTAGATGTGGATATTCTTCCGTCTTGAGTTCCAGTTGGCGCTGTCACCGTGAATCGACTGGGCGTCACAGACAACGGTGCTGTTGACGGTTTTCCTTTTAGCCAGCTGTTAATGATGCGTTTCCATACTATTAGAGCCTCAGACTCTTCCCTGGTAATGGTATAACCAGCTTCTGACAAGAACCGGCAGTACCGAACGCTCAGGTCGTTCCACGTCGCCGTCTTCTCGTGTGTGTTCAGCTAGAGCTCGAGCAGGCACACACACACACGATGAGTTGGGCTGGAAAAGCTGCGTTCCTTCCGAAATTTCCATTTCCTCCTGGTAGGTTCACTGTTGATAGGTTGATCAGTGCTGGCACCATTGTTCGTCGCAAAGCAATTCTGAGCAGCTTGCTCGCATTGCTGCTTTTGTTAGGGGACAGCAAAGTGGGCAGCTTGTTTAGGGGCCTGCTGCATTGGGGGCTGCCAAAGTGCATAACTGTCCATGGCGTCGGTTGGGCATGCGAAGGCAGCTGGTTTTGTTAGCCAGCTTGCCCCTTTTTCCAACAGGGGTGCAGGTCAAAGCCATCTTGCCAGCAGCAGCCTGCTGTTTCCGCTCCTGATCAGAGAACGCAGCTGTGGCTGCCCTCTGCAGATCTCCCTAACCAGCAGAAAGCCTTCTTTTAGCATCTTCCAACAAGTATCTTACAACTTTGATGCTCGTGACAGAAACCACAGACGTCCAGCCCCGGCGCCGTCGCCAGGTTTCAACAGGTCCAAGCAGCGGACACAAGTTTCCAGAGGCAGACGAAGAGTTACAGCGGCTGCCGGCAGCTCCGACACCTCTCCTCCCTCTACCCAGAGCTCTGACTCTCCCTCACATCCCCAACCTTTTGGAGACTCCTCAGCAGCAGCTATCCCTCGATCGGTGCCTTGGCCGGATCCGAGCCGACCAAGAATATGCATCGTCGGAGGCGGGTTTGGGGGCCTGTACACTGCGCTCAGGCTGGACTCGCTGACGTGGCCTGGCGACAAGCGGCCGCAGATCATGCTGGTGGACCAGTCGGAGCGCTTTGTGTTCAAGCCCATGCTCTACGAGCTTCTTAATAGAGGTGATTACAGCGGCATTGATTTGCAGTCAGTGCTACTACCTTGCTTCTGTTTGTTCGACGATCATTCTGTGCTGCAACTCCAGCTTACGAGTTGTCTCAACAACAGCGCTCGGTCACACCACTTTTCAGCTCAATGATTGAGTGGAAACATGTTCCCAAAATCTGGAGGAGGACAATCTGTCTGCAAGGAAGAGCAGGGGGGTCGCACTTGCAGTTGGGCCATTTCACCTGTCTGGTCGTGGGCTACCGGAGCTTCATCCAACCCCACCGCTTATGTTTGGACCCTGCGAAAGTGAACTTAACCTTGTTTTCGTTGCAGAGACTGACCCTTGGGAGATTTGACCGTGCGAAATTGATATATCTTTGTTTTACTTGCAGAGGCTGACCCCTGGGAGATTGCCCCACCCTTCAGGGAGCTTCTGTCCAGGACAAACGTCCGCTTCCTGAAGGGCAAAGTCAAAAGCGTAGCTCCATACGATAGGGAAGGGGAGGTCATGCCTGCCGTAGGCCCAGGGGGAGTGGTCCGGCTAGTGAGTGGGGAGGAGATTGCATATGATTGGTGAGTGTTAATTCTGTCAGGCAGTCAGTGGTGAATGGAAGCAGCATTCTTGTGTGCTTTACTGATTTGTCTGAGATTGGCACCTAGTCGTTTTTCAGGCTCGCTTGTTATAAAGATGCCCTTCCAGTTTTTCGAGCAGTCTTGAAGATGCACGACTCTCCAAAAGGTGTCTCACAGCTTGCAAGGCGGTATTTCGATACAGTCCAGGCCTTCGTCCTTCTCCAGACTTCTCGTCAACATTAGCGCACCTGCAGTAGTAGGATCACATGAGAGCTCCATTTAAGCGCGAAGCCATCGACTTAAGGAGAGGCTGGCCGTCACCTTCCGCATTTCAAGACCCTCTCCGGTCTCTCGCCTCGGCAGTTTCCTGAAATGTTAACCCCTCTTTGTCCATCTTTTTGAAAACGCCTAGTCGCAATCCTGCAGGCTCGTGTTGGCCCTTGGGGCAGAAATGAAGATGAGCTTTGTGCCCGGTGCCAAAGAGAACGCCCTGCCATTTTCGACCTTGGAAGATGCGCAGGTAAGCAAACTCCGTCTATACTGAGCCCTAAACCACCTGCGAACCATCTGCTTGGCACTCGTGCCAGCCGAAGCATCAGCGTTCGGGTGGGATCGGTGTTTCGGGGGGTCAGGGCCTGTGTACTAGGTCGGTGTAATGCTGCGAAGCTGCCAGCTCCGCAAGGATCCCTTTCGAGAGCGTTTTCCCAACTTTCTCTCGGTCAACTCGACAGAACAGCTCACGCACGTTACTACTCTGGCGGTCTCAAAGCGGAACTCGGTTTTATCGCTGCTTCATCTGTCCAGCCCGACCATGTCTTTACTCGCTTTCTCGAGCCCAGTACGCTTGCTTTAGGTCATTTGCGGCCTGTATCATCTTAACCGCCTCTTCACTCTTTGCAGCGGGTAGACAAGCAACTGTCAAGGTTAGAGGCTGACCTGCGCAAGCAGCGGAGTCAACGGCAAGCCCCGCAGCCGTTGCGCATATCAATCATTGGTGGAGGGTACACTGGCGTCGAGCTTGCATCTACAGTGGCAGAGCGGTTTGGCTCCCAAGCAAGGGTCCAGATCATTGAGCCGTCTGAAACCATTGTGGCCAGCGGGGTGCAGGGCAACAGGGAAGCGGCAAAAAAGGTGAGGCAAACTTTTTACGTGCTTCTTTGTTCATTTTAGTTCATCTTTTTTGACTGCTTTGTCAGGACCAACAGTGATGAAGGTCGTTGAAGGTCGTTACTCCTTGGAAACTATTGACGTCCGGGCGAGGTTACTTTTTGGGGCATCTGTGTGCATCGACAACCTTCTCTCCGAAGCTTGGTCGTTTTGGCATTTCGATTCTCGGATGAGGGAGATGCGGAATGCAATAATCCGAACCGGACACGCCCCAAAATACAAACGCCGCCCTTTTCCCTTGTTGTGCAGGTCCTTCAGGATCGGAACGTGGAGCTTGCGCTAGGCTACCGTGTTACGACAATTCGGGAAGCCCCCGGGCGAACGGCCGAGTCGACAAGGGCGTATCTGGAGGTTGAACACGTGGCAAGCGGTGTTGGCAAGCCGACCGAGATGGAGGCGGATCTGGTACTCTGGACGGTGAGGAGCTTGGCCTCTCGGGCGATAAAGATGTTGCTTTAGGTCCTCGCCTTCAGACTCAAATGTGGGAAGCTGAACGACGCAGAGTTGGTCGGAGTACGTTTGACCCTGTTTTTGTCTCTCTCAGGAAGAAAGGAATTCTGCGTTTGTTGTCGTGCCTTGCAATACACAGACTACGTGTCGTTTTCGAGGAACTGCTGTGGTATACGCCTCCAGCTGGGTGCAAGGCTGTGCGATCCGACATAGAGCTTCTCCCTATTGCGCTTTCCCTTGACCTCGAATGCACGTCATCTTGAACTTGCTCTTTCATATCTCTTCTGGTGGTGCAAGCCGGATCTCGAATGCAAGTCCTCTTAAAGTTTTTCTTCAAACCCGATCAGGTGGGAACCAAGGCTGTTGCCCCCGAGGGCGACGCAAGCCACCAGCCGTTTCCGCTCAACAGCCGAGGCCAGACCGAGACAGACGAGACGCTCCGGGTGAAGGGCCACCCCCGGGTGTTCGCACTGGGGGACGCGGCCGGGGTGGCCAGCAAGCAGGGCGTAACGCTCGCCCCGACGGCCCAGGTGGCGTTTCAGGCGGCGGATTACGTCGGGTGGAACATTTGGGCCGCGATCAACGGTCGGCCGCTGCTGCCCTTCAGGTGAGTATGGATCTCGCACTGGGAACAGTTGGCTGGCTTCGGGAGAATAGTCCTCTGAAGCTGGGGGCTTGCGTCGTGAGAAAGGTATGGGACTCTGTGGCTAGAGAACGATGCCGCACTGTGCTACGTGTCCAAGACAGGGGTGTTACGATCCTTGACGGGGAAATCATGCGCAGGCAAGGTTCGTGTTCCGCAAAAAATAAAAGGACAAAGCAGGAGTGTGACGGTCAACGTTCAGTGTTATCAAAGTTCTTCCTTACGAAGTAGAACTGCCTTTGTGCGAGGTTAATATTTTGTGTGATGTCTGTCGAGGATTTAGCCGCTCGATCTGATTCACTGTGAGCAAAGCCCGGAGCTGTCTTCGGCATCCGTTCTGGGAAGCGTCGTCGTAAGCCGCGTTGTCTTTCGCTATGTGCGCTTTGTATCGGAATGACGACAGCGGTTATCAAAATCACTCGTTAGCTGTGAGAGAAGCTGGACTTGCATTGCAAGACACGCTTTACTATGAGCCGATTCACGAAGTCTTGACTGAGTAGTCGTCAAATCAAAAGCTCCACCCTGGCGCTATCATCATTCCGATCGCCTTTTTGCTACGCTCCTATTCTCTTTCGCCCGATGTTGACCTCAACGGCTGCTGTATGTTGGTTACTTTGTTGTGGATGCCAGGCGTTCCGAGCAGGACGGTAGCATTCACGGCATACATCACTGCTTTTCCAGAGCCCAGTCGCTCTTATCGTGTCTGCGAACACAACCCGTTTACGAACTTTCGGAACGTGCAGTTTGCAAATCTCGTAGTCAATCAAATCTGCGGACTTTTATTCGCACAAGCCCGCTCGACTTGGGGCAACGAAGGTGCTTTTTGCTGGCATCTAATAAAGAATCTTGCTTGCAGGTACCAGCACTTGGGGGAGATGATGACCCTCGGAGCCAAGGACGGAACCGTGACGTTGAACCTACCCGGCGGGCTGACGTTGGAGGGACCGTTAGGGAGCATAGGTGAGAAGCTTGAGGCGCCACATTTTCTGACCATCGGTGGCGACTCCATCGCTTTGCTGACCGGTAGGATCGTGACCCAAGGTAAAATAAAAACGTGGCTGATTTGAGTGCTAAGATAGTGCTATGACAAATGGTCTTGGCTAAGCGTACGGTGGTAGTCGAGGATTCCAGATTTCCTGTCCAATGTGAAGCGGCGTCACGTCGAGGAAACGCATTTTGGATTCAGGTCCCATTGTCAGGTGAAGCGGTCGGTGCAGCATGACGTTCTCCTACTCGGTTGCCATCTCGAGAAGGACACCAGCCCTACTTCAGGAAGCGTGTCGTCGTAGCATGCTGGCAGGATCTCAAAGACGTGTCTCTTTCTACCTGCAGCGAGAAAAATAGCCTACGCTTATAGAATGCCAACGACGGAGCACAAGATCCGGGTAGGCCTCAGCTGGGCGACCCGGGCAGCCTTCGAAACGGCCTCGAGCATCCTGCCCTCACTCGCTACGATGTTTCGCTAGAGGTCAAGGTCTTCTCGTCCTCACCTACTGCAGGCCAACGGCCTATGCTTCGGATGGATGGACGTGGTTGAGGCTAGCAAAGCAGCATCGATTGATTTGGCTTTGTAAAACATCTGTACTTGGTCCAGTTGCATAGATCTGATTGCACAAGTAACGAAGTATTAGAATCTTGTCGCTGACAAGATGTTGGTTGTTTCGAGTAGATGTTGGTCGTTTCTTAGAGGGCCTTGTAGAAATGCATTTCAAAGCATGTTTTCAATGGTCGGAACATACATGTTAACTGAAGCTCAGCATGGTACGTGGGAATCTAACATGGATGACTTGTGCTTGCTTGGCCAGGAATCTGGAGAAGAAAGTTGAAAGTTCGAGTTTGTCACGCGTGAGCCGGTAAAATATAATGCATCAAGTACGTTCAAAAGCCTGAACACTTGCCTCATGCTAGTGCGCTGACTCGTTAAGTTGCGCAATTGGTCCGTTTCACTGATGCCATTGATTGTGTTGTATCCGTTGAATCGTCGTTCCTGCTCTCTACGACGCCTAGTGACACATTCTTGCATGGTTCTCGCACATTGTTTCAGAAAGGCCTCCACTGTAGTGAGCCCGTGAGGTTTGAAATTTGGACCCCTTCTGGACTACTGGTATTAGATTACCAGTCGGCCATAACATTAGGTAATGCAGTCCCCGACCCTTCTGGAACCCAAGTCTGTTACAGCCTGGAGATTTAAAAACCCTGGCGGAAGGTTTTGAACTTTAACATGACTGTTAGGCCCAGGGTTATGTTTTCATGTCCCCGGTTTTCGATACCGGGATGCGGCCCGTTTACCCGATAGACAATCTAGGCCCGGCCGCTTTCATCTCGATTTTATCTGGAACCAGAGCGAGGAACTGCGGCCGGAAAGCCATATGCCCGGTTCAACCGCTGGGTCAGTGGCATTAACCCAGTGGCTTTAACCCCTTTCTGCTGACCCCTGGTCAGAGGGATCCTCTACAGGTGATGGAGAATGACACCGGTCTCAATACCGGTACTTCCCGCCTTGCGCAAATCAGAAGGTGTACTCACGTGGGCTAACACGTGATTTCGCCGCAGAGTGCTCTCAGCCGCTGAGATTTCCCTGCGTGAGAGTCTGATTGGTCGAGCAAATGGAATCTTTTTGCAGCCGAGCCAGCTGTCAGGCTGAGCGCACCTCTGCGGTGGCCTCTGCGGCATTCTGCCGAAAAGCCCGCAGTACCAGCCAAAATTCACGTTCCCCCGCGTCGCAACGATATTTGGCCCCAGATCCTTCAACCGGGCGCTCACGAACAGCCTGTCGTGCCCGTTTGCCTCGCGGAGGTCACCCGGTGCTTGGCACTTGTGTCAAACGTATCGACACCCCATGGGGAGTTCACTCGCGGGAGGGATTACTCAATCTGCGACAGTTGCCACACCGAACAGGAGCACAAAGAACGCTTAGCGGATATACCGCTTAATTAAGGCTCGGTACCTTGGATAAATGTTTATAAGGGGCCGCCCCATGTGGTTGTCCAGCTGGACTAAAGCTCGATCAGCTTCAACTTTCAAGTCGCATCTAGCTGGCCCATGCAAGCACTGCGTTGCATTGCAACCCCTCTCAGCTGTCCTATCTTTTGAGCGCACAGCAAAGTTTAGAGACGTCCTTCATCAAGAACTCCCTGCGCCTTGCCGCCCCTGCAAGCTGAAGCCTTCTAGGAAGCTCATCCTGCGCTTTGTACGCGCCTCAAGGCCTGCCCTGCGCCTCGCCTTCTCCAAGGCCATCCCAAAAACACGCGGCTCAAAGAGAGCATGTCTCTGGTGTGCTTCCCTTTTAAAGAAGAAGATGTCTCCATAGTCGTCAGGAACGTTGAATACGCCGCCCAACACCCCCGCGTCCATGCCGTCCTCTGCGTAGGGTACAGTAAGGGAGAGACATGGCACGCCATTGCCAACTCCAGGGCAGGCATTGAGGCGAGGACTGGGAAGCGCGTCATCCTCCTGCTGCAGAAGCGGATCGGCCTCAGCCTCAGGGGCGGCAAGGGCGATGGCATGAACACGGCCCTGCTCTATTTTGCCGAGAACAAGGAGTACTCTCGGCTCCACTTCTATGATGCCGACATCGTGTCCTTCTCAGGGGACTGGATCACCAAGGCGGAGCAGTCAGGCGACCTCGACTATGACCTCGTGCGCCACTACTTCCCCCGCTCGTCGACGGATGCCATGATCACATGGCTCGTCACCAAGATCGGCTTCTCTCTCATCTGGCCTAACACCTACCTCCCCCATGTGGAACAGCCCCTCGGGGGGGAGCTCATGCTCACCCGCAGAGCAGTGGAGGTCCTGGTTAAGGACCAGCGGGTGATGCAGCAGAGCGATTGGGGGATTGACACCCTGTACACCTTTGTGACTGCCCAGGCAGGGCTCAGGGTCTCGGAGGTGTATGTCCCCGAGGGCAAGGTCCACGCTCTGTATGGGGGTCTGCGTGACCTGCGCACCATGCTGGTGGAGTGCTTCAGCGCGCTGCAGTCGCTGCAGAGGGAGCAGATCCACCCCCTGGCAGGGCTGCACAGGATGGAGCCTCCCAAGGCTGTCCCGACAGTGAGTGCTCATCTAACATACTCCAAAGTCTGCATACACTTTGTTTCAATGAGTGAATTTGGTGCATCCACAGTATCTTTCTGACTTTCAAGACCAGGCCATTTTGTGAGGCATCTTTGATGGTCAGAAGGTAGTGGGAACTGGACAGAGATGCCTTTTGAAGCCTGGCGGTGTTTGTTCCTTGTTGCATTCCACACCTCCTTGGAGCCTTTTGGCACCTCTCTACCATGGCTTTTACTCCCTGGTCTGTATGCAGAGTGTGAGATTTGAAGATATCGAATGCACAAGTAATAGGTGTTTGTTGCACAGGACATCTCCTCCCCATCAGTGGATCGCTTTCTTTGAAAACAAGTCGGTGGAATTGCTCCCTCACATAGGACAACATGTACAAGGAGCTCAGGGTGTGATTGTTGTGTTTGCTGCTCAGTTAACCTGAGGTAGTTATATGTGTGACACCTGGTGGTGAGGATGTTGGCAGCTAAGGCTTCCAGATCTAGCTTTAGCAGCTAGTGGACCTCCTTCTGTCAAGCGTTCACAAGCTCAAGACCGTGATGGCATCGTTGGATTCAGCTTTTGGGTGTGCTTGTTCCGTCAGGTTTTACAGAGTCATGCTTTATCCTGCTGTTAGAGAGTCTACAAATCTTGTGCTCAATCTCTTAAACACTGCTTTCATTCAGTTTCTTGCATTTCACCAGTCAGGGATCGCTCAAACATCCACCTGAATCCTGCTTGTTTGCTCTGCCTGTGCTTCATCGTTCTTGATTCGAACACTTTGCCACCCCTTCTGTCTGAGTCATTCGAAGTTGCCTGCACCCCTCGTTCCTTCCAGGAAGTTGACAAAGATTGCCTTTCTTGGCTCTATCGCACTTCACCAGTAGTCAGGATTCCTTCTGAATCTTCTGCAGGCGGTGCGCGAGAAGCTCGGGTACGACATCGAGAAGACGCTCAAGCTGCTGCGCGACAACTGGACCCCCCGCCAGAGGGAGCTCCTGCACAAGCACTTTGACAGCGCGCTCGCCAAGGGCCTCGAGAACAGCAGCGAGTGGCCCTGCTGGAGCTTTGCAGACGAGGAGGCCTGGGTCAAGGCGTACCCACGCTTCTTGGAGCACTTTGAGAAGGTAAGGGGCTGGGGGGAGTGCCAAGGGCAGGGGGGTTGCTGTGAACTTGTTGAAGGTGCACTGTGTGCTGGATCGTTTTCACAATGAGCGGATCTAATCAGAGGCGGTGGGGAGACTGTTTCGAAGTTCTACATTGGCGCCCCATGAGGATATGGCGCAAGATTGCTGTTCTTGAGATCTCTGAGTCTAAGAGCATGCGTTCAGTGTGTGGAAGTTTTGATGAGTGAGTCTTGCCTGGTCTAGCCGCTTCCTGATTGCCCTCTGTTTGATGGCAAGGAGCGCCTCATATACAAAGGTTGGTATAGATGGATAAGCAACCAGAGACATGGGCAGAAGTTCCACACAGTGAAGACTGAGCGCTTGCCTGAGAAAGCCAGGACAAAGGGCATCATGTTGCAGTAATCCTCTTCTGTTGCTGTCGAGATCAGTTGGTGGTTTTCAAGATTGAGAAGCAAGGGCACTCCCCCAGTTGGCGCTTGTGTGGAAGAGAGAGCGGTGATGTCTTTAGCGTCTCTGTTGTACTTGCAGTTGTTAGATTTTGAATCTCCTTTCGTGGGTCTGCTGTTCTGTACAAGAACCTTCCAGCTGGCGCCTCCAATAAGCGCACCCAGTCACAGAGCCCCGAGCAGACCGCGAAAGACCAGTCGATTGGTCTTTAACTGGTCTTTATTCCTTGAGTGAGGGCTCTCACGAATCCCCCTTTCCTGAATCTTCCCATCATTTAGGCCCCCATTCAGGACTCTTAGTATCTCATTCAAAGACCACACTAGCCGATCTCATAGCATTGTACTCATTTGTCTCCTGCGTCGTTCAGGGTGATGACGACTGGGAGGAGCTGCTCTTCAAGATATGGGTGGCGCGCGTGCTCAACCACACCCTCAAGAACGTGGTGCGCGGGTACGACATCGCGCTCGGGACACTGCGCGACCTGGTCAGGGACACCCAGCACAAGTCAGCCCTCCAGGTGAGCCCAAATTTAAAGCCCCATTATTCCAGATTTGGCCTGATTCGAATATGGCTGGTAATCCTTGAATATATTTTTCAGCCCGGGGACTCAAAGAAAAAGGCCACGCTCGGAAAAAAAGAGAGGATATAAGAAAAAATGGCCCAAGCAGCACAGCAAAAAGGCTTACCCAACTTTTGGGTGGTCCCTTGGGTGGACCTTGACAGGAAGTCGGAATTTGAAAACATGACAGGTTTGGTCTTGCTTGTGGATTGTGACACCTCGGAGGTTGTAGTCACCTGTTTCGCTCGTTAGGTGTTCGTGTCTGGGTAGGGAAGACGCTCACTGGAGCTTGGAACAGGCTTCTTTCCATTAAGAAGCCAAAGACTCGTGCAGAGCCATTTCGCGTTCCTGATCTGATCAAAACACAGAGGGAATCTTCACTTATGGTCCATGGAGGAAGAGAGTACTGTCATGCGGCCATTGTGTGAACAGGCAGACTCCTTCACCTTTTTCGGTGTCTCTTTTGGTCTCGTCGCTTAGCGAAGATCTTGTCGCCTGCCGTGTGAACAGGCAGACTCCTTTACCTTTTTCGGTGTCTCTTTTCGGCTCAATTGCTCAGCGAAGATCTTGTCGCCTGCAGATCAAGAACGCCAAGCGGGCTGCCGACATCGCTGAGAAGCACCCCCTGGCCGCCGGCCACTCTGCAGCCTCCATCAACGGGAGGGCCAACAAGAAGGCCAAGTTCGGCGTGGAGACGGAGGTGTTGTGCGCCGTCGCCCAGCAGTAGGCTTAATAGATTGACACCAAAACGTCCTGCTTTGACGTGTCAGCCGCTAAGGCGTCCAGTCAAATCGTCTAGGTCAGGGAGCATTTTGGTGAAGTCCTGCCGAGCCCGGGGAGGTCTCCCCGGGCGTGTATATAGAATCTTGGAGCTGTGGCGGCTCGAGAGTGGGAGGCTTCGCGCCCCCCCTTTTGGTGAGAGAGTAACGTCTTCCGCGGGAGGCCTCTTGCAGCCTCCGAATGCCCAGGATGATGGACGAATCCTGCGCGCTTCCAGTAGGGGACTAGCCCGAGCACTATGCTTAGGAACTCCTAGCCCCGCTGTTAAATACCGGTGTGTAGAATGGCTGGAGCCTTATTTAGGGAGAGGCCGAGGTCAGCTGTTAGATAAAAGCTGGCCAGGCTGCTCGCTGGTGGATGGGCGGCCCGAAAGGGCGACCATCGAGAGTCTGCTCGAGGAGTGTCCAGTTTAGACTCGTTACTTGTCGGAAGTGTGGTTAAGGTACAGAGTAGATAGGAGCCGGGCTCATGCGAGCCTAAGTTTCGCCGCTAGGCTTCCATGATGCTTTTGAAGCTTAAAGAAGGTACGTACGTAAATAAACCTTAATGTAAGTCTCCTTGCTACAATGTGTACTAACTTTAGGATCCAGATGTAAGCTTGCTTAGCTTCTTGTTGCTCTCATGTTTCAAGTCTGCAATCTGATGACGACCGTATCTCACATCTAGCCACAACATATGCAGGCATGCATGACCAAACCGCTTCGCAATTCGGATTTCAACCCATTGGCAGACCGTCGATCACTTGTGCAGTCTGTTGCATTAGGTCATGCTTACATGCGAATTGCACGAAAGCACTTAACTCCTTCAGGATTGAGTACACACCAAGTATGCCGGCAGTGCGATCAGACCCTAATCCACGTACTTGAATGACTAGCTGCATTTTCTATCAACCTTTTGATTGTGCAATGCTGGGCATGTGGCAGACCAGTGTGCCTGGAAGATAGAAGTACCGTACATGCAATCCTTCGATCCGTTGCATGCGCTTCTGATTACCGTCATGCAGACATCCAGATCTACACAATCTTTGGTAATGCAAAATGTCATTCGGTATGGAAGATTGGCGTAAAATAGTGCATGGCGATGCTTCGCGCCGAAAGGCATCACAAGTTAGCAAATGAATGCGAAACTGTTGATCTCAGGAACCTGAAATTTGATTCACGTCCTTGCGGTTGCGTCTGATGCCGGGAAGCTATTTACACGCTCGTGTCCATGGAACATCTGCAAACTGTGTACATTGCCAACGTACCGCCAGTGCCACGGCTCGTACGCAACACCATACGGGTTGTCGCGCGGGAAAGACATCTCAAAGTGGAACCTGCATCGAAGAGAGTAAGATGCAACCATGTTCTGTTTGCTGCTCAACCATTCAGAACAAACTAGTGCAGGAGATACTTAACTTCAGACGGTGCCAGCTCGGACAGGTACACATTTCGGTGCTTGAATGAAAGCTCATGAGAGTGTCGCACGGCCGTTGAGTGGACTTACTTGGCACCGTTTCGTTGAAGCCACTCAAAGGCCGAAGTCTGATCAAACGCTGCACGACGAGGACGGAAAAACATGAAGGGTGTGCGGCCTGTCGAGCAGCATTTTAACTGATCTACCGTTTGGACCAAAAGTCTCGCTGTCTTTCTCAGTGATACGTCCCTGACAGATTGCCCACTTTTCGGAAACCCCTGAACACTTGCAAACGAAGGCTAGTAAGGCGAGGAACCCAACGCCTAAATCTAAGCTAAGGTTTGTTTTTTAATTCACTATTCTTACTTGACCTCGTGAACAAAAGAAGCAAGCTGGACTGTCCATTAGCGAAACGAAAGCTCCAATGCCTGGAGGCGGGGCACCAAATATTGCCTTTCCATCTCACTTACAGCCCAAATGGCCGAGTCCTAGCGGAACGGTGAGGACACGGAAAAGCAAACGAAAAGGGGCAACAACTCACTAAACTCGAGGTCTGTGTTGGCCGCTTTTGCATCCCCGATGTCCAGGGCGTAACCGGTGTGGTGTTCACTATACCCGGGCGGTGCGGACACCTGGACAGAATTTCACCAATTTCATTGTCAGTGGTTGCTTCTAGATGTCGTACTCGGACATTTGTCAAAGCCTCCGCTGAGCTCCAGAATCTTTGTGGGATTGTTCGTGAAAGGAACCGGCCATCAAGCAAGTCGCACACTTCGGCGGCCATCGCATGAACCTTCCGTACGAGCCAACGGCTTCGAATTGGCTATTATAACATAGGCGCATCAACTCGAATATCGAACAATGGAAAGGGAGTCGCAGCTCAGTGGTGCATCAATCAGCAGCTTTAGAAACGGTTGCAGAAGCCCAAAGGAAGCACGGCAGCTTTCGCAGCAATAACGACACGCGGACCCCGGTAAGGCGCCCGTTCGAAGTCGTTTTGAAAGTGCAAAAGTGGATCTCAAAAATCATCCCCCACCTTGGCCCTTTCTTTCGCGGACTGGTTCCGTTCCGCCTTGATCCCGAAAAAGACGTCTTTTTGATCCTCAATCGACCGGAACCTGGGAGGAGGAGCGAAGCAAATTCGTGATACTAAAGCCATCCTGGCCAGACTGCAACCCGGAAATATCACTTTCAACGGCCATTCAGCACCGTCAAGGAGGAGCAAGAGTGGGTCGGAGAGACGGACGGCTGCAACACCAGTTCGTCGGCAGTCGCGGCTTGCGCCAACAATAGTCTCTCAAAGGATAAAAGCCCGTCCGTTTCCAGATATACGAACCCCAGATTTATTCATCCCTACCACTTTCAGAAAGCCCTCGACTACGATCTCCTGAGCGCCACTTCTTCTTGTACCGGCAACCCAATTCAGTCGATCCCATTGTCTGATTGACAGGACTTGAACCGTCAGAAGTGCCATATTGGGATATTTTGGGGGCAGCGTGTATTCGAATCAGTGTGAGAATGTGAAGACAAGAGAGAACGAGGTAGAGCGCAGTCGAGGATGTCCGACACGAGACAAGAGCACAAATGACCTCTGATGAACGGACTTCGACCATGCCAAGTGCAGACGCGTTTCGCCACCCCCGCATGAGACTGCAAGGCGACATTGAAATATGGTGCGCAGCTCACCCCGAGATGGGCAGCAGCTGGACCCCCTCTTTCCAGGCGGCCTGCTGCATCGCGAAGAAGGAGTAGGCGGCCGCCGACCGGAGCTTCACCCTGCGGCGAGAGGTTTTCCAGCGTGACTTTATGTCCTATTCACGCCTATTCCGTACTTCTCTTCCCTTCGTTTTAGATCATCCTCTCATTGTGGTCCAATTCTACCCGCCACCTTATCCCGTCTCTCTACTTTTGTTGTCCTTGTTTTGAGCTGCAACAGTTCACGTTTGGCTTTGGCGGGCTAACGCCCCGTTCGGACAGGATCGGAGTATGCACAGAGCAAGCGTCACGCAGACTTCAACGTCGGGCTGTGCGGCTGTGTTTGATGAAGCAAGCAGGGCGAAATCAGATTACGGACTTCTAACATCCGGGGATAAAGCCAGGGAAAGTTGACGCATGACGGGTCTTTCCTTTCTTGAGACTCGGGAGTGGCAGGGAGGCATCCCAGAGCGTAAGGGTGTACGAAAGTAGGGAGGCAACGAAGATCGAGAGCTGTACGAAAGCTTGGATTGAGGCTTCACAAGGTCAGCCAGTCTATTTTTGTCGATCGAGTCACTTCAGGAATGCGATCGAAAGACAAAAAAGATGACGCTGAGAGACGCACTTCGAAGGACGCTCAGGGGACTTAACGAAACCTTGTTTGTCATCAACACTCGAATGGTGGGTACAAACTTGAGACGATTCCGTGGGGCTCGTCTCCTTTCCTTCTAGATCTACTTCGAAGGGAGATTTGCAGCTGGTCCCTGATTCATTACTACTTTACAGGTAGCGCGATCAAACCACAGTAGATGCAAGGGTCTACCGGATACTTGTAGATCATCAGGAAGAGTGAAAGCTCAAATAATATTCAAGGACCATCCTACTTACGTGCCATCTCGGAGCAGCTTCACAAGGTCGTCCTTTGGCGCTTCCTCCGTCCGAAAGTGACCGAGGAGCTGCAGAATGAAGGCAAACGCTTCAACACGACTCTGATCGGTGGCCCCAAAACCAACATGGAAACTTGGCTCGAAGGGGTCTTTTAAGAGCAAGTGACGCCTGGGACCTAGGATGAGAGTCGGGGGGCCTCGTATTGCGACAAAAGGGGAGCCTCAAAGAATGGGCATTTACCCTTTATTTTCCATCGTCAATCGTCCTCAACAGTTGAAAATTTGGAGGCCTGTGTAAAGGACTTTCATCAGCCGCTATCGATTCTCTTTAAGTATCGTAGTCTTACAATGTATTTGCCCACGCAAGCCTTAGCATTGATTCGAATCACAACACCGAACATTACAGGCAGGCATGGAGTGCGCCTTCGATGACAAAGAAAGAAAAGAAAGAGCGCGCTTGCTGCACCTGCTCCCGGAAGCCATCCTCTGCCTGCGCCTTTTTCAACTGCTCTGCCCAGAGCCCCTTCTGCGGCCGGGAGTCTAACTCAACAGTGGCAATAGGTGGCTCATGTATATCACCTGCAAAGCATAGTTACATTGATTCTCTCAACTCCGATGACATACATAGAGACAAAGTGTCTTTGTAGACTCCAGACAGCAGTGAGAGAACGTGACTCTACACACGATTCCGCTTCTCAGAACTTATGCAACAGGAGGCAATCAGGAAAAGCTTCTGTCTGCTTGGAAGCATGTCTCCCAAGTCTGCAGGAAAGAAGTTTCAAACGGTCAAAAGCGACTGACATGGTGCGTACTTGGAGTCTGTGTAAATGCACTCACCACCACCCAGTTTGGCAACGCGCCAGGAGAACGCGCATAAGGCCAACCCCGCAAGTACCCAGGCAGCCGCTACCCAGGGTGGCTGAGCCGCCTTCTGCTTCTGTTTTCTGAGCCGGTCCTCTGGTCGTATCCGCACAGCTTGTTGGATGGACTGTGAAACATAAGCGAGAAAGACTTCAGTCAACGCTTGGTTCAGAAGCACAGGCTGGACTTGGTGAAGAGGAGGCAAATGAGTTATCATCATAACAACCTCCTTGCTGTCATGCCTGGGAGATTGTAGATCATCTTGTCCAGGTCTACTGGATGGCTCTCCAGGATTCAAGATCCTTGGATGGTCCTTCGAGTAGGCTGGAGACTCTCTTGAAAAGGCAGCCAGGATCTCGTCTTGCGAAAATGGGGGAAGAGGAGGTACGAGCTCACCTCAGGATCAATAGCCACCTTCACATTCCTCTCAAATGAGAGAAACTCCCTGGTGTCTGGCAGCACTGGCCCTGCAGACCGTTCCACTGAATCCCTCCTCCATTCAGCCCCTGTGCGTTCACCGTCAATCTCCCTTTTCAAGGAGTCTTCTTCTGAGGGTCTCTGAGCAGTTGACTTCCTGTAAGCGCCAGCATCGGGGAGGGGATTGCTTCTATCGGCACTGAAGGCCGCTGTTCGCACTGTGGGCCGAGTGCATCTTAATTGCTGAAATGCTCTTTGATATCCCGAAAAGCATATGTCCTGGGTGCTGAACTGTCTACTCCTGTTTCTTAGCAGTTTTGAACTGTGCAACCACTTCAGCCCACCTCTTGGGAGCAGGCTTCTTGGTGACAACAGATCTAGGAATAAATTGGACTTGAGTGGAGTCGTCTGCAACAGCAACTTGGAGGGTGCTTGGGAAGGAGAGCTTTTGCAAAACAAGCGCTGCAAGCTTCTAGATGCGGGCGAGGCAGTGGTGGTAGCCATTGGCTCCAAAGACTGTCATCAGAGTACCATCAGAGAAAGTACTCTGCACAGACTATTGATTGCAGGATTCTGTTAGAAACACCGTGGCACCACTGATGGAAAGCTTGAAAGCGGGCACTTCTTTGCTACTTCCTCTCAGCTGACAAATACCATCGGCGCTGCATCCAGGGTCCAAAGCCAGGACCTGTGCCTCCTGTGCTTTTGCAGCACCCTTCCCACTCTCATTCAAAAGCAACTACCTACTGTAAGAATATAAGTGATTCCCTGTATCTCCATCCTCAAACGAAAACCTCTTTGCTGCTGAAATGCTTGCTCCTTCTGCTGTACCACTGCCACCAGTGCTGGCCAAAGCGAGATTTGAAGTTGCACACGCCTGATCGAAGCCTGAGATAACCACTTTTTCTAACCACTGCCGCCAAAAACACCCACACACCTTGTAGGAGTCTTGGCGTTGAGGGTTTTTGGAAAACCCGTCCGGTCAAAAGCAAACCACAGGGCCCTGTTGCTGAAGAAGTCGCAGCTTTCATCTTGAAGTTGAAGAGTCTCCTGATTACCTGCGTACATGCTAATTGTAGCTTTGATCATTGACGTTTGTTGACGTTCTCCAAACGTTCAGGCTGCAAAAGCGCTGCTTCTATTCATTGGAATTACAGTTAATACAGATTGCTAGCTAGAAGGTACTGTACCTTGAATCATCTGTAGAGTAGGCTTCCAAGGACTTTCGTGCACTTGATCCAACTGGGGCTGCGTGCGATTGAATTCTGCCCCCTAAGAAGCGGCCTCGCACCGCTTCTTGATCAGTGGTGCTGTGTACCTCAAAGGAAGCCCCAATCGCGCTCGACGACAAGCATCGCAGAGGGGAACAATGCCGGGCCCGGTAAGTAGTTCCGTCTTGCTGCTCGCCTGGCCCTTGAGGTAAACATTCCCTCTTCCGGGACCTTGGGATGTACATACAGTATACTCTACAATCATAGTAAGCTATCATGCAAGTTGTCATTGGCAAAATCATTGAGTATGTCGCCTTATTCATCTCAAGCATAATGCGTCGAACGCAGGGTTTTTCCCAATTGAAAACGACCTCGGTCCCTTCGATGTCACTTGAAGACTCGCTCAAGCAACCCAGAAATCCATGAATCTTGGAAGTGTCATATGATTCTTGTGTAGGAAGGCAATGTGGTTTGACAGCACCTCCTACAACAGCTATTCCTCTGAATGTGGCTTCAACTTTCCTTGGGTGTTAGAATACAAAGCAGACAAGCTGACAAATCGACCCTTTTGAACAAACATCATCATGAAGAAATAATAGGCCCTCTTAGCATTGATTTCGGAGCAATTTCCTTGCATTTGCAGGGTTGTGTCAAGGTGACCTCCGTCTCTCTTCAAGCTACGGAAAGCTTGATTGCAGAATTCTTCAGTTTCTCTGGCGACATAGAGAGCGTCAGACTTTCCAAGTAAGTGCCAACTTAGCGTCTTTTCCTGCTTACAATTTGGCTGACTTAAGTTGGCCTCAAGTCAGCAACTTTGTCTCCCAGTGATTGAACACAATGACGAAAGATCGTTAAGGAGAGGAAAACCAGTGTGCATCTGTGCAAGTTCTGTCAAAACCCCAATAGAGCACCCTCTTTCTAGAGCACCTACAAGGGCTGCCTAACTGCAATAAAATGCACTGAATTCTTACATGTGCCTTGCCTATGCAACAGGGACACGGAGGACACTCAACAGGCGCTTGTCATCTTCAAAGATGCGAAGTCGGTAGAGACAGCCCTTTTGCTCACGGGTGCTGTGATTGTTGACAAGCCGGTCGACATAGAGGCGGTCGACCTGCCTGCGGATTATCCTGTGGGGAAAGCGCCGGCCGCTGCTACACCGGACAGCCACGAAGCTGGGACCAAACCTCAATCTGAAGCGGTGAGCACCTCCGCTTCAAGCTGCGATGGTACTTCAGGAATTGTAGAAGGCATATCAATACTTTCCTTGGAAAGCTGTGCCTGTTGGCAGTGGCCTTTCTAATCAGCATACAATGCTTGAAAGATGAACCATGCAATTGAGATCTGTCAAGGTTTTGGCAGATTTGACTGCTAGTGCTACTTGTCTGATAGTACACATGAACGAGGTTTTCACCCACTGTTGGTCTTTGCCTGCCCCTAATTATTGAGGTTGCCATTTGCAGGCGGTGCGAGAAGATGACAAGTCGCAAGGCATCATCTCGACAATGCTTGCCCGTGGATACATACTGGCAGCGGATACAATGAACAAAGCGAGGGCGGTGGATGAGAAGTACCAGGTTGGTGGACATTGCTCGTCCATCTGCTACTTCAGCGGTTGTAAAGGAGCACGTGCTTTACTATGCAGACACTCGATCAAAACCATCTCCCCCAAATCGCTGTATTACGACGACGTTATCCACTTGATTGAGTTCGTTGATGCAACTTTTCTCATAGGCCCGTCTGACCACACAGGTGGTTAAACGATGCGCTCAGATGAAACTGACCTTTGCACAACCTGGGGTTTTTGATCTTATTCTAGTCCCTATATGAAGAACAGCTTCAGACAAGTTACGTTGCTTTAGCGCCGGTCGCAAGCAGATCGGCCTAACGAATCATAAGAGGACCAGTCCTTTTGCCACAGATGTAGGATCAATCTGTCAGATCATTGTAGTGTCACCAACCTCATCAGTGACTTCCTCGCAGGGCTCAAGCACCGTCAAGGCGAAGGCAACTGCCGTGGACACAAAGCTAGGCATCTCCGACAAGACCACGGCAGCCTCAACGACTGTAAACAAGTCCCTCAAAAGCTTTGACGAGAAGTACAAGGTGGGGAGCCACTTTTTCAGAGGTTCTGTCACAGTGCAGCTTCACCTATCACGAGGTTCTGCACTCTTTGTCCTGCTTGAAGGTGGACGCTGTTCCTGCGGTTGTTTGTGCCCTCGTTTGTGTTGTGCCCTCGTTTGTGTTGTCCTCCTGGACATCCATCATATGTACCTCAGCGCCCCCGCTTTTCAACGCGCAGATCTCAGAAACGACAAAGAGCGCGATCGGTACCGTCGAGGCCAAGATTAACGATGCTGGGAAGGCCATGATGAAGAACAAGACCGTCGCGGGGGGGGTGGGCTGGTTCCAGAGCTCCATGAAGAAGGTCGGGGAGGCCGCGAGCAAGGTGTCGTCAAAGACCTCGGAGAAGATTGCCGCCTACCGGGCAAAGGAAGGAGGGGGCGCGAAGGGCGATGAGGCGCCTGGTTTTCATCCCACGCCCCGGCAGCAGGCTGCCCCCGCTGCTGTGCTCTTGAGCGACGCTGCGGTGGAGAGTAGGCATTCCCCCAGTGCCGATGCTGCAGCCAAGTCGCTAGGCTCGACGCACTTGGACGACGACGTTCCGGAGTACCCGGTTGTTCAGAAGAATTCTTAAAGGTTCGTCGCGGACGGTATAGCTGATAGTTTGGTCGGTTTTTGTGATACATAGACACTGACAACACGACAAGTACCTCGAAGATGAGGGACAGGACAGAAGCCTGGCATCTTGTACAGTTAGAGGATAAGTTATCACGATTGTAAATGATTCTCGAATAGCCTCTGACCCGACTGAGGTGTTGGCACCTGGCTAGGAAGCCTTTCAGCATTCAGTTGAAGTATTAGAATAATCGGTCCTCGTTGAAGTGGTCGGCCCTCAAGTTATAATTCAAAGCTAGGTATTCAATGTCAAGTCACTGGCTTTGGTTGGTGCTTGCATACAGCCTGCTTGATGATTGGGAGAAATGACCTCAAAACGTAGGTGAGGAAGTCCGACCGCACCAGATTCGGTGTCCTGCTTAGACTTATCCCCCTAAATAAACCGTGTTTGTTCATGAAAACCTGTTTCCTGCATGTAAAGCGATGTGAACACGATCAAGCATGCTAATCCTACGCACAGTGCCTGTCAAAGTTGTCGGAGTATGTACATGCAAGTGCATGCTGCGATGCATCTATGACAAACATGTCCTCGCAGTTTGTCTCTGCAAATATGGTGCGTGGCTTGTCAATACTTGGCGTATCGATTCAGTGCGTGCATAATTAGTTTTGGCATTGTTTTATAGTTTGAGTGCTTATTTGCGAGCTCTCCCGACATGCAAGCGCTACAGCTGGTGCAGCGCGGGCCATGTCACGAAAGTATCAAGTGAATGTATGCAAGCTCGTGCATGCATGATTGAACAATTGCAGACAATTGCAGGTGCAATTGCAGGCAAACTTAACGACTGTGCATGCAGCATCTAAGGCACGTGCAGGCACCTCAAGAAAAAGGCTTTAACACGATAACGAGTTTCAAACCAAGCATACTCTGACTGCAGCAATCGGACGGATTTACTGGATTGGCTGGCAAAGAATTGGGACACAAAAGAGCCAGCAATAGCTGGCTTCAGCAATTGCGATGCGTCAAGTTAAATCAGTCAACAACACTCTATACACGAAATTCTACTTTTTACAGCCTAAGCGGTGCACCAACTAGATCCGGCTCAGCCTGGGCCCCGCCGATACTTATTTGGCCAGATCTCGCTCAAGTAGTGCTCAAAGTTGTCGTCCGAGCACACGAGCATCGTGTGCAGCTTGAGCCCCTCGCTCTCGTTCGGCTTGGCGATCACGATCCCCTCGCGCAGCACTTTCTCGCACCGGGGCCGCAGCTTCTTCTCCAAACTAAAGCTCAAGAACAGCGGGTACGCAAGGACGTCGTTCACGCTCCACCCGAGCTCGTTGATCACGAACTCCACCTTCTCCAGCATCGGCCGCTTCGTCATCGACATCAGCGCCGGCCACTTTATCAACAAGTCGAAGGTATCCCCGACCTCCAACCCGAACGTCGCGAACACCATCTCGACTTGCTTCACCGCTTGCTCCACGTCCGCGTACAGCGCGTGCGGCGACGACTTGATCAGATCCAGCGCCGCCTCGACCGTTGCGCACTTTCGGAACAGGAACTCGACCTTCTTCGCGAGCGTTTCCAGGGTCATCGTCAGCAGCGTCGCGTCCTTTTCCAGCAGCGCCTGCACCTCCTCGTGCGACAGCCCGACGCTGTGCAGATATTCGATCACTTCGCGCCCCCGCCCTTCTAGATCGCACGTGAGCACCCGCGGATTCTTAACCACCATCTTTCCCACGTCTAGCCCCAGCCCCTTCAGGCACCGCACGCTCGGCTCGAGCCGTGCCGCCACGCTCGTGAGCAGAATCTGCGGGCTGCGCCTGACCACGTTCCCGAGCTGGTCAGCCGGAACCCCCGCGGTTAGCAGATAACCCACGTTCCCCTCGAGCTCGTGCACGGGGCGCTTGAGAGTCCGTTTCTGCGCCAGGAGAAGCGCCACAGCCTGCTTGGGCTTCAACCCCTGCAGGCCCTCGAGGAACGAGAGGCGCTGCGCGACTGCGTCGTACCCCCCCGAAATCTCATTCTTTACGACGTACAACGCCAGCGCGCGCGCTTGGGCAACGAGAAGCCCGTCTCGCAGCAGCCGCTTCTCTATCCTAGAGGCGGGAGAGGACAAGGTAGTTCAATTGGGAAGGCCAGAAGTAGTGTTATTCTGCGTTGGGCTGGAGCAACCAGAGACAGGAACAGGGGGTAAGAAAGCCTGCCAACGGGTTGAGGGCCGGAGTGAGGCTCTCCAACCAACCGGAAGACGCGGGGCTGGGCTTCCTGTCCAACAAAAAGTGAGGAAGGGCAGCTGACGCTAGCCCTTCTGTGAGGGGGATCGAAAGATACCGAGCACAAGACACACGGCAAAAAGATGGAAACTTTGCAGGTTCTAATTATTGGGGGACCTCAGGAAGAGAGCATCCTCACGTTCGGGTTTTACAAAAGTTGGTCCGAACATGGCCCATTAGCAACGTCTGAACGGACTGAAGGTACGAACGTGTTTGTCAATGATGATGACCGAAGACTGAGCGACCGCTTGCGGAAGAGACATAGCTTTTGCAATCCTGGAACCACACTGCTACATTACAGAAAACAAATTCTGAGCACCTCTTCGCACTCCAAAGCGTAAGCGGCGACCATGAAATCCCGGAGACATCTTCTTCGTGAGACCACAACAGACACACCTGATTTAAAGTGACGACAGACCAACCTTCAGAATCAACTTGTCGGACTGCCGAGCCAATCTCTTGTTTGCCAGCACTAAAGTGTTAATTGTCCTACACTCAGAAGTCGCCAGGCACACCGGGCCACTTCAGATGTGCCTCCAAGCACTGGCTGACATGAGCCTCACCTTACTGCCGTGTCCACGTCGTTTTTCTTCAATGAATCATACGTTATATGCTCCCCCGCCGCCTCCGCCGCCGCCTTCCGCGACTCCTCTTCCTCCTCGCTGTCATCCGAAGGCTCAGTCTCAAACCCACCGCCCCTGACACTCTTGTCTGAGACACCACCGACATACTGCCCCTTTCTACCGCTCATGCTAGCGTCGCTGCGAAGTGCACTCCCTGCTCTTCCGCTGGTGCTAGGCCCATCCGACGAAGCATTCAACTTTGCTGCCAGCCCCCGCTTGCGCAATGCCATCACCTGGGAATCAATGCTGCTTTCCTCCCCCTCTCCTCCCCCGGATGCTCCAGCACGGCGCTCAAAGCTTTCGGACGTTCTTGGCCTCTTCTCGGAACTCTCATTCGAAACCCTGCGGTGCTCAGAACTTATTGACAATTCGAAGCGGCGCTCCGCCTGGTCGTCCGGCCCCTGCGTCCTGCCGGTCGCTTCCCGGACAAGCCGCTGTTTCGGAGACGGAAGCCATCCTCTGAGCTCCACCACCTTTTTGACAGCCGGACTCCTTGCCCCCTGCTGATGAACTTTCTCACTACGCTTCACAAGTACCGGCCCTATTTCCCGCCACATTCCCTCCTGCTTCTCGCTTTGCTCACATCCTAGATTGTGCAACCTCGACCTGTCAACGCCTCCCGCGAAAGCCAACTGCGGCCTGGCGCCTGCCGCCCGCTTAGGGGCCCCCTTAGGTGGAACTGTTGGAACTGTTGGAACGTGCTGCTCTCGCCCCCCTCTCCCATCTTTCGAATCGGGCCCCCGCACAGCTGCTCGCTCCTCGTCTGTGCTCGCAGGCCTGTCTAGGACACCTCCCGCTGAACTCCTCCTGGAAACAGCGGTCCTTCTGCCATCGGCGCCACACTCCCTGCTCTCAACTGGCGAGTGCCACCTGGCAGGCCCTGCTGGCTTTCCCAGCCCCGACTGAGCAGAGATGGGGACGCTACCTTGCAGTCTTCGCACGGCAGCCTGTGTACTGAACAATCTCAGAAAACAAGAGCTCCTATCCAGTGCCCTCTGCCCCTGGAAATTTTGGAAAGGCGCGGCTCCTCTAGATCTGACCTGAACCCTAAAATCGGTGGCGTTGCTGCTGAAGTCTTGCGGCAATGCCAAGCTGGCTTGCGGCAGCTTCGGAGTGGACAACATCTTCGTTCCTGATTAGCGAAGGCTTGGCAGACAGCAGGAAAGCCTGTACACAGATGAAAAGGCAGCATTGACTCAACTGGACTGTAGAGAAAGAATACCCAATCTGTAGAAACCATCCATACAAGCGCCGCCCTTTCTCCAGTTCTTGATATATGAAGCAAATTGCAAATGCAATTGAAACCCTTGTGTAGAGAGTTGCACAGCTTCAACCAGTATCACCAGCAACGTTGGTAATGGTCATCAATGGCGTACACCTGTAGACGTGTCAAAGAAACACAAGGATGGTGCACATCAATATCCATACGCACAGCATTGCCACTAGAGACAATACGCAAGCTTCAGACCACTTCAACCACAACAACACCTGATTGAAAAGCAAGAAAACATCTTAACTGGCTCACCTCTTGTAGTGACGGCTATCAGCGCTAACGGCGCCCCTGCTCAGTTTTGCGACAGACGCCCCCTCAAGAAACTTCCATTAGCTTCCGCCCTCATTTGAGAATGTATGTGGTGACCCCCTCTCACCAATCTGGCAGAAAAGCAGCGAGTGCCGCAATTCTAAAAGAGACAGCACCTCGGAGCGCCCCTGTGGACCCTTTTAAAGACCTTCTGAGGGATTCAGCACTGAGCGGCTTTGTCCCAGCTACTGGCGCAGCGGCAAATGCTAGCAGGTCTGTGCTTGAAAAGTGCCAACTTTGTAAAATTAGCGCGCCACTTTCGCACGCCCACAAGTTCCACCTCGCGCGATTCAAGTCTTGGCACTTCGCTACGCACTTTCCTTGCTGCTGAAGTTGCTCGACAACTGCGCGCCGTTTCCTTCTCCTTGTGCGCGTTCTTCGTTCTTGCACTTTTCGAGCTCCTGATCAACCTGAATGACTCAATGAGTTCTGTCAAAGATATTTTGCATTGCATAGCCAGCGCTTTATGGGCGCAAGCTGTTCAGAGCTGGAAGGGGGAAAGTCGACAGGATTGCAGCAGCAAAGCCACTCGGCTTGACCTGCTAGCTGGTGAAGGCTGCTGATATCAACAGCACGAGGTTTCTGCGGCCCATCGAGCTGCCGCTAGCATTGTGTCCCCCAGCTCATGTAAGCCACTTGTGCAATTGCAGCACAGGTTCCAATTCGCCTTTTTCACATACGGATATCTATTATACAGTCTCTCCTTTAGAGGCTTTGCATAGAGCAGGAACTCCTGCTAAGATACTTGATTCTCTAAGATGGCGCTCTCCGTAGGCCAGCGCATGACAGCATCGCATGCTCTGAAGCAATTCCCGACTGCAAGGAACCAGCGGGTGACGAGGAGGCAATGCTCGGCTGCACAGCATTCCACCAAACAGTGGTGCTTCAGCAATCTCGCGAAGACTTCCAGCTTGCCATCATCATCAAAGTTTCAGTGCTCAAGAGCAACACCTCGCTGCCCCTTCCGTCAAAGCACTTGTGAAAAGCAAAGGTGGTCAAGTCGCGGCTGTCGCAAGTGGACTGGGTTGCCACGTGCCTCTATGGACGACTTTGATTTCAGTGGGGGGCCAATTGAGGAAGTTCGCCCTACTTTCACAAGAGACGCTTATGAGATCCCCCCACCTGACCCTCCAAAATACATTGACAACCCTCCCCGGAAGAGAAGAGGTCGGCCGAAGGCCACCCCCGCCCAGGCAAGTGACTTCTTAGAGCCAGTGACTGGTAGAACGTGGTTACTTTGCATCAGAATATGACATCCTGTGCGAGAACAAGGTTTTCATCGATAAGGTATTTGTCAGACACGTTGAGTCAAGCACATCACTTTGAATATGCGGCCTAGCTGCTGACACCAGATTTCTGGACGCGCTAATCGATCGTGCTTGTGCCGTCTCTGACATCACTGGCGAATCTTACCCTCTTTTCTCATTGTTGACGGGGCTTGACTTCATCAGAACTTCGAAACTTTTGCTGGCAGCCCCCAAGCCACAACATAGCGGGGCTACGTTTTGATCACTTATGTCTGATTGATTTGCTTTGCAGGCTCTTGCGGGGTCCCTGATTGCAGGCGGCTGCTCTGTAGCGCTCTTCTACTATGTTCGTGACCTGTACTTCAACCTGGCAATGAACCCGCCCGTTCATTACGCGCCTCTCCACCTGGAGGGGGATGTCAATGCTCTAATCTGCACCTTTGTAAGTCACCTCGCATGGCATTAACGCAGATCTCATCAGCTCCACTCTGGCACAAGGACTGGCGAAGTTTCTGGTCTCTCAAAGAAACCTGTTGGCTTTACCTCTTGCATTGCTTGTCTCTTGCTTGTCTCGTACTTGCTTGTTCTTTCTTGGATTGCACTCGCTATGATGGAATACTAAAAGAATAGGACTTTGTATCGATGCGGCAGGTGCCTAAACTCCCAGGATCGGACATTTTCTGCCGATGATACCCGTTTTCGTGGTCTCTTCTAGGTTGCTGGTTTCGGGGGCTTTGCTGTCCTCATTTTCGGCGTGAATTCTGTGGGGCTGGCCCTTCTAGCTGTGAAAGGCCTTGCAAATCCTTCACGAGATGCTCCCAAGTCGGAGTAGGGCGCATTGAACGTTCAAGGCTTTGATTTGTACAAAATTCATGGTGTTAGCACCTGTCGGGAGCTCGAAAAGGATGCGAGATGCTTCTTGTGTTCCTTGAGAAGGCCCACGCTCTCGTGCCGCTTTCGCATGGCAGGTAGATTAGAGTTCTAGTGGTGTTGTATAGAGTAGCCGATTTTAGATTCTGTAGAAACTGCTTTAGAAACCGGAAGTGGTGCAGTCTACAACTACTGTACAGTGCCCATTGCTTACGTATCAGCGGCCGGGCCGAAGCTAGTCAGAACCTCATAAAGTAGGAGCTTGGTTTCTTCTGCTTTACCACGCTGACACAATCAGAGTTCAGATCAGCAGGATGCCACCTTTCAAGACAACCGTACACAGCTTCTTTCAATCATGTTTGAAGTTGCCGGCACAAATATCATGTTCCTAGTGGTAAGAGGCTTTATGCGGCCACTCAGGACAATTTGAATTGCACACAGCGGCCCAGAGCCGCTGCATGGAGCGTGCCGAGCCGCTGCATGGAGCGTGCCTAGCCGCTGCGTGGAGCGTCCCTAGCATCCAGCCTTGACCGTAAGCTTGCATGAATAACAGGGCACATGCATGTGATGTCGCGCGAACTCAATTCGTAATGTGCATCTAGGCTGTCTACATGCGATCATTTGAGTACAGATGTGATGTATGTATGTATATCGATTGTTGTGTGGGAACCGTAGTGGACGGTGTAAGCGATAGATTGTATGTATTGGGCGGCCGAACGAATGCAGGACATTGGCGCATGCATGAACATCCTCGTCATAAGGGGGCTCATTGATTGGCACGAGCCGTCCTCGAGTATAGGGCGCATGTCCCGGAGTCCAACATCGGCTCGCTAGTTTGCGTCTTAAGGGCTATATTTTTGGGCGGTTGACTGTATCTGCGGCAGATTCAGCACGACATTGACTTAAGCATTACGCGTGTTCAAAGCGGTTGATCGATCAGTACAGATGTTCACTAAATCAGCCCACGTCGTCCTATTTTGTGGGGTATTTGTATGCTTTTCGCAATCAAACAAAACTTAAAGTACTCTTATATTCGTTCCTTTTGCTGGAAGGTAAAGTCCGTGCCACTATGCGATCTGCGCCGGCTGCCAGGCGCCCAAGAGCTCTACCATGCACCAGTGATCAGCCGTACATACACTCGAGGCGGCAGTCGGCGCTTGATTTGTCAAAGCGGCAAGAGTTGACAAGCTGAGACCAACTTTTAGTCCTCTCCCTCCTCGACTTCGTGTCTCCAAATTTAAGCGTTTACACGGACCCTTTCCGTCATCCCAGGTATGCGGGCTTGAACCTCTTGTTCTTTCGGAGGTCGCAGGTGCCCATGGGACACATGAGCTTGTGCTGCTTCCGGCCGCGAGTTTTGCCCATTTTGGCCTCCTCTGTCGCGATATACTTCTCGCAGCATTTCTCGCAGATGACCGCGTGCCCGCAGTCGAACTGGAACCGCTTGACGCTGTCGCTCCACTCCTCGGAGCACACGATGCACTCGGGCGCCTGCACACGAAAGCTTCGTCGGTCGGGCGACATTGATAGGATGCTCTGGCCCATAATTATGGATGGTATGGGCCATTAAGGGCAGGTTGACCGTTGGAGAGTGCTATGTTCGATAACCAGAGTCGGGCGGTCGCCAGCCTTATAACAAGGTCAAAGATGAGCCTTGAATCTGGTGATCGGCCTAGTTAGCAGCCAAAACTCCTATGTCAAACGCGCGGGGTCTACCTCGGGATCCCTGTCGTTTAAAACGTGCCAACGTCCCGGCCTCAGCAGCTCTCAAAGGAGCGCGGTCCGCTTTCATACCTTCCCTACCTTTCCGAAAAATGTTGTCTACTGATCATGTGCGCACGTCGCAGACCATGATCAAGCTCAATGGTTTGATGATTTCTAGGCTGAAGATCAAACCTCAGCTGGCGTCTCGACTGACGGAAACAACACTCTCGTGGGATATTCAAGGTTTCGTTGGACAAAGCTTGAAAGCACCCGCACTTCTGTTCGAAGCAAATCTCGACATTGGAACAGAAATCAATTCTTCAGAACCAAGACCATGCCTACCTGGAACGCGACCTAGGCTGGGACTATTCTCGGACAACGAAGGCCTAGCAACATCTCGGACCACAGATTCGAGTCGGGTCAGACGGTTAACCTAAGAGACTCCAGACGCGCATCTTCGGTTACTGATCGTGCCCTCCGCTCACCCCTTGCTGGTTCCTCCGGTTGTCTAGTTCGTTCCGCTCCTCCCGAAGCCGCTCGCTCTCCGCGCGCGCGCGCACAGCCTGCTCCGCCACCTCGCGCAGCTTCTGCTCGAATTCCCTCATAACCGCGCGGCGGTTCTCCTCGCGCACCCTGCAAAGAGCCAAGAAGCGGATGCGTTTTCAGACTAGTCAGAAAGTCTTCCGTTGCGAAAACCCTTGCTTGTTGCTAAAGTCACTGCAGTTTGCAAAACTTGGAAATGGATTAATCTGAACCCCCACGTCGCGTAAAGAGCAAAAGCAGGGCAAAAGGCGTAGACAAAAAGACCAATGGATTCCGCCGGAATCTCAGTCCCTGCATTGACAGGGAACCGGAAAGCCAGAAGTATAGCTTGCTCAAAGGGGATTAGCCCTGAGGAGTTCTCGACATACAGATCGAGAGAGATCCACCCCTGCCCATGTAGATTGTACCTCGAAGTCAGCTGATGCTCTTTTAGCGAATACCACCCGCTCTTGAACCGTTCCTTGGTCAACAAAGATTCAACTCAAGGTCCAATTGAAGAAGCCAAGCAAGGAATTTAAAGAGAACCAGCTCGGGAATCGTGTTGAACATCAGCGACGAGCACGGCCCGGAGCCTTACCTTCGCATCTGCACTCTGGTCTGATCAAAGGCGCTCCGCAGGCTGACGAACGAGGCGACTTCCTGGTCGTTGTATGCGATGTCCAGCTTCTGAAAGCTGTCCTCAACTATCTTTGACAGCTGCTCGTGGGCACTGCACGTCACCGAAGGGAGCGGTCGTCGCCATGCATAAAAGCTGGTTTTGCGTTGTGCTTAGGTGCACTCTTTCGCAAGCGGATGTGTTACTGAAGGTTTGCTTAGGGTTTGGGAACATAGTGATGGTGATGAGCAGAATAGTTCTTGAAGCTTTGTCGAATACGGGACAAGACCTTTAGCAGAAGGCAACGAATTCAGTGCTTGCCGATGCGAGCCGCAAGTGCATCTGGTCAACGGATTATGACGTGCGAGCCAGCGGGACAGCGATGACTGGAGGAGTTTAAAAACTGCATCTTCCCTCCAAAATCCATCAGATGAACGTCCCAATAAAACGACTTGAGATCGAAAGGCGCCTCTGCCAGAACAGTCCAGAAATGAGAACATTTGAGCAAGCTGCCCGCTATCCGCTTGCTCACAGACATTCTCATCAAGTGAAAATGCTCTTCGTCTGGCTTAAGCCGAATTCATGCAATGACGCAAAGAAAAGGCTTGTTGAATGACACAACCAGATTCATGCGCATGGCTTAGTTGCCGCGAAGACTTACCTGTCGAAGTCTCCTGCCTCGTCTATCTTGGATTCCTGACCGCCCGGCTGGAGCTCCCGCAGTCGTCGGCTCATGTCGGCGCGATCCGCGTCCGCGGCCGCCTTCGCTTCGAGCGCCTCCTCCGCGAGCGCGCCCTGCAGCTCCTCCACCTGGCGGAGCATCTGGACCCGACAGAGACACGTGGCGCACGTCAATCAGGAGGCCTCGGTGATTTGAAGAAGTTTCGACTGAGAACGACCGTGTTTGTAGCTGCAGAATGCCCGTCAAGACTGCATTTGCATTAACTAAATTCAAACCCAAAAGATGACACTGACCAAGGTTTTTCTATTCTTCCACAGAATCCGCATTCAGCAAGAAACGTTATGTCTCCTACAAGCTTTTAGACGATTGAACTCAGCGCCCGTCCCGTCTATTCGTCCGCCCGTCTAGAATCTAGCGTGTCGTCAAATTTCCACCACAAAGATTTGCTTGTCCTTGTCCATGTATGCTTTCAAACAAGCAGCGGCAGGAGCACAGCATTAAAACGTACCAAACTGGGTTTCGAGCCGTTCAGATCAACATCTAGCCGTTTATAAAATTGGGCTCGACAACTTCAGGATTCGGAATAGGTTGAGCAGCACAAAAGACTTTCATGACATGCTGTTTGAAGTACTCCGCATTCCGGACCCATCAGGAATCTCATCGAAGTAAAATCTTCCCTTCAGATCTAGCAAAACATCTCCAATTTCCGGGGACCCGTTGCTTCCTAACGCCCATAAGGTGTCACCGACTCATCTCACCTCCTGCGCGTGCGCCTGATTTTCCGCTTCCGTTGCCGCACGGATCGCCTCGACCTCCCCTCTGAGCGCCTCGTTCTGCCGCGCCAGGTCCATTTTCTCTCCCTCTAGTTCCCGATTCTTCCCCTCCGCCGCCCGCAGCTCGCTCTGCGCCTTCGCGTGCCGCAGCTCTAGTTCCTGCCGTTGGTCCCTCTCCCGTACAGAATTCTTCAGCAGCGTTTGCAGCTCGATTTCCTCCCACCCGGTCGACTTCGCGCGCGGGTCGAGCGCGCGCATATCGTCGGCCGTCGCGAGGTAACAGAACGCGAGCGGCGAGCCGTCCTCCTCGCGCGGCCGCGCCCCGGCCGCCCGCGCGTGCTCCCACGCGACGCGGCCGCGGCCGCGCTGCTCCTGGCTCTCCGCGAGCTGCTTCGCGCAGAGCAGCCCCCTCTCGGTCGCCTCGAAGAGAATAAAAGCGGTGCCCCGGTGGCCCCCGGCGTTCCAAAGATCCTTCACGTTCCGGTCTTTTACATCGTACCCTTTTGCCCGGAGGGACGCCCCGAGCACTTTCCCCGACACTCCGTTCCACTGCTTCCTCTCCTCGTCGAACTTGGTTCGCAAGTTCTGGGCGATCACGATCGGGGGCTTCACGATCTTTTCCGGGCCAGAGAGCCGCGCCAGCTGCTTCCCGGGCTTCTCTCCCGACAGCCTCGCCTTCAGCTCGTTCAGCGCGCGCGCGTAGGCCACGTGGGCGGCCGCGCGCGCGCCGCTCGTCGTCGTCTCGGCGTGGCGCACGAGCGCGTCGAGGTGCGGGAACGCGCGCCGCGCGCCGCGGCCAGAGGTGCAAACCGCGCACCCGTACGTTCCCCCGGGCGGCTTCGCGTGCCCAGTTCTTGTCGCACACTCCCGCTCCAGCTTTTCCGCCCAGTACTGGTACGAATTACCTTGCCCCGGTGCCTCGTCGTCTTCCACCGAGCCCTCCGAGTTTGAGCTGTCTACGTCTTCCTCAGGAAAGAGAGAAAAGTCGGTGGACGAGTCGGTGACCTGACCGAAGGCTGGTGAGGCGGTTGGCTTTGGAGCCTCCACCTGCATGCTGACGTCATTTGCGCCCTGAAACCTTTCCGGCTGCGAAGAAGCGCCGGGGCAGATACCGTTGCAAGCTAAGCTTTCAGGGCGCGGGCCTCCGATGTCCCCATCGTTCACCCTGCCGGTTCCGATCTTTTCCTGCCCGTTGTTTTCGTTCTTAACCTCGTCCCCGGAGTCCCGCTGGTCTTCTGAGAGTTCTTCTTCACACGTTGGTAGCGGTCTAAAAGGCATTTGCTCCACCTTAATGGCGTGGTCCTCATGTCTGAAAGAAGGGGCTTGCGACTGTTCGGAGAAAGCCTCATCAGGGGCGATATTCAGGTCTAGTTCCATGATCTCGAGAGGCTCCTCGTTCCCGGAACCCTCAGCCGCAGCCACAATCTGACTTCCTGGTTCCAAGAAGAAACCTGAACCTTCCCCCATTCCTCTGCTTTCCCTACGCTTCTGCTTTGATAACGACTTCTGTTATACCCCCTGAACTGAAGATTGTAAGAGCCAATGGAAGACGGGAGCTTCGACAGAGTCTGAAAGAGGCGAATGCAACTTCAGGTCCCAGCTTCATGTCTTTGAAGTTGCTTTCAGTTCTTAACACCGGATGAAAGGAAGGCCTTCAAGTCTCGTGCGCTGGATGACGAGCGTTTCCTTTCCTGTCCACGGAGTAGGCTCCCGTAATGTAACGCTGACAACTTTGCACCGGTTAACCTGATCTCGATAATGCAGCATGCAGGACGTGGCAGCTTCGTCAGTCCGCTTAAGCCGGGCGAAGACCTCAATCTGCCAGCGAAATTTAGATTGCCTTACGATGCATGACTTAAGTACGGAAGGTTTATATATAGCGACATCCTGAGTTATGCAGTGAACCTTCGCCCCGGTAGAACTTAAGCAGCATGAATATCTGGTGTGCGCGCAGTCCAGGTACGATACATGTCCCGATGGACACGTACAACGACAAGAATCGCTGCATGCAACCAGGAATCGTCAGCAACATCGCAGTCGGCCAACAGATGACGTCAACCGAGAAAGCACTCTGCTCGTCTCGCCGGAAAAAGCTACAACGTCCACTCACATTTAAAGACTTGAAGATGTGAATCTTCAGATGCATCCGTCGTCTTCAAGATTGACTGGATTGAAGCTCCCGTCTTGCGCAAATCATCCAAGCAGGTGACGCCAATTGCAGCAGGAGCTGAGACTCTGGTTGCGCCTGAGGGGTAAGGGAAAGAAGCGTCTCTTGAGACTTCGGAAAAGAATTTAAATCGCTTCTGCGGCTGCTTTTTCCGGGCGATTTGAACCGCCTCTTTGAAAGACGTGGAACGCAGCACCGGAGTGGATCAGATGCCGCCCAAAAGGGAACTAGTTTGTGGAGAAGCTTTCGAATTCGTGGACGGCGGCCACCAAGACTCGGGAGACGAGCGCATGAGCGAAGCCAGTGGGGGAACGGAAGTCGACGCTGGCAGCGTGGAAGATGACGTCATCGGAAGTCCCCGCACAGAAGGGCTAGAGCGCAGGCCAATGTTACGCGACGCTTCGTCCCAGCCGGAAGGTTTTCAGGGGGCAAATGACGTCAGCATGCAACTGGAGGAGAAGCTCAGGCTGGAGCAGGAATTTCAGTCAAGAACCGGGCACGCGAAGCCGCCCGGGGGACGGTACTTGTGCGCGGTGTGCACCTCCGGCCGCAGCGCGCGGCGCGCGTACCCGCACCTCGACGCGCTCATCCGCCACGCCGAGACGACGACGAGCGGCGCGTACACAGCTGCCCACTTGGCCTACGCGCGCGCGCTGATTGAGCTGAAGGCAGAGATTTCGGGGGAGAGGCTCGGGGAGAACCTGGCGAGCATTTCAGACCCGTGCTGCCCCCGATCGTGATCGCCCAGAACCTCCGGATCACGTTCGACGAGGAGGGGGAGCAGTGGAACGGAGTGTCGGGAAAATGCTTGGGCGTCGAAGACCGTACGTGAGTGGATATAGGTCAATACTTGGTTTTGATAGCGAAGAACTTGCTTCTCTCGTCGTTCGCATGGGCGGACAGGGTAGGGCTTTTCAGGCCACGGTGAGAGTTCTCGAGACGAGTGAGAAGCTGTTTAATAGGCGGTCTATCAGTCAGGCTTGAAGGGAAAGAGCGAAGACAGTGCATCACATAGAGAATTGGTTTTCTCCCCCCCTTCCTCCCCCCCCTCTCTCCCCCCCGGGGGGGGAGACTACATTCTCCTCCGGTGGGGGAGAAGTCTCCCCCACATGAGGGGCGGAGAACGGTCTCGTCCACCTGACGACTGTGGGGGAGAATGTCTCCCCCAGTCGAGGACGGGGGGAGAATTCCCCCCTCACTTTTCCGAGAGGGGGAGAGTATTCTCCCCCTGATCTCCCCCTGTCCTCCAAACGAAGGCAACTTTCGATCGCTAATCTAACAAGAATCTAAAGAATAACAAATGATCAAAGGATGTATAAGGATCTAGTACTGTCCTCTGACCATCTACTTAGAAGCAACAAATCTGCCTTAAAGTTGCATCGCTCATTCATGTTACACTTGTCTAATTCTTCATCGGCGAATTCTCAGCAAGGCTGTTTCCTTGATGTCAAACGGATCAAAACAGGTGGAAAATACCAAAGGTGCTTCAATATAGTTTCCGAAGAACCTCTGAAGATGAACAACGGACTTACGGAGGCGTAAAGCGCTCTGCAAACCAGGAAATCTCGAAAATGGTTTCTGTGATACTGTATATATGTTTTAAGCTGCCCCTCTGGAGTGCACACATATGAGATAGCACAGGTGGTTAAGGAGGCAGACCTAATAGCAGAAGGACACCGGTTCGAGCCCGGCAGGTGACAAGCGGTAGATTTTTGCAGGAAACCATTTTTTTTTCGGTTTGAGCACTCAGAACCGTTCATGTTGGACTCAACAAGCATACCCCGGTCCGTGTATTTACAATCTCCAAGCACTTTTGAAGAAGCGAAGCATTTCTGGAGTGGGGGAGAATCATGGGGGGAGAATTCTCCTCCACTGGGGTAGAGGGGGTGGAGAGTGACGGTTCTCCTCCCCCCGGGGAGAAGTGGGGGAGACAGGTGGGGAGACATGTCTCCTCCGGTTCTCCCCCTCTTCTCCCCCCCGGGAGGAGACGACCAATCCTCCCTGTGCATCTTGTAAGAGTTTATGGATACGGACAAAAGTCTAGGCGTTCAGAACCTAAGAAGCAGATAGCTAGGACACGTCAACCTCCTGGTTCTTCTCTTTGACTAGGACTGATGGCCATGTACAGTCCCGCAATCTGTTTAAGATGTCCCGTTTACATCTTTGTTTGTATCAGAACCTCCCTTCGAGTTCCTTGAATGTCTTCAAAGAAGTTTGTATGCAAGATCCTAAATGGGGGCCATTTTGACCGTTTCGGACGGCTTCTTCTGTGGCGCGCGTCGGTCCAGTTTTGCGCGCTCGTCCATCTCGGACGTCTTTTGATCGAGGCCGTTAGATGGACGCCACGTGGCACCATCAAACGGCCACAGTCGTTTCTGAGTCTTTGTCTTTCGCCCATAAAGGATGGGGACACGCAGCGCACATATAAGCCAGCATCCGACCTTTTAGTCTTTCAGTGGATCGTTCCGGGGCGCCCCCCGGCCCCAGGGGCAGGACCTCTGTCCAGGGGTGCCCTATTGGGCTCCCCCGGAAACCTCTTTCTCGATAAATCCAGCACAGCCACCTACACTCTCACAAACATTAATCCCATATTTTCCAGTAAGCATTCACTCCACCATTAAACCACCGACCCACTTAAGAATTCCATCGAGCATGCAATCCATCTTATAATCAGACCACAAAGCTACCTTATGTGCAGTCGTCGTCAATTCTACCGCACGAGACCGGAGTCTCTATGGTTGCAATCTACCTTTGAGTCCCTTTGAAAGCAATTGATGCTTTTGGCTGGATGAGTATACCGTCAAGCAAGTGGGATTGTTCAAAGCCAGTATCCAAGTCATAGAGAATTGGGGCTATCAAAAAATCGTGACTAAAAGCTCTCACTTTTGATTGGATTTGTTGTATGCGTGACAAGACGGGACAGAGTCAGGGATCAGGCGCCTCTATGCATGGATCTTAGAAGCTTATTTGAATGTTTTTGAAACGTCGTCAGGATGATGCATCCATGGCTTTCCGGTGGGTTTCCGGTACAAAGAAGGTTCTGAACAAAACAATACCGTGCAATAATTACAGATCTGCATAGCAATGCCTAAACGTACAAGCATCCCTCTCCTAACAATGATCTATGATGGGCTGGAATGGGACGCTTCAAGATATTCACGAAACGACGTCCACATGACGCTGTTGGAGATCATCACGGAAGACGACACGTTTTTGAACAAACGCAAGATTGTTGCACGCCAGGCCCATGCTTGAGAACAAGTTTCAATCTTCGTTCAAAAGCAGACTCACATTTAATATTCGGAGCCTAACTATTGTCGTGTGATGGCAGAAATGATGTTCGTTTGAAGAAGTTGGTGGCAAGGATGTTGGGGTTTGTTTGGAATTGTAAGGCACTCGGAGATGGATGGAGTTTGGTGTGTGTTTGGCTTCAATTTGGTGTTGTTTATTGGGTTTCCGGGGGAGTTCCGTGGAACACCCCTGGACAGAGGTTCCTGCCTCTGGACCGGGGGGCGCCCCAGATCGATCCACTGAAAGAAAGGAGGCAGGATCCTGGCTTATGTAGGCAGAGCGTATTTGAGTCCTTTGTGGGTGTTTAGAATTCTTACACGACTACTTCGCGCCGTTGATCGCGCCACGTGGCCTCCATCTGACGGCTTCGATGCGAGGCTTCGAAGCTGAACATGCCGTGCACGGAGGACCAACGATCAGCGCGCGCCCCGGAAGAATACCGCCAAGAAGCGCGGAGGTCTTCAAAGCGCGGTGCAAACCCGCCGCGAGACTTTTGCTGCAGACGTTCTATCTGGAAGATTGCAAGACGGTCCGAATCTGCAATTGCCCTGAGCTCAAGTCGAGATTCATCTGGCTGTCATTGGCCACGAGTTTGTGCTCAGCGTCCCGAGACCATCTAGGTGGATCACTTTCCGCCGCATGGCCGCGACACGGTTACTTAGTTGCACTGATCTGTAAGCTCTGCGCGCATAATCAGCATGTGCAGTAAGCAATGACACATAAACGCCCCTAGTGCCCACTCACTGGGCCTCTGTGAAGCGTGGACGTAGCACTATATTCGCAAATTTAGACGGTGAAGAATCATGACAAGCCGGCCTTACGAACTGCTGGCTTGAATCTGCGGCAATATTTGACTCGTCTCTAGTTGGAAATCGAGTGAACACGTGAAGGTTTGACGATCAATACAGAGGTGACGTTTGGCGGCCGACACGGCGCTCAATGGAAGTGCACGTGAGTAGCTTTTGGCGACATGTGGAGAGCTTGGCCATCGGGCAGGCTCAGGCTCTGATTTCTGCGCAGGCGTAGTCCGATCGATCCGATGGGCCCGCCACCCGAGGTACCATGTGACAATTAAAGTTGGGGGCTTCCAACAAGATTTCAGCTAATGACTGTCTGTTCATCATTTATGGAACGCGTATCAAAGCCCGGCATTTGGCTCCACGCACACCTCCAACAAAATCGATCCAGAATCAGACCTAGCACATGTATGGCCGCACCCACATGGAGCTTTGAAGCATGATCAACACGTCAACACCAATTACATTACAACACTTTCGGACGGAGACCGCCAAAGATTTCCGTCCGAAGAGTATACAATTCGATCGTCGTCTTGCTAAAGTTGACTCTTGCAGCTTACGTGTAGAACAAGAGCTGTCATCAACATAGACATGCGCGCTGAACACATGTTCCTCAAATCCTCGGTTACTGCAGCAATTGAAGCAGACGTGCGCTGGTCATGTTCGCTTACGTGCGCTGGTCATGCAGCAAGGTGTTACTACGCTCTCAACGTACAGCTCAAGCTAGGGAAATGCCTGTCTCTGCCCGTTCAGATGCACAAGGCACTAGGGCTACTGATCGGTGCATCGCTCCGTTGAAGTTTAAAAAGAATGTACCGCTCCAGAAGTGTCTCTCAAATCTGTACACAATCTTTGCGTGCATTATGATATTTCAAGCTCCATATCAAAGCTCTCGGGATCAGTGCTCGCTGTTCTGTCTATTGCCGCAGATTGCCCCAATCGGACGTATGCATCTTTCGCTTTCGACGTCAAAGATACCCAGTCGCTACCGGATACCTTTGCCGGATCAATAGGAACAGTCCTTCGAAAAGGCTTGGTTCGAGAAGCTCCTCCATAGCTGAATCAGGCCTCGCTCTCGGGCTTTTCCAGCGGAACGAGTTCTTGCTCTTGTTCCCCCTCCCGATCCGTTCCGCTGGCGCCGTCTTCCAGGGGGAACCACCGCTGGGACAGCCCAAAGAGCAGCGCGCCCCCCGCGACCAGCAATCCGCACCCCCGAAACAGAGTCACTGCAAAAAGGGGGAGAAGCATCAGGTTGTCTACGCTGCAGTGTTTCAAGGATAGGGAAAGACAAAAAGGCGACGGCCTCGGCACAGGCTCCGCATGCCTCAAACAGATTCAGCGCTGACGCAAGATTGCATTCAAATCTCGTTCTTCGGCGACGAAAAGAACCACCGCCGTAAGTTGTGTCAGACTTCAAGCGTCAGACCGAGTTTCAAGCAACGGTGGTGCGGAAAACCCGACGAGACGAAGTGAGAACACGTCGAATAGGAATCAACGACGCCGGACGGCGACACGGTGAGGTGATGTAGAGCAACGCGTTTGCCAAGACTCAGTGCTACAACGAGAAGCCCTTTCCGAGGGCGCCATGGCAAGAAAATGAGAAAGTTGAGCATTGCAAATCCTTTTCGCTCGACCTTTAGTCCACCTAGACAACCAAAAGGAAAGGGGAAACGACAGTCGTAAGAGAATTTGGGAAAGGACAAGGGCAGAAGAATCGACAATCGTAAGAAGATTCGGAAAAGGACAGGATACAGGGGTTTTAAGATGGGTTTGGAGAAACACGTGAAAAGGGTAAACGGAAACGGAACGGAAATGGGAGGTCAACATAAGAATCAGGTGTTGCGGGGCGGGGGCGAACTCACCGGACCCGTAGTGCTCGTACACAAACCCTCCCAGCAGCATGCCGAGCCCATCGCCGATGCCGGAGTACGCGCCAGCGAAAAGAGCCTGTGCGAGCAGAGAAGGATGACGTCACGATGACGTGATCAGGAGCGACGTTCAGCGCAACAGCCTGTCCGATTAAGAGGCGCGGCTGCGAGAGAGCTTCTCCCCTTTCAAATCAGGAGGCACGGAGCCGACTGCTGTTGGAGATGAGAACAAGAGTGAAAATGACCAAACCAGCGGCGAGAAGCTTTGCGCGCCGCAATATGCGCCTCAGCGCGCTCGCTCAAGCGGGAACGCCGTACAGCTGAGCGCGGGAAAACAACGGAAAGCCTATCAACCGCCGATTCCATAATTTGAAGTCGTACATTGGCAAAAGCTGCTGACTAAACTCCTCAAGCTTCCTTCATCCCAACTCCTCGGCTTTCCAGGGAGAGATGAATTTCGGACTACCCAAATCTGGCGCTCATCTGGGTGGCAGGTTATCAGACAAACCACTACTCGTCAAAGAAGGGTCCAGCAAGGGTAGTCAGAGCCGACACATGGCGGCCGCCAACCAGACAATTCAACCAGACAATTTCGCCGGGTTTTGCACGCTTCCGCACCGTGGCAGAAAAAAAGTTGCTCTCATCTCGACTTTCAGTAAAGAATCTAAGGATCTCAGGTTTTTGAGGGTGACAATATTTCAAGTAGATAACCATTAACCGCCAACCGTTTGACATAGGATCGACGAAATGTGACACCGGCTAACCTGCATGGTGGCCGCCATCCCCGGGGGCGCGATCCTGCCGGCGTGCACGGTCCCCGCGGTCCAGCCGCAGCCGAACGTGACGCCGTGGAGCAGCTCAATGGGGAGCACCGCCCACGGCTCCACCAGCACCGAATAGTACGCCAGCCTGAGACGATAAAATGGGCGCGAAATGGTTTGATCGGATTGCTCTGAGGCGTTAAAAGAGAGAGGCGTGAGTTTGTCCCCGAACGTGACTCCGTGCAGCAGGTCGATCGGGAGCACCGCCCACGGCTCCACCAGCACCGAATAGTACGCCAGTCTGAGAGAAAAGTGGGCGCAAATTTTTATTCATCCGATTGCTCTGAGGCGTCAAAAGAGAGAGGCGTGAGTTTTGTCGCCGAACGTGACGCCGTGGAGCAGCTCGATTAGGAGCATCCCCACGGTTCCACCAGCACAGAGTAGTACGCCAGCCTGGGGACGAAAAGAACAAGCTTTTGACTGCTTTGAGGCATCGAAATAGAGAGACCGTGTGACTTTTGGGCCTTGAAAACTATGTCTGTGCTGGAAAAAGTGTATGCTGTGCACCTTCGTCGTTGTGCTGAGAGTCTATGGGACCATCGCAGGCCAGTACGTTGGTAGTAGGAAACGCAGGAAACATTCGCGCTTTACTGTCGTCATTTAAATCAGTACTTGGCACAACGAAGGACGTTTCGTGTTGCCCTTTTCAGAATGCTCGACGCACCGAAAAAGCAAGATTCATGTCGCCTTTCTCAAAATGCTCACCACCCTGAACTCTGGCCTCATTTCCAGACGACTGAGAAGTCTGCGGACACGAGATCCTCTGAAAACGTGGACAACCTCCAGCGGTCCCGCTGGCCAATCTCACCTCGCCACGTAGCACCCCAGCACCAGGTACAGCACCCCGAGCACTCCAAGCCGCTTGATCAACCGCCCCGAGAACCACATCATGGGCACCTCGGCGACACACGTCATCGTCAACGTCAGCCCAATCAATGTGGGGGATCCCCCTAACTCGTGCAGCCGCAGTGGCAGGAAACCCTCAATCGTGCCCATGCCCACTCCCATGAGCGAAACAACTAGAAAGAAAGAGCAGACGCTAGGTTTCCGGAAGAGCGCCCCGAGTTTCGATGTCAAGGGGGGGTCCAAAATTGTTTGCGGTTCGGGAGGGGGAACGTCGGAGTCTTTCGATGGGGGCGAGAAGGGGTCGCTGTGAAAGGGTTTGGGGATTGGGGCGGTGCTGTCGTTGGCGGGTGGCCGATCGAACGGCTCTGGTTGTTTGGTCGCAAGGAGCGCTTCCGAGTCGTCGGACTCGAGCCCATCCCTAGTTGCTTCGAAGCTGACGAGGGCCGGGTTCTGTCCGGAGATGGTCCGCAGGAGTGGCGGCTCGGAACGGAAGATGCTTCCGGCGGACGGACTCTGGCTTCCCGGACGGAACCGCTTTCGGGGCGTACTGGGGGAGCCAATTGTTCCGATGCCTGGGCTGTCTGGTGTCAGTATCTCGACGTGTCGTTCTAAGTCAGTTTCGCCGTTTTCGAGCAAGATTTCTTCGCCTAATTGGCTGTACGTTTTGGAGTCGGTGTGCGTGCCTTTGAAGCGGAACTGGGTTGCGACAACCGCGGCGAGTGTCATGACTGCACATGGACAAGAATAGGGCTCAGTACGGCGGTAGCAGGAATTTTAAGTGCAGGTTTCGATTCACCCGCTTTGGGATGCGCCAGAAGATCGAGACCTGCAATCAACTTTTAACCTGCAATTCACTCTTATGGTTATTCGGTGGTAACCCGAATCGACCTTGCGTCTTGGGGAAACAGCAACAAAATTAACGACGAACCCCATGTAGATATAAGCAAGCCGCAAATGAAAGGACAACAAACGCACTCTTTTCACTGGAAGTATGCCAGATCAAGGGCGTCTTCAGCAGGATTTTCTTTGAACAGAATTTTTCTTCCCTACACCCATGGAAGGATTTGAGGGATTACTTTCGTCAGGCCGAGACTAAGCAAGTGACAAGGTGAATTCCTTACTCGATACACGGATCGGAAGATCACCGCAACAAGACATTCGTGAGACTGGATTGCAAAACCGGAGAGAAAGAGAATGATGAACCCGCAAAACCCCACTAAGCTTTCATCATCCCCTTTCCAACCCACCGGAGAAAAAATTTCCTGATAACAAGCTCAAGAGCGCGTTTGGGGGTGGCGACTCACAAACAAGATGGAGGCAAAACGCAAGTTCGATCCTAGTGGCCGTCACAACGGCACCGCAAAGGGGAGCCGCCAGGCCCCAGCCAACTGCCCCCCACAGCCGCTGCTTGCCGTACTCCGTCTTGTCTTCCAAAGCCTCCATCGTAAATGCATCGGCTAGGACGTTCGGCGCACCCCCCAGAGCGTTCGCTATCGCCACGAGAGGGATCATTATTGCAAAGGACGGGGGGTAGATGTAGAGGAAACGGAGAAGGGCGGAGCCTAGGGTGGTCCCAAGTAGGATGGCCTGAGAAAAGAGGGGGAAAAAGACGGGTCTAGAGTCACCAGGTATGGGTGGGACTTCACTGAAACCAGGTGCCGGACAAGGATTAAAACCTTGGATAAAACCAGGTGCTTGAGTAATTCTATTGTTGATCAGGGGCAAAGCACGAAGGAACGTTCGTGACGGGGGGTGAGAGAAAGGAGAGCGGTGCTCTGTTTGGGAAGGCCCAGAGCTTCCGAAAGCAAGCAACATTTGCAAATGGCAATCGAGCACCAAGAGATGCTTTGTGGACAAAGCAAGAGGCAGCCCACTGAAGCGGGGCAGCCAAAGTAGTACACAAGCTTTTAAAAAGAAGGCCAAATATAAGTGCTATAGAAGCAAAGAAACTCAATGGAACCTTTCCTGGCGACATGCGCACCTTTTGAAGGCCCAGTTGGTCGGCCAGAGCGCTCCAGAGGGGGACTGTCGGGATGCCCATGACTGGCTGGAGGAAGCCCAGGAATCCGATCTGAGACTCTGTCAGACCCCGCAGCCGGAAGAACACTGCAAGAAGTGAGTCACTTAAAATGACCACCTTACGTGCATGAGGCAAATATTTTTCCTACCAATGCTAAGACGCCTATGTCTAGTGCGGGGTGGTATTGAAAATCCCTGAGTAGGTTGCGGATCGAGCTATATCTCTTGTTTGACTGTTGGCTCAAGTAATTCCTGGGAGCTGCACAGGGAGCCCTAGGTCACGAATATTGAATAAGATCTGCAGGATTTGCTGACCCCTCTCATGAGCGAACATCGACTCTCCGGCTGACTTAAGAGGAATTCGGTCAAGCTGAGATGTACTCCGCAGCAAGCAAACAACTCTTCATACACCTTAAGTAAGTAACAGGGTGGTGGTTTGAGCGCGGTGGTGGTGTGTGGGGTTGGTGGTGTTGTGTATTGCCCATTGGCAGCCAAGCCGTTCACTCCAATCTCCTTGTCCGCAGGGACTATCAGTATCACCACACTTCAGCCAACTTGAGTTGCGGAGGGCCACAGGATCACAGAACTGTACTTGCCTAGACTGCTTTTGATAAGAAAATGTGGGAACCTTGGACCCACCACCACTTCTCTCGAAATACCTTTCAGCTTTCAGCCATGCGCACTTTAAGCAGCTTCAGAATCAGAGCAGCTTCTGCGATCGCCTTCCAGCTCTGATAAGCAGACAAAAATAATAGCAGATCTTTGAGCACAGACGCACCTGGCAGGAAGGGGCTCATGCAAGCCAGGCCACTGAACAGCGCCAGATAGTAGAGCTTGTAAGGCAGGAGAGTCCCGTTCACTTGCAAATCCATCCATCGCTCTGACCACCACCTCATCGCTGAGTCTGTTTATGTGTGTTGCATGGATATTGTGCTCAGGCAAGGTTCAAGCAATCACACCACGCTGTAAACCTGCAGTATACACGCTTATCCTGAGAGCGCTAAAAATAGATTTGTAGTGGTGCGTTTGGTTGCTTGAGCTGGGGAAATCTGATACAAGGGGCGAGGCTGGTGATCCACCATCTGTTCAGCTGAAGGAAGGACTTTCGAGCTTGCTGGCCGGCCGAGCAGACGCCCTGCCCTCTGTTGAGGACTTGGAAGTTGAACTGAAGTGCTCAGCTCGTGTCAAGGAAGCTGAGGCAGCCGGTAGTGTCAAGTAAAAGTGCGAAAGGTGAGGCTGCAACACAATCACTGAGAGTCAGGAAGAGACTGACACCGGGCAACCTTTGGGGTGAAAACCTTCAGAAAGCAGCTCGAAGAACTCGCACTGCAGTCTGCTGTGCTGCTGCAACAGTCCAATGCCGCAATGCTGCAAGAACCTTGACGCCTTCGAACAGCCTCACAATGTGGCTCTCAAATTGGTTGGATTATTGGTCGAAAACCCATGCCAGTGGAGGGACACCTCGAGTTGCTTCACGGAGCCACGTGGAGGTCTTCTCAGCCAATGCTGATTCACTTTCGCTGATCGCAGCTGAAGAAATGCAATCAGAGGGGCATGCAATCAAGATGCTGAATGTAGTGTTGCGGCCAATGGAAGAGTCAAACACAGAGGCGGCAGACATGCGGAAGGTGAAGATTTTTGTCAAGCGGACCTTTTGTCTTCAGTGCTTCTTGTTCTCTCTGAAGAGAAGAGGAAACTGCATTGAAAGGGGCACTGGGGCGCGTTAATGCAACATATGGGGGTTGGTGAGGGCCCACTTTCAGGAAGAAAAAGCTGTTTGAAGGCAGAAGACATGGGCATACAATACAGCATCATGGCTGTTTTTGGTAGAAAAGCAGCCACTTCATCCTTGCAGACAGCGTGATTGAAGTATCTCCTTGCCTGCTCCCCACCTGGCAGCATTGGGAGAGAAATAAAATGAACACTTGCATCTTAGTCAGTGGCACTTCACGAGTTTTCTCTGAGGGGCAGTTTAACTAGACACCTTCAGTGTGCATCCCAGCAGGGCTTATGGTTTATGGGCCTTTCAGCAGTCACTGAGACTACTTTTGGGGGCACACTGAGGGCTGGCTAGCCAGTGCAGAGATGGGGGCTTCTTTTTGACTCATCCTTGGAGCCTGGGAAATTCACTTTTTGTTTCTTTCATTATGGTCTGCATGAGCCACTGCAGTCAATCTGCTGTGCTTCTGATAGCATAGGGGACAACAACAATCCTTTGGGCCACTGTCTCCTTGCTTGACGAATGTCAGAAGAATACAGCTTCTCTTCCTCCTTGGATCGGCTGAGCTCCACCTGATAATCCTGCAGAAAGCGAGCGTCCTCATAAGTTTTCCTTTTTTGGCCCCCGCAGGTCCCTCTTGAGGAACCAGTGTTGGCCAGTATTGAGGGCGAAAGCAGTTGGCGTACGCATCCCAACGATGGCATACCTGAGGGGAATAGTTGCGGGGCCGAACGCCAGAATCTGGTGGATAAACTTTTGAAGTTTCACGAACAATGGCGGGTTGATGGAGCCTCCAACAGCCCGTTCGCAGTTCTTCAGCGGTGCAGGCTGTCGCAGGTGAGGTCACTCGTGGGGCAAGTCACAAATGTGTCTAAGCTTGCGAAGCGTGAGCACAAGAACAGGCAGAGTTGTTCTCAGTGACACTGTTGGCTCATCTTGCCAAACTGCGTTCTGCCAGAATGATATGGTGCCTTGTGCTTTCGAACTTGAAGTCTTCTGAGATCAGAAGGTTGCGTCAAGAACAAGGCACATGACTTCATATGATGCACATAAGGTTTCAAGTTATTGTCAAGCCTGAAGTCGAGAGCCCCGACAGTCATTGGAAAGTCCTGTAAGTGTACATCATTTTGTATCAGAGATTCAGTTGGGGCAATTGTGCATGCAGGGCTGTGTGCAGCCAGACTGTGACTTGGACTGCGCGCAACTAGGACAGCTTCTTGTGGGCAACCCGGACGAGCGGAGTGAACAGGTGAGCAGTTAGAATCACTCAAGCAGCCATGTTGTCAGCCATTATGGGATGCAGCACAGGGATCACAAACTACAGGCTCTTTGGAAGCTTTTGTGAGTTGCTGACTTTGAATGAGCACAAATGTGTGTATGTGGCTGTCCCTTTAGTCACGTCAGCCACCTTGCTAGCTGTCTCCTCAAACCTGGCGGTAGAAAAGAATGTCTACAAACTCCTTCTCGGTAGCCCGTATGTATCTGCAATCTGCCGCCTACCATCCGAGTATGTGGCCCTGGTCAGTGTAGTCTCCATAAAGTCCAAGCAGGCGAAGTTTTTGCTGATTGTGCTAGGCCGTTCAATCCACGTTTTGGGGTTTCTCGAATGCAGACGCGTAATCATGAGACTTGTAGAACAGTGGGACCCCCATGCAGGGAACCTCCCACTAGGCGGCAACTCCTCGAATGGTCGGATCTCCAGATTCCTAATTGACGTCTGCCGCTGTTTTGTCTTATTCCGGGGGTTCCGTTCTAAACTTCCGGTCTGTGTGCTGCAGCTCAACACCACTTTTGCCTGGGAAGCACAAACAGCCCAAGAAAACGGGGGCCCTGGAGCGGAAGACGGTCCGTCCGAACCTGCGGTGGAGGAAACTCACAAGGCTGACGGGCTTGATGAAGCGGCTGGTGTAGAGGAACGGCTCCTTTCTGAAAGTATGCGGCGAATGTTACTGCTGAGAGCAGAGAGAGAGTGGGGCTTAAAGATCGAAACGGATATAGAGGCGGTGGCGACTGGAGAGGAGAAGCAAGGCTGGAGGAACGGGCAAGCGGAAGAGGCACGGGGGGAACTAGAGGCGGGTCCGACAGAATGCAAAGCGGACGCAGACGGGACGGAAGGGCAAGACGGTCCAAGCGGAGTGGCGCTGACGTCACCTTTTGGGCTGCCCAAGCCAATACCCAGGCAAGGGGGGGAAGGCGAAATTTTTGTCGAGGCGACAGCGGAAGTGGAAAATGGGGATTTTGGGGCTGGAAATAAGGTCGGAGTGGACACGCTTGGACTGCGCAGCCGGGAGATGGATTCTCCTGGTTCAATGTCCAGGCCAAACGTCGAAAGTGGTCCAGTGCTCGGGGCAGAGGCGGTGCATCCACTTGAGCCTCTCAAGACGGAAAGTGGCAAAAAAGTTAGGGCGGAGACGAGGAAGGATGTGCGGCCGCTGTCAGGGCACGCTCCGGGGCCCAGTAGTAACAGGGAAAAGCCAGGTCACATTTTTCCAGGGGGGTCGGTTGCTACTGGGGCCGAAAGCAGGGGGGAGCTGAAGGGTGGGGAAAAGCGTGAGGGCAGCCGAGATGGTGGGACTGATAGTGAGCGAAAGAGGCGGAGGGAAGAGAACTTGCGGCGTCAGAAGGAGGCAAAGTCGGCAAGAGACCCGGAGGAGCGCAGGAAGCGGAGCCGTCACAGGGAAACCGACCGCAAGCGCAGCCGGGACCGAGACGAGGGCCGGGAGAGGAACCGTGAGAGGGACCGAAAGAGGGACCAAGAGAGGGACCGCAAGGGGGACCAGGGTAGGGACCAAGACAAGGACCGAGAGGGGGTCCAGGATTGGGACCGCGAGAGGGACCGAGAGAGAGACCGGGGTAGGGACCGGGACAAGGACCAAGAGGGGGAACGGGGTAGGGACCGGGACAAGGACCGAGATAGGTACCGGAAGCGAGACCCGGATGCACGTAAGGACGGGGGTCGAGACCACGGGGAGGAACGTCGAAAGAGGAAGCACGAGAAAACTGACGAGGAGCGGCGAGACGAGCCACAAAACGAGGAGCGCAAGAAGATCAAGGACTGCGCAGAGAGGCCGTCGTCGCAGGCCGAGCGGGGGCGAAAACTCGAGGACAGAGTCTGTTTCGAGATGTTCTTGAGGCTGCGGTGCTCAAAGCTGAGGTGCCCGTATAGACACCCGGCGAGGTGGGTGTGCTGAGCACGTGGCCAATGGTCTTCCACTAGTTGGCCAGTTGCTAAGCTTTCCTGGCTTTATCGCTGACTCCTGCAGGTCCTCACTTATCTTCATGTGTTCCTAAGTATCTGCAATGGATTCTTTGGTGATAGAAACAGTCGTCCCGAAAAAGACGCTTTGCATCGCTGAGTGTCGGAGGAAGCTTCATCCGCAGATTTGATGGTGTACGAACATGCCTCATCGGACACGTGCGCTTTTCTACAGGCCGCCGCAGATCGCTGCGAAATACCTTTGTCTTGATTATGTTGCCGGAAAGTGCGAAGGGCGAGCCGAAGACTGTCTGCGGTACCATTGGACGCGATCAGAGGTGCGTTGCCTTGCTTCCTCGGAAGCAGAGACTTTGCAATCACCCAAGAATGTCCCTTGAACTGCAATTCTCCAAATGTTGGTGCCCATCTTTTTGCGAGTTGCTGCACTAGTTACTGGGACCGTCCCGAAGCCTGACTCGAACTTCTGTACCGCATCTCAAATCCCGTTCGCTTGTGGTGTAAACGGCACCCATTTCAACAGCAAGATCCGGCGGCCCAGATACACGAATTGAAACCCAGGAGACGCGATTCGAAAAAGATTCAAAAAAGCTCTGATTTTGACATCTATTGCTGCAGGAGGTGGAGTACTTGAGGACCGGGAATTCACCCGGTAATGCGATCCGGTATGTGCGGCTGTCTGCGCGCTCCCGATCAGAGAGCGCGTCCCTCTCTCCAAACTGCGCCCCCCCAGAACGCGAAACTGTCTTTCAGTCACCCCCGCCTTCCCCTACGCCTGAGATCCCGGCGGCTGTCGAGGACCTGGATGCGCCAGACTATGGAGTGGCCGGTGAACTAGTCGGCTTGGGCGTTGCCGACGTGTCATCTGACGGACTGGAGGTAGCGTCAACTCCTTGGCGGTCTGCCCAGTCACCACAAGAGAGTTTGTCAAGAGCGACGAAGCCTGGCAGCGCAACGGAGGGGCCGGAGGGCTTACGTGTACCTCTCAAGCGATTGTCGTCGTCTGGCAGTCGGTTGGTGGCCCTGGCCGACCAAAGCATTGACACCGCGGCTGGCGGGGCCAGGTTGGAGTTAAGCGAGAAGGCCCCTAGTGTCAACGAGGGGGGCGAGCGGCCCGCGGGGCGGGCCTGGCTGAAGGGGCTGCTGGCAAAGAGTGCGTTAGAGGTAGCTGTGGGGCGATTGCTCGAAAAGGACGCTGTAGTTGGAGGGCATGGGGCGGTGCAGAGTGGCGGCAATGGAGCGCAGGGCTTTGCGAAGATCGCTGGCGAGCAAGAGGATGGGGGGAAGGCGCAACCTGCTGGGGCGGTCTGGGGAGTGTCGAGCACTCAAGATGATTTGCTGAGGGAGCAGGTTGACACTGCGAATTCGAAGGGTGATGCGACTGGCGTGACGAGGGCTGTCAGCAGGACGCACGAGAGGAAGATCGGGCTGACCAGACAAAGCGAGGATTACGAAGGGATTGAATTCAGCGGAAAGAAACGGGACGAAGATAGCGGCGGAAGTGAACGGAAGGCGGAGCCCGCGCCGCAAGGTGGTGCAGTTTCGCCGGAATCTAGTCAGCAGTTCGCAGAGACAGGCGGGGCCCCGCCACAGCCAGGGGGGATGACGCACGAGCAGGTAAGCATCGGCTGATTGAGCGTTGAGCGGAAGTTGGGAACTGAATGATTAACACCGGTTGCGAGTCGGCTGGTTCGAGTTCTCGTGACCTCTCTTGAGCAGCAGACGTGTACTGCAGTGTGTGTCAGATTGCTCGCGCTAGACCTAATGTGCCAGGTTGCGGCGCTAGGACAGACATAAAGCAGTGCTCACCTTCAATAGACCGCTTGGACTATCCCACAGCCCAGCTAGATACTGGGTTATGAACTAGTTTCAAGTCGCTGAGCCTTTACCTTCTAAGCTTTATTTGTAGTCCCGCCTCTGACGCCGGTCCACATTCCTGCATGCGATTTCCAACATCTCCATGTTGCATGAAGGCTACATCAGTTTCCCCAAAGCTTCGAAAAACCCCTTAACCACTTCGTCTGGTGTCCAGGTAGAGGAGGCGGCCGCGTGGCGGTACCAAGCAGCGGACGGCACTGAGGCGGGGCCGTTTATGCTGCAGCACCTGCGCATCTGGCTCGAGCGGGGCCACCTGTACCCCCACCTCGAGGTCAGCCCACACTCCTGCCCCTTGAACGCAGGGACTATTGTTCCGACGAGGTGTTCCATCTCTCGAAAGACGGCGGAGGATGGATTACATCGTCGACATCCAAGCTCAAAATGCAGTGCAGACTAGCGCTGCAGCATCTTGTCCCCCCGAGGGGCCGGAGACAAGCGAGGCGGATGAGTCGACACCTGGCATGCCCATCGCGTCACCTCTTGCGGTGTGGTGAAACTGCAGTCCGTGTCGGTTGCTTCGAGAGGAGGCTTGCCGACGAAGGACTTGCATCCGTGTCTGCGTTTTCGCTCGATTACTGGTCCTCCGCTCAGAACATCAGTCCTTGTAGAGTTTGTTTTGCTTCAGGTTTTCCAGCCTTGCAGCGTGATGCTGGACTTAAAACCTGTGCGACTTCTCATAAGCCCGTGTGATATCGTTCTTGCAGATGCATCATGCAGACGGCTGGCTGCCCCCATGCCCCCTGCACTCCCTGATCCTCGCCGCCGACTCAGGCCAGTTGCTCACACTGCTCAATCAGCGCGGCTCTTCCCTCCCCACAATCCCGCCTGCTCATCCCCCCGGTTTCGATGCGGCGCCCCAAGACGCCGTAGTACAGAAAGACGAAGCTGCAGCGCGGGACCCGGCTTCTCCGCCCAGTGTGGCAGGACCGGGCTTGAGCAATTTCGTCGCTCCGCCGATGTCTAAGCCCGTTGATCTTCACCCGCCCCAAGCTGGTGTGAACAGGGGAATCGTTAGCCGGGCAAGTGCCACGTCAGCAGCGGAAACGTCGGGCGATCCAGCAGGAGAGTCTTTGCAAGAACGGGCTGACACGATTGGAGGGGTCAAGCCTCTCTGGAGGGTAAGGCGGGCCGCGAGCTTAGGACGCGAGACGGGATCGGAAACGCGGTCGCGAGTGGAGGGAAAGCGGAGTCGAGAGGTGGCGATTTGGAAAGGGGAAGTGCGGGAGATACTGACAGAGCCGAAAAGGCAACAGGTGATGGGCTTGGGGTGCTCGATGTATGGAGAGACCTGCAAGAACCAACGAAACGGAACGGGGGAGGGTGAGAGTTCTGCGGTGGAAGTGGCTGCTGACGTCACCACATTAGACCGAGTTCTTAAGCGTGCACCACGGGCGATTCCCGTGCGGAGGGGTGTAGCGGTGAGGTTGACATGGCGTGCGCTTTTCCAGAGGCGGATACTGAGTTGCCGGGCATGAAGCCGAAAGGGATTAAGCTTCTATCAGAGCTCGGCGACTTTACGAAGGATAAGGGGCCCGCACAAGGTGCGGAGGGAGCACTGGGAGCAAGCGCAGAGCGAGCAGCGCTAGGTTCTGTGAGCCTGGTGCTGCGGGAAGTTGAAAACATGCCAGAAGAAACGGATCTGGGCCGAGGCTTGGTAAGTAGGTCGGCGCCTATAACAGAGGTGTTCCGTAAGAGACGAGCGGGGAGCTTCGTTCCGGAGGGTTCTCTTTCCGGCGCCGTCGCGGCAGCCTTTGCGGCAGTCTTTGCGGCAACGGTCCCGAGGAAGGCGGGTGCGACACCGGAAGCCAAGGGGGGCCAAACGGAAGCAGAGGCGAGCATCCCAAAAGTCGGCTTGCCAGCTAGTCCATCTCAGCGGAAGGAATCCGCAGACGGCGGTTCTGCCAAGCGGTCGACGGTGGCAGGCTGCTTAGCGGCAGGAAAAGCGGGCGACGGATATGAGGCAGGCGAAGACAAGATCTCCGAGACCGGTTGAGAAAGCACTGCGTTTGGTTGAAGTGGGAGTGGGACGACCGCAAATGATGACTGTGGGGCTGTTTGAAAATGAGGCTGGGGCTTCCGAAGTGGCCCCGTATCTGACTCGGCCGGGCCTTCAGGTGTCTCCGGAAACGGCGAGGGAAACAACAAGCAAAACCGCTGAAAAGGGGGAAAGCGGGCTGGAGTTTGTATCACGGGCGGTCTTTGGAAGTGCTTCCACGATTGCAGCCAGCGAAGGGGCTTCGAAAGGCGAGATCGGGGTCGAGCAAGAAGGCGGAGCGCGGGGCGGGGAAACTGAAGGGCTGTCGGACTGCTATGACCCTCTGGCGCCTTACCTGAGACATGTCTGCAAACAGTTGCCCAGCGAAAGCACTGCGGACTGGCAGAGTGGCAGGCAAGCTATCTCACCTTCTGTACACGACGGTTGCTTTTGAGTCACAAGCTTATTGGAAGGGCCGACAGTAGCCCAACGGCTTTGGGCTGGCCTGCAGTCCTGATCGCTCTTCTCGATGCAGTAAAATCTCCTCGTTCACATTGGTTGTGCCACACTTACTGAACGCGTCAACCCACATGAGGGCAGCATATAGACGCTTTTGGGAACCACAGTGCTGCACAAGGCCTTCGAAAGTAAAGTCTGTCATTCAATGTAGGACATGTTGGCTCAACATAACAATCGAAACGAGGGCAGCGTAGCGAGGGTCTTCGAAACTATGAAGTCGATCGAGGCCTTGAATATATTTGAGAAAGCCTGCTGGAAGCACTTGCCTTGAGCGGCGCTGTGCTCATGTAAAGATATCTCGTTTGCAGTCCGGAGGCCAAGCCATCGAGCATCGAGCCGGCGCAGGAAAAGCCGGATTGCTGCCTAGAAAGTGCGTCCATTTCGAAATTGCGCCACGATCTCGAAGCCGCCAAAGCGCAGCTTGAAAGGTGGGGCCAAAACCATTGACGGAACGACCTGTCATCCCTTCTTCTCATCGTGAACGGTGGCCGAGCATCAGTGCTGGTGCCTTTTTATTGCGCTGCCAAAGAACCTGCTTCGGAACCCTTCCGCGTTCCCTTTACAGATTGTTGTCTTCGACGTTCCACTGGTCCGGTTGCAATATACCAGAATACGCCGTCATGGTCCCGGAAGACCATCAAGATGGGCGAGCGGCCAGAATCTCGAATTTTCAATGGTCTTCCTGTGCATTCACGTGTCTCCGTTTTTGTCTATCTACGAGTCTTCTATTCAACTCAATCCACGTCCGTTACTGGTACAGGGAGCAAGAGCAAGCCCAGCGCAGCTTGGACGAAAAGACACGCGAGCTGCGAGAACAGATTGCGGCAGAGAGAGCAGCCATTGAGAAAGACAAGGAGCGCCTGCGGGAGAGGTGGGAAGAACTAGAGCAAAAGGAGCGAAACGGCGGCGGGGTGAGCGGCCTTCTTCCGTGTAAAGAACGCTTAAGTTCAGGTCTCATATTGGACGCGTTGCATGTCTCGCGGACTACGAACGCGAAGACCGAGGCGGTGTCGAATATAGTGAAGACCACAGTTTTGGAGATGTCCGCTAGTTATTGGAACTCACTGCCCTATAGGTTACATGGACGCTTCCTGCAGCGCTCTAGCAAGCATCCCAGAGCTCGCGTTTTCGATCACTTTCTTCGCTCCTATTGCATCTTCTTCCTTCCATCTTGCTCTATCTGTTCCGCCTTCTGCATCACCACATAACGAGCGACGTTGATCCAACCTCGCCGTAGTATACCTCTTCATCTCGATACCAGAATTCAGGTTCGCTGGATCATCCTCTGATAGGCCTGGCAATCTTCCCGGATCGACGTTACTTTACCGCAATTCACACACTTTCTCTTTTGGGTGCAGGTCGGGGAGTGCATCAGTTGCATGGACGATTGGAGCGAGACCACGGTCCGCCATCACTTTGCCTGCGGCCACGCACTCCTGTGCCGCAAGTGCTCCGTAAAGTGGTTGAGTGGTCAGGCCAAGCCGCCGTACAAGTGTTCCGTGGGTTGCAACCTCAAGAAAAGCAAAGCCGTCAAACCCGTCTACCTTGGTTGATAAGTGTTTGCACCTGGTACGTTCGTTTATGAGCTGTGAGTCTTTTCATCTTCAAAGGTGCATTACCACGACAGCTTTGTTTAAGAAAAAGCCTGCCAAATTACCTAGATGGTAAAAGGGGCGTAGTTGATTGCAGACAGGTATTCTGGGCAGGCCACAGCGGTGGACAGCTCTTTCGTGGATCCTGAAATGGCTCTGCCATCAGAGTACAGTACTTTTCAGAAACAGTAGGGCTGTGCTTCCTAGCTTTCATCAGGTTGGATTCCATAGTGAATCAAATAGAAGCATATAGGAGAAGACAGCAGGCCGTTTGAGATTGACGGAAAACACGAAGCTTCCAGAGTTGGCCATGCGTTCACTATTGCCCCATGTATGTCGCATACACTTGTATGGCGCAGCATTCACTTCAACCATGCATGAGCAGATTAGACCCTACGCACATATGGCAGACATGTTACGTTCCTAATTGTGTCTTCGCAATTTAATTTGTTGATCGCTGTTGAGTCGGTGGCCGGGCGGCCATATGTGCACAAGCTGCACTGACAACCCGCTTGTATACATGCTTGGCACGCTTGGACGGATATCGCGGTTGCACGTGACCATGTGCCATGTGCCATCGCGATTGACATGTGTAATTCATCGATCATGCAGCTACCCGACACCCTACACCCTAAAACTCCTGCAGGATATTGGGTCGCGCGTAGGTGTGCATGCAGATTCATTGGCTTATATAAATGCGAGGGTCGTATGTAGCAGCATGGGCTTGCCAACGAGAATTACGCACATGCTAGTTTAATTCTGAATTTTCATGAGTTTTCATGAATTCTCAACGAGGCCTTTGTCATGAACTAGAAGGCCTACATTATGCACGCCCGTAGGTATTTGGATCTGTATTGCAAACCCGTGACGAGTTACAAACTTATGCATGCCAGGCTACATGCTGTGAAGGTCGAGCGAACGCCGCACATCTCACTTGCAATGCAAAAAATACTCGTCGATAGACAGTCGGGCTTTTCAGACGGTATGAACGGAGCCATCTTGCACGTGCATGGTTGGCTAGTCGATGAAGCTTCGGTACATTGTTCCGACTCCCCGCCCACTGATAAAAATCGATTACCCTTCTCGGAATGTACAGCCGACCTGAGCTGCTTTTGCTACACATCTAGTTCACGACTATCCTCAAGTTGTCTCAACACAATCTAGACGGTCACGGGCTCCGCCTTGGCAATGACCGGCTCAGCCTGTGAAAAGAGAGTCCAATCTTGTTATAAACGCATCATTCACCTGCGTGTGCAGGGACAACGCATGCCCTTCCAATTCAGCATGGCCCTCATTTCCAACTGCAAGGGTCTCTTCCATCTGTTCTAGACATGCTTGCGCCTCCAATCCCGACACCCCCGCCTCGTCTTCTTGGGCGTCAGCTTCATTAGAAGCAGTCGATTCCTCGACTTCGCTCGGACTTATTTTTCCGTAAGGGATCGATTCGGCGGCAATTGACACCGGCTCCTTCCTTGGCGGATCGTTATCTGAATTGTCAATGGACTTGAGTGGGGACTGGCCACTTGGGGCAGCGTCCGGCTGTTCCAGTGGGGGTGCGACCTGCCCCAAAGAGGACGTCCCGGTCAGCACCGCACCCCGCACTGGAACAGCCGGCTCCTCCGCTGTCCCTCAGACTGAACACTTCAACCCTGCACTCCCCACCTCAAAAAGCCTTCACTTTTTGAGTCCCAAGTCCCACCGTCGACCCAACTATCCAAGATCGGAAATGCCTCAGAACGACAGCGGTGAACCATAGGAATTTAGGGAAATACGGATGGCTCCGCTCACCTGCTCGACGTGGGCAGACTTGAAGAGCTCGTCCAGGACCTCGGAGAGCGTGGGATGCGCGTGCACCGCAAATTTGAGGTCCTGCAAAAGATGAGACTTCAACTTAGGATAGTGAACGCCGGCCTGGGACTGGTGGGTTCAGTCAAGAGATTAGGGTGGGTGCGGGTGCAGAGCAGGTAACCTCAACAACGTTTCCACATTGGTTAAAAGAATCTTATTCCTGAAGCTTGCTACTAGACTGAAGAGTGACTCCCACAGACAGCGTGCGCCGTCGAGCTTGCTCAATCTTCCTCTCCCATTTTAATCATGTCTGTCTCGAACTGGCCGCAAACATTGCGCACTGCCCAACCCCCGCCTTGAAGTGGAATGAATCAAGTACGTGTTGAATCTGCTCGTCGCACTAGCATTAGGATGAGCACGCAAACCCTTGACTGCGGGAACGACAATCGGCCACAGAAATCTATACTTACCTGGACAGTCAGCCCCGTCGCAATGGCGTTGGATGCTTCGTGGATAAGGTCCGCAGCATGCAGGCCCTGCACAGCATTACTTATGAAGTAAGGACTTCTTCTGCACCTCGACGATGGGTGAAAACAAATGACACACGAGCAGGCGCAGGAACATGGTTGGCAGAATGCTATACGCAGATCTTACCGCCCGAGTAAATGAGCTCATGGTAGCACACTTGCAGTGATAAACTCAGCGCTTTGCACAGTAAGTCGTTCCGTTTTTGAGCCGAATAATATACACGCAAGCAGGAAGCACAGAAGGAACGCGGAGTGATAAGCGCACGATGTCGGCAATCCAGAAGCCGTCTGTTCGATGCAGCCTATCGAATCTGCGCTGCGATCTTTTAGTCAAACCTCGCTCTCTTTACTCCGTTGCCTCAAGAATGTTGAGACACCCGTCCGAACAATGCTTGGGAAGCACCTGGCAGGAAATGAGAAATGCAGCGGATGGGTAAGAAGGGTTTGCTTACGATGATGTGGACTCCCAAGATTTCGCCCGTGTCCTTCCGGTAGATGACCTGCACCAAAGACGTGCCACGTCAGCACCTTTGAGGCAAAAGACGAGCGACGAACACCTTCGCGAAAAGCCATCGCATCCTGGGATTCGTTACACGGCGACACAAGCAGCCTTGCCCTCGTTTCAGGCCACGTTCCATTGCATTTGGCGTCTATTTCCCGGTTTCGGGTCCGACCTCGGCCACAGCCACGGACTCCCCAAGTAGGAAGACGACACTCGCCTTCCCTGCAGGGGAGTACGGATGTCGGGTCTGTTGCCCGTCACAAACTCTCGGCACAAACCTCCGGTCGCCTTTTGAAACATTCCGGCGGAATGAGCGGAAGACACCAGATCGGCTCCTCACCTTGGCCATGCCGTCGCCCTCGTTCTCTGCGAGCGCCTTTGAGTTGGCCTTGAAGCTCGTCTTGGCCACCTTGTACTCGAAGCCCTCCTCCTCAGCCTTCTTCTGCACCTGGGGCTGCACGCAACAAGGTTCACGACAGAATTAGAACAACGGTCGAGGAATCTAAGCCCACCGTTGTTCAATGGACCCCACGTCGTGTCGCTCTTAACTACAAGGATTTTCATTAATTACGAATACCTTTCTTCCAGAGGCGCCTGATGCGTACCCAGGAGGTCAGACATACGAAGCGGACGCGATTTCTTCTCCTAGATTTCGATGCGGTGCGAACAGCCGGCTAAAGTTCGGCTGTTTTCGTAGCGAAGAGGATATGCAGTTTGCAGCCAAAGTGTCACTGCGAAACGGGGGTCTTCATGGCCCCTCAACAAAGATTCCCAAAACTTGTCAACATTCTACTCTGTCCTGACTTAGCTTAAGAAGCTAATGGTGTTTATACAGGCAAGCAGCTTCGGATTTGACCATCGAGGCTGCATCGCTTTGAACTGTCGGAGGACTTGCGAGAAAGTTACCTCGGTCAGACCCGCAAAGCTGATCTCTGGATGCGTGAAGCAAGCGGCAGGGACACTGAGGTGGTTCAGCACGTTGTCGTTGCCCGCAATGTTCTCAACGGCTGCAAGCAACAACCTCAAGATGAGCCAGCATTCTTTTCGCGTTTACAACAGGGTGCATTTGCAGCTTGGACCACAATCAGACCGCAGACTTCGTTCCTGCCCCATCCCTACGATATAGTGAGAGGACAGCCGCTTGTTCGTTTCCAAACGCTGAGCCTTTCGGTACGACGTTTCCAGCCGACAACGTGAGCGTTTATGGTAGTGACAAAGAGCAAATCTGAGGCCTACCAGAGATGCCCTGGGCGCTGGCGGCATGCGCGAGCATCATCTTCCCGTTGGCATCCCCAATGCAGTAGAGCCCGGGGATCTGCACACGAAAATGCATCTGCTTTCTGGAACTGTCCCAGCCATAACTCGCGCCCCAACTCATTGATAGGACTGAATTCCTCTTCACAGCAAAGGCTCGAGGCCGGCACCACATGGTGTTAATTGTTGACTTGAGCAGTGCCACGACAACCCGCTCAAGAACGTCTGTGAGGGGAAAAGAGGTGTGAAAGTAGTTGGGAGAGGTTACGATGCTTACCACATTCTGGTCCTTGTCAAGAACGCGCATCCTCTCGTCCACTGGGACGTAGCCCCTCTGCAACTCCACACCAACCTGCAAACGAGGGCTGCCAGCTCAGGACGCACGCAAGGCTGTGGCGGGGGACGGTTCATTTACGAAGGTGGCCACCTTTCGAAAGGAAAGAAAATTGTCACCCTGCTCGTGTGCGGACACACTAATGTGGTGGACTTATCAGGAGGAGTACTGCCACAGGAGGGTCTCGTCCAGATCAGTAGCCTCTTCCAGAAGAGTGCGATCTCGAACAGTGAGCTTCCTCTCAAGACGAGAAGCGTTTCAACATGTCCAAATCGTCTTGAATCAACGAGCGGAAATCCAAAGGACTGCTCCGATCAATTGCATTGAAAGGTGAATGCGCGTCGCGGTCAAAGGAGCCCCGGACGATTCGTCAGGCTACACACCTGAGCTTTATGTATGGAACTCACAAATGGATTCGCCTCTCACCTTTTCTAGTCCAAGCCCCTTGGTGAAGGGAGCCCTGCCGGTGGCAATAAGCGCGGCATCAACCTGAGAAGACAACAGTGGCAACGTTAGCAGAAAAGTACACATGAGCCGTCTACGCTTAAATAGTCTGGGGATAAAACCGACTCGTCGGCTTAGAATCTGAACATCAACATAGTTCAGAGAAATGGATACGAATCTTCGCCTTCACCTGAAGCTTCGAGACAGTTCAAAGCCTCATCTTTAGTCCTCATTATCAGGCGTCGAGACAGAAGCGAGCGGTGCTGCGGAAGGAGGTGCTCATTCACCTCTATTGTTTCCTTGTGCTCGCGTGTCTTGGTGTCCACGAGCTCGATGGTCACTGGCTTCCCGTCCTTGGCGGGGGTGATCTGCAAAAAAGACGCAACTTGAGTAGGAAAAGCCTGGCTCGAACCTTGCATTTTTGTGTATCAATCCACGGTGCTGAATCTCAATAAGTGAAATCATTCATAGCTTCGGATCAAGCCCCTGGTGACGCACTCTACCATTCGCGTTCTACCATTTTTGATCGCTGCTCTGGCAGGACCTCGAAACGATGAACAGCAGATCTCGAAGGTCATCCTGCAGCAAAAGGAATTCTGCGTAATATCGTCAGGAGCCTGAACTGCGAACTCGTATCACACTCAGTACCGGGCAAACAAGTGAAGGCGGGACGATGACACCCTCTCGGTATGGGTCCCCTGCGCTCTGCTGCCGTGCTTACCTTTTTCGCCAGAACCCCAGTGTGGTAGTCGATGTTCCTGGGCTGGATGAGTAGCCGCTGGGCCATCTTGCCAATCTCGGGATCAAACCCGGGCATCAGCCCGTCGAGGGCCTCAATGAACGTGACCTGAGAAAGAGAAATCATATGCGACACTCAAGTAAACAAGTGAGCCACTTCAAAAGAGCAAAAGTTGCTGCCAAACCCGTCTCCTTGCTGAACCTTCCCGTTGAGAAACGATTCAGAGGTCAGATGTGCTTCTGTAGCTGCCAAGAAAAGTGACGATCTGACAAAGAAGTGAGACCAAAGGCGGCCTTATCATGATCATGGTCCTTCCCAGGCCTGTAGACTGAGAAAGCAATGACTCTTTCTTTTGGAACGAGTAGATATCCTTCGAAGCAACATGACCTGCGTTTCACTGCAGGTTAGACCATGTCATAGGCCTAGGCCCCTGGATGCAACAAGTACCACAGTTAGTCAGGACAGCACAGCATGCATGATTCATTCGAGAAACGAGGCTCCCGTGCACTTACGTCACTGCCTAGGGCTGTGTACACATCGCTGAACTCTAGTCCGATGTAGCCGCTGCCGACGATGGCAATCCAGTCGGGGATCCACTCCAGCTTCAGCGCATGGTCACTGGTGAACACAGTCTTGCCTGCAAGCAAACATCGATCAGGCGAGGCGTCGGCAATGGTCCGACGGACCAGGGCCTGGCGTGATAGACAGACACCTTTTGAAGTCCTTGTCTCTTTCAGAGAAAGGTGTGCTCGTTAAATTTTGCATTCGATGAATTCTGCTTGCTTTGATACCAACTGGGGCTTCACAGGTCACTTCTACTGGAACAGATGGTCTACCCCAAATAGGTCCAACATAACTGTCACAGGAAGCACATTAAAGGCCCAAGGCCGTGGCACCAGAAGCAACTTTCCCCTCAGCATCGGCCCTCGAAAGCTCCCTCAGGGCAAGCAGCGACAGCATCCGCAAATTTCGAGAACATATGAGAGGAACGGCAGGGTAGAAAAACACACCGTCAACCTCGATGCCTGGCGGCACGAAGGGGATGGAGCCAGTGGCGATGATGATGTTCTTGGCCGTCACCGTTTGGAACCGCTGGTTCTCTTTTCCATACTGAATCTTTCCGGGCGCCTGCAGCAGCCAATAAACAACAATCCAATCACTTCTCAATTGTCAATTCCGAAACAAGGCCAAGCCTGCCTATTCAGGCCGCATTGACCATCAGAATGCCCGTTCCTTTTATCAAGCTAAGCTAGGAGGTTACAAAGACGAGGTGATAATATGGTCATCAAAAGTTTCGGAACACTCTTTCATACAATTGTATCCTCCATGGCCTTGCATATGATGGAGCCAGATAAGGTTCTGACCAGGATGGTGGCATTCCCTTCCAGGATCTCCACCCCAAGTCCCGTTAGGGAGTTGGTCAGGTTGCTCCGAATCTTGGTGGCCAGGCCATTTGCATGCTCCGCTACTGCAGCTCTGTCGTAGGTGGCGTTGTCAACCTGCAGCGAAAAGAGAAGGTTGAGATGGTTGGCAGGCTGATGAATCCAAGCTAAGAAAAAGATGAAAGCATGGACCAACCTGATTCATAGATCCGTCAGGTGCAAGGTTCTGTGGAGACGTGTGTCGGTTTGAAGGGACAAAGGGCCCTTACTGTACATCCTGACCTGTGAGCACTCCACCTGTGACCAGTTTCGCTGCACTGTTTTCACCTTACAATCCGTGCTCTTGAACTTCGACATCGCATACCAACTTTATGCAAGGCTATGATCAAGGCTGGGCAAGTCAGTCTACATGCTTCTCCCATCTTGGCCCGTTTTCACTTTACAGTATAGGCTGTCAGGGTACTCAAAGGTTTGAAAGGTAAAACAAGCGTCGAGAATCTTTCATTCTGGTTTGCTTCTACGTTGTATCTCCAGTCTAAAGCTGAGGAAGGGTGGTACAAATTGTGGTGAGCACAAACCATCAAAAAACGGCTGCTTTTTGAACTTCTGGACATCTTGCAAAAGCTGGCAATCTGGCTGCAAGTACCAGCCGGTGTTGCTCAAAACACAGGTACATTACACCTGCAAGGCGGTCATAGGACGACTGTTCTGAGCCATTTTCTGTTGCCAAGGGAGACTGAGCAGTCAAACAGCGCACACTGCATAACTGATAAACCGTTTCGTTCTCCCCAGGTGCACATGCCCTGAGATCTTGTGCATTCCTCAAAGTCTTAAAAGGTTTGAAATTTCTCAAAGGTCTGCTCAAAGAACCTCGTCTCACCTGGATGCCAAGGGCCTTAAGGTGGTGTGCATCCTTCATCTCCCGCATCCTTCCGCTGACCGCTAGAAGCGCCTTTGATGGCACGCAGCCCCTGTTTACACAGGTTCCGCCAACCACATCGCCCTCCACAATCGCAGTCCTTAGCCCCTGCAAGTACGGCTCATGGTGATTACAAGCATTACAAGGGCATTTCACTGGTGAGAGCAGATGTCTGAAATGACCTAGACCTATTGTAGGTTCCAAATCCTCGTGTAGGTAGTGGTGACTGATGGTTCTAGCATACAGTGCTCAACCGCTTGACGAACCAACGGTCTGGTACTGGAAGGGTCATCACGCCTACATTCACCAACAAAATGGCATTAGTTCCTGGGAGCTTTGCCCAACCTAGTCATAAACCTTTTGTCCTTTTGTAATCCCAGGACACTAAGGACTGTTGCTGCTGAAGGCAGGTGTCCTTCAATGTGTCACGCGCATTGTGGCCTGATGCATCCCTCACCTTTTCAACGGCGTGAAGGGCAGCACCGTGGCCCCCCACACCGGCACCAATAATGACCAGATCATAGTCATACTTGGCCCCATTCTCTGCAGAGGCTGCTGCGGCCAAAGCGCCCCCTCGTTGCCTTTGTCTCAAGGGACGAGCACTCAAGCTCCTCTCACAAACCGCCCGGGCTTCCTTTCGTTGTGCAAATGCAGCAAGATGCTTGTGAAAGCCGACAAAGTCCTCAGCTATACAGGGCGAGTGGGCAAAGAAAGGAGAGGCATTTCGGTGTGAAGCGGGGGCACTGCTGCGAAGGGCAATGCCGGAAGAGAGCGCCCGGGAAGCTGCGAGCGCGCACTGCGCCATCTTCGCTCCCCTTGGCAGCAAAAGATGTCGAAGCTCCTCTCAGCAAATTTTACAATGCCAATGCGAGCGCCGCCAACACGTACCTTTTCTGCTTTTCACAAAAGGCTTCTCTACGTACTGCAAATCGCAATGCGCCAGCATTTCTCCCTCAGCCAAATGCCGGCGGCGCATTCACACTAAATATGAAGACCTGGGGCGCCTCCCTCCCATCGAGATTACGGCCCTTCCCTTTTGTTAACTGTTACGAGGAAAAACGAATGTGCGCCGTTGGATGAGATGTGGACGGCGGACAAAGATGCTCAAATCAGAAGAGAGACGCCCTTGCAAGCCCATCCTTATATTACAGGGGAATTCCGGTGTACATTTACACTTTGCTTGGCTTTGTCCGTTCGACGCTGTCGTCGAAGTTGTTCCTGTGGCGAAGCCCGGTGAATCACTTCGACAAGCTGCGCCGAAAGCTTTCGTGGGCAGGGAAGAAGCTCTTCCGCGGCGCCGCCTTCTTCCTCTTTCCTTGAACACCCTAGTTACAAGGGGGCGGCAGCCGCAGCCGCAGGGGGCCGCAGCCATGGTGAAGAACGTGCTGCAGTCGACGTCGATCGACATCCCGGAGGGGATCAAGTTTGAGCTGAACGCCAAGAAGGTCCGCGTGACCGGGCCGAGGGGCACGCTCACCAGGGACTTTGGGCATCTGAAGCTAGACTTTCAAATTGTAGATGGAGAGGAGGGGGGCAAGCAGCTCAAGGTTGATGCATGGTTCGGGGCCAGGAAGACCGTGGCTTCGATCAGAACTGCCACCAGCCATGTCAAGAACCTGATCACCGGCGTTACCAAGGGTTTCAGATACAAGATGCGCTTTGTGTACGCCCATTTCCCCATCAACGCGGCCATCTCTGACAAGAAGGACGGGATTGAAATCAGGAATTTCTTGGGAGAGAAGAAGGTGAGCTCCTTGGCCTGCTGTTGCTTGGACCGTTACCGGGAGGGCTGTGCATTCCGAGCGGATTTCATAGGGCCCTCAACCGGTCAGTTACTGAGTGATGCTGAAAGAGCAGCCCGCTGACTCGGATTTAAGACAAGAAAGTTTGGACGGAGACCATCCGTCCGAGCACCTATAGCGTGGACAAATTTATAAAGAGCGGCTGAGATTATCTGGGCAGACCGTGTCGAGTGTCTCACATTATGGAGGATTTCCCACCAGAGGGATTTTGGCTGCGCCTTGAGGTTTCACTGCCGGGCAGCTGTGAACATTTGTCTCACTCCGTCTGCACGTACGGGGCTGTTCATCTTGGTAATGGTGCCGTTTGTCGTCAAGGGGGATACTGGTGGTAATGGTTATTGGCATGGCCGGGCGGCAACTCAGGCTGAATCAAATTTGCAGCGAAGTTGGGAAAGAACTTGTTCTGCTTCGTTTTTGGAATAGTATCTGTGGTTGGCAGCAAACGTGTCCATCAGTGGATGTCCCACGTTGCCGTTCTGTCCGGGCGAAGCCTTGGCTCAATAACCCATTTCTGTCATTGGGAGACGTATCGCAGGATTTTTTTATGGCCTGGCAAGTTTTAGGCCACTTATTATGCATAGCTAGCTTTAGCAGGCACCTTTTCAGACCAGCAAAGAGACTGATGAAGGTGAAGACAGCCGTTGGTATGCCTGTTCAGGGCTTCGCCCCTAAATTGTACTTTGGCGTCTGCACGGCTGTATTGTGTGTCTTTGTTCGGGCCGGGATGCCCATTGTGTTTACAATCTGGTGCTCAAAATAAGGGGAGTTGCCCCTTCTTCACAAGTCATGCCATTTGGAATTGAAATTGTTTGGAACCGAAATTGTTTGGAACCCTTCTTCTTTTCAGCATAATTCAAAAGAGAGATTGTCAAAGTGAGGGTTCGGGACATCCTGGTTTCGCTTGCGTCAAAGCTGCTGTTTCTGCTTTTTCGGGACTCCTGGGTTATGTGGTCTTGCTTGCCTGTTGTTCACATAGTTCCACAGTTTGAATTTTCTCATTTCAAATGGCGGGTGTGGACAAGGAAGGGAAGCGCCGCATTTGCGAGTTGAGCTGTTTTGTTGTATGAGAAACTTCAAAGTCTGGGCCATGCCGGATGCACAGGACTTCTTTAGGCATACTGTCAGGGTGCTGCCTACATTTGTTGTGCATGTTTGGTTGCCCCCACAGAAGCAGGATTGCATCCAAAGGTACTAGACCTAGCTTTGCTGGGTGCGTGTTGTCCCAACGGTGCGCTCCTGTTTGTTTGGTGCAATCTGGTTGGTCTTTCTGCATCTAAAGCACTGAGTTCTACGCACTTTTCGATTGCTCTCCCTGAAGAGGCGAATTTCCAAGGCTGAAGCTCTGCGTCATTTTTCTCTTTCCCCTCCCCTCCTTTCAGCAGCAGTGACCGATGTTTGGAAAGCTGAATTTGTGTTTGTCTTGAAGAAGTGCAAGTGTACCTTCCAAGCAGGAGAGATTCCAAGTTAGCCCAAGGAGAGAAGTTTCATATCCCCGATGTTTGCCTTCTTATCTCATTTGAGACGAGATACTCGCGGAGTACCTTCTTGATAGCTAAGCTGTGTCAACTGCTACACTGGGGGAGCATTTTAGGCTGAGCAGTTTTGCTGCGGCGTTGCAGGTGCGGAAGGTGACCCTGCTGAACGGTGTGACCATCACCCGGTCAGAGAAGGTGAAGGACGAGATTGTCCTGGAGGGGAACGACATCGAGCTCGTGTCACGGTCCTGCGCGCTCATCAACCAGGTCAGACTGCAGTTTTTCTTCTTTGGGTTGCTTACATCAGAGTCGCGCTTGTGCTTGAACGCTTTTTCCTTCAGCTCCACAAGTCCTTCTTGAAGGTCTTAGGTGGCCTCATTAGTGTGATTATTCTGGAAGGTGTGTCAATATGTGTTGCTTTAGCAGGCACCCTTCGGTCTCGGGTGTTATGTTTGCTCTTAGCTCCTTTGCCGAAGGCTGTGGAGGCAAAGGGGTCGAGGGAGACTGTTCGCGGAAAGCTACTACTTGCATTGGTACATGGGGCATGAAGAAAACTGGTCACAAGCAGTTAAAGAGGACAGACTTTCAGTAGAACGACAAATTGAGATTGTCTCGTTGAGTAGTGGGTTGCTGGTTCCTGAGTTCAAGCAGCAGGGGACAAAGCCTCCACCTCACCAAAGTACGGAGTAAAAGCTTGCAGGGTGCTTCTTAGGTTGAGAGGAGAAAAGGGTACTCTATGTGTCCGTGACATGACCGTTGTCACAGACACAGAGGTCGGTGCAAGTGCACCCATTGCTCTCGCTATCAGAGGGTTGGAGCGAAGGTCTTTAACTGTGTGACCGATCTCCTTTATGTGGTGCGCGGTACGGCATGTCTATTGTCCTTAACCTTCTGTCTTGTTGTGCAGAAATGCCACGTGAAGAGGAAGGATATCAGAAAGTTCTTGGACGGGATCTACGTGAGCGAGAAGGGTGTCATTGAGGTCGCCGAGTAACCAGGCAGTTGCAAGGACATGAAACTTTTCATAAGCCCTTTTCTTTGCAAGTTTTCAAAGCAACTTCCGATGATCAGAATGCATGGTGAAGCTAACGAGCTTTGTTTTCGGGAATGCATCATGGCAGTCAAGGCGTATATCGAGTTTGGGTTGTGGTATTTATGTTCGCATATGGTGGCCACCAAGGTTTTGCCATTATTCTTGGATGACTTTATGACATGTGTACGTCCCCTTCCAAGATGCTTGCCCAAATCGATTCAATGTGGTTGCCGCAAGGTCTTAAATGACATGCATCCGACCCGCATGTCTCGCACATGCGAAATCTGGGCTTTCAAGAACACATGAAACGATCACAAAACACGCTGTCAGCATTCACTATAATGTGAGTGCGCGTGGCCCATGCATGTGACTCTAAGGTCAACGTTGCATTGGGCCAGAGATCGGGCCGTTCCAACCCGTCTCTGGATAATGCCTGCCTGCCGCAGTTCGGGAATGCAAACTCTCGCCTATTGCAGTAAATTGACTATGAGTTGCAGGATTGAACAGATTAACAACTGTGTCAACTCCGGGCTGTCAAAAGTGGGCTCCTGCCGACGGAGGGGTGATCTCTAGCTGCCAAGGAGCTTCTAAGAATTGAGTCACCTGAAAAGGCGACTTATACCTCGGACCAACAGGCGGGTGTTACCGGTTAAACGTATCTACCTCCACATCAAGTCTCCCAACATCAAGTTCCTGCAAAACGCCGAGTGCACCCATTGTTGAGTCCAAATTAGATGACGACGTGACAGGCGCCAATTTTGAAAGCCGTGTCTGCACTGAAATTGTCTGAAGTTGAAGAGACCGGAGCATTTGTATCCGCATCCGAAAATGAATGCGTAGCAGCCCCGGATACCTTGTTTGCTAGAATCAACAAAGAGCTTCAAACCTTGCTGATTGCCAGCAATGGTTTCCACAGATGTATCGGTAGGAATACTGGCAGAAAGAGAGCAGACAAAGATTCTCGGGAAGCTCACTCGTCGTCTGCCCGGGTTCGTCAGCCTCTGCCGTATCGTCCGAGCCGCTGCCCGGGACACCAGCCGGCCCGCCAGCTCGATCGGCAGCAGCGCCGCTTGCTGTTGTGCGTTCAACGGAAGCTGCGGAGCGACAAAAATTGTGTTTGTAAGAGATCTCCATCAGCTAGGAAGAGAAAGTCTGGGGAGGGACTCGCAGAGAAAGCAGAGTCGATCCAGGATGAAGCTAAAGCCAGTCTCCTTTGATTTGGCAACGCAAAAATGAAAATGAGTTCTTCGGAATAGTAAACCACCCCAATTGGTTGCCTGCTGCGCCTCGTGTCACTACCTTTCCTTTCCCTGTGTCTTTCAGCTGCTCTTCGATTCGAGCGTCCACTTTGCAGATCCTCACCAGTCTTCTTCCTTCGCCTTCTGCTTTCTACTCTGCTCGTTTACGTTCGGTCTCCCCAACTTTCCCTCGTGTACTTGTGTCTGCCTGCATTCATGCATTCCGTTTCTTTGAATCGCACTCATCCCGGTTGTTCCCTCAAACTCTCGAGTATCAAACAGACCCCATGAACGGTACTCACCTCCGCTAGGACCGTCAGCTGCGGTACGTACTTGGTCAGGGCCTGCGCCTGTTCGACGGCTTTCGAGAGGTCCGCCAGCCCCACCTGCGGCCGCGCCGGCTCCACCGCCGACTCCCTCGCTTCGCGGCTAATACTGGCTACCTGCATCACCAAGAAAGTCAAGCTTGTCTTTTCACGTTGTTTTTGCATCGTTTACTTTCTCCGTCCTCCCTCCTTTTCCTTCCTGAATCTTGTCGTTCACAGGAGGTTTGGCTGCGAACTAGGTTGACGGTTTGGCTGTTAACCAGGTTGCGTCCAAACCTGAAATCTCAGGTTATTAAACAGATTAACCGGGGCGTTACCTTCTTCCGCGGCTGGTTATCACAGGTCTGATCACTGGACATGCAACCACTTTCTTACCTGCAACTAGGGCCCATACCATCCATGTTAAGTGCCTAGACTTCTGTGGTTAATGCGTCCAAATGCTCGCAGCTATCGGATCCAAAGAATCACCTCAGAGCACTTCCTTCGCAAGAGCGACTTTCTTGATTTCGCGGCTCCAAATTTGTGCGGTATTAGAGAATGTAACCCTGAGACCTTACGACTCCGAAATGAGCAGAGCTGGAGCCCAATTGCCCCAATCTTGGGACTACCTGAGGTTCGGATGCTTTGATTTTGCAATAACGTCAACACCCCGTTTCCCGCCGAGCCGGCTGTGTCAGAGCCACTGCCTTCACCAAACCAGTAATCTCTAAGTCTAGTATCATAAGGTTGCAAGAGAGGTGTTTCAGAATCTACTGAGGTTGGAATCATATGCGGACTCACGATGACGTCATCCCCAACCGTGGTCACCCGCTGCACCCTCTGCGGCGGCGCCGCCGCCGCTCCGTCCGCCGAGCCTGACGTCAGCAGCGCCCCGAACTTGCGCAGGTTGACGAGCGCCTCGTCGTCCTCGGGCTCGGAGAGCGGCTCCGGGAGCGGGAGCGGGAGCGCGGGGAACGAGGCGCGGAGGTTGGAAACCGCGGAGTCGAACAGCGCACGGTTGTATGCGTCGAGGCCCTGTGAGGAGGCTTGAATGAATAAGGACGAGTGTAAAACGAGATCAAAGTACGGAAACGGACCTAGGCACTAGAAGTCCCGGAAGCTGGGTTGAAGCGCAGGGTCGATCAGCGTACGGTAGCAGGCATCGAGGCCCTGTAACGAAAGTTCTTGTAAATGGGCGGTTTCGAAAAGAAGCGGGAGAATGGGGAACCGGGCCTCGGGAAACAAGGTGCCGAGGCTCGCAACCGTGGAGTCGGACAGCGCGCGGCTGCACGCATCGAGGCCCTGTAACGGGGGAGATGGTAAAGTGGGGGTTTTAAAAAGGTGCGGGACAATCAGAAACAGGGCCTCAAAACACGAGGCGTGAAGATTGACGACCGCGGAGTCAAACAAAGCGCGGTTGTACGCATCGAGGCCCTGTAACGGACGAGATAGTAAATTGCACAGTCAGGAAAGAGTCCGGGAGAGCCGAAAACAGGGCCTCAAGATCTGAGGTGCGGAGAGTAAACATCGCGTCAAAGCAGGTGCGGTTGTACGAGTCAAGGCCCTGTAATGAGGGGACAGTAAGACGTGTCAACGAGGTGCCGAGGCTGCCATTTGCGAGTCGATAAAGTGCGGTTGTACGGGTTAAGGCCCTGTAAAAGGCTGAGGACTAGTCATGACTGCAGAGAAGGATGCACACAACTTGGAGACAGAGCCTGACAGATCAAGCTACGGAGCAGGGATCGCGAAATTGACCAGCCTACGTACACTTGTGAACGTGAAACCCTTGTGAAGCAGGGTCGGACCCTGGAACAATTGGGATAGGGAAGAATGGGGAAGAACAGCCCGCAAATCTGAGCGGCCAGAGACCGGGCCAGCGAGGAGCGCCCGGTTGTGATCCTAGAAGGCCCTAGAAGAAGGCCCTGAAAGACCCTGAAAGACGTGCGGCTATATGAAAAGCAGCCCATCGAGACTGGAGAGGGATGCAAGGAGCTAGGAACGAGACCTGGTGAGCTTGAGTGGCCACTTTTCTCGGAAAACTGCGTCGTAGGACAAGAAGCAAGGAACTGAGCTAAATCAGCAACGTCGCAGATCTGAACTTCGGTCTATACACAAAGGTTTTCGGGCTGTGGGGCAGATTGCATTTCTGCATGGTGGCGTGCATCAAAGAAGCGCCGATTCGTCTCGCACGCTTTTGTCGAGCTGACCCTTGTCCACAAACGGAACGGACGACCCGCAAGCACGCTGGACGCCGTTGAAACGATCTGAAAATCGTGAGAACGTGCAAGTAGAAACACTCATCTCCATGTTGTGAGGTGTCTCAAATAAATTCAGGGGGAAGGCGTCGATGAAACAGGAAGCCAATTCGTACCTTGGTCAATTCTGTCAGGAGAGCGTCGCGCACAAACTCGCCCTGCAGCCAGTAACACGTGCCTTTTAAGCAGGGAACTAACGACATCAGCAGAGCTTTCTCGGATTCAAACTTCGAACGGCATGTCATTGGTGCACATTGGAGATTTCCATGGATTGCTCGTCCTCAAAACAGATAGAAGGGAAGGGTGGAACCCATGAGCAGTCTCGATTAGCTAGCTGCGCCGCTCTAACGCAGATTTCCAATGCCTCTATTCTAGAAGCAATTATGAAAGTTCCACGAGACGCTTGCCGGAAAAACGCTGAGTATGAAGATCAAATCCGGTTCTGTCAACCACCCCACTCCTCAGAGACAACACAGGCGTTCAAATTCTCCTCGATTAGCAACGGTGAAACATTTCAGCTTTCAAGCGAGAGTACCTCTTCGCTAAGAGCGAACTTGAGTACTTTTTTGAGGAGTCGCCGGTCCTTCTCCCCCTCTTGAACGTCCGCCTCGGCGGGCTCGAACACTGGTCGTTGGGACTGCACAACGTCCGAGGCATTGAGTAAATGCTGATGCTGGAAACGTAAAGCCTCCTAACGAAAGAAGTTCCAGTGATACTCTCGCGAGTGCGGTTCAGGAAACGTATAAGTAGAAGCCAATTTTGCGGTTGTGGAAACATGAGCATGGAGGTGTAACAGATCAGGCGGTGCATTCGTTGCTGGGGACCGGCAGCCAAACTGTGGAGGGCACGGACCTATGGTTCAAGACGTAATTTGAAAGGGTTTACAAAGAAGAAACTTATCCGTAAGAACCTCGCCTGCAACAGATACAACAGAGAACCTGCTGAATTTCGAGCGTGTAAGGAAGAGGCAAACGTGCCACTCCGGAGGTCGACGGGTACTGGGTCTGGATAATGCGTACACTTAGTTAGACGTCACACCAGGCTCTGGATAGCAGAGGCGATACGGCATGTGGACTCACCTCTCGTAGCAGCGACTCTAACCGGTCAAACCGAAAGCTCCCGTTCTGCAGACGTGCAGCGAGAAGAGATCAACAGTTAGCCTGTGCTTCGAGCACGTCACACGTTTCACGTGCTTTGTAGACTTTCCAGGGACTCTTCGTCACGAAAGACCAAAACCCGACAACGGTATTTGGCATCGCGTTCTACTTGGTGATGCTCTAAGATCGTAGCCGTGCAGGCACTCCGCGGAGATCTAAACAACATCTTACAAGCGTCGACCCTCGGCTGAAATGGGGCGTCAGCGATTAAAACCGCCAAATGCATAGCAGCAGTCTCGCAAAGAGCTAAGTCAACTGCCCCTAACGAGTAATATGACGAATGCAGAAACCGCGACCATGTAGACGCCAGGGGCCCTCCAATGCCCTGTGAAACAGCATCAGAAACTCGTTCTTTGAAGGGCTTTAGGGGCCCACCTGGTACAGCAGCTCTTTCAGCGTGGCCCGGAGTGCGGGCGACCTGTCCGTGAGCACTTTTTTGGCGATCCACGGGTACGCAGCGCCGAGCACCTTGTAGTTGCGGTCGCTCGCGAGCGCGATGCCTTCCAACACCGTCAAGCTGCAGCATCGCACGGAGAGATTCACACCACAGATAACTCCTCTCCTCTATGCTTAAAAGATATCGTCCTGAAAGTCAGCCCCAGTACTTGATCAGGTTATCAGCTGATCATCGTAGATGTATCTGAACCCCGTCTCGAGAACGGTATCTGTACACCCCTCCTTAGGCCAGTCCGCAGATCGTTTGTCAACCTTCCTCCGAAGCGAGACTTAAGCAAGCCGACCATTCAGAATCACTTCTGAGAAAACAAAATCCAGAGGGGTGCGCCTTCATTTTGGCGACGTTCAGGATTGACCAGGATTAGGGGAAGCCCGTGAAAGGTTCCAACCCGCTTTGAGGTCATGCTTACACTTCATTGAGGCGCATGATTTACTTACACCAGGCAACCTTAAACCTAACGAATACTACAGGAATGTCGTCAAGTCAGCTTCCCATAACCCAAAAAAGCTCTCGCCCGAATCTCTGCATTACTTAAAAGGGGTAAAGAAAGACACACACCCGGAACCCACCTCCTGATCACCAGCGAAAAGTAGGCCGGTATGCGGAACTTGAAGTTGTACATCGTCCGGCCAAGGTCGCCGGACAGGTCCCCGAAGCTGATGTTTCGGACGCCCCCGGCAATGGCCGACTGGAAAACGCCGGTCAGCGCGGGGGCGACCGCCGACATGTCCGCCGTGGGCGGCAGCAGGCCCAGCGTTACGAAGTCTTTCGCCAAAAGGTTGAACTCCCGGTTGACCAGATGCACGCACGCCTCGATGAGGCCCTCACGCAGGTTCTGCTTGATCTCGCCCATCATGCCGAAGTCTGCGGGTTAAGGATCAAGGGTTAAAACTTGCGTCTTGGCAATAAAAGTTAGGGCTCAAAGTAAACCTGGGTTTTATGGAACTGATTAGTTCCAAAGGGCCGCTTTGGCAGATTCTGGTTTGATCTTTCCATCATGCCAATGTCTGTTACGTCAAAGAGTAAAAAAACCTGAAGTCTGGATCCGCTTTCGGCAAACTCGCTTGGGTTATCGAGGACCTTTCAAGGATGGGAGTTTATGCCTTTGACGGACTGCGCAACTGTCGGTGACGAACAGCAGCTGACATGTAGTTGCAAGAGTTTGCCTCCAATATTACCCTTTCCGATTTGCAACTGTGCCTCAGGGGCAGCACTTGGAAACGAAGGTCTATAGGAAATATACTTGGATGGACATCTTCCGCACGCCCACAACCTACTAGTATTGAGCAGTATCATCAAGAGAATTGTCTATCATTCCATTGGACGTCAGCATACCCAGGTACGCCAGCCTGCCGTCCGGTGTTCGCAGCAGGTTTCCCGGGTGGGGGTCCGCGTGGTAGAACCCTGAGTCGAGCAGCTGCGAAAGGGAGCAGTAGACGCCGACCTCCACCATGCGCAGGTCCTCGGGAGTGACGCCGCCCTCCGATAGCCGCTGCCCCTCCACCCACTCCATGATCAGCACTCTGCGCACAGGAAAGGAAACGCGAAACAGAAAATTCGCTCTGACCACTCTTCCGATCCGATTCGGCTGGTGGTCTTTATATGACGGGAGTTACTCGGTTGATTCAACCCACAAAGCATATGAAGAACCAGAGCAGAACACGAATCGGTGATCTCTCACTCGAAGAGTGGTGGTAATGCATTTTCCCTTTATATTGCTTCCTTGGTAGAACGTCTCGTTGGGCCTTTCCCTCCGTCACTCCCTCCGCATTCGTCCGTGCATGTAACGCAGTCAATCGAAAGCTGTCGTCTCTGCTGGACCGATGTGACATCATGTATTCTGATCTCCGTTTTACTTCTTCCTCCCGTCAAATCGGCTCACCGTTTGCTGGTCAGCTCCGGGTACACCGTCGGCACCATCACGTTGTTGATTGCGCCGAAGAGCTTCTTGAAGCGCAGCCCGTTGCGCGCCTCCGCGTTGTAGTCCATCTCCTTGAACAGGCTCGCGGCCCACTCGTCCACCACCGCCTGGGGAGTCGGACCAAGGGATTTCAAAAGTGATAGTGTGTCAAAGTAATAGAAATACTACCAGAAACCGTATCCCAGAGGTTTACCTGCTTCGTACTCCTAGCCACCTTGAAACTTTTCAGAAGACTGGATTTGGAACATAGCAAATTAGCTTCACCAAGTTCTTGACCAGGCTGGCTGCCCACTCGTCCACCACCGCCTGGGGAGTCGGACAGGGCCTCAATGTGTTGAAACAATCAGCAGGATTAAGTTCACCGGCATTGGAAATTGTCCAAAATGGGAAAACGGGGCGAGGTACACGGTGTTCCCATTTTCGTAGCTGCAGTCGAACATGCGCTCTCCCCAACTGCACTGCCTCCAGCTAACCTTTAGGGCATTGATGAAGCAGAGCAAGAAACCCGAAGCATATGACATAGATTTTTTTCCGCCAGATGCAAGCAGAAACCCTTTGTGTCGTAAAAAGCGCGAATGAGTGGACAATTGACGACCTGCCTCTCTTTGAGGGAAACTCTGAAATTCCACCATTCCGATCAGTCTGGTGGCTGCAATTGCTTGGCGAAGGACCATGCATCGACTACCTGCATGGCTTGCGCCGTTTCGGCACTTTTAACTCGTTCTTCCGATGTGGACTGTTGGCAACACGGATGAACCCAAGACTTTTTTGTCATCAGGTGGGTTGTGTTCGGTGCTCGACCTCCGAATCTCCAGACGAGTGCAAGCCTGGCAACATCGTCCAACTCTCGAACGGCTTGGAACTCATAAGCGAGTGTAAAGCAACGTAAGCTGAAAGACGGGACGCCGCTTCCGTACCTGGAGGTCTGTGTTCAGCCTGCCGTACCGCTGGCCCAGCCCCGCCAATATCCGCAAGATGTGTACGTCCAGCGCGATCGCAGCCATCACCCCTGGCCGCTGAACCTGCACACGCCAAAACAAGTCCGCCCATTAGTTGAAGGCGATTTCTAACAAAGACGATACTCCGAGTTAAGAGTCGACTCTGCCCTATCTTCGTTTGATGCGTCCGTTGCCCCATGGGCCATTCAAACTTGATTGCTATAGAGATTTCAGACCGGAATGCAATAATCGAAGAAAATCAAGAACCAGATTTTATTCCACTCCCGCGAGGATTTGCGGTCCATTCCGAAACCCAAGAAAAGCCCCACCATTCCGACACTTTCAGAAAATTGATGCAACCGGCCTGGCGGCTTGCCTTGACGGCGACCTCCTGCCCGTTGGGCCGTAGGCGCGCCTGGTAAACCTGCCCAAGCGACGCAGCCGCAATCGGCTCAGGGGAAATCTCCGAGAACAGCGTCTCGATGGGCACGCCCAGGTCCTCTTCGATGATGTCCAGAGCGATGTCGGTGGGGAAGGGCGGGATGCGGTCCTGCAAAGGAGCGATTGGAGGTTCGGTCGGGGAACGCAGGAGGCTATCCCGTGCTGCGATTCGCTTTCGAGGGCAGAAATAATGCGCCAAAGCGAATGAAGAGTAGAGAAAGTGAGCGAGGTGATACGAGTTCGGAGCAGCTGCCTTTGAACCAGATACGGCCCTGCGATTGCCGAATTCGGGCGCCTTCCAACGAGATCCGCAAGAGTGCTGATCTAAGCGTCGATCCACAGTACTCTCCGCAATGGGATTCTCGACGAGAATTTGATTTCGACTCGAATACAACATGGGTGACGACATTGATGGAGAGTGGTTTAGCGGCTAACCCACCTGCAGCTTCTCCAGCTCCTTGAGGAACTCTTGTGGCACCACATCGGGCCTTCAAGCATAAAACAAGGAACTGACGTCAGCATGACGTCACAGTCACACCCGCTCTCCCACTTCCCAGCAAGTTACTCCAGGATGCCATGCACATGGCCAAACTTCGTCAACCATCGAGACAATGGCCAGCTGGTGGATTGATCGCCAAAACGGTTGAAGGAACCTGGCCTCAACCATTTTGAAACTGCCACAGTTCAAAAGTTGCACCTTGGGGAGACAGCTGCGCAATGTCGGTAGCTCACAACCATCCCGCTGGCTCTGAGTATCAGATTCTTGGGTCTTGCTGGTCGGCTCCAAAAGTCTGAGAAAACGAACTAAAGTTGCTCGCACTCACTACAGACGTGTAGATGTACCGACACAAGAGGTGCCCTTCAACGAATCCAATCAATGTTCGCAGAGAGGAACCCCGATCATAGAATCCAAATAGACGCACTCCAAAACCTCACCGACTCGAAACCGCTTGCCCAATCTTGACAAAGGCAGGCCCTAGCTCCATAAGTGCGGCGCGCAGCTGTGCCGCCCTCTTTGGGAACATAATGGTGGTGCGCCCGCGCTTTGAGTCGAGCCATCGTTTCCCGAGCCACACCCCGAGCGTGGTGCCAATTTGGACCAAGCGGCGGGCCAACAGAAAGGGGCGGGCCTGATAGTATCTGAAGATAGGGGAATCCCCTGTTGATCTTTGTTTCGGGGCTTTCTATTGACGTTGGCCACTATAATGGCTGATACGAGGGGGCCAACCGATTGTTGATTCATTCCTCAAACCACGTCTTTGAATATTCTGGATTCTGGCTGCTCTCGTATGACCAATTGATCTCATTATGGATGCAAGAGCATCACCATTGAATCTTGCATTCCCCCAACATAAGTCCGCCCTGACTAAGTTCCACCATTTCAGTGGATTGAATGATAGTATACAAACAGCACTTCTCTTTTCAACAAGTTTCAAATCATTCCTACAGAATTCTTACAAAATCCACCACCAGGTGAAGCTCACATGAAATTTAAAACGTTTTTCGTCAAAAGTACACAGAAAAGCAGTCTCCTGATCAATGACTTTGAGATCTCCTAACTTCAACAAGACCCCCATTAGATGGAGCTTGCGTCAGGCCTATGATTGTCCTCCGTTAGACAGCATTGGGAGACTGACGGGTGTTTGAGTGAAAGCCAAATGTGGCCGTTTTCCTGACTTTCTGGTGCACCAAAAAGACCAGCATCGAAAGGAGCTTGCATCAACCTTTAGGGTCTCCATCAAAGCGGCATTGACGATTGGTTTATCAAGTGTGGGAATGAAGGCCAAACCTGGCAATCTTCTGCTGGTCGTACTCGGGCCACGTGTTGGCCTCTCCGTCCGCCTGATCAAAGATGTAGCCCGAGTACTTGGTGAACGTGTCCCCTTTTTCGCTGGTATCCTCATACTCCCGCACCTCGATCCTCGTACTCTCCCCACCCGCCAGCGGATACCTCCTGCTGTCCAGCTGAATGCTCGTCCCAGCTGCCGCCTTGCTGACCTCAGCTCTGTACATGTTGCTGACATCACCTTTCCTGGCGGCTCCGTTCTGGGACGTGAGAGCAGTATAGGCGGCCCCATTGTCTGAGTTTCCTAGAGGGGTTTCATACCTGGGGGGCGCGGGTCGGGTGACTATGGTTCCATTGTTCGTAGCACGGGCGGTGATTGTGAGCTGTCTCCGCAGTCTAGTTGGTGGCCAGCTGTGTGTGACATTTAGAAGAGCAGCATTCCTGCTTGCATGCATTGGAGCACCAGGTTGATGTAGAGAAGTAAAAGTCGAGCAGCCTGATGAACCATGCAAATTTTGGAGGGGCACTATCACGTTGGAAGTCAGCTGTGAATGCCATACTTGTCTGGGGCCCCCCGAACGATGCTGCATTCTTCTTCCAGGACTACCACCACAAAAGATCGATGCTGCCGCCTGAAAACTTTGCACTTCCGCCAGGAATTGAGCAGACGCCATTCTCCTAATCACCTACTCAAATCGTTGCAGCAGACTTAGACGGCACCAACCTCTCAGAACGTCATCTTCAACTTGTCCCACTAGGTACTTAAAAGCAACGCCTTCGATCAGTTTCTCTAGGGAAAGGACGTGCTTTTCTCCCTGCTCAGACATCAACTTCAAGTTCAAGATTCAGAATCAAGGAGGCAAGTCCGAAGCTCCAGAGTCCACTCCATTTTCAAGCAGAGCCGACCTGTATCGGACGGTTGAAAATGGAGCAGAGTTGTCTCCAAAGGGCTTCAAGCAAGCCACGTATTGTAGATTCTTGGCGCTTTTTGCACTTTCCTGCCGTCGTGGCTGCCATGGTGGCAACGTCCCTTCTGCTTGTCTCGGAACTTTGCCAATTGACATCATGCAGTGCATTCATTGATTGATTTGAAGTTGCTGGTGCAGCAGCAGTGGAATGGCGGTATGGCGGCAGCCGCGCCAGCAGAGATGACTCGTGAGCAGCCCGAACCACTACCCGAGAGCTGCTGGAGCTGAGCAGAGCAGAGCTGGCCCTCAAGCCTCGAAGTATTCTGCTGGCTTCAACGTGGGCAACATCACTGCCTGAGGTTGCCAACAGCATCGCCCTGCCCATGTTTCGCAGACCGTGGTGCATTGCTTTTGCAAGTCAAGGCTAACCTGTGTTGGCAAAGAGCTGCGTCTTGTAGCCAGTACAGATGCATCCCCAGATGAGTGCAAGGAGCCTTATCTCTGCGTCGCGGCAAAACTTTAGCGGATGGACCGTCACCATTTTTGAACAGTGGTCATTGGCTGGCCTTTCACTGAGGCACATTCCTGTCCCCTGTCGCAGCCGGTTCACAACCAGTCCAAATGTGCAGAAGCGCCAACGAAGAATTTCAGAGGTCGCGCGACACTCGAGCGCCCATGCGGTTAGCGCTGGCGACGGCTGCCTCAAAAAGCAGAGGTTGCCCACTGGGAGAGTTGACGTTGGCTACCGTCCCGCATTCCCACTGCAGTCGCACATTGGTTTACAAGCAAAGAAGGCTGGCAGAATCTTGAGATCCCACCAACTGAACAGCTGGTCTGCAATTGCACGTCACAGCAGAGCCTCTTCTAGGGCGCCAGCTGCCACTGCCACCACCATTGATGCGGCCCTATCGACCGCCTCAGATCAACAGCATGTCCGCACTGACCCTATTTCCACAAGCCTCACTTCTAACACCCACCACTCGCCCAACACAGCTTCCCCCCTCTCAGACTGGGTCGTTGAGTGGCAAACTTCCGAGATGGCGCGCTGGCTCGCCGCCCGCGGTGAGAATTGGCTCCTCGTGGAGGGCCCCATGCTGCCGCGCGACCACCCGACACTCGGACGGGGCTTGTTCACATCAAAAGCGGTGAACAGGGGAGAGTCTCTGGTAGAAGTGAGCAGGGGCCTCATTGCAACCCCCCAGAGTTTGGCTGAGGAGTTGCGGGATGCGCTTCCGGATGATGTCACGGACTGGGGTCGAATGGCGGTCTTTTTGACGCTGGAGCGACGGAGAGGGGGAAAAAGCGAGTGGGCGCCGTACGTGCAGGCGATGCCCCCCCTGGAGGAACTGGACAGGTGGGGGCATGTCTTTTGAGAGAGGGCATAAGAAGGGTGAGGTTGGTTCAAGGGGATATTTTCTAAGAGGGCGGCTTGCTGGGGAAAATGTCCAACGTTGATGTTGACATATAGAAAGGAACTGACGCTTACCACGCTAACGGGTCTTTTTGTGTTCTGCATTGCGACACTCCATTTCTGATTCTCTGTAAGTCACGGTGTATCTCTCTGCCTTTGGGAGTTCAAAGGGGACGACATTCACGGCAATCTTGACGAAGTCGTTGCTTGTTGCTAGCTTACTCTGTGTGTTGCTCAAAAACGACCACTCGAAAACTCTTGAAGGGCCTCTAAGCAACACTTGCTCGGCAATGCACCCTTGGTTTTTCAGGAATTGACAGGTTCGAGATTGCCCTGCAGTACTGTCTTTTGGAGCGACAGTGAGCTGGCGCTCCTCCGCGGGTCCAACCTCGCTGACGTCACCCGCGAGCGGCGCCGCATGATGGCCGCCGAGTACGACGCCCTGCGGCCCGTCATGCAATCCCGTCCCGACCTCTTCGACCTCGTCCCCCTTTCCGAGTCTGAGTTTCAGCACGGCTATGCGCTAGTGTGCTCTCGGGCCTGGATGATCGAAGACCTGGACCACATCTCGATGATCCCGTTCGTCGACTTCTTCAACCACGACGGGGGCTCGATCTCGCATCTCTCTTACGATAAGGAGGCGGGGCTGGCGTATATTGATGCGGACCGCGACTACGAGCCCGGCGAGCAGGTGCTCATAAGCTATGGGGATGCGCCGAACGCGACGCTTGCGCTGGACTTTGGGTTCACGCTGGCAGAGAACCAGCACGATCAGGTGAGCTTCTCTCGTTCGTCGAATTCGGATTGTCCCCGAAATTGAAGGATCGGTTGTGCTGGATCCGGCTACCCTTTTCCGAATGTCAGGCCTCCCGGGTTTGGGCGCGCCTGCTAGTGAGCCAGGCGTGTCGAGCTTTCAGTAGGCTCTTGAGTCGAATCTTGTGCAATAAGTAGATAGGCGAAACGCGTCCTTTAGTTTGAGTTGTGCCACGGATGTTTCTTTTTCATGGGCAGCCAAATCTGCAGATATCCGCATTTACTGTTTTTGTGATTAGCCGGTGGCTTGTTAAAATCACTTTGAAGTTTTTCAACCTCTTCTGCGTGAGCAGCTTGCACCTCCTCCACGGTTCTCTTCAACGCCAGCCCCTCTTCAACCGAATCATCATATTTCTTATAGGTATTTTGCAGAGCTGCCAGCGTTCCATGGCAATCATCGATGATCTTCTCAAAATCCGTTTCAATCACGGTCGTTTGGGTCCCTATATGACTCTGTTTGGCTCTCTGAGCGATGAGTTTGGCGTGACGGTAATCTCTCATCCTGGTCCACATTCCATGCATTTATTCAGCACGTGACTAAGTAATTCAGTCTCCAGATCGGGGCAGCGAGAGCAGGCCGTCCACGTGGCATCCAACCCACGTACCAAGTCCAATCGGTATGCTGCCGTTGCAAGATCGTTGTTGTGCCAATCCTGCAACGGATATTCCTGACCCTGCACCGGTCTACATGCATCCTCTCATGACGTTACTAAACATACCGTCACACATTCATATAATCGTTCCGCTTTTTGTTTCGGTACCCCAGAGGGCAGTCTGGATGCCGCTCCCCACTGCCGACCCTCTCAAGCCACGGAAAGCGGAGTTGCTGCGCGCGGCCTTCGACCTGCAAGCAACCACCGGAGGGGACCCGGACGGCGGTGCCTGGTTCACACTAAAGTACGCTGCTCAATCCAACCGATACCTGGCCTCATTCCTCCATGGGCCGCGTAACTTGTACACAGCTCTGTCACTCCTTGCATCCCGCCGTTGACGGTTTGAAGTTTTTCTTTCAATGATAAGCGGAGCTCTGGAAATGGGGAGCGGGGTTGTATAATGTTCGTGAGCTAGTCAGACTGTCGCTGATTCGACTACCGGCTTGGATGCAGTCTTCGACGGGATGGATGCGAAACACTGTGAAGCGGTCGTTCTTTCCAAAAGCTCTAGTTGTCAAAGCTCTGGAAAGTCGCGTCGCTCGGTGTCACTTCTTACTGCATTAGCCGTCTCCGTATTCGCAGGGAGTCCAAGTCTGGCGCAGCCGGCCGTGGCGAGGGGATCCCCCGACGGCTGCAGGCCTTCCAGCGGGTCGTCAGCGCGACGTCAGCAGAGTTGGACCAAATGGAGGCGGCCACAAAGCGCGGCAAGCGGCTCGCGTCCCGTGGCTCGCTTACGGCGGACCGAGAAGCTGAGGCGCTGCTCGCGCTTCTAGTTCGGCTGGAGGACATGTACGACACGTGTCGCGAGCAGGAGGCACGGCTGGCGGAGCTGTTGCGGGGCGGGGAGAGTCCCCGAAACGGGTTGCTTGGAAACGACGCGTTGAAAGCTGAGTCTTTGGAGTTCGACGGGGACGTAGATGCTGGGGCGTTGGGCTTGCATCGTAGTGTTGCGGGTGAGGGGCATAAGAACGAGGATGGCGGTTCGTCGGGTTCTCGTCGAAAAGCCGACAATTCGGTAACGGCAAAGTCGACCAGAAGCTCGGAGCACGTTCTTTCAGACGATAGTGTTGGTTTGGACGGAGAGAAGGTCGCGAGGCGACGGGTGCAGATGGCGTATGACGTGTTGAGGGGCGAAGCGCGGGTGCTGAGGTCAGCGGTGGCCTGGTTGAGGCCTCGATCAACAGGCGGTGGATTCGAACATTTGTTGTACAGCGGACGAGGTCTCGCTTCAATGACGCGGTGAACGGTGCCTTTCGTGGCCATTGTGAGGCCGTTCGGTTGGCGGGGGTTCGCGTGATAGCGGTCGCTTCAGTAATGAGACGGTCCTCCAAGCGTTTCTGTGGTCGACTAAGCCGATGCTTCATTTGATTCAGGATGACATGCTGCGAGTTTACGGATTTTGCATGAGCGTGCATGTGGCGTTTGGATAGTATACCCATGCCAGCACTTTGTACATGTACATGTGTGCACAATGTCTTTATCAAACCGCGTTTCAATATTTAAGAAGCTTCATTCCGGCCGCCCATGCATGCCTTAGGTCTATATACAGCGCTCAAATGAACATGTCACTGTAGCCTGTAGTATACCATGCAGAATGATAGCTACTAATTATATAAGGAGCAAATAAACATGTCCCTGTATATAGTAGTACCACGCGGAATGACAGCTATGGTTGCTTATGAGGAGCGAGGATTGAGTGAGATGGTCCATATTGCTATGATTGTAAGCATATTTTGATTGCATCAGCCATGGCAAGTTCAATGATTTCAGCGTGTGCGTGCAGCGCGCATAATACGTACATGCTTTAACACCCTTATATTAGTTCGATGGCAAGGATTTGTTCATGGGCCATATGATGCCCAGACCGACCATGATTCACGCTAAATTAGTAACTTGAGCCCCCAATCTAGCTGACAATAAAACGGCACTGACAATATGCATCTGCATACAATGACTTCGGTGGATACTGAGCTTGCTCAAGCTTGCAGGGGATTCGAGAGACTGCATCAAGCGTTCCTCTTATCCGACCTCCTACCATTAAGCATGGACGGTTGGGTAGGTTCATTACAGTTGCTTCTTAGAGAAGTTTCCTAGTCTTCCGTAGTAAATACGCGATTCCAAGGGCCTCCCGTGGCCTGCAAGGTGTCTGATCACATCCGACTGCTTTCGATGCTTTTACCATGTGTACCGTGTGGTTTGAGCCCTATCTTTCATAGCGTTTTCGCTACCTTTCACCTTCCGAACAATCCTCACAGATAATCGCACATCTGCCGATTTCCTTCAAGCAGACTTGGTTCAAGCTTTCAAGCCCTTCTCTTGAATCTAGTAGTACCCGCTGTCATCGTCAGCGTCTCCGTAACTGCTGCCACCCCGTCGTTGGGACGATGAGAAGTCCAACTCCCGACTTGATGACGACCTTCCAGATCGTCCGCCGCGGCCTGACCTTCCGCCCCGCGCACCCCCTCTTCCCCTGCCCCCACCAAAGCTACTCCGCTTCGCAGCTGCAGCAGCAGCCGCTTCTTGCGCCTTTTTCTTCTCTAGTTTTCTCTTGCTCGGCCGGTAAAGCAGGAGGACGCGCCCTACCTGTCCCGCACAAACACAGCGCAGGGACTTCTCCAACTGTGCTGCTGTCTCTGTCAATTCCTCTGGAGAGTTTGAGAGAACCTTGACCTGCATAACAAATGAAAGCTTTGGATGAGAAGATTACGGTCTCCTTTAATTCCCCGTCCATCAACGACCAAGTTGCAAAATCTAAGCCCCCCTCCGTCTCACAGTGGCTTTTCAGTGAACGAAGACAACAATGGAATTGAACTGAATTGACCAGCCCAACAGACAACGGGTCCCCGTTTCAGCGGTCCATGGGTAATGTGCTACTGCTCTTTCTATGTGATCATGAGGCGGGCAATGAAGCTCCAGACTGCAAAGTCAGGCTCTGCTCTAAAGCCACTCACCTTGATCAATTCATTCTTTTCAAGCGCATCACTGAGGGAAATCTCCACATTTGCCGTGATTCCAAACTTTCCGACCTGCATAGCGGGGATACTGTCCTGGTAAGCGAAAAGGTTTTTGGAACCAATTTTAGCCATGTGCGGGCAGCGTGCTCCCTAGTGAAAACACAAACGGTATGATGGCTTTCAAGCAATGAACGCCGCCAACCAGATGAAAAGGTTGTAAGTCAGACCCCACTTCAAACTCAGACGTAACAAATAATGCGGTGGTGGCAGTCGCAATTGCGTTAAGGACTATAAGTTGTGAGCCAGCTTCGAGCGGCCACTTGCAGCAGCGGAAGCACGGATACTTCAAGCACCATTACCAAAAAGCTTGTCAGCTGGCAGAGACTCAGCCTGCTGAAGTGCAGCACTCAAGCTTTAGGACTTGGAAACAGAGCGCTCACATGGTGGAGGCCTATACTGTCCTTCTGCGCATGTGCGTACGCACGCAGTTCTTTCCTATCCTTGGCCTGCAGCATATCACGCCAGTCGTCTGTCTTTGGCCGAGGGGCTGCTGACTCCGAGTCATCCCAGACAGACTCAAAGCCACTGGAGGAAGGCGCCTCATCATCAGAGGCATAGTCCAGCTCATCACTGCTGGAGGCGGCTGGGAAAGCTCCCAGCGAAGTGGTACTGCCACCCCACCCCCGCGTTTTCGAACTGCTTTCACTTTTTCTGATCAGGGGTTGAGAAAGAGGGGGTTTGCTAGACAACAACCTCCCCGACGAGGCACCGAGAGCCGAGGAGAAAGTGCTCTGAGCAGGAAGATTCGGGATGTTGTGTACGAGTGATTGGACGAGCAGTGATTGTTTGAAGCAGGCTGAGGGGGCTGAGTGATTTGCACCAAGCGATGCGGAAAAGCTGTCGGTTGAACCTCCGAGGATGGGGCGCAGCTGCAGCGACTGCCGCAGTGCCCGCGCCATGGTCAACCTGAAGAACGTGGTGGGCCAAACACGTGAACTGAACAAAGTGCGTGGATCTTCCTTGTGAACTTTATTGACTAACCATCAGTAATCAATGCTCCCGCCTCAGCTTGCACCACCCCTTTGCCAGCCAGAACATAAAGCTACCCGCCTATTACTTCAACTTCCAACCTCCACACTGCACAGGGCCTACAACATAAAAAGCAGAGCGCCTTGTCGAAATCCCAGCGAGGAAACACAATGTGACGTTGAACTTGTGCCAGTGGCGCCCTAGCTATGGCTAGCGCTGCCAACAGTTTCAGGACAACTAGATCGAACGAGTCCGGGAAGCCTGTTCACGTGAATCACGTCGCACGCGATGAATCATGGGGACCGCGGCCGCGGCGCGGCGTACCCGGCGCATCATTGGTGAACACGTGGCACGCTGTCCTTTGTTGAACCACCTGGCGCTGATTTTGCGAAGATTCAGTCCAAGTTGCTCCAGCTGGCATGGCTCCTGAGAGGACCTGAGGCTGGGTACCTACTCCTGACTCTTCCTGAGGCTCATGAGACTCAGAGGTTTGCTACTTGCACCATGTGGTGTGCACTGTGCAGGTCATTTTGCAGGTCTGCACAGGATGAGGCAGACGCGCTTCGGAGTTCAACTTCGATGTTGCCCGCGCAGCCATGCCCTTTCCAACGTTTCCCATCCGATGAGCTGAAAGAATAGTGTCAGCATTGCACTTAGCTTAGCCACAAAGCAGAAGAAAACTGGAGGGGTAGCCAAACGAACATATAATTGTACAATCTGCACTCAGAGATGGGCAAGCTTGTTGCAACATGAGCGGCATTGCATTTTGACTCTACTTTGGGCTTACTTTTGCCCCTGCAACTTGGTGGTACCCATACAAAGCTGCTCGTTCAAGCATTCGTCCAACAGTTCAATCTTGAGAAGCAGCCATGGCTCCTGCGGGAACTGAGTTGCCGACGAGCACCATTCCGGAGGAAGATGAAGAGAAATTGCTGAATGAAGATGAAAACGAGAATGCTGAAGATGGAGATGAGGAACAGGAAGAGGAAGACAGGAAGCTCAGCACGGTGAGATGATATTCCACTTTGAGCCCGTCCAAGATTCCATATTCGGCTGCCCTGTGGTTGCAGATCTTAGTCGGTAGGACGCCTAGAGGGCAATATGAGCAATGACAAAAGTGTCGAATTCAAAAAGCTGAATGAGAAGCGGTGCGAGTCCACCGAGTCAGAGCCTGCTGCGGCTGGCAAGCTACAAACCACAATTTTTTGATTGCTGATTTTTCAATGTCAGAAAGCACCTGATTGGAGAAGCTGTGAGTTAGATCAGGTCCACTTTCTTGCACCGCACCCTGCCTCAAGTTTTTCATTGTCAAAGTGCAGAACCCTGCACTCATCAAGAAGAAAATCTTCTCTCAATCTTCTTGTCCGTTTGCCCCATGTCGCAAGATGTCAGACTACTTTGATGGGTTTCGAGATGGAGATTGTTTATTCTACACAAGGGAAGTTTGCCACAGGATCGCAAGATTGGATGCTTCCAGCAATCCAGGCAGATCTGTGTAAAGAATTATTATTCTTCAGTGATCTGCTGCGTTGCTTCATCGTATCTAGCAACACATCAAGCTCGAAACAGCCACACTTGCACGCGAAATGATGTACACTCCAGTCTGTAAAAGCAAAGTCTAGATCTGATGTGACGGACGAAAGCTACTCAATCACAGTCGTCATAGGTTGCTGCTCTTCTCAAGGGCGCCGCCAGCACTGCGCGTCTGCCTGGACGATTCTGCTGTGGCAGCTCTTCCACAACACAATTCCAAGGCCATCTCTGTTTTTCCTGATCAACAAAAGGCCGATTGAGATTCATTTGCCAACTTCTTACAGGCACGGCTTGCTCTCGTCAGCATCATCGCGGGAGGGGTTCAGTTTGGGTGGGCCTTGCAGCTCAGCCTACTCACACCATACGTACAGGTGCGGATCTTCACTATGCCGTATGCACTCACAACAAGTACTGGACCCCTTTCCCCATGTATCCAGATGAGACACAGCAGTAGAGGAGGGGCAAAGTGGAGCAGCCTTGTCTCTAAGTAAGATTTTGCGCTTGAGCGATGCCATCAGTCGCCTGATATGACGAGTCCAAGCTGCTGCCATAGTGCTTGCGCATCATCCAGGACGCTCCTTTTGAGAGTTTCGTCTCTTCCTGTTCCTTTCAGACTTTTTGTCCTTGCTCTTCCAACAACCCCTTCTCCTACTCTTTCACTCAGGAGCTCGGGATCCCCCACGCCTATGCCAGCTTCATCTGGCTGTGCGGGCCCATCAGCGGCCTATTGGTGCAGCCAATGATCGGAGTCTGGACGGACAGCTGTACCAGCAAGTGGGGGCCCCGCCGACCGTTCATTTTCGTGGGAACAATCCTCATCACCATCTCCATGCTGATAATTGGGTACAGTGCGGACATTGGCTACCAGCTGGGGGACAGGGAGGCATTCATCAAGACTGGTGCCAAGCCATATGCATGCTTGGTCTTTGTTATTGGTAAGCCAACACAAACTGATTGACAAAAACGGGACTTGCCTAGTCTAGTTTTTCTGCCGACTGTGGAGGAGTGCCATGCTGATACAAGTTTCTCGTTGCTTGATTGAATTGGAGTGGTGGAACGGATTGGTCAGAACATTTTTCCCGTCTGTATGTGTGTTTCCAAGCCTCTGTCGCCCAAACTGTCCCCCTCAAACAATGTTGGACTCACTCAATGATTTGTAGAATAAATCGTTGCTGCAAGCGCTCAGCCTTCGCGCCTGTGCATACCGGCAATTCCATCTCATCAGCATCGGTCCACTGTCACCACGCCAGCAGACAACCTACAAACCAAACCCAACCACGACATAAACCCTTCCGCTAACCCCCAGGTTTCTGGATGCTGGACCTGGCCAACAACACGCTCCAGGGCCCCTGCCGCGCACTCGTTGCCGACCTCGCCTCCGAAAGCCAGCGCAATGCTGGGAACGCCTTTTTTTCCATGTGGATGGCGGTGGGCAACGTCCTGGGATACTCAACGGGGGCGAGCGGCATGGCATCGCGCTTGCTACCAAGGGCCATTATCTTCAGCCCCGCTTGCAGCGGCCCATGTGCAAACCTCAAGGTGGGAAGCCTGAATACCTCCTCCTCCCTTCGTTAACTATCGACGAGACTTACAGCCGTTGCTTGTCGAGCATTCTGCTTTCACCTGGCCATAAGTTCGGCGATGCTAGCTTGCCCTGGGTCTGAGGCAGCCATCGCCAGACTTTGATCGTCGATCACTAGCTCTGAAATTGCCGCCATCTTGGTTTGCATTCGATAGTCAAATCGGTAGATACAGCTGGAATCTAAGCTTATCGCCTTTGCAGTCCACGTCGGTTGCTGATAGCAGAAACCCATCAATGACTCCTGACCCTCTAGATTCTGCCATCGATAGGGGACATTCGATAGTGATCACCAGATTGTGACTTCGAATTCTCGTCGGTTTTGCAGTCGGCCTTCCTGCTGGCGCTGCTCTTCCTGCTGGTATGCTCGACCATCACGATGCTGTCGGCCCCCGAGCAGCAGCTCGTGCTCGAGGACGAGGAGGAGGAGGAGGACTGGCTGTCCAAGGTGCAAATGCCGCTGCTCGACGAGGACAGGTGAGCCAAACCTCTTACAAAGATCCTGTAAAGGACGTCTCAAGGGCCGCCATCGATACGTGTTAGTATCCTCTGGAATGCATTTATCCCTGGTACAGGCGACCGTAAGAATGCGAATTTTGGCTTGGTTAATGTCTTAAGTCTTCCGTTTGATGTCAATCTTGGCGAGGTTGCACGATCAGAGTGGAGCATGCCAGGCGGAGTTCGAGACCCTGCTCAGCTTGGACTCATTCGTGGTTCTCGGCATGTGGCAAAGACTCTGGTTCAACATCTGTCTGGAGTGGCACTTCGATACCTTTCCTCAATGAATCCGTGGAGAACGGGCGGACACTTGACTTCTAATCTGCTTTCACTCACAGACCGCGGAGGCCCCTCTACGAGCCACCCGCTCTCACCGGGCGGAAGTCTTCCTTGAAGGCCGACCTCGCCGCCTCTGCTGACGGGGATGACAAGAAGCGGAAGCGGGTGACCATAGACCAAGCCGGCTCGGACGTGCCCGATGCAGGGGCCCTCGGCATGCCCCGGTCTCGGAGTGCGCCCCGAGTGGACCTGCCTGACCAGCTACCGGCTCCTAGGTGAGTTGACAAGACGAGCGCCGAAGGGAAATGCTGAGGTTGCTTCATCGTCTCTTTGTTGCCCGCATGGTAAAGCCGCTTAAACAAACACGAGTTCCTCGAGCGGGAATGCAGAGCATTACAAAGCGTCTAGTGCGCTGGGGCAGATGGAGTGGATTCCGGGTACTCTGACTTGTGATTTGACTGCGAAGTTGACGTAGACTAGACCTTACGGGTCTCTGTGCAACGCCGACGTGGCGACGTCAATGACAGCCGGTAAGCGGCACGTCCAACTGGAATACCAAAGTTCTGCACGGCATTAACCTCTGGGACCCGTCAAAAACGACCAATCAAAACTCGGTCACTTGTCCAAAATCGGTCCATTCCCGTTCGGCATTCCAGTCTCCGAGATGAGACACCAGCTGCCGACTAACCGCGTCATCTGTTTCCCTCATCGTGCCAGCACCGGTCGCCGTTTCTCCGTGGACGCCCAGACGCCACTGCTGGCCAGCCAGTCCAGCCTGCGCAGCCCAGGGTACAAGCGCGCGCGCCGCTCGGACCTGCTGTACAGGATCGGGTCAGGAGGGCCCGAGTTCTACGGCTCCATGGACTACCTAACTCACCACAGGTAATGGGCACAGGCTTCCAATTGCTCTTTCCTATCGTCTTCGTCTGCTTAAGCAGGTTGTTCTGAGAAGGTAACGTTTGGAGGGAAGGGTTTCGATAGATTTTGATTAGGAGTGCTCGCTTTCTCTGAAGGCACTGTTCGTCAAGTAGCCCGTGCGTGTCGCTGAGTGCGCTTTCTCCTGAAAAGCGAACTTAATGCATGAAGCGGGGATGCGTCTCAACTGGTGTTCTGTTGAATTTGCAACGGGATTCCTGGTGCGTCATTTGCATGCGTCCTGCTTGCCTCCTCGTCGGGCTCCGTCTCACTGTGGTGTACAAGCAACCTCCGGAGTCCTCTAGTTGTCAGGGACGATGGATCACAAGGCTTCTGAGTTTGCCATCGAGACTACAAAAGACGCTCACATTCAAAACCGCTTCGCACATCGACCCTCCTCAAACTCCCCATATCTGCCCGTCTCAAATAACGACACTTCTACTCCTGAAGTAACATATCTCTTGCATCTCAAACGTGCTATCTTCAGACCCGAAAAATCTTCTCTCCTGCAGGCGCCAACCGTCCCTCTCCCGCCAAGACTCCAGCCGCCAGGAAGCCATCATCGCGGTTCTCCAGCGCAGCAAGTCGGTCTCCCCCGCGATCCGCCCACGCACCGAACCCGCGCCGCCGTCCCCAACTGAGACCGCCCCCCCCGGCCGTGGAGCAACCGGAGGAAGAGAAGACTGTTTTGGGGATGGCACTGGATGGAGCAGCGCAGGTCGCGGAGGTAACGGGGGAGGCGATCGCGTCGGCAGCACAGGCGACCGGAGAAGCAATTACTACGGCGGCGACTGCAACGGGTGCGTGGTTTGGTTGAATTGGATTCAACTGGTGGTTTTGTGCCGGTAGAGGAGTTGTGCTGGTCAGGGCGGCTGACGAGACTCCACTCATTGGATCACTGATGAGAATGATGTCTAAGAGAAGATGAATCTTGAAACACTTTTGCACTCAAGGAAGTTCAATCTCTTGATAGTTCAGGCTCTTGTTTTGAGTGTTTCAATGGGCGTCTCATTGTTAGAGGGCCCGTACTGAGATCGATTCGGCAGCAAGTACTGACAATCAACTCAGACAAGATGAAATTGCAGTGCGGCCCCGTATCTTCGTCTTTCTTATAACATGAGCACAGAGTGAGTACGTTCGCTTCTAACGTTTCAGGAGAGGCGATTACGACGGCTGCAGTCGTGACGAGCAATGCGGTCACCAAGGCGGCCAAGGCGACCAAGAAGAAGGTGACACGTGGCTGCAGCCGAGTGTTTGCCCCGCTGGTGCAAATCTTCAAGGAGATCAACATGGGCCTATGGAGTCTCTCAGGTCAGACTCGCCCGCTTCCTGACACCGAGTCTTCGACAGCTGGAGGATTGCAGGAGACCTACCCGCCTTGGATCACAGATTACTGACTCAAATTCTTCCCTTGAAGAAGGGGATTGCCGAAGCAGTAGCAATCAATAGTTGAGTCCGAGAATCGACGGCCCTCGTCTTGGCAGATCTCGAACTATGTCGAGATTTGATGTAGAGTGCATGAGTTCTCAAATTTCCAAGTTCTCAAATGTTTCAAGTACTCGTAAGGCCAGAGTCTATGCAAACTCAACGAGCCGTGGCACGAGCCGTGGCAGTGGACAAATTTGTGAATCTCAAATGAGATTGAGACGGGAACGAGCTTCTTGATTGACGTTGGCAGCCTCGTCATCTGAAAAGAAATCTGTGTCGCTCGTTATGGCCTTGTATCCGGATGCCTGGGGTATCCTTCTTTTAGCCAGTGTACGTGGTCCCACGTTACTTCATTCTGTAACCCGCCCTCGTCTCCCCTGCGGTCCGAATGCATCTCTTGATGGTGGTCATGGGCCTTCACACAGCTTCCCTGTTCTTCCATCTTTCTCTCAGGAGTAAACCTGACACTCCAATCCAGGTCGAAGTTACTCCCAGTTGGGATCATTTTACAACCAACCTGATTTTTTGAGTTGATGGTGATTTGTTGAGATGATGTTTGCAGTGCAAATGAAGTTGGTGATGTTGGTCAGCCTTCACCTGGCCCGCCTGATCTCTCTGCTTGTTCCTCACGAGTTGGTAACCCATACCCAACTGTCCAAACCCAAACCAACACAGTCAAATACATAACCCATAACCCATAACCCAACTCCGTTTTCCGTGCAGTGCAAATGAAGTTGGTGACGGTCGTCATGGCCTTCCTCTGGCTCGCCCTGACTTCCCATTCCCGTCTTCAAGAATCATACATCCAAACCCAACGCTTAGTAGAACGCTTATGCCAGTCAAATACATAACGCAACTCCTACTCTGTTTTCCTTGCAGTGCAAATGAAGTTGGTGATGGTGGTCATGGCCTTCACCTGGCTTGCCTGGTTCCCGTTTTTCCTGTTCGACACCGACTGGGTCGGCCGGGAGGTTTACCACGGCGCCCCCCGGGGGGAGTCCCCGGCCGCTGCCACGCTCTACCAACTGGGGGTCCGGACCGGCGCGCTCGGCCTGCTGCTCAACTCCATCGTCCAGGGGATTACTAGTCTGCTGGTGAGATAACGCTGCTTGCCAGTTGGCCGCGCAGTTGCTGTCCGACTTAGTCACTGGTTGAATGCTGGTGCTTCTAAAAGCCTGCTTACGGCCTGCGTATTGGCTGAGACGTTATGCTGCTGAAAAGAGGGAGGATGGCTCTAGGCTTTCCTTCATCGACAAACAATAGATGATCCTTGAAATCTATCCTCGTGGTGCTCCTCCGTATAGGACAACTTCCTCCTTGGTGCGATAAAGTGGGAGATGCGCTTCCAATGGGACGTCGAGTTTACTTTGTTTACATCAAAGCGCTCGGCAAAGCTGCGACTCAGTTCCCAGCGCACCGAGTACTGAAATCCCTTCTCTTATCCGCCAGATCGACCCGCTGTGCACCAAGTTCGGCTCCAAGTGGGTATGGGCCGGCGGCAACGTCATCATGGCGGCCTGCCTGGGCTCCAGCTACGTCATCTCGCACGCGGCGTACCTGTCGCCCCACGTGGGCCCCCACGGCGAGATCCTTCTCCCGAGCGACAGCGTCCGGTATGCGGCCGTGGCCATGTTCGCCCTTCTAGGGATACCTCTTGCGGTGAGTGACGTCACGACAGTTCTTCGCTGCCCTTTTCCAACCCCCATGTTTTGATCTTTCATTGCTGGACCGAAAGCCTTACGAAACAACCCCAGCAGGTGAGTCATTTGGTGATGTGGGCTGGTACCAATGAAACGGCGAGTCTCGCTCAACTCCGAAGACGTCTTTCGTATGTGTACTCTTCATTGAAACTTTGATACACGTGCTCGGGGACATCTTGAGTGTCTCGAAGAGAGGCAGTTGCAACCTCATACACGCATCACAAATCTCCGAGCAGCTTCAATTTTGATCCAACCTGCCGCATGTAAATTCGCGAGCGGCAACCAAACCGCCTCACAGTCGAACACCGTGTCTCGGTTAACGGTCCTCATTGCTGCCCTGACAAATCACTTCACCTCGTTTGCAGATCACGTACAGTGTCCCTTACTCGCTGACGGCTGTGCTGACGGCCCATGACGACAACAGCAGCGGTGGACAAGGTGAGACGCTTGTTATCGCCATCTTTTCTGGACAAAGTTGTTGACGCAGGAAGCTCCCCTTCCTCAGCTTCGTTCCACCTGTTGGCAGCAAACTTTTTGCTCTGAACCCCTGCGGTCGTTTGGCAGGGCCGCTGAGTCGACGTTTGTTTTTCCACGCTGCGGCACCTTGAAGTCTGCTGCAACGTGGATGGACTGAGGTAGCAAAGCTGGAAAAGCTGTCAAAACTGCATACGTGTACCCACCGATTTGAGACAGCCACAATCTTCAAAATTAGATAGGGAACGAATCATTGGGGGAATACAGCGATGACTTTGAAATTCCTATTTCGCAGCTGGTAGTTCTGACGTCACTCCGCGCTGTGCAGGCTTGGCCATGGGCGTGCTCAACCTCGCGATCGTCGTGCCTCAGGTTGCTGTTGTATTTCTTCCCGACTCCGTCCTTTTCTTTTGAATCTATAGTTGCGGTTCCGAAACTAGGAGAGTGAATCACCACTCTGGGATCCACAGCATTCGTTCGTGTGCCTGATGTCAGATTGCACATTGAAAAACTGATGATATCAAGGTTCACAACTGGTATGTTGACTTCCTCAGCGCATTGCTTTCCTCTGCATCTCACCCCTGTCCCAGGCGTGAACGGCACACTACGATTTTGCTTACGTTGGTCAGCAGACATCTTAGTGCCGTTGTCCGCGAAAGTGCACAGTGCATCCGTGACCTTGACTTACGCATCAGGTACTCTGGTTCTCGTAACCATGCCGTTCTCGTCAGCCCAGTCCACGTACCGCAACGTAAGGCTTAAAGAGTCCGTGCTAACGTGTTATCTTCCAGGAGTTGGCATTGAACGAAATGCCGCAGTACTCGTTCACTTACGGAAGCTAAAATAGTATTTCCCCCCAACAGGTGGTGATCTCCGTCGGCTCAGGCCCCTGGGACGCGCTGTTTGGAGGAGGCAACGTCCCTGCATTCGTGACGGCCGCCGTCTTTGCATTCATTGGCGCTGTCTGCGCCGGCGTTTTCTTGCCGAGGAAGCTGCTTGTAAACAGCGGATCCGAGGGGGGCGGCGACGAAGACTCGAAAGAGGAGGTCGCTATATGATCGGCCCGGAAGCGCCGCCCTTCTCCAGAGCGTCTGAAGCTGGCGAAAGCGGCTGGGAGTTGTCTGATTCGCGTTAACGCTTTTGAGTTTCGCCTATTTTTTCGGAATTTTACAGAAAGTGATTACGTCCAGAGGCGAGGCTGTGCCGCCACCCAAGGTATGCATGAACGGGCGTTTGTGCAGTCGACGAAGTGTACAAAGTGCTGAGTATCCCTAACCCTTGAGGTTTACCAGTAAAATAAGGAGATTTGTACTTCAACAGCCCATAGTCATAATCAATAGACCTTGTCCTGCCTTTTGCCAATTGCTCCAGACCATGAGATGCAATGAGCTGCCTTATTGTTGAAGGCTTCGGTTGCTTTTAGCTGGATCTCCTTGGTAAAACTCGAGCTCGCATTGAATATCGTAATCCTGTCGATCTGGTGTTCCACAAACGTCAGGATTGGGCGACATAGCAGAAGACGTGATGGCATCATTTTCTCGGCTTTCAACGAACGTATCTAACTTAGTAAGCGTCGGCCGAATAAGCTTGACTTACCCCTGTTTCACAACATTGGAGCTGCGATTTACATGATCCTGATTGCTAGTTGATGATCGCACATCGTAACATCTCATAACTCATACGGCCAGAGCGGTACATGGATATATCATGCAACACATGGGGGGCGCCCGTTCTGCGGCTGATATAGTGCACGTAAGCGCGTCGTCAGCGAGCATCGCGATCATGGTCAAGACGTCAGACATGTATTACGCGGAAAATGGATGTTGGACGCGACTATACGTACATATCTTTTGTATGTCCGACGCGCTTTAAGCCATATAGCCGGCTACATCTCCATGCTAACGATGCAAGTGATGACATGCAATCAGCGCGTCATGCATCAAAGGCAGCGTCTGATCTGTTCTGAAAAGTAAGCACTTAATAGAATTGCCGTGTGATAAGATGACGAATCGTGCACGGACAGGGCGTACCCTATAGTATCGGCTCCCCGCGGCTGGGCTCTCACTTTGATGTACTCGACATGCAAGCTATGGGTGAATCTGTTGTTAAAAGAATCTGAGCTTGGCTGCGGAAGCGGGCTGCAACAAAAGTAACAGATGCTACAACGTGTCAGATACCGATGTTTATTGTTGGCAAGATGTTTAGCGCCACCTCTTTTAAGGTTGGCATCGTTTCGGACTCCTGAATGACTTCTAGCTGACCTTGAGCATTTTGCCTAAGAACTTGCCAGGGTCCAGGATAAGCCCTGCGAATGAGCAACATCAGGGTCAGGAAAGACTGCCAGGTTTCGAATTTGGCCGATGATCCAATTTGCTCGAAGTGCTAGAATGATTGATATGCTCAAATCACGCTCGCGTCTCTAGGTATATGAAATAATCGACCGGAAGGAGACGAAAGTCGGCAACCTAGTCGTAGATTGAACGACAGAAGCATGCCGATAAGAGATCTGTCATCAACTTGTCCGCAAAGAAAAGCATTTTTTCTCAGCTTGTCCGCGAAAAAAAAGCAGCCAAGTAAGATTCACTAATGGATTGATCAGTGCAAAGCAGTGGGTCAGATAAGAATAGTACTTCGGTGATATTCAAATGGTAGAGGGGGGCTCGTGACCGTTTAAGAATCGACCCACCTGAATAACTTCCCACCGTACCGCCCCTTGAAGTTGTGGATGTAGTAAGCAGCTTCGAATTTTGGAAGGAACGTTTTGGCGAGCTGTCCCAGTTTAGGGTAGAAGAAGGGAGGGTAGTCTGCGAAAGGGAGCAAGTTTCAGGGAATGCTGCGATGAAAACGGTGGGCCGTAAATGGTAAGGTTCTTGGACGACGATGTGTTTGTTAGCGAACGCGGACGAGTGTAAACCGAACAACAACCTGGGCGGAGCTTGGCTGCCGGCTCGTTGCAGGCAACCCTTACGTTCTTCCATCGTTAAGGCCACCAAAACGATCCCGCTTGTCCGTCCGATTTTGACCATCCTTTTCGTTTCGCGTTTGGTAAAAACTGTCCTTGCTTTTCGTTGCTTCTGCAAAGTGCACAGCTCGAGGAGCTGACCGAGTTGGGTTCCAGACAAGACCGGTTCAATGGCAGGACTCTTCGCATCGACTCGAAATTGAAGAAAAGAACATAAAAGAGCTTTTTGCCTGGTTCAACGAGATGGAGCAAAGCATCCAACGGTGCGTCCGCGTTTGCGCTACTGTCGTGACACCATGTGCCAGCAAGTGAAAGTGAGCTTTATGCATATCAGGGCCTGCAGTTGTTGTGACCCGTTTGCTCTTCCGCAAAAGTATCTGCCCTCAAGGAGACGCGAACTGTCACTGGTTAACGATAAGCGAGGACCCGTAGATCTGTCTGCCGAGCCCAATCAAACGATGCCCCGTTTGTCGGACTGGACTGGTGACGGACGTTCAAAATCAGGCAGTAAAGACTCTCTGAACATGAGCCCGAAGCACGACAGCTGTAGGGTGTTCGTACGGCGCACTTACAGCCGCTTCGAATCCGGTCCATCTCCCCGTTGAAAACGATGATCGGCCGCCCGGAAGGCCCCGCCGAGTCCTTCCACAGCTCCTCGACCGCCAGCATCTCTGCACGGAGATACCGCCTGATTGCCCAGGGTTTCGGGCGTCTAAACGGCTTGGGCATTTCAAAATTTTGATGGAGCTCAGCAAGAGCTTTGACGGTGCCACCGACGCTGCTCTTGGCGGCAGCAACGGCCCAATGGGTTTGGGCAATTGTCAAGGTCGGCGAAAGCTAGAGGAGGTAGCTGGGCCAGAAAAGGGAACGTCTTTGAAGCTGTGTCCGGCCGCAGAATGGCGGCCTCGAACGAGTTCCGGACGACTGTTCGTTCTTCAATCATCCTTTTGAGCAATTGCGACCAGAGCCAGGCAATCGTTGGAACAAAGGGAAAGAAGTGACGCGGGAATAGTTCAGGGTACATCCGCGCCCCATACAACGAGCTTGCGGGTTTGGTCAACTCACCGTTGACGTTGAAGTAGGGGTACGCGACAACAAAGATCTGCACCAGTGTTCATGAAAATAAGCAGGGTTCAAAAGTCGAAAATCAATCTTTCGAGTTGCAGGGTGCAGAGGCAACCATAAACAGCAGAAGGACGTATAACAACGAGATGAGAATTTGGAGACCAGTTGATTCGCACCAATTGTTGCATATGGATAGCGTGCTCTGATGCGGAACTATATTAGAGTCCTTCGGGGGGCTTTCATCTATAGAGAAAGTATCTTTTGTGCGGAGCATTGGCTTATGGTCGACTTGCCTCGTCGGACGGCTGCACACGGTCCGTCATCTTCACTTTCTTCTCCCACCCAATGTCGCTAAGACCACTGGGGCTCGTAAGGAAGTCGATCTTGAACGGTGTCCCCTCAAAAGTTCCTCCCCTGGCGAGCACCGACTCCTTCTTGTCAGGAAAGAACTGCACAGCCGGCTGAGGTATATGAGAAAGAGTTGGGCTCTTGCACGTTGAATCAGCCAAAGAGAGTCCGAAGTGGCCTTCATCAAACCGTGAATCGAGTAACGGAAGTCGATTATCTCGAGAGGACAAACATTGGAGGAAGATGTTGAGACCAAGACACGAACAGGACTGGACAGACTGGACCAGAATGAAGGTAAAGCAGAGCTCGTGTCTGCTCATCCGGGCCTCGATAGATATGCCGCTTCTCAGCCACACGTCAAACGAGTAGACAGCAGATTGAGACGTCAATATTCGAGCCTTGACAACTCACTATCCGGGTCTTCGGGGCCTGGTCGGTTTGGACAAACATCTTGCAAAACTCCCGAATCGCGGTCATGCTCATGCTCATCTCCATACCCCCTTCGGCATCCCCTGCAGTGGCACAGCAAGGTTCGAATGAGACTCTGTTTTCCCATGTGGTCACTTGATGAACCTCCGATCCTGCTTGACTGGGAGATCTGCCTTGCTTGACTGGTGTGCAAGACCAAGGAGAGTCCAACTGCGCCTAGTGTACACAGGGCGATTGGCTTCTCCTAACCTCCTTGGTTACAAGGAAAGCATAGACCACATGTGCGGCAGAGACAAGAAGACTGCGTTGCTTTACCTCTTCCGCTTTCCTAAATGCAAAGAGCAGGTGCAACAACCCCTGCAACTAATTCGCACCCCTTACCTGCAGTGCTGTCTAGACCCGCAGTTGGAAATTCGATCTCTATCAGTTGCTTCCCATCTTTCAAAGCTGCAGCTGTACTTATCCGAACCTGTTCACGAGAAAATATATTGTTACTCGGTTTGATTTTGAAATATGGCTCAGTCAGACTAGATAGACATCAACCTGGTTGTTTGTAATCAGAGAGAATGTAACAGTGCACCTAGCCTGGCACAAGGAGACTACTCAACAGACATCAACCATAAAATGGACAGCTCACCTGTTCCAAAACCTCGTCGTAATCTTCCGGATATTGCACCGTGCCCCCGGCAGCCGAGGCAGTCACACGCCCCCGGCCGGCCCCACCTTTCCTAAGCACACTCTTCCGGCTGCACAGCTTATTCTTCTGGCTGCCTTTGTCCACAAATGATGACAGCTGATGGATAGCCATGACTTCAGCCGCTTGGCCTGTTTGTGTCTTTTGGTGCAGCCGCTTGAGACAGGCCCGACATGGTGGACGGAGGGGACTGCAAACTCTGACTGTAGACGGACGCGGTGACCTTTCCTACAAACAGCAAACAGGGAGAGATTGCAGGCCGCACATTGAAGAGAGTGGTGTGCTTCCGCAAGCAAGCCAGGGAAAGTTAAATCAGAGGCTGTGGACTCAAGTCAGGTTCCCCTGTCACTAGTCATTAAAGCTTGAAATACAGTCTGACTGGCATACGGTAGTTTGCAAAACTACTCAGTGCTGAGTAGATCTATGTAGCCCAATGGTAGTCTTCATGTTGCAACAGACAAGCCAATGTAGCAGCCGTCTACAAGTCTATGTCCGTTGCACATTATACCGCTTCTTGTCAGCAGAAAGTGAAGGGTCAGAAGTTGAAAGCGTACCATCTGGCCGCCACTACGGCCTGAATGCTGCATAAAGCCTGCTGAAAGTGACCGCGGCATCGCATGACTCAACAATGCCATCTCCGCCAAGCAACTCAAGATACAATTGCGCTTATGCCAGATATTCTACTTGCACAGATTGATGTCCTTCAGGAGAGTAAAAACACCCAAGTTGCTTGAAAGCTCTGGTGAAAGGCGCAGCTTTCAGGAACGTGAAGAAGCCCTTGCTTGAAGCTCGATGAAAAGTGCGGCTCTTATCCGTGCAAAGGAGACACCCTGAGGTTCTGGAGAGAAGCAAGAAGACGGTGAGAGACGAATCCGTCAACTGAAAATTGATGTAGAGAAGCCACACTGGACGTTCTTCAGTGATCATGATGAGACCAGCCAGCAGCTTTGTGCAGTCACATGCACATGGCTTCTGGGTTTGGAGGTTTTGATTTGGTAGGTGCTAGGTTAAAACCTGTGTGTACCACGTGGATGCGCTATGGCAGCCCTCGACCGTCCAAACATGATCACCGCGCTCTATCGGACGACTCATACTCCCAGACTCAGAACCATCCGGGTTTACCTAGAGGCTATATTTCGAACCCGTGAGGGTCTTGCACATCATGCAGAGAGCTTGGCCGTACGTACAGCTCATGGAGCGCTCCAGCGGAGCCTAGTAGTAGAAGCGTACGCCGCTGCCGCCTCTTCAGTCTTGAGAAGATGAGAGCTTTCCAGTCAAACTCATTTGGATGCAGGCCTGTAATAGGCAATGCGAGGATCTTCGGTCCAAACAAAACAGCTGGCAGAATGGCGCGGAAGCGCCAGCGCCGACGCGTTTCATGAAGAGAAGTTGCAACCATAAACACATGCAGGGTGCCAACCCCAGCAAAAGCTGGTGAGCGCGCGACTCCAGACAAGTGAGTGTGCAATCGTCTCAATGCCCAAGACGACCGAAATAGACGTGCTCCTTGTCAGGTTGTAGCAATATCCTGACAATCGTGGCACTTGAATGGAGCTGTGTGCATTTTTTTGGCTTACCAAAATAACTTAAAAGACTTCAGATATTCTAGTGCTTGATTCTTCTGTCATATTGCTCCTCTTCCTTTTCTTCGGCGGCTCGATTCTGAGCAACTCGATTGTGAAGTCCGCCATCCACACTCTCCGGTGTTGATGGGGTGGAGATGGCCGCGAACGTCTGCCGCCAATAGAGGGAGGATAGGGGGATCCCCCAAAACCAGGCCCTCGTTAAAATGTCTAGATGTTTGGGTGGCCGCCGGTCCTGCATGCTCCTCAGTTCCTTGTGGTTCGGCAGGGTGGAATCAGGGAGCAGGCAAGCTCTCCAGTCCTAAACGCCGGGTACCGCTTCCAATATAGATGGATCGGAAGCTAGTTGGCATTCAATGTTAAAACAAGCTGTCAATTTTAATGAGCGAGGAATAACATTGATCTGAGGAACGGCCTGCGGGGAACTAGCAACCGCTTCAGGAACTCCTCTAGTACTGTTCCGCTCGAGGGCTCAGGAGGCGGAGATGCTTTAGGACCAAGCGTTGCAAATACTCGTGAGATCTGAACTCTACTAGAGTCGGATCTCCCTGAAACTAGCGGTGCCCCATGGCCTAACAGGAGTTGGGGCGTCTCGGAGGAGGCTGACGTGACCATCAGGACGTCAGTTCGAAGCAAGAGTCTGTGGCAAGTCATACCCTCTTGATTTCACACGTCCTATCTCAGCTGACTCCGTCTGGTTTCGAAAGGAACCGCCTGAGCCAGGACAAAGCGGAGTACGTTGAGTTCTGCGCAAATGTGAATCAGCAAATACAGTCTACCTTTCTCCCTGCTGTCCCTGGACGTAACTTCGTGCAAAAGCCGTCGGTTTACAGAACGTTGATCCCTGGCCCAACAAGGCTCAAAGCACTGTTCTATGTGATCGAACCTCGTAAGAGTACCAGAGGCGACCAAATGTAGTAAAGATTGAAGCTTAAGCGAGACGTTGCCGAATGACACCTAACAACGTTATTCGAATAGTTGCGGATGTCTGCATGGAAATCTCATGTGCACTCAAACCTGATTGGCAGCTAAACATGGCTCCGCGGCCACGTGGGCTGGTTAATAGGGCGAGGTTTCATAAAATGCACCATGAGCGTCGGCAGCGCAGACTCGGCCCTTTCAGCCCGAGTTTGACTATAGCCGCTCAGCTGCAAGTACGGGTCACTCCATGTGCATATCATATGTTGGATCTGTCGCGCATCGGCCCGTGCAGCATGTTCAAATTCATCGATCGCATTATAAGAGATTGCTTTCCTGGTCATGCACGTATCTAATATACTAACTCCTTCATGCATGCGGTGAGCACGGCAGGCGCGGCAAGAACTCGGTTGTGCAACTCCAAGTTGCTTCGATTCTACGTCAAAAATGGTAGGTACATCAGCCGGTTCAAAGGTTGCACGCGAGCAGGATGGACTCACTGGCTCCAGCTAGTTCAATAAGGTGCTTTCAAAAACTTCCGATGTCTAAAACATCGAAAGTTTCACAAATTGACCCACCGGAAACTTATGGGACTTGCGTGATTGACAACCATGCTACCCTGAAGAACCGGACATGCAAGCAAGTAGAACGACTGCACACGGCAAATTGCAGCGAAACTGTCTAGATTATCCCTCAACCTCATTGTGCCGGGTTTCCTGCTGGACCTGACCGTTTCAAGCTTCTCGAAATCGCCGGTTCGTACCAGTACTACACTAGTAAGCAGCACATGCCCCGCTGGCCAATGTGCCTTCAACAATGGAGCACTTATCCCAAGCTTATTTGTCAACTCCTTCCTAACACATCATAACAAGATTTGACATCCTTTGCCTCCTCGGCCTGCGGGCTGATCGCGTACCTGAACATTGCATTATCGAACGAGCCGCTCGTCGTGTCCTCTCCCTCTGCTTGCTTTCTGGACCACTCTGAGTAACGCTCAACAAACGGTTCACCCACGTGCCAACTCGCTTTCACAAACACCACCTCAAACGGGTGCATCGTGATCCCATCGTAAGTGCCATGCCGACTCGGATGTACGTTGTTGTTACACCCCCAGTGCTTGGAGTCCCGCCAGTCAGTGTCTAGCGGGTACATTGACATAAGCGATGCCACATTCCGGCCGTGCTGCGTCATCAGCACCTCCGTAATTGCATACTCCCCCCCAGCAATCACCCCGTCCGCGCAAAACTTGCACTCCCGAATGTTGAAAACCCCAGCTTGAATCAACAGCTCAAGGGACTCAGGTATTAGCGCAAAGGCCCAGGACTCGAGATGGGGCCCGTAGCGGTCCTCGTGCGGCAGGCACACGATCGAAGAACTGACGGCGGCAATGTCCCCTTGGAAGCGGTCCGTATAGGCTTGCATCCACCGCCAACCATGGGGCATGTACGACGGAAAGAACGGGCCCCGTACAGAGCTGTTCAGAAAGATGAAATACTTATACTTGCCGGCTGTTTTCTGCTGGCGCGCCCACTCGATGCTGACGTTGTGCGCCGCAAAGTCCATTCCGACATTCTCTTTCCGGAAGAGGAGTGTCACCCCCGCGCCAGTGAAAGCCTCCCGGAGGACCTCAGATTCGGCCACGTTTTCTTTCTGCGGAGCATGGGGGTATAAGCGCTTGCACGGAGTGCATAGGTCTCCACTGACTACGATTGAGAAGTCGGTGTTGTCAAGGCGGCGTGCGGCTTCCCCCAGCCCCATACCAACCGCAAGAAAGAAGTCCAGGTTCTCCTTTTGAATCGCATCTTTCTCAAAGTAAGAGTACGACACCAGGACAGCAGGGGGCGCCACACTCTTGGCTGACTGTGTTGCAGACACCGGAACGCCCGAGCATTGGAAGCCCAGCAGCATCCCAGGATCCTTCTCGTTCCCCAGCTTGACGGCCAGAAGCGCAATGCACAGCAAGGCAACTAGCGCCAGACCGCACCAGATTCTTCTTGCCATTGAGACTGCCTGTTTCAAGCGGGCATGACCTTAGCCACCACTTCCCTATCCCATTCTGCTGCAAAACCACCACCACCTCTACGGCTGCGCAAAGGTGCTCCAGTTGCAAATTGTGCGCCTTTAGCCCCAACCATAGCCACCGATCCTGATACTTTGAGTACCAACCAGCGGACTACATTGTTCGTGTCTCATTGGCACCCAGCTTGCGAAAGTCCGGCTTCAAACTCAGTGACATCTGATTAGTCCCTGTGGAACGTGGAATTTTGTTCTGTTGCCCTTGCGCCCCCTGCGGGCACTTGCCGCATTGCGAAAGGCCCGGTCTTCTAAGGGGCTCTCTCTATCGTATGTAAAGATCTAGAGGGCAATTTTACGCTACCTATCCTGGGATATAGATGACGATCGATTGAGGGGCGAAAGTGGCCAGCTTTCTCCTCCCTAGAGTCCTCGTCTCGTTCTTTTTCCTCTTTCTCTAGAATCTATGGCTCAGCATTGCAATTTGCCTGTTCACCTCGATCTGGGGCCAGCCTTTTGTGCTGGTTGTGGAACTCGGTTACAGTAACCCTGCTTTCAAACATGTAGAAACAAGGTTAAGCTTTTGAATGTTCTCTTCTCATAAGCCCGTACCCATCAAAGGCATGGGGCTGCTACGACACTGAAACCTGTCGTAGGGAATCCGCTGCCCCAGTGTCAGCGGGCGCCGGCTTGAACTTTGTGACAACAGCCCGGCCATTTGTCAATGATATTGGAAGCAGGTGAGGTTGCTCTTTGTCTAAAGTAGGTATCTAGCGCTTCTGCGACTCCAGCAATCCGAGTCATGGGGCGCCCAAAGAAGCGGAAGCAAAGCATTCTGGAAGATGATGGGGAGGCGGGGGAGATTGACACGTTGACTGTCAATGAGGAATATGCCCGGCGCTTCAAGCACAACAAGGAGCGGGATGATCTGCACCGGCTGAAAGAGCTCCAAAAGGCGGGGCTTGCTGGGGAAGAGGATTCGGACTCAGACGACGAGTCAGAAGACGAGGATGGCCTCCTGCCAGAAGAAACGGAGGCGCAAATTTTTGAAACTCTGTCCAGGATCCGGCAGAAGGACCCGTCTATCTATCAGAGCGATGTGGCGTTCTTTAAGGAGGGTGGTGGGGCCGGGGGAGGAACGCAGAAGACTGGAGACAAGAAGCAGAAGGCAGTGTATCTGAAGGACGTAGTGGCACAGCAGCTGCTGGAAGGGGGGGGCGATGAGGAGGATGACGATAAGAGGGTGGGGCTGAAGCGCAAGGGGAAGACGTATGTCGAGGAGCAGGAGGAGCTGAAGAATGAGTTTCTTAGGGGGGTGGGGGGTGCAGAGAGCGACGATGAGGAAGAGGACGATCTGCTCAGGGTGCGAAAGGGGCCGTCGGACGCCGCGACGTCAACACTCGCAGGCGCTCCGGCCCCGAAAGACAACGAAGTCATGGCTCGGCTCGAGGCGTACTTTGGCAAGGATGACGCGCTCGACGAGGGGGAGCGCTTTCTGAAGGATTACTTGGCAAATAGAAAGTGGGTCGATAAGGACGCGGACCGGGTGCCGACTTATGGGGAGATTGTGGATGACCACCCGGACGTGAGCGAGGACGAGGAGGAGGTTGAGCGCCAAGAAGAGTTTGAGAAGCAGTATAACTTTAGGTTCGAGGAACCGGGGGCCGCGCACGTGGTGGGCCATGCGCGCTCTGTGGAGGGGTCGGTGCGCAGGCCGGATGATGCCAGGTGCGTCCGAATGCTGAGAGGTTTTTGGTGGCGCCTCTTTCACTTTTTGGGGTGGTGGGAAGGGCATGCTTTGATGAAATACTTGTCATGCTGGTGGTGGTTCTGATGGGCGGTGGTGCGTCTGAAAGGGGCTCACAGTGAAGACCATTACCAGGAGAAAAGTTCTTGGAAAAATCAGCCGCTCTGGTCGTTAGCCCCTCTGGTCGGTGCCCCGGGCTTCGCTGGTCTATCATCCGGCCAGTCAATCGCAGGAAACAGAAACACAGCGCAGGAAAGAAGATGCAGAAAGGAAATGAAAGGAGGAGGAAAGAAAAAAGCAGAAAACAGTGTGCGTTTTGCAAAGCGCAAACACCTGCCAAAACGTCGTTTGCATACTGCAGGAAACGAGCCCGACAGCAGCGGGAGGAGCGCGCGGTGGCGGAGGCGGCGGCGCGCAAGGAAGAGCTCAAGCGGTTGAAGAACATCAAGAAGAAAGAGCTGCAGGAGAAGCTGGAGCGCATCAAGGAGATGGCGGGCAGCCTGGACGGCGCCAAGCTGCAGCAGCTGGTGGACCTGGACGACGACTTTGACCCGGCCGCTTATGATAAGCAGATGCGGGAGATGTTTGGGGAGGAGTACTACGAGGGCGGGGAGGACGACGAGGAGCTTCTAGGTACGTGCGTTGGATGGTCGGCCCTTGACTGGGATGTCTCCCTGGCTTGTTTAAAGTTGCCATGATTTGGACGTAATATTTATGTTGGTGCCCAAACGGTAAAACATTTGCTGATGGAGCCTCCAGGTGGTATACTTGAAGAGGGACTGGCGGGAAGATTTAGGGGCTTTCTTGTGATCGTTTCACTTGGTCGTTTAGTCAAACTGGCAACTTCGGTGCCTTGCTTTTATGCCAACCGGCAGGTCCCCCGTCAGAGCAACGCTTGAGATTCAGACAACACGTGCTGTGGTGTTTCGCAACGAAGTAGTTGGGAAGCAAATAACAGGGCTACTTCTTTCGGTTTACGATCAGGGTTAAGAACCGATTCTCAGAGCACGGCAAGATGAAGAGAAAAGGTCAGACTGCATGTTCGCGTCAGGAGTCAGGTACATGTTGTGGAGTGCTCCGGGACGTCATTTAAAGCCCGTCAGTGTATTGAAGCCATTAAAGAACGCTTCAAGCATTAGCAATACTCGTTTCTTTTATGGCTTTTTTGGGGGTCCTGGTTATGGTTGGCTACTTAGCCGCTGCTTATCTCGTCGAACCCGCTCAGTCAGCCGCGGTTTGCGCCTGCAGGTATAGACGAAGACGGGGACTGGGCCCCGCCAGAGGGCGACGAAGACGAAACCGCAAATTTACCCGCTGCCGTGGGGCCAAGTAAAGCCGTCGGTTTCAAGGCGGCCAGGATGCGGTTAGGGGGCAGCGAAAACGACGTCCAGAGAAAGGATTCAGACGACGAGAGTGCGGATGATTCAGAAGAGGAGGGGGCGGACGAAGATGGGGGGGAGGAAGACAGTGACGAGGAAGGGGGGGGAAACGAGGGTGAGGACGAAGGGGGGAAAGAGGAAGAGGAGGAGGAGGGGGGGGAAGAGGAAGACGAGGAGCGGCAGCGCGCGTACCGAGTGCTCCAGGAGGACAAGCAGGCGTTTGAGAAGAAGCTGGAGGAGTACTATAAGCTGGACTACGAGGACGTGGTGGGGGACCTGCCGACGCGCTTCAAGTATGCACAGGTGAGGGGAATGGTTTCAGTTCGTACCTCTCTTGAGATTCGGGTATTTTGTGGGTGCAGTGAGTTGTGAGGGAGATTTGGGTTGCAGATTGGGCGTGCTGTGTTTTCCAACTTTCGCTTGATGTGCGCTGGGCTTTGCCGAGAGGAGACGGGATCTTGTAGGGAGTCTGTGCATGTTGGTCAGAGCGTTTCGATCGAAGGGCGTAGGCGGATTGAACAGAATACCTTTTACGTCGTTCTGAGCATCTGCGAGCAACAGCGTCTTCTATGCATGCTGGTAGATACCCTAAAGTCGAAGCAGAACCAACTCATGTTGGACGTAAGACCGCCTGCTCGACTTTCCGCTTTTGTGTTTGCTGCAAGCCCTTCTGTTGGCGGACCCACCAGGTCATTAGTCGTTCTCTGCCAGCTACTCGCGCACAAGTGGCAGGCTCGTAATTTTATTGCATATTGGTCCCCAAGAGAAGCCGCCGTTGTAGTCGAAGCACAAGATGTGGAGGTCGCTTCGCAGATTTGGAGTTGTCAAAGACTTTGGAGAGTGCCGTTTTAAGATGACTGCTCTCGACGACGCCGGCCGACGGACAATTTCGAGCTGCACACGGCGTTATTCAACTGTTGGAACTTGAGTACGAAACACGCTGGCTTTATTCCATGAAGGGGTTTCCAAGCCTCTTATGTAAAAATCTTCGAACCTCGAGGAACCGTGTTGGTTTAGGTCCAATTCAACACGTCGGGGTCAGATGGCAAAACTCCCTGAGTGAATAGCAAGACGTCGAACGGGCTTGTTCGGAATCTGTTCTGGTCTTTTTCCCACAACCCTAGGACTCAGAACAATATTATCACTTGCCTAGAGCGAACGTCACCGCTACTTTCGTGTGTCAAGTTTCAACAGAAGTAACTGAACGCAGAGACCTCTCAACCTCTCTTTCTAAGATCGAATAGCACAAGTATACTCCTTCGAACTTGCCACTCCTCTGTTACTTCTCAGGTCAAGTCCAACCTGTTCGGGCTGCAGACGGTCGACCTCCTGGCCCTGGATTTTAGGAGCTGAACGCACCACTTCTCGCAGCAGTATTCGAGTCCTCTTCTTTCACGAGCTGTACTACCAAAGTCTACCGCTCCTGATCCCATTCTTCAATGCATTGCAAGTCAAGTTCAAAACGTTTGAGTTGCAGACAGAGGACATCCTGGCGCTGAACGAAAAGGAGATTTAATTGCACAGTCCTCGGATCTTTTCATTCTCTTCTTTTCAGGAAATGACCGTCGAATTAACCGTCAAAGCCACTTTAAGCTTTGATTCCGCTTTTGCGTGACAGGTCAAGTCCAACACGTTCGGGCTGCAGACGGACGACATCCTGGCGATGGATGACAAGGAGCTGAACGCGCTAGTGTCGCTGAAAAACATCGCGCCGTACCGGCCGGACGAGTGGCGGCTGCCCAAGTGGGCTAAGGCCAAACTGCGGCTGAGCCGCAAGGAGCGCAAGAAGAAGGCGCTGGAGCACCACGGGGCGGTTACCAAGCGGGTTAAGAAGGCGACGGACGGGGTTAAGGAGGGGGGTAGGAAGGAGAAGAAGGGGGTTAGGGAAGGGGAAGAAAACCACGGGGTTAAGGAGGGGGGTGAGAGAAAGAAGAAAGGGGTTAAGGAGATGGTTAGGAGTGAGGATGGACGGAAGGCGGAGGGACGACGGGAGGAGACGAACGGAAAGGAAGAGAAGAAGAAGCGGAAGCGCGAGAAAGAGGAGAGCGCTGACGGGGTTGAAGAGAAGCAGGAAGCGCAAGGGGAGGCGAGCGGCGATGCGGAGGGGAAGAAGAAGCGCAAGCGAAGGAAGAAGAAGGGCGGAGCTGCTGCGCTTGGATTGTCGGAGTCGCGGCTCCAGTCGTACGGTCAGCTGACAGTTCCTGGCAAGAAGGCGCACTGATAGCGTCTTACTCTGCTCGAAGTGGACTCCAGGGCGAGCTTGGCCTGCTGTCGGCGGCATGCAGACCCCATCGAAAAAGGCCCTTCGCTTGTGCAAGTCTAGGCTTTGCAGCCGTCCTGAACGTGAAGTGACCGTAAGGCAGCAGTCTGGACACGAGCGAAGGGCCGCCATACGAAGCCCTAAAACCCTTCGTATGGCGGCCCAAGGATGCTTATTAAGTTTGCGCATCTCTATTTCTTGACTTGGCGAAAGCGCTTAAGCTTCATGTCAGTCAGTGACCATGAGCGAATGACTCACGTGTGCAGCGTCATAAGCTCATGAGCGCATGTACGGTATATTACTGAAAAACGAGCGACTCGGAGTTTCGGATTCGAAGTGCTTTAGCTGTGTGTACGCTCAGTGGCAAGCGACGATCGCATGTGCGCATGTGTTGTTAACGTGGGCGCAATGACGCTGGCCGCATGCTGGCATGATCTGCAACATTTAGGGACTTGCTTCGATCGGCATGCAGATTGGATTTCACATGATTTTATAATACTCATGCGGCACGCGCAAGTTAATTGATGCAACGTACTTACACCCGACCACGGAGAAATCTCCAGAGATTATAATAAACTCGATCTGTATACTATCGCATGATGAAGGCCCCTCAACTTACGGGATCTACTTGTGATACACGCGTAGAGAGCTCGAAGCGTTCAGCTGGACGCGTCCAATGCAGACATATGCTAGGCATATGCTCGTTTGCGCGACGTTTCGATGTGTACGTAGCATTATGGGAAAACAACTACACTCTACACAAAATCTGCGAAGCTAGTCGAGACACGGTTATGCGCTACGGTCGAGGCTGCTAAGGTTAAAATTCACGCTTGACTCCTTTCTTTCGAGTTTCTTGGAACAAGAGGTCAATCTCGAACCTTAAAGCCCCCGCGAGGCAACGTCAGTCTTCATGACATTGGCCTTACCCCAGACCTTAGGTATCAGACGACCAGCCACTTTTCGGCCAGAGTCGTGGCCTCCCTCGGAGCAGAGCAACATGTCTAGGAGTGGCACCGAGAGAGGCCGGAGCAACAGATCACCGTCTTATCTTGCATCTCAATCATGAGAACAACCTCGCACGAAATACGGGCGCCGATCCGCTTTGCATTCACCAGAAAGGAATACCTGAACGTGACGCATCATTTGCACATCTGGCGTCTTCCGCATGGTCTAACCCATCGTCTAACATCCGTAGTCTACTCAGAGCGACTCCTACGACAGATCCCAAGCTTCAATTTTGCATGGTCCCTCTACTTGTTGAGGTCGACCTGGTCGGTGTCGAAGGGGCTATCCTTGCTCTTGAAGATGATGACGTTCTCCTGCCCTACCCGGAAGTGCAGGAAGAAGCGCGTCTCATAGCTCACGCTCGCTGCAAAGTTGCGGCCCACGATGCAGTGGTACACCCCGCTGGTGGCCTTGCCGTCGCTCGGGTAGCGCTTGTCGAACTCCTTCTTGATGTACGTCGCCACGTCCTTGGGCTGCTTGTAGTAGTCGAACGCCTGCCGAACGTATGGGGGTGTCAAGCGTGACCAAACTCCCTGAGGTTCTCGTTTCATTTGCAGAAAAGCAGTTCAAAAGAAAGTGGTTCCTGCTTCAATTCTTGAAAGAAGGACGAGGCCTCTGCTGGGTTGCTGTGGGAAAGCAGAACCCTGAGTAAGAAATGAATTTCTCTTTTCCAAGTGGTGATACTAAGGTTCTCGGGGCTTACATCCACTTGAAGTAGGTCCTCAGGAATCTAGTCCCCGTCGTGTGCCCAACAGGCACACGGTTCAACAACAGGCATTCATTCAGCTCCCACAACTTTCTCTGCTCCGCTTTCCAAATCAAGCTTGAGAATAATATGCATCCACAAACATTTTGTGATGAAAAGTGTGCCCGGAATTCCCAGCAATGTGTACCAGAGGCGGCAACTTAACAGAGTTTTTAAGGAAAAAACTCCCGTAACTCACACGCACAGCTTTGCAATGAACTCTCATAACAGGCCTACAAGTTTCTGTGGCCAAGAATTGAGTGCGGAACACCATAGATTCATCCCGATGGCAGGACTTGGAGTCAATATAAAGCAATCTTCAGAAGCATGGGGGGGAGGTGCATTCTCAAAGAATACAATGTACTGATGCAGATTCCAAAGGGGTCTTCAAAAGATGTCTTTCTTTCAATTTGACATTGGTCACAAAGTTGGAATGAAGGTACTGATTCCTGAAAGGGCTATCAGGGTCGAATCGCAGGGTCGATACTTTGTAACTTCTTTTTTGGCCTTAAAGAGCCCAAATAACAGCTGCAGCGTATCTTTGGACCCTTTCTGCAGCTCGTTGGTCAAGTTGCTAGATCACTACTACTCTATAGATATTTTGAGATGTTGCAAAGGATACTCACCGATGCAGCTATCTCAGTTGCGCTCTTTTCAAATTCCCTGGCCATAGTGCTTGTGACAATTTGAATGGGACGTGGCTGGCTGGCTGGTGCATTGGTGGCATCAGCTTCATCTCTGGTCTTCTCAGGATCCATGGCAGGAGGCCCCATGACTGCCCTCTTCAGTTGCCACCTCTACTGCGCATTTAGATTCTAAGCTTTAAGTCTTCTGCCAAGCTTTAAGTCTTCTCAAGGATGCTGCCAGAGCCGCCCGCTCTGGTTGCAGCCTCATGATTGGGATACACTCACAAGACGGAGCACAGCACAAAGGGGAAAAGGGAGACCAGAGCTGAGTCGGGCCCGCTGGTTCATTGAGCTGATCAGCTGATTGGGCTCATCGTCTAGCAGCAAAGTGCAGCTTGGATGATGATCCGATCAGCGTGAAAGCCGTGCATCCTTTGCCATGTTCCGCAGTGTCCTTTTCCGAGCTGACGTTCGAAATAGTTAATCAAGCGCTATGTTCCTGTCACATTCTTAGATTAGGTAATTGGTTCTTTTCGACTTGCCCAGACTTGCTTGTTTATCCAGGTATCCACAAGCAAAGTCTAGCCCGCAGGGCCTGTGAAGGGCCGCCCAGCGAATAGCCTCGTAGAAAGTGACCAGCTGCTGAGGCTGCTGCTCCTGCTGCTGTAGCCTTTGATTAGGAGGTTCGGAACCACAGGACTGGTCAAGGTCACCCATGCGGCATCGTGATCAGCGACAACAAAGCTGGCTTTCCTGCCGTTGCAGTCGCCGAATGTGCACTACTCTTTCTGGCACACCGATGCAGGCTAGCTGACCGGCACGCCCACTGGTTCAATTTTAAAAGCATGTCCGTCAGCGCCGAATGTAAGGCCCGTCGCGCGCGCGCTTTCACGAGCAGAATGAGGGGGACTGCATTATTGCATTATTATTATTGGACTGCATCGAAATGCACATTGCATTGTTGAACTTGAAGGGAAAATGGTTCCTCGTGACGCTGGCAGTGGAAGCATCCCTGACGTTGAGAACAATTGAATGAGATCCTGAGGCTCAGAGTGGAACGGGAGCGATCTACACACTAGGCCGTGTCGCACCATGGAAGATGCAATGGTCAACGTTTGCATGCGACGGACTCTGATTGCCCTTCTCTAGATGCCTTCAGACCACTATGATGAGATTCCATGCTTGCCGCTGAGGCTATAGCCCCCGGGCAGGGATCTCCCGGGTTGCGGAGGATCCGATCAAGCTCGAGTTGGGGGACTTTGCCCCATATGGGCGCAGATGAGAAGGCTGTAGCGACAGGGGCCTTAAAGGGCCTCATTGCCCCATTTCTGAACCTCTGGAGTAACTCAGTGTTGGGGAAAATGGCGGGAAGCACTGGGTTGGTGCATATTGCACTCGTCTTCGTCCAGGTTGGTGCTATTACTTTTGACACCTGGCAAATTATGTTACGCAAGGTTCTTTGAAGTCTCTTTGGCCGGGTGAAAGTTGGTATCACCATGTAGCTGAGAGCGGCATGCCTTGGCCGAGAGAGTTGAACACCAACACTTGATACGTATGTTTTTCTAATTCAGTATTGTCCGTTTGCCTCCAGTCTCTGAGAAATGACAAAGGTCAATACTAGCAACTCTTTCTTACTATCTCATTGTGGCAGCTTAAGATCTGATGTTCCTCGAGTGCCTTGGCCAGGTGGCTTATGGAGGCTACCATGTGGTTGTCAAAGTGGCGCTCAAAGGCGGCGTCAACCAGTTCGTTTTCTGCGCTCTCCGAGACATCATTGCGCTGGCAATTCTTGCGCCGGTGGCGTTCTTTGGCGAGCGGGGCCGCCGGCCTCCAATGACGAGGGGGCTTCTGGCATCATTTATACTGCTCGGCATGACGGGGTGAGTTCTGAATGTGAGACTCACAGAAAACCAGAACACTTGAGGTGGATTTAAGGGGCCAGCTTCTCTTTGAGGCCTTGAAGGCCAATTGCCAGTACTGTCAATCTGTCAGCAGCTCCCCAATCCCCGCTGCCAAAGAAACCTGATGGAAGTGGTCAAGTCCACAGCACTGTCGTACTGCTGCCAAGGCTTTGAGTAGTGAGTGCAATGGATCAAAACAAGCCAATCTCTTGGTGCCTTGTAGTGGACGTGATTGACTATTTTGAATTGCCCCTCCTTGCAGGATCCTAGGCAACCAGCTCCTCTTCATGTTTGGGCTCAACTATACTTCTCCAATGTACGCGGCAGCGATGCAACCATCCATCCCGGTCTTGACATTCCTACTCGCCATTGTTTCTGGGTGAGTTTTGTGAAACATTTACCGATTCAGGTTCTGTTTTGCTAGCTGGTTTCTGACTGCTAATAGTGGCCTGGAAACGCTCACCCTCTGACAGGATCTACTGAATGTATCCATCGTGCGTCCCGCACCGTGGGCTCTCTTTGCCCTGTCTCTTGCAGATCGAGGATTCCCAACTCAAAAAAACTCAATCAGCTGTACATGTTTATCACTGATTGCATTCTTGTTCTTGCATCCAATCAGATAAGCCTCTTTGAGAGGGACGGAAGTCGAACGAAAGCATTTGACGTTGAAGTCTAACTCCTTCGTCTTCACCGCAGGGCTGAGACCGTCTTCCTCCGCCGAAAAGACGGCCAGGCCAAAGTCGCAGGCGTGCTCGCCTGCGTTTCGGGCGCCCTTTTGATGGCAATCTACCGGGGCGCCCCCGTCTTTGGCACCGACGAGGCAAACGGCCTGCAAGCGGCAGGCCGCTCTGCTTTGGTGGTGTCAGAGGACGTTTCATATGTGGGGCGCAGTTTGGCTAGCTATGGGATGAGCTGGTGGCATTTGGGGGTTGTTTGCCTCATTGGCAACTGCATATCCATGTCGGTTTACATAGCAGTACAGGTGAGGCCCTTCAGTTTTTGGCGTTTTACAATCGTGCGGCCTTTGTCGTTCTTCCAGGGACGTTAAACTTGCGGTCGGTGCCACACGATTGCTTTTGGGGTGGTTTGGGCGTGACGCCATGTCGGCGAGTAGGATGCTTATGTCACAGGCTTTGCGGACGTTCAGTAGCATCGATTGGAGCGACCCCAATGTTGGGAGTGTCACGGGTTAACGACTGTCTGGTAGAAGAAGATGATACACTGAGACGGCTGTCCGGAATGGTCGAAAAGCTTTCCATGTAAGTACGAATGATTGTCGATTCGTGGAACGTGGCAGGGCTGTTTCCCGCTTTCTTGCATCGGTTCGGCGGACTACACGTAGGGGCAGCTCAGAGATACGGATGGAAGAACAGAAAGTCGTTATCATGCAGTCTCATGAGATTTTTTGGTCCCAGCCGCCTTTGGAAACAAGGTAATCGCAGACTCTATGATTCCTATGATTCCTTGTCCCTGTGAACGACTGGCACAGGACACCGTCTCATTTCGAGACCGTCTAGTTGGTCTTCCGGTTGTACCTGGAGGCCCCAATCTGATCGGGGACAAAGGTTGAAAGTAACAAGGAACTTAAGTTACAGGAGGGCGGGTGGGGTTACTTTGGTGGTTAGGGTGGGTTCGGGTGTGGAGCATGTCATTTTGTCCTTAGGGGTTTCGTTGTTGATTAAAACCGAGGAACTAGACCTTTCAGTACCTTAAGGTCCTTATCACTATCAGAGTTTATGGTTGTCCAATCTGTGTCAACAGAGCTCCTCGGCTGATCAGTTGCCCTTCGAAACCAAGGACTCGACCAGCCAACCTGTTTCACTCTTGGCCGCAGAGCTTAGTGAACCCCCGCTGCGCTTCTTCCTTTCTGCAGTCCCCCGTGCTGCAGCGCTACCCCGCCCCGCTGTCCGTCACTGCGTTGGCCTACTTCTTCGGGGCCCTGCTCATGCTGCTCTGCGCGCTGCTCTTCGTGGACACCCGCGCGGCCTGGGTGCTCACTGGATCGCAGATTGGAGCGGTCCTGTACGGAGTGAGTGCCTACACTATCGTAAAACTGTCGTTGCGATTGAAAGACAAATTGTTATTCACAACTGCACGGATTGCGGGTGTTTCGGCGCAGAACTCACCCCCTGTTAACTTCGACATCATGCCGTCGAGGGCATGCGGCCGACTGCTAGCAGATGGATCTGCATACAATGCAGGAGTGTTTCTGTGCTTGGTTGAAAGGGGCGTAGCTGCTCTACTCTACGTCACACCCATGCTCGACACCTTCTATGTTACATCATCGCCGCGTTTCGCTCTGCACGCCTTGGTCCAGCACAAGAGGCATCACATTCTGGTTTGGCACCGCTCGGCCGCCTCTATCACGAACTCCAAAGGGCGTCATGGCCTCGGCTGCAGACTTCAACGGCCCCTTAACGCGGGCCATTACGGGCATCCGCATGCCTGCCTTGCTGCAAGAGACCATCAACAAGCCTTTTGGTTCTCTTTTGACGGATGCTCTCCCATGTTTCCATAGAGCATCGTCGCCTTCGCTGTAAACCACGGCCTTATGGTGTGGGCCAACTCGAGCATCCCCACACTTCTTTCTAAGTTTCCTAACCTTTTTCTCAAAGCCGCGCTCTTGTTTTCTCGCAGGGCATCATCGCCTCCGCTGTAAACTACGGCCTCATGTCGTGGGCCAACAAGTGCGTCGGGCCCGCGATCGTGGCCATGTACCTGCCCCTCCAACCGCTCGCGTCCGCGCTCCTCTCGCGCCTCTTCCTCAACAGCACCATCTACCTGGGGAGGTGAGCACAGCGGCCGTCTCGGACTTGTAGTCGGTTCCAAGTCAGCGGTGGAGCCATCCCCCTTCTCGGGAGTGCCACCTACCTGGGGAGATGATCGCAGCGGCCGTCTTAGAATGGCTAGCTCCTCGGTCCTCGATCCTTCGATTGTTGTCGCGATTTCTTCGAAAGCCGTCTTCTCGATCAGCATTACAGTCTGCCGAGGAGGTAGTGCAGCGGCCTTCTTTGGGTCCGGATCTTCGCGGTCTCTTGTCCCGCTTCACTATGCGGTCGAAAGGATGTGAAGATAAGGCTCGTTAGCTCGTCTCGAAATGGCCGCAAGAGCTCGTCTCGTGGAGCTGGCCTGGAACGGAGTCGTCTGATCGTTTTCTGATCGACTGCAGGTTGTCCCTTGCTACTTGGACTAGACGTTGACTGCATCCATGGTTTCAACCCACCAAGCGCAGCGGCCTTCAGTTCTCTCCTCGCGTCCATGAAGTCTTCCTTATATATTGCGTCAGGTCCAGCACACACTGACAGCATGTTTCATTGTCCTTCCGCAGCATCCTGGGTGGGGTACTCATCCTGTCGGGTCTCTTCCTGGTGACGTGGGGCCGCAACGAGGCCGACCGACTGGACGGGCCGGCTTACCGGAAACTGCCCGTCGTTGCCGCTGATCATTCAATACTAGACCCTCCTGTCCTTGGTAGACGAGAACGGAAGTCACCATGATCGTGATTCTATGTACGTTAATGTCACATTGAGTCTGTCAAGGTAACCTGTCTTTGCAAATTTCTTATAAACTTCATTCAGTCTCAGGTGCATGGCTGCTCAAGAAAGCAATTAATGACCACCTTATTCTGTTTGTTTTTGTATGTTTGTTTGTATATCAACAATGCTATTGGTCGAAGTATAAAAGTGTATTGACGTCATGCATTGCATCAGTGAGCATAGGCCGAACACATCAACGATCGCTGCGACTGTTTTGCATTTAATGTGTACACGTGCCCTGCAGTTAGAGGCGTAGCTAGAAAGCGTGCCGGGTATTTGTATAGAACACCAGTTCAATTTTGATTGAATGTATCAGAATGATCACGCACTACTAATATGCACCATATCATTGGTTGATAAGGTTTGGACATTCAAACCGCTTCGTAGAAGCATACGTGTCTCAAGGTTTAAGGTGCATAATTGTCTGCCAAATTTCTTCACGGTCAAGTTGCGGATGAAGCCGGATGTGTACAGAGCCGGCTGCATCAGATTGTATGAAGCCGCGTACAAAGATGCAAACTTCAATTGTATGTAAAACTTCAACGTACGTAAGTAACATACGTTCAATGACATATTCATATGCGACGGTACTGTCTGCATCAATGTGTGCTGATCATTGACCTACCGCGTACCGATCGATGTACCATGCTTAATTGTAAACTCCGAAGAGCAATTATATACCATTTGAGGATAAACTGCAGAACGGCTAGCGAATTATTAAGGTGTACGAAAATTCACAACCTCACGCGAGGATCCAAAGGTACATAAGAATAAAACTCTTCCGGCCAACATGGAGTTACAATAAAGGCAAATTGCAGCACGCTAGCGAAATACCTATCGGTGTACGAAACGTCACAACATCACGAGGACAAAGGTGCTCAAGGATTAAGCTCTTCCAGCTAACATGGTAGGAAAGCCGGAGTCTTATTCTCCAAAAATGAAGTCTCCACCCCGCTCACGAACTTTCCTTGGTCAATCTGACGTACCTTACAAAAGGCTGACTCAATTTTGACAAAAAAGTCAAGATACAGATTCTTGACAATCAATCTTCTCACGAGGCACACAATCCTGAAACTTTGACACGGATCACGCTCCCGCGGCCGCGGGCGTGCTCTTCAGCTCGCACTTCATGCCCCACCCCTGGATGATGAGGTCGTCGGTCGGCCGCGTCTTCTGGAAAGACGGGCGCTCCTCCATCCGCTGCATGAGAAGATTAACGTCACTGGACACGGCTCTTCTGAACTGAGTAAGCTCTCGAACTTTGAAAGTTTTGTAATGCTTGGCGCAAACAGTTCGACACCGCCCGTTGCTTTGCAAGTTGCAAACGGCTCGGCAATCAAATCCAATGGATACAGGCTTGGCGTTTTGAAGTTTCTCTCTCAGGACAACTAGACAGGGCCCAGTTGTACTGCTCGATTGAAAGACACAAAGCAACACCAGGATTGAAACACTCACGTGCATGTAATCTCTGACAGCGGTCAGTTCGGCGGGAAACTCGTAGTCGTACCTGTGCAAGACAAAAGGTCAACGTCGATCAGATAAGGATACAGGGAGGCGGCGGCAGCTCCTTGACATGTCTTCGAAGAGCGAAAGTAAGCAAACACGAAGTCTAGAAAAGCAACCTGATCAAAAAAGCAATCCATGTGCTCACGGAACTTTCCAAACTCACGCCCCGTGATAGATACCCTTGACCAATGAAGCGATCACGCGAGTTTGAAGGGAAGAGGGTGCCTCACGATGGGAAGACCAAGGAATCACGGTACGTCATCCAAACGAAATGGAATGAAGCGGGAGGATTATCTTAGTGTGTCCATTATTGGTCAAAATAAGTCCGAACACTTTCGTTCATCAAGTAGAGTCGTAAGCAGTGCAGACGGGAGACGCAAGACCCGTCCCGGAAGTAGGTAAATGTAACTACGCATTCTCTCTCTTCAGTGTCGTCTTCAGGTACAGCAAGCGTCAAACGGGAAACCACAGGTGGGTACTCGCCCATCAACAATGGCAATATTCGACCAATTCAGATCGTCGAGGTCCGGCAACTGGGCAGACGTCCATCAGATGGTTGAACAAGGAACGGAAATGGGGCGCATGAACAGACTCACCAGTACTTGAGGGCAACACGTGCGTGCAACAGCTTAGGCGACACGGAGAGGTCGGCGTCCGTCATCTTGTCGCCGTCAATGTACGGACCCTGCTCACCAAAAGCAAAAGCTATCATCAGGAACCGTATGGGCTGGGCGTGGGAAATTGGTCATTTCCGAAGAGGCTACTAGGTGCGAGGGAATCTGAAGTTAGATATCAGCGGATCAAGATGGTTGTCGGCGGCTTACGAGTACTTCGATGCACACCCGATTCGTCGAGCCCGTTGGAGACAACAGACTCGTCTCGTGCTGTGGACCCATTCGCAGCAAATAAACAGTTTCGCCAGAACCCCCGAAACTGACCTGTTGTCCGTAAAGTTTCAAACGCCCAGCGAAAGTTTCGTCGGCACGCAATGGATAAGGTAGCTTGCAATCAGCATCTGAAGTCCAGGACTTGTACAATGCAGCCCGGCTAAAAAGTTGAGGGGAACGAAATCGCATGACGGGAGGCCACGTACATTTTGCTTGATGTGCTGGTCGAAGCTTTTCAGCTCAGCTTCGAAGTCGCTCTTCTTCTCAGCCGCCTTTGGGTCCTTCTCCTGGAGCCAGCCCATGAACTTGGGGAAGATGTCCTTGCCTCTGCAAGCCGAAAATTGAGCACTTCGGACTATGCTTAGCTACTGTTTGTTGCTCGTACAGACCAGTCAAGGTACTCCAAACACTAGTTTTAAGACCGATAAAAGGTGAAATAGGAATCGTACTCAGTGCCCACGTGGACTGGGGCATCAGTGTTCTCAAGCGAAGTCTGCAATGTGCTGGGGCTAAGCGGATTGTGGCCTTAAGGGATGAAGTCTGCAAGGCCACTGCACACCTTTTTTGATATCGAACTCAAGAAAATCGACAATACACTAATAATAAAAGGAGGTGACTGCACTAGCACGATGGCGACTAGGGTGGGTAGGGGGTGCTTGCAGGTGCCTTCCTGGGTTTGGAGCTTGTGCTTTAGCGGAGCTTATAACTACCATGACTACCGTTGCTTTTCTCAGACTTCAGAGTTTTTATTCGTCAAGCATTACTTGAAGATGCACATTACAAGCAAAAACTCATGTTCCAAGAGACCACTGCTTACACTTCTTTCGCGGAGTCGGAGGGCTTGAGCGACGGCTCGGGGAACTTGCTCTCCAGGTGCTCAAAGATCTTGTCACTGTCCTGGATCCACTGGTCACCGTCGCGCAGCACCGGCATCAGCCCGCTCGGGTTGTTCTTCATGAACCTGCAATACGTTCCAAAGTTGCGTGAGAACAAATTATCCGGTCCCAAGTTGCTGCTAAATCCTCCATCTTTTACGATGACAGCATTCCCCAACACGCGTAACCTTGTACTCCTGTAATCTTTCAAACTTCAACCCAGTAGAGTACTGCCAAAGGTGGTTTAAGAGACAGCTGGCACGGGAGCTGAGAAGACTGGCAGGCAGGTTTTCATCCGATCCAGGTTGAAAAAACAAGTAGCGTGGGAAGAACATTGTAAAGCAAGGGTCCCTCTCGAAAGGACTGCCCACAAGATGAAAAACACCGCCATCTCACCAGTCTGGCTTGGAGTCGTTCTCTCCCTCCTGCACAAAGGTGCCCTTGTACTGGAGCTTCTTCTCCTCCAGGTCCAGGTATGTGCGCTGCGAGAAGGGGCCTGAAGCAGGCAAAGCCGCAGACTGTCATACTGTTTGCTGGAACCATGATGTGTGAGTGAACCTCTGAATAGAACCTCCTGGGCATCCAACCACCAGCTCCAACTTTGGCAACCAAGCCTGGCACCCAATGTGGGCTACAGTGACCTGTTTCAGGCAGCTCTGAAACATGCATGCACATGCATGCAACCTCCAGCTCAGATGGGTTGCCACTCCTTTCGTCCATTAGTGTGGTCTGTGCAAGGTGATAAGAAAAGCAGCCTCGATCCATGCAACTTGCTTGGTTTTCAGAAGGCATCAAGGGCCATGACATTCTCCCTACCAGAACTGCAATCAGAGCCAAGCACAAACGTAATGGCACTCACAGTCGCCTCTCCTCGCCGATGGCTGCCCCGTAAACGGCACTGCCTTGCCGAACACCTCCAGGTCTGCCGTCGGTGCCATTGCGCGGGGCTGTGCAGCTGCTGTCTGTCTCCTGGTTGCAATTGCGACGAGTGGCGAGAACTGAACCCCCCGGAAGCTGCTCTGGCTGGCGGAAAGAGCGTCCACGTGTCTGGGCACAGAATGGTGCTTCTGGGCAGCTGAGCTGTTGAAGAATCTGGTCGGGGCCGCAGAGAATGCCCTGCTGGAAGTCTCAGAGGTGCAGCGGCTGGCGAAGATGCGGCGGCAGGAGGTTCCGATCAGGCTCTGGCAACTGGCGGCCTGCGATTGCAACATCTTCGAGCGGAAGTAAGCCTGAGGCGCTGAAGTCGAAGCTTCAGTTCGTCAAAAAGTGCGTGCAATTAAGTTTTGAACCTTTCGACAGTCGCCGAGTAGTGAACAGAAAGGAAGATCTGCGCAGATGGTTCCTTTCGTGTAGCCCAGGAGCCCAATCAGAGCTCCGTACATGATGTTCTCTTCTCATAAGCCCGTACATCAAAATGTGGGCACCTCGTGGACGCGCAATGAACTAGCTGTCGTGTGCATTGCTCGGGCGTTAGAGAAGACTGCGCCAGCTACCGTAGTGAACTCGAGGCGCAAGTTTATAGGGGATCCCCAGAGGCGCCCAGGAAGTAAGTTCTTGGCCACTCGAAACGTGCCACCTGTCGCATTTTCCTGGTCTTAAGTTGGCATTTTGTAGGGTACATATTCTTAGCGGGCGAGCCATGTACCATCCAAACTTGCCGGGGTAGCTCAGTTGGTAGAGCGCAAGGCTCTTACTGACATCCGTTCTGCGGACGTCTACAGCACACCTTGTGGTCGAGGGTTCGAGCCCCTCCTCCGGCGGATTTATGCTTCTCCCATTTGATCATCCCTCGTTCTTTTTCACTTTTGGTCTTCGTCACTCAGCCGACGGCACGTTTGCTTGGGTTCGCATCTGTCCTCTTTTAAATGCAACTTCTGATTTTGACACACTGCAATTCGCATCAGTGGATTCGTGGATCATCTTTAGTACTTTCTCGCCGTTGCTTCTCCTTTTCTCCCCCAATGCTTCCTCTGGGCTCGGAAATTTGTACGTCGCATTGCTCGTGCATTGCTCAGTTCATTGGCTCCTTTCAGGCCCCAATGTGCCATACATAAGCTTAATTTTGGCGTCGCATTTGCAAATTCGTCCAATTCGTGGGTCCCAGCTAGCCATACCAGACATACTCACCGTGAATTCTTTGAAAATTCACCCGTTCAAAAGTGGATTGTAATTTCGAATCAGGCGAGCATTAAATGTATGTCACCATCAAGATTTGCCATTGCGGTAGTAAGATCTTGCATGCTGAGGTAGCTGATAGCTTGTTGGACAAAACACGGCCTTGACCCCACGTACTCAATCAAACCCCATGCTTCAGTACGGTTTTATAATGTGATGTATGTATTGTTATCCGAGGTGACGAGGTCGATGACAGCAGATTAGGCACCAGTCGGTAGACGGTCCGGATATCCGTCTGGAGATCTGGTATGTTTAATCACTGGCAGCTGTCTCGGATATTGATAGCGCCACGGGCTGCAATGAGCTTCTCGTAAGTTATTTCATACTCAGCTTGTTTGCAACGAGATTTGCACATACTCCGTCTAAATGGGTTTCTAGAGTTGTAGAGCTAGCACATAGTAGGAAACGTCTTGTCTTGAAGCAGCTAGGTCCATGGCTCATGTTTTTGCTCAACACGCACCAGCCTGCTTCTGATCGACATGCACAGCCCGGCTGCTTGTTTCAAGGAAGACAATTTTGCTAGGATCACTTCTTGGGCAACGAACGGGCATTGTCAAGCTCGATAACTGTGGCAATTGAGTGCTCAGTGCCGGCATAGTCGAGTCGCAACTTATGAGACAGAGTTTTTCAATCCTATGATCGCGCGCGACTTATGACGCCTTTGATGACTCCGGCTTGACCACCGCCACAAGATGCCACCTTTCTTGAAAGGCCTCTTTCCAACTCGAGCACGGGCTCTCAAGCAGCACCGCATATGCCGTTTTCATCGGGACGAACTTGCCCGCAAACTGACTAGCCGCCTGTTCCCATCCCATGTTGTGGCCCACTAGCATTGCACTCCGAGCCGCTTCCGCTTTCTCGATCACAGCCTCTTTTAGAAGTCGGGGCGTGTCGGTGAGGCCGTCTTCCGTGGCTGCCACCTGATCCGCATGATAAAGTTGCTTAGTTTGTTGCCTGCCGCCTTTAAAGAGGAAAGGCAGATTGACTGAAGTTGCCTGCCATTTAAGAGTGCTCACCCTGCTCATAGAAGCTCATCATTTAGCACTTGAGCGGGAGTCAAACGTAGCTACTCAGACGAGCAGCGGGTGAAGGCGCTCACCAGGAAAGGAAGTCCCAGATACTAAATATCAGATGTGAAGGCAAGTCTCGTGACGATTTCAACTTTTGGCACAATGACTAGATGGCACTCGAATGATTAGAAGAAAGACACAATATCTCTGCCATGCGGGCACAAAAGTGTGACAAAAGTAAGCCACACAAATGCTTGCGCATTTCTGGTGAAACAATGCAACAGCCTGTTTACGTTTCAGAAAGGGGGATCAGATTTGTTATCCAACCTCGAAGGAGTGGCCGAATGCGCAGCGACCCACAAAGCGTGTCTTTCCCCCTTTTCCTCTTTCTTCTCTACAATTATGAAGGTGGGCACCCGCCAGACTGCCAAGGCAACAAAAGTCTTCAGCTTTCAAAGTAACTCCGACTAACCCCGTTCGTATCCACAATAAAAAGCTCGTTTTACCAATACTGACCTCATAAAAACTGTGTAGAAATTCAGTTGGCACGTCTGCGAGCTCTCCCCATTCACCGCGCATCCCTTGTAGGGTCTCCTGCGTCCTGACAGAGTCACTACTGAGTATGAGCTCCGGAAGCCAGCCTGCAAAAGAAGAAATTGTATGTTGCGCCAGGCGTTGACCTGCCATCTAACTTCCAGCCCTGACTTGTGTTAGAGTCACTTGGGCTGAGGTGATCTTGATGTTGGTCAAGGGGCTGCAAACGTGCACTTACCTACTGAAAACCAGTTCGAGGATCGCGCTGTTTGGACACAAAGGATACAAAGTAAAGTCCATCTGGCAATTCCTGCACAACATTAGTCCCAGATTGCTTGACGCAAGCGAGCGGGGTGTGGAGAAGCATATTCACGGGGTACTCAGCCTCACCAGTAACTTACTGGAATTGCACCATTTGGAGCAGTATCTGGAGGAAATGTACGGATGAATCAGAGCAGTCTGGTTGACCATAGATGATCCTCACCTCGCGAGCGGAGCTGCGCCGCGACGTTTGGTGCCGCCTTCCGGCCCCTATTATTGAGGGGCCGCTCGTGGTCTTTTAAGCTTGGGTCGTCCCAAGAGCTCTTGGCATGGCGCAGCAGGATGAGCCTAAGGGGCTGCTTTGGACTTTCTTCAGAGGCATCAGAAATGGCTACGTCTGGTTTCGATTCTGCACTGGCGCCGACTTGCGATTCGTGCTTGCCCTTTGCGTTGCAAGTGACCGGCAAAGACAGGCGGCGATCGACACTGAAAAGGTTTGGTCCGGAAACCAATTGGTGGTGCAATTGCAACCGTTTGATTTGGGTTTCTACTTGAACAGCTGGCGCTTTTGCAAGCCCCAGAAGCAGACCCGCAGAATGAGAAGCTCTCCTAACATTGTGACTCCGATTGCGGGGCATTTGCTGGGCATCACATCTGGCGGGGAAATGCAGATCGCGCTTGCCAGCTGTTGACCATTGCCGACTTAACGAATCCAAAGTTACATATTTTGCCTGCGCGCAGCAATGTGGCCCCACCACCATGTTGAAAGGGCAACAACAGCTTGTGTACCACCATGTGGAATTCAAAACATTTTCCTTGCGATGAAGCGCTGCTGGAGCTTCTGGCTAATGAAAAGTTTCTGCCCAGCTGCAACTCTAGCTGTAGTGGAGGAAGGTCAGACTCACCAAAGTCTTCAAATCTGAAGGCAACAATTTCTTTCGGTCGTCAACGACGCCCTGGCAAATGTGGCAACTTTAGATTTTGGCGGCAAGAAAGGATCAGGTTTGCGTATCCAAATTCCAATGCTGCTGCTTCAATCAGTGGTCAGCTGCATCATCGGAAGGTGGGCAGCTGCAGCCTGCCTTGTTTCTGCAAAAGCACATCTAAGCCGTTGGATCCTGTCCAGACAACAAGGGTCTGAATACCGGCGTACACTCGAATCTCACAGCGCTGCGCTGCCTCCACTGCCAGCGCGGCCAGCTGGCATGGTGTTGCGTGGAACTTGAGGCAAGAAAGTTGGAAAGTCGCTGGCGCTTCTGTGGCGCACAGCCTTTGCAAGGCGCTTGCAGGAATGGGTCTGGCAGCCAGCTTCACAGTTGCCTAAGGTCAATGGTGTCATCCTGAGGCGGAGAGCTCTCTGCAGCGCCTGCGGGTTCTGAATCTCCATTCTCTGTTTGTTTCGAGCTGTCGCAATGGTGAACACGCAGCTGGCCTCCGCCCTGGGCCTGTCCCTCCCTGTGTTCCACTACTTGGTCTGCTTCCTAAGCACGATCCCGGTTGCCTTCTTCCACCGCTTTGTCCCCACAGTGGCTGGTCGGCACCTCTATGCATTTGCAGGCGGGGCCATTCTTACCTACCTCTGCTTTGGCAATGAGGTGGTTTACCTCTACATCCCGGTCGTGATGGCATACCTGAGCATGGTTCTGTACAGGAAGAAGGCAGGGACGATCACGTTCTTCCTCACGTTTGCCTTCCTCATCTACTGGTAAGCGCAGGCGATCCATTCCCTGTATCCAAACGCAATCAAAGAGTTTGCAGTGTTTGCTTCATGATCTGCATGCAGATGGGAGGTTCGGAATCCAAATGAGCCTCAAGGCCATCGCTCAAATCCAAGAATGACCATGTCGATTTCAAGGAACGCAAATGGTGGCGCTAAAGTGCCATTCTAGATGTGGCATTGCAAATACGTCTAACAGGATTGCTCACGATGCACTCGCTAGAGTAAGTGTTTTCTTCATTGCCTCGTACGAGTCTCTGAGCTTCCTAAGGGAGCACTTTGTGAAATAGGACACTTACCTGGCTCGCTTTTGTTTCCTGGGCAGCCATGTCACTTACATGAGCGGTGACTCCTGGAAGAAAGGGAACATCGACTTCACAGGTGAGCGCTCCCGTTTTTTTCACAGCAAGCACCGTCGCATCTTGCTCGAAGATTCGGAGAGCTCACTTATTGAGTTCTTAACCAGAAGGATAGGCGCCCCTTCGCTTGGGGCAGAAGCATATCAAGGACCATGTCGCAGATTCTGCTTTTCTGCCTTTACCTTGACAGCGAGCCTTCTTCTTTAGTGCGAGCCCTCCAATCCTTAACAAGCCCTGTTACTACTGCCACTTCTACGCAACCATTCGCTTGGCTGAGACGATCTGCGGAGCTGCCATTTCAGGAGACCAGTTTGCAGGCGGCCTTATACTAAGAGAAAGTAGCACACGTACATCCCTGCCGCCTCATTGGCACCCTACCTTAAATTCTGTGCTCACAATGCTCCCCTGTTATCAAAGGGCACCAGGTCTTCATTGTTGCTTGACGCTTCCTAAGTCATAGCAGCTCTGATTATGCGCCCCTCCTTTCAGAAGAAGCTTCTGCCCTTCGCCATGCTTGCTTGGGGCCTTCACAAGTCCTCGAAACTATCAGCATTCATCAACATCGACTGCTTCGCATTTGCCGCAGGTGCTCTTATGATCCTGTCCTTGAAGGTCATCTCCGCCGCTGTAAACTACCAAGACGGGATGCTACCAGAGAGCGACCTGCGCCCCACTCAGAAGAAGTTCCGCCTGACCCGCCTCCCTACCTCCCTCGAGTTCCTGGGTTTCATCTTCTCAGACGCAACGCTCCTCGCGGGGCCTCCCTTTGAGATGGCGGACTACCTGGCATACACAGAGAGGAAACGGGTGCGTTGGATGGCCCTCAAACGAGGCGGCTACTTCATTTTGACTGAGGATAAGGAATGTTCGAAAAGTTGTTTGGTGACTTCTATTGGTGTGGAGAGACTTTGCTGGAAATCTCGACCTACTGCAGACGTTTGAGCCTGGCGTCTTTCCTAAAGAAGTTTTGTGCAAAGAAGTGCTTCGCTTAAACGTCTTGGTATATTGATACAAATGTTGTTCTTGAGTTTCATGTATCAAAATCACTTATTTTGAGCTTGCTTCTCTCAACCTCGTAAAGTCTTCGGTATGGCTCATTCATCCTGACGGAAGGCCCTGTTTTTGCGATCATCGTAGGAATGGAGCCTCGACAAGAAATCGTGGCCGTCTCCATACAAGGCCTGCGGTTTGGCACTTGTCAAGACGGCCGTTTCCATGGCTATCTATCAGTACCTCACGCCCATCGCCCCAATCAGCTACTTCGCCTCTCCTGACTACGCCAACTCGTCCTTCTTAAAAAGGTAAGAAGTTCTCTCCCTTTCGCAACATACCTTTCTTTTTGGATGGAGTGCGCCGTTTGTGGACCTCGGTAACCTTGCGAGCAGCGGTTGCAATTCTTATTCCATTGTGATGGTTTTTATGAGAGCCCGTTGCTACTTGCAACGAGTCAATGCTGAACAACTCAGCGGTCACCCTCAGAATCGAAGCCCATTTCTCGTCATCGTCAAGCGATCGAAGGGAGATAACCCGAAACTCGTCCTAGTTTTGGGGGGCCGTGTTTGCCTGTAAATACTTCTCCTCAGTGCCGATTCTCCATTGCTGAATGGTCACACATCCGGGTCGTGGGCCGGGTCTCTCAACTTTCCCTGCTTGATCGATGAGATAATATTGATCTGCCTTTCGATCTAAAAGTTTTCTTTGCTTCCATTGTAAGAACCAGACGTAGGGCGGTCCGAGCAATCACGGGTTCATGTTCACCTGCCTGCCCCTCTTTGGTCCATCCTCGAAGTGAAGCTCTTGGTTCGATCACCCATATTGTAAGTCCAAGGACGAGCATTGTTCATCACCTAGTTGTTCAGGACCAGTCGTTGATGCAGAGTGGGAGTCCTTCGTCCTTCTTGCGAAAAGCAGTCCCCTTAAACCTGGGCAAACACCGCGAAAGTAGTCCCCTAGTCCTAAGTTGGTAAATGCAGAGATCATTCTGCTTGAGAAATGTAAGAGAATCAATCAGTTTTTCGGTCCTGTTTGGTACTTTGATCCTACAGCTTGTACAGAAGAACAACAACTCACACAACATAAGACACGTACCTGTCTGTCATTTCTGATTGACTTTATTTACCCCGTCTTCTGCAGGCTGTGGTTCCAGTACCTGGTGGGCCTGGTCACCCGGTGGAAGTACTACTTCATCTGGTCCATCTCCGAGTGCGCGCTCATCCTCTCGGGCCAGGGCTTCTCCGGCTACGACGAACAGAAACGAGCCACGTGGTAAGGGTCCGCGCAAAGCTGGCTCGTCCTTGGAACACTCTGTCCGATGGCTGAGCTGGGCGTAGGGAGCATTATAACAGGTAGCGCACAGCGTACTTAGAACTAAGTACTTTCCATGTTCCCGTGAAGGACCGATCTCCTGGCCTCACGTCAAAACTTAGTTTCCAACTGTAGAGACATCTGCTTTTGATGTCGAATCGTGTAGGGTTTTGTCGGTCTTGCACGCGTCGACCACCGAAGAAACCCTTGACTGGAAGTCAGGCCTCCCCTTCCGAGCAGACTCCCGTCTGCTTATTCACAGCTTATAGTTTCGCCGGATCTTATTGCCTCCTTCCATCTGCACTGAACCTCGCGTGAATGCGAACTAACCCCCTAAAACTGCCCAGTCAGTACTCTTGCCCTTGCCCAGCGCCGAATCTCTGCTTGTCTGCCCCCCCAGGACCATGGCGAAGAATGCGGACATCCTGAAGGTGGAGCTGGCAGAGAGTGCGGTCACATTGCCGCACTACTGGAACATCCAAGTCGGGAACTGGCTTCGATTGTGTATCCTTTTCACGACAGATTTCTGCATTCAAGAGAAAGTGTTAAATGTTTTTTGGATAGGTTTTGGCGGAGTCTGCGGCCGAAAACAGGATTTTCTCCGCCGCTCGCCGGATCTCAGGTTCGGTCTGGGTAGTCATCCCGTCAGCTGACCTTTTATCGGTGGAGACAGGGGGGAGGAGTGTACCCTACTCAGCTGTCAGCATTCCCTACGAAGAGTATCGAGGACTTCGCCTTGCATCATTCTTTGGTGCCAGCCGTTGTCAAGATCAGTCACGAGCTTCTTTGCCCATGTCAAAAACCTTCTCAGCACCCAACAGAGTCAAGGCCTTCTTGACCAAGTGTCGAATGCGTGCGTCAGACACTTAACGGCCGTCTGTGTCGCTTCCAGGCGCCTTTCGCTTGCAACGGGAAGGCTTGGCAGTAGCTCAAAATGGTTGTAATCTTCATCTTCCCTGGTCACTCTTGGTCGACTAGGTCAGGCCTTTGCTTCGTCTCTGGTGCACCGATTGTAGGGTTCTGCGTCCCAGGACTTCACTCTACCAACTCGGCGAGTCAGGGTTTTAAGGAAGGATACTTGTTGTGCGCTCTTTGCTGCGTGGCACCCTTGACATTCAGATCACAGACGTTTACGATCGGCTAACGAGGAAGGGGCGAAAGGCGGGCTTCCAGGAGCTGCTGGCCACCCAGGCGACCAGCGCAATCTGGCACGTAAGTGTTCTAGTCGCCTCTTCTCCTCATTTGAGTTGCCATTCCTAAATTCGTCAAACCTGTGATATTGGCTTACTCGATTTCAAACGGCGCGAGCAGCAGAGACTTTTGTTTCATGTTCCTTATGTTCTCGGCTTGAGGCTATGTTGGGACGATCCGATCACGGAGGCCCTTGCGGGGTGTAGCAGTAATTGAGGAGGCTTGTTGTCAACGGAGCCGGAGTCAGAAGTTGCCTAGCTGCCTTCAAATGAGCTTTTCATGGTGGACAGAATGTTACTGTGGGATAATCGGACGGTCGAAGCAGAAGCCGGTTTTTCGGAAGCGCTGACTGCGACCGTATGCTGGCGCTCTGCAGGGGCTGTACCCGGGGTACATGTGCTTCTTCGTCAACAGCGCGATCATGATTTCGGGATCCAGAAGTGAGCCACTCCTCTACGTTCCTTCTGATGCTGCTTTGAACTTTTTTTGGAGCACGCTTCTTTGATTAGTGTCGGGTCTTTACATGCACCCTGATGGAGGGACAAAGAAAGTCATGGAACCTGGTTTGCAGTTCAGCAACGAGCGAAGAGGGGAGCTATCTGCCACAGGCAAGTGAGAGAGGCAGACTGCAGGGCTTGAGAGATATGCGGAGGAGTCTGTGGATCCGTAGGTGGATGTATTGAGCCAAGACCTCTCATTGCGCAAGCTACCAAGTTCCGGTTAGAACAGAAAGTTTTGGCTGCGTTTCCCTGACCCGGCGCCCCGCCCTCCCTCACCAGCGATCCACCGGTATCAGCGCGCGCTGCCGGAGCGCTCTTCTGTATCCCGGGCCGCGCTCAACTTGGCCCACCGTGCTTACGCGATGCTTTGCAACCCTGTCCTGCTTGGCTTCGTCGTGAGTGCCCTCTCCTCAAATTAGGGGTGCGAGAAAACGCCCGTCTGATCAATGCCCTCCGTTTGCTGTCTCCAGTTCTTCACAAGTACTTCCTCGCCGTGAAAGCCGCAGTCCCTAGCGCCTGGCCCGTCACATACTTCTTGCACTGGTTCTATTCTGCGCTGGCAAACAACTATGCCTGCAGCGGCTTCGTGGTATGTCCCGCCCACGCGCGTTGACTCCCTCACCCCTGCTTGTCCGCACACACGTATCGACACTTTCGATTAGTGTGAATGCGTTCATACCTCTTCGCTGCCCCGATCTGGGCTCCCGAATCTTCGTCGATCGTTGTCGTTGCAAATACGTTGTGAAACACACTTTCTTTATATTCGAGTTGCATTTGTGCTTGGCGCCAGTTCTTGTGAGCGCTTCTGTGGAGGAGGCGGCTGATTAATGCCTTTTTGTGTGCAGCTTCTATCGTTCCGGGATACGATCGCCGCCTACCGGTCGGTGTACTTCATAGGCACAGTCGTACCAATCATAGTTGTTCTCTTGGGCAAGGCTTTCCCTCCGCCGCGGACCCGATCGAAAGATACCGCACCTACAAAAGTGAAGGAAGAGGCCGCCGAAACGGCACCTAAGAAGGAGTTGTAGACTCGGACGATAATCATGGGGATTCTGTCACGGGTATCATGCTTTAGACGCGTTTTGACTGATTATGTTCTATCTAGACACGGGTTTAGAACAAATAAACATGTGCCAGGGGGTAAGCCTGACTGAAAACATTGGTGATTGCCATGCCCCGCTGAGAGTGTTGTGCTTGGCTGCGGTTGCGGCTATGGCTTGCGCGGCAAGGTTTTTGACGGTCCATGATCTGGATCTATAAACAGAACAATCAATATGGTGTGGTATCATTCCTTTACACTCGCAATCATGAATATACCACGCCCATCATGCAAAGGAAGTCACGGTCGGTGGCAACTTGCACACGTGCATCTTAGCCTACATAGCGTGGGCATATGGGTTGTGGCATATATTAGCGGCCTGCAGTCCCGTGCTTTCATGGAAGAATGACCAAAATTTAGCTATTAATTCGCCGAGCGTCATCCTAAATACGTACATCGCGCATAAAAGGCAGAGCGGGTCGATCACTGCAGCAAGCTGTCG